TTATATAGGTCCTTTACGTCTATATTCGGCTTACTATAAGCTCCCTTATTACGTAGAATAATAATAACCTCTAAATTCGTATAGCTAAGTAAGAATAGCTAAAGTATACGCTCTCTAAGATTAGCTAGTTAGCTACGGTAGTATATTAGATATATAGCTAGTTCTAAAGTAATATAGCTACTATAAGAGGGGTCCTTAACGATAAAGAACTATCCCCTAGAGACTTTCTTTATATAGGTAGAGAAGTAGTAGCTATACGCCCGAGAGGGCCTATCGCGAGAGGGCCTATCGGCTTATTTTAGAGATCTCCGGGGCTACCCGCTACGGTCGTAGTATAATTATACTACACGAGGATTAGAGCTTTTAATAGTAATAGCGTAGCCTTACTAAGTAGCGAATTCGTTAAGGATTATCCTAGCTTCCTAGCTAGATTCGATCGGGATAAGCTAGTTATTTTATAGTAGAAGAAGCGCTATTTCGGATAGATTTAAGCGGTTAGGATAGCCTAGAAGGAAGAGAGAGTTAGTGAATTATAGTGTACTAGGGGCTATAGGGAGTTAGTAGGAAGGAGTTTTAGTAGGAAGGGGTTTAGTATATAAAGGTTTAGTATATAAAGGTTTAGTATATAAAGGTTTAGTATATAAAGGTTTAGTATATAAAGGTTTAGTATATAGGGATAGATTATTATTATAAATAAAGGTCTATTATTGAAACACGTGATAAAGTAGCGGTAGACATCGAGGGTAACCGCGAGAAGCGCTTATGTATAGAACTATATATACATAAGGACTTAGCAGGACTTATGAAATTATCGAAGGTTACTTTTTGGTGGGGCTCCTAATTAGGCTTAGCGTGTAGTACGACGGTCGTTTTTTATCGTACGGTTAACTAAATCCTATATATATTAGTAGGGTTTCTAATTATATTAGATATCTATAGTTTAATTAGTTCCTAAGACGAGGTAGACAGAGTAGCTTAGTCCGGATTAGCGTATTTCTATAAATCGTGTATAATTATATAGTCTTTAATAGTAGTAATCTAGGGAACCTAGTATATATAAGATTTTAATAGGTAGTTAAGCTAGGTAGCTTATAGAGTAGTTAAATCTATCGCTTCTATATAAGAAGTAAAGCGAAAGTAAGATAAAGTAAGAGAAGATTAAATTAAATTAGTTAAATAGTTAGAGTAGAGGCGTCGGGCTTATAACTATCGGACTTTAGGCAGTAACTATAAAGTCGTGATTATATATATAAGACGATAGTATATATAAGGATTAGTAAATACTTAATATAGTATCTAAATATACGGTTATAAGTCTATCGGTCGTACGTACTTCTATAAAGGAGAACTACCACGATTATAGAAGAGCACTACTAATCTAGAAGAGAGATTATAAAGGATAATAAACTTAATTTAATTTAGTTAGGAGATATAGTAGTATTTATATCTTAGAAATATAGTAAAAGATTATATAAGAAAGCAAAGAGTATTAGAGTGTTAGATAGTCTCCTGCCTAGGTAGGTAATTTAATACGAGTATACAATTTAATGTAAGATCGTTAAGGATTAATCTGATAGATCTTATTAAGAAGATCTAGATATAGAGAGGGGTTATATAAGTAGGTCCTTCGTCATGTGACCCCATAATATCTATATGTTGATACTACCTTTAGTACTTTATACTTTATAGTTTACCCTTAAGATAACCTAACCTATAAGTAGGGGATTTACTCAGTAGTAATACTTAGTGATTGACTTACTTAGCGCGTACTAGCATATTCTGTAAAATACTTAACAGGACCCGAACCCGACGTAAGGCTTCGCATAAGTAACGGTACGGTTACGAGATACTCTTAGAATCCGTAGTTAGAACTAGGTAAGTATAACCCGTGGACCTTCTAACTCATAGTGACCAGTCGGTACCGCGTAATAGCAAGATTATAAATCCCCGCATAATACCTATAAATAAAGGAAATTAGATCGGGTCTATGAATATTGATTGATTAGTAAAGGGTGATATATAGCGAGTGCTAGGTTATCCCCTTCACCGTCGCGGGAGGGATAATTAGCGTACACCGGTTAGCGTATTTTACTATCTAATCAACTAGCAGGATAGAAACTACGATCTTTCATTAGCTATAATCACCCTACTACCTACCACGCGTCTTTCTTACTACGCGTTTCTACCCCCTAAAGCAAGAAGCCTACCAATTCAACCACTAATTTAACCACTAATCTATCTATCTATCTATCTATCTACTATAGTAAAACAGAAATCCACTACATCTACACCTAAGCGTAAGCTTAACGAGATTATCGCTGAATTACCTACAAAAGAAGAGCTCTCTAGTCGGCTATAGCTACTAGACCTAACCTATTAACCTCCACGCCTATAACTACCGAATACCCTAGACCTAGAGAGTCTATACGTAATCTTTACACTCTTTATTAGCGAAGAGATCTTTGAATATATTAGCTAGTCTACTAATTAATACGCATAGCTAGCTAGAGATTTAACTATAACTACTACCGGCCGGTCTTAGAAGGACACTATACCTATAGATATTAAGGTCTTCTTTAGTATCCTTATCTATATAGGTATTAACCCTTTACCTAGTGTTAATCAGTACTAGAAGCAGAACCGACAAGAAGGACTATTATATACACCTCTACTCTATATAGCCCTTACGCGATTTGAACAGATCAAAAGATATCTACACGTTAACCGGCTAGACAATCTAATAGCTAATAAGTAGTAGTGGTATAAGATTAAGCCACTAGCTTTATCCTTCGAGAAGGTAAGCCGATAGTACTATTAACTAGGGTCTAATATCTCTATTGATGAGACGATGATTCGCTGCTTTAGAAGAACTAATTATACTATCAAGATGCTAAACAAGCTAATTAAGAAAGGATATAAGATCTTTGTCCTTACAGAGTATAGCTATATATAGACGTTTACCTAGACTAGCCGTCTATAGGGGATTGCGGATCTATTTAAATCTAATGGGCTTAGCACTACTAGATCGATGGTTTTATAGATGATTAAGAAGCTTCCTGGCCTAGCGAATCAACCGATCGATCAACCTAGCAATCTCGCTAGTAATCTACCTAGTAATCTCGCTAGCAATCTGCCTAGTAATCTACCTAGTAATCTACCTAGCAATCTGCCTAGTAATCTGCCTAGTAATCTCGCTAGCAATCTCGCTGGTAATCTCGCTGGTAATCCTACTGGTAATCTGCCTAGTAATCTGCCTAGCGATCAATCTAGCGATCCCCTAGCTAATTCAACTGGCGATCTTATAGCTATTTTAATAGCTAATACGCTAGCAAAGTATATTATCTATATAGATAATTACTTTACGTCGGTCGCCCTTTTTAAAAAGCTTAGAGATCTACGATATAGTGTATATAGTACTATACGCCCACGTAGTGGGATACCCTCTTAGCTTATTAAGCTAAAGGACTATATAAAGACAATCTAATAGGGTACTTTATATAGATCTAAAGCTTAGGGGGTTCTCTATCTTATATAGTAGGATAATAATATAGTATTATATAGTAGGATAATAATATAGTATTACTACTATCTACTATCTATTCGCCAGAGCTATTTATCCCTACTAAGCGGAAGCGGCCATTAATAACCTCTACTAACGTAATAGTTACGCGTCTTCCTTTTAGTGATGAGGTTATAAAGGAGCTCGAGATTCCTACTGCTATTAACGACTATAATCACTATATGGGTGGTGTAGATATTGCAAATCAGTACCGAGCTACCTATAAGACCCATCAACGAAGCGAGTGTAATTGGTTACCTCTTCTGTTCTTCTTTATTGACGCTGCCATTGTTAATGCGTGGCGTCTTCAATATCTCTATAAGAAGCAATAAGGTAGTAGGTTACCTACCCACTTAGGTTTCCGCCAGAAGCTCTACTAAGAGCTCTTTATCTTTGCTCTACCACCGAGACCAATACCAAAACAGCAAAACCACTAGCAAAACCACCAGCAAAACCACCAGCAAAACCACCAGCAAAACCACCAGCAAAACCACCAGCAAAACCACCAGCAAAACCACCAGCAAAACCACCAGCAAAACCACCAGCAAAACCACCAGCGAATTCACTTCAATACACGAAAGACTTGTGTTTGGTGTCAATATAAGAGACAGAAGGGCAAAAGGGGCGAACGCGCTAACCGAACAAGATCTGGTTGCCTAGATTGTGGTAATGTAGCTCTATGTTTGAAAGGGCCTTGTTGGGATGAATTCCATGTAGTGCCTAATTAGGTTATATTAATACACTAAATTCTGATTACCGGTATGTTACGATAGTTAGCTAATTATAACGTGTTAATACAACACACTAGTAAACCGCGCTAATTGTCCCTCCCGCGACGGTGAAGGGGATAATGAATTGAACCCTTAAAGAAAAGAAAATAAGTCGCTTCGTATATACTAGTGTATTATAGAAAGAGCGCTGGATCGGATCACTAGATTATCACCTGACCCACCTTATCTCTCTTACATCATTGGACGGAGGAACTTACACCGAGCCCCTCTTCCAGTTCCACTTCCCTCCTCCACCTAAGCTTCCCAAGGTTGTCAAACAGCCCCCCTACCCAAACAGCCTCTGCAGGCCTCTCTTTAAACCGTTACATCTCTTGTGACTTTACACCTGCAGAGGGAGCCAGGGAGAGCTACGACTGTTGGCTTTGGTGCGAATTCCTCTGCTTCTCAACAGTTCTACGTGGCGTCGTCTCTTGGAAAGTTATCCTTGGTCGCTATCATATCGATCCAGTCCCCGTTATTACACCAAGTTGCGCCCGCTTCCCACTCCTGTCATCGCACCACGCCCTATTTCTTCGACCAAGCCAACATTACCAGCGCCTCTCACCGATGAATGGGCAGACGGTCATCCAAATCATGCCATCTCCTACCAATCGATCCCAATACTAAGAGCATGGTGCTAGTGGTGCCGGGTTGCGCAGTGGTCGTCGAAAATGGGCCCTCAGTCTTCCGCGACCCAGTTTCAACCAGCCCGGGCCCCATCCCCGTCGTCTTTTACCGTCAGCCTCGATAATGATCACAAAGAAACCCCCCTTTCACCGGAGGTAGCTCGACAGCAAATCATCGAAACGAGAACCCAGCAGGGAGACACCCCCCACCAGCGGCCGCGAAGATTCCTGGCACAGCCGATAGAGACATCCTCTCGGAGCGTCCAGACACAAAATAACTTGTCAGATGACCGTCAATCCTATCGACCCGGAAGCCTCCGAAATGAGGTGAACAACTCCGTGGAGCAACAACTCCACCGACCCGACAATCCTCCCCGGAGATTTTTACCACAGCCCATTGAGACTAGCAAAGCTAGTAACCAAGGCGTCACTGGTTCTAGACCGAGACGATTCAAGCCCGAGCTCCTCGAAACTGAACATCGCTCGGTCAAGGGGGCAACGGACAACCCTTCTCATCGACAGTTTGTCAACTTTGGTCCTGCAAAAGCTGGCTTGGAATACCTAGGAGATCGGCCAGGCCCTACCTCTCGTCTGACTCCCCCTCGCAGCGCCTCATTCGACGTCCCAGAGTCTAGGTTCTCGTATGCAAACTTGCTTCGTCGCCATGAAACCAGAAGACATTCCTTTCGAGTCCCAGATCTCCCGTCAATCCCATCAAATAGCAGTGAAAGCTCAGATACATCCTGTGAAACACCATCCTTACCTCCCCAGAAGTCATCGGTGAAGCTAGTACAGTCCCGGAAAAACGGTCAATTGAACCGGGAAAGTCGCCCCAGCGAATTTTCTGGGTATCTGTTGTCTCTGGCGGCTCGATCGGCACAGAAAGAGCTGAAAGAGCAGGCACTTGCTGCCTTTCCAAACGAGCAAGTCTACCAGCCAGTGGACCATTTTGCTATTGATGAGGAAGGTGGTGATTCAGAAGATGACGAGTATCTGATCTATCCCCAGCCACACCATATCAAGTCCCGTCGGCAATCCTCGGCAGACCTTTCCTGGGAGCTTGAGTATATGCGTCAGCATAAGGAGGAGGCGGAACAACGATTTCGGGTCATGGTGTCCTCCAAAAACCTGGACTTCTCGTCTCCCAGTCATAATGCGGCCTCCAAAAATCGTGGGCCAAGTCCCCCAATGCTAGGTGTCGACCTAGTTCTACCACAAAGTTTGTCCCCGGATGGAACTCTTTGCGAGGACTCCCCGTCCGAGACCAATACCCAGGGGCAACAGGGCCTCTGTAATGACTGCGGCGGTCTCTGGTGTGCAGGAGACCAACCTGAAGAGGGGCGCGGAGCAGGTCTTTGGATGGGCACATGCCGTAAAGACGAGGGTTTTGAGCGAGGATCGCAATTAATGACTGGGATCATGACCCCTATGATTGAGTGTGAAGAATTCACCTTTACGCCCAATTCCTCATTGGAGTCCCATACGGACTCGAGAGATCCAAGGGGCAAGCAGTCCCAAGGCATGAGTGGTCCAAGAAGAAAAATCGATGGTGAATTCCACGATGGCTTCGTGACGCAGATTTACAATTATTTGTCTCTAGGGTATCCATGCGTTGCCCGGTATTATGACTTTGAGCTTAGCAAGATTTCGGGAATCCCCCTTGAAGATCTGCGGCGAGATGATCTTTGTGCTGATGCTCAGGGCTATGTCGTAGCACCGCTTGACAATCTGGCAGTTGGGTGTGTTCGATGGAAGGCCTTGCGTCTCTATATCCACGAATGGGCCCGCCAGCAGCCGAACATGGTAGAAGATGAACCAAGCCTTGAAGCCTGGGGGGTCCCGGAGCGGAGAGGGAGCTGGGCGATTTGAATACGCCTTCGAATATGGATTGGTCCGTTGGTATCGGAGAAAGGACTTCTGTTCCTTCCTTGTCATTTTTCTTCTCATTTTCTGTTTCTTGGTGTAATTCTGGCTAGTATTTTTACTGCTCCAAAGTGAAACATATGGTAATTTGTTCAAGTCCTGTTGGCAAACCGTACCCGCTAACTTCGTATACTATCCTCTGTCGTCGCCCCCTTCGTTGCAAAGCTCACCTTGCAAGGTTCCTATTTTCCTTTTAGATCTTGCTCGATTGCATTGATTACATAAAATGTTTTCAAAATTGGTACATCTCTTCGAGATGTGAATGATAAAATTAGAAGGCCTAGCGTCTACGTGCATGCTGTGAGAAAGTAGAGCTACGAATATCCATATGACATGATTTATCATTACATCTAAGATTAAGATATTGATCATGTATTCAATGTGCCAGTAGCCCTTCCTATTGTACCTATTCCATGTACCTGTTCCACAACGACCGCGGTGGCTGTCGTTCCGTGATGAGGCTAAAGACCCTGTATATATAGCTTGGACGTCCGAATAGATCTGAAAAGACCATGACTCGGGACGCCTGACATTCTCGTAACAGAGGACATAAGAATGTATTCATCGTCCTATTTAGTAACATTTAGTCAATGCCTCTACTCATCACAGGCGGCTTGAGCGAGCATACTTCCTCTTCGAACCGTTTCATGAACGATGCCTGGGAAGATCGTCTGTTCGGGTAGACCATCCGGGCTCGTGCCAGTGGCAGTGTTGCCACCAAGAGATGTGGCCGATTCACTTCTCGCAAGATGGGGTGACGAGAGTCCGTGGGTTGCCGATGAGGTCGGCATACCTTGAGCGGTACCTTGTGGTTCCGAACGGGGATGACCAATGGAATCAGCGGGTAGACGCGGGCTCTGTCCTTGGCCCAAGAACACTGATTGTTTTCCAGGAGCCGTTTCGGAAGTGACTATTGAATGTGAGTTGGGCCACCAACCAGTGAGCGACGTTAGACTAGGGTCGTACCGCTATTCTTGGATGATGGCGAGTATGTAGGCTTCACAGATGCCTGATTGGCAGTATGGAGTAAACCGGGAGCAAGAGCATTTCGCTCATCCGTGCCTGGACCTTGAGAATAGCGCTCGATCCTAGTACCATCCGGTCAGTATTCTTTCAACAAGGACGGTGCGCTTGTCGCATCATGCATCATTCCAGATGTGGGATTGAGCTTACAGGGAACGTTCTGCCAGCAGAGTCTCATGCCGGAATGCCTCTCGAATGTCGGGCACATTGCTCTTAGCCACATTATTCCCAGCCACACCAGGAAGACCACAGTCCGAGCCCAACCATCTCCTTTTCAAAGACAGCTCAAATCCACTTTGATCGACGGAGTGCTTCGCAAGCTCGCACATATCGACGGCGCTGAACTTGTAGATCTGGGCAGCTACCGAGTATTCTTCAATCAGAGGCTCTTTGGTGAAAGCAAATTGCAAAGGATCATCGGTGGACAAGGACACATTGAGACCTCGCTTGAAGAAGCTGGCACAGGGGTTCTTGTCATAGGTCAGGAATAAGGCGTTGTTACTCAGAGGCGACATTGCAATGCCGATCTGGTCCAGGTAGTACAAATATTGCAGCAGAGGCACTTTTCGCAGCAGGATACCATGGCTGATGCTGTGGCAGCACAAGAAGCCAACGGCCAAATGATCGGGGTCGCCGGCCTCACCGCAATGCGGCCGAAGGACGAAGGTGTTGAATCCTCGACGCTGCCGCCAGTTGTTGAGAGACGCAATATTGGCAAACATGAAGTAGATCCAATAGCTGTAAGGCGGGTTTTGCTTAGTGTTCCATTCGCGGGGAATGGGATACTTGCGGTAGAACCGACGTTCCGCCTTGCTCTCATCATCGACACTATCAAATCCAACCACACGTTGTAGGAAGACATGAAGCTTGGGATGACTGGAGGGGTCCTTGGTCACTTCGAACAACGGCTGGAACACGTTGGTGATGACTTGTTCGAAGTTCTCCATCATCCCGCTTGATTTGTACACGTCGTACAGACGAGGAACCTGAATCAGCCATCGAACGTTGGGAGAAAACAGCTTGTTATCTACCACCCAGGCAGCAAGCTTGTCCCATTCTTGGATGGATCGTCCATAGATCGAGATTCTCCACTCAACCATTTGATACTTGCTGGACTCCAAATCAGAGATCACTTCTTTGGTTATTTCCGCCAAATACCGACCCTTAATATAGTTATCGGTCTTCAAAAAGATCTCACGAAGGCGGGATTCTCCAACTGGATTATATTTGAGGTTGAATTTGTCGAACCGGTGGAATGAATCGGTGTGTGCCTGTAAACTTCGATCAGTACGACAAGATATCATACACAGCCTTTCAAGGTTGGGCTAGAAGGAATAGGGGCGGGTTCAAGGGGGGCCTTACATGCATATCAAGGGTATCAATACTCAGGTCGTAGGCAGTCAAGTTGATACTTTCGAAGACCTCGCGCAGTGTGAGATGCTTTCCATCTCGAAAGAGGACTACTTCGTCGGGAGATTTGCGCATTTTGCTTTTGATGAAACGAAGGAGATGTTTCTGGTTCATGCAGGCCGAATGGTGGACGTGAGTGTCCACTTTGCGGACGTTGTAGAAGTCTCGATGCGGCACCTTTTTGCTGTCTGCGATCTCTTGATACTCATTGAGCAATGCATATAGTTGGAATTTGCCCTCCAGATACGACAGACGTTTGAATGCAAAGCTTTTGGTCGGGCCGTCGGTGGAAACATCGACCACTGCATCCAGATCCATGTAGAAGTCACGCAGAGAGGGGATTTGCACCACGGGTTTCTGTTCATCTGCGGCAGTCTCTGATTCATATACTTGATAGACGCTGCTGCCATCGAGGCGGTATGTCCAGGAGGATTGTTTTGGAAGGGGCTCCAGTTCCGTCATGTCAAAGTCTTCACCAATGTCCTCGCCCATTTTTCGTTTCTTGCCTACCAGATCGGAGGGACCCCCGACATTACCAGGCTGGTACGCCTTGCCCTCGTCCCAGGCGGGCTCGGGGGGTGGAGGGTAAATCTCCCAATCCTGTTCATTCCTTGGGTCGTCGCCAGGTCGTTGAAGGGACAGCGCCATGTATTTGGACCGCCGGTCTAGCAGATTTTTGATCTTGCAGTAGATGGCGTTCAGTTCAGACGTGACGGCATCGCCTCCAGGCGCAAACCCAGTTGCGCCCTGGGACAATCCAATCCCCAGACCTAACCCATGGATTCCCTCCGCGGCTGGCGTCGCGTTGAGATATGATCCGTGAGAGGGATGAGCTCCACCTAGGGGCATAGCGTGGCTTCGTGCGGAGAGATCTGCGGCCAACTGACTGTTTTGAGCCTGAAGTGCTGCTCCGCCGGCCTCGTCGTGCTGTAACGAGGATCCAAGGTGCCATTCAGGTTCACCCGCGATCGAAGATTCCCGTGTCGCCTGACTCTGTTGCAATGGACTGGTGCCGGTGGTCGTCGTCCCCTTGGACTCGTACACGTCGGCGACCGCTGGGCGTCCTGCGGGTATGGGGCTAGCCGGGGTATCCCCTTCGACGCCGACGACAACTGGTGATGCTGATAGAATAGTTTCGCCTCGGCGTGGCTCATGGACTTCTCATAGGCGTAGTCATATGTGGCCGTCTTCTGCTGAAGATCTCGTGGTAAGATATCCGCTGCCGAGTCCTGAGGATCCTCTGGGGTTTCATGGGTCATGAAGCCAGTAGAGTCCTCCTCGCCGGAGTCCTCAAGGGAGAACCCATCCGGGCGCTCGTTAACGTTAGGATTGAGATTTGGACTGGACTTGTCGGAATCGGAGAACCCCATGATGGTCGAGGGGCTGTGGCACCAGGAGCGTGGAGGGGGGCGGAGGGTTGGTCCTGGGACCAGAGGTTAAAGAGCTTCGTGGACGGCAGATAGATTAGGGCGATGAGGCAGGAATGGGGGGATTCGAAGGAGGGGAGGTAGAGCCTCTGGGAATCTATCCGATCATTATGAGAAAGAGAGGAAGCTTTGGTTTATTAAGGATAAGAATAATGTTGGCGTATCTAGAATTTTTTTTGGGTAAAGGCGGAGAAGATGCCTATGCTGATCCACCGGTGAGACGGGCAGGGGCAGAGGGGCCGATTACTATTGAGTAATAGAATATGTACGAGAGAGTTGGATCCGATTGGGATTATGCAGTGGAGCCTAACGAGATATTCTTCTCTTATTGTACTTTGGAAGATATGCTTTTTGCTGTACAAGTGAGGTGCTACTATAATACTTTGTACAAGAGATGTATTGGACTGGTTGAAACTAGAGTTATCTATATTAACGTTATCATTAGACCCGATAGAGGAAATACTATTCTATACTAACATCCATACTAACGGACTATATAAGTCAATAATTTAATGACCCTACCTATCGTACCGTACGATAGACTACTATAGACTTCATTAGACCATCGATCTAGATCTTTAACGTCATAGCGATCAAGCTATCCCCCCATGACTGCTCCGGATATAGCATGTTATTACCGATCCTATGAGTACTGCTAATAAGCTTGAATCAATAGATATACTGTATAACATACCAGTACCCATTCAGTAACTACTGGATTAAAGTAAATCTACAAGCTCCAAGCCCGGCACTAAACCTCGAAGAGCTCAAAAGTGGGACCTCGATGGTCTACTTTCTTCCTAGGCGACCGTCATTCTTTCCTCCCCCAAAAACACCGCCCGCCTTTCTCACTTCCTCCCCCCCCCCCCCCCCCCCCCCAAAACATCTCCACCTTCTCTCCAGACCTTCCTACCTTTCATCCCTACCCTTCCTGTGACTAGCTTCCTTCTTATCTTCTTCCCCAATATCTCCGATTCTCAATTCAAACCTCGAGTATTCCCAGGTGGCATTCTCTCCCCTCACCGTGAGTCTGGAAATCCCCCCCTCCTCCCTCTAAACAAAACATCCCCCTCCTCGCCGCCTACGTCAACTCTATTCTCCTCGTGGCCTTTAGCTGCTCTCCACACCACCGCACCATCCGCTCTGCCTTCGACCCCGGAGCACCCATTTCCTCGACCAAATACACACGTTGAAATGCGCATCTAGCTAATATTTTATCCTACGTGGTAGCCCTCTCTTCATTGCCGCCCATATCCGCCAGAAAACATGGCCTCCCTGAACCTCTCCACCAACGGTCCGTCGATATCGAAAAGCTACCAGTCGGTCGTCAACGCATCGCTTCCTACTGGTGCTGCCGCATCACCAACCTATGGCCACTGGGCAGTCTTCTCCGTTTCAACTCCGCTTGTCAATGCCTTCCAACAAGATGCGGGTAACAAGGAGAGTGTTTTGAAGGTCCAGAGCTCAGGAGGTCGGTTCCCTCTTCTCCTCCCAGTCTGTCGAGGAAACTGGATTTGGCGCTGACAATTAGCCTACAGATGGTGAATTGGAAGATCTCATCGAGGAATTCTCCGAAGGCCGGGTGCAATTTGCCTACGTGAAGGTGACAGATCCGAACACGGGGTTGCCCAAGAACGTTCTCATCGCATGGTGTGGCGAAGGCGTACCGGAACGGACAAAGGGTTATTTTACCAGTCACCTTGCGACCGTTTCCAAATTCCTACACGTGAGAGAACCTCTTATATTTCTTACGTGGCTTCGTATGTCTGTACTGACGCGAATTACTGGTCCAGGGGTACCATGTCCAGGTCACAGCTCGAGCTGATGGCGACCTCTCCCCCGCAGGCATCGTTCAAAGAGTGGCAGACTCCTCGGGCGCCAAGTACTCAGCCGAGTCGCAGACACCCGTTGCCTCGACCACGTCCACTTCGACTGGCCCTCGACCCCCGGTTGCCAGCAAACCAGTATTCACCCCCACCCGATCTGGTGGGATTGCCCCGACTCCGATCGCCCGCACCATCCCTTCTGCCTCCTCCGCCAAAGTGGATGATGATGGCTGGGGTCCCGATGCTCCACCAGTGACTCGCACGCAGCTCGAGAAGGTCAAGCCCGCCTATCAACCTACTCGAGTGAATCTGCAGCAATTGAAGTCAGAGAACCAAACCCCGGCCCGTCCGGTGCCCCCGCCGGCCACCCAAGACCAGGGTGATGTCGTTCGAGGAGGTTACCAGCCCATCGGTAAGGTCGACATTGCGGCCATTCGGAAACAAGCAGCCGAATCTGGACAGCTGAAGGACGACCGACCTGCTCCGGTGAAAGGATCGTATGAGCCGATTGGCAAGGTTGACATCGCTGCCATTCGGGCTAGAGCGCAGAAGCCCGACGAGACTACGGATACGGGAGCTATTCCCAGCCCGGCACCTCGCAACGAGCCGACAACGTTGCCCGAGCGGCCGGCCTCGAACCAGGCTGCTGGGCGCCTCACGGATCTTCCAAAGCCCAAGGTTGCCAACAAGTTTGGCTCCGGCCCATCGTTCCCTGGCACAAAGCCACCTCTCCCTGTGGGCTTGGGTGCCTCGACTGCCAATGCCCCCGCGCAGATTGGCAGCGCCAGTCGAACCTTTGCAGACCAAGGCGGCAAGACTCCTGCCCAGCTGTGGGCCGAGCGAAAGGCCAAGGAGCGTGGAGGAGCGATTCCTGCGGCGGAACCGAACCCGCAACCCATCCAAAGCCAGACCAGTGGCCAGGGCGAGTGGAAGAGCTCATATACCGGCAAGTCATGGGCCACCGTGCAGACAGTTCAAGATGCATCTGATTCGTCTCGGGCCGCAGATGTCAAGGCCTCTGAACCTTCCGAGCCCCAGGTAGCCGAGACGGAGCCGCCATCTCACGTTCACGACATCCGTAGCCAATTCGCTGCTGTCGAAACTGCGCCACCAGTTCCCCAAGTTAGTCGCCCAGTTCCCCTGCCTGGGTTGACCACTCAACAAAATGAACCCGCGCCTGAGGCCGAGTCCGAGACGGAGCCGGAGCCCGTGCCCGAGGCTCAGCAAGTGCTGCCTACGCCGCCACCGCAGCCGCGTTCCCCAACTCCTCCCACCCCTCCTGTTAGAGAGAGCTCTCCTATCCGTGTAGCAATGCCCGTGGGTCGCAGCGTGGCCGATGCTCATGAAGAACAGCACTCCCCACCCCCTGCCATGCCCATTCAGAGCCTCCAGGAGGCTGTCCCGGATGAGAATGATTTGGAGGACGATACGCATCATGATATTGGTCGGGCTGCTGCCGAAGCTATCGTCGAGCCCACTGTTGGAGAGCAATCTGCCGCTGGCATCCGAGCCATCGTTCAGTTCGACTACGAGAAAGCAGAAGATAACGAAATCGAGCTTCGTGAAGGGGAAGAGGTGACTGAGATCGAGATGGTTGACAAGGACTGGTGGTTGGGAGTTAACGTCCGTGGCGAACGGGGCCTATTCCCTGGCAACTACGTTGAGATTGTCCAGGATGGTGATCATGATGATACTGCCGCCGCCGCTGCTGCTCACCATGTTCCAGAACCCGTGTCAGAGCCGGAGCCGGAGCCTGTAGCGGCCCCCGTGCAGGACGCAGGAGCAGCCGATGGAGGATCTCATCACCCGACTGCAACTGCGCTTTATGACTATGAGGCCGCGGAGGATAACGAGCTCAGCTTCCCCGAGGGAGCAAAGATCGTCAATGTGGTATGTGTTGCTTCTCCCCCTTCCCTCTCTTCCCCTACGTTTTCCTATGATGAGATCTTGCTTCACATCTCCTTTTTTTGCCGAATGCTAATTCAGATATCAGGAGTTCCCCGACGACGACTGGTGGCTTGGAGAGTACCATGGAGCCCGCGGACTCTTCCCGGCGAACTATGTCGAGCTGGACAAATGAGCCTCCCCGTGTCTGGCGTCATACGCGGCTACCTAAGTAGCTAGCCGGATGTCTTTCAGCTCATGCAAATTCTAAGCGAGCGCGTGTATATAAAACAGCCTTGAATATCTTTTTTTACTGCAACAACCAACCTGGGGATGCTATCCATGTCCCTTTTTAGTCTTTGCCAATATGATGCATGTTGACTGCATTTGATCCAATGTCTTTGTAGTGAGGCTCAGTGTTATATCTATGTATAGTAGCAATCTAGCATCACAAATCGTAAAATAATCATAATCCAAGACCACTTAACTACTGCAATGGCGAGTGTTCGAGCCGTGGAAAGGCGAGCTCCTCCGACGTCATGCACCACTTACATAATCTCCGTCCGCCTGTAGTCCAGATCACGTGCCATGCAAAAGCGCCCATAAACAAGTGCTGGCCCGAGGCCGATTCCGTGCCCGGCTCCGTGAGAGAGATCTTCGTTTACAACCTCGAGGGCAGTCTCAGTCTGCCGATATCCTCCCCCTCTTTTGTGAGCCGCTGCCCTTGACCTTTGTGGATATCGGCCTGCCGTTCTGCCAAAATGGCGTCGTTGGGCGATGACCTGCTGGTCACCGTGAATAAGCTCCAGGACTTGGTGTTCAACACTATTGGCAATGATTCCCTCGATTTGCCTCAAATTGTAAGTGATGAGCACTTGCTACGATCATAGACACGTCCAAGTCGCGTCGCAGAGCTAACGGATTCCCTAGGTCGTGGTCGGTTCTCAATCGTCTGGCAAGTCGTCCGTCCTGGAGAACATCGTGGGACGAGACTTCTTACCACGCGGTAGTGGAATCGTTACTCGGCGTCCCTTGATCCTCCAACTCATCAACATCCCCAGCGAGCGCCCCGATAGGCCCGAACATGACGAGGTCCATGTCCCGCACACCCCCGCCAGCGTGGCTGGCCAAAATGAATGGGCAGAGTTTCACCACCTCCCTGGTCGCAAGTTCGATGATTTCTTGATGGTGAAGCAGGAGATTGAGGCAGAGACGGCGCGCATTGCTGGTAGCAACAAGGGCATCAACCGACAGCCGATCAACCTGAAGATCTTCTCCCCTCACGTCTTGAATTTGACCTTGGTGGATTTGCCAGGCTTGACCAAGGTGCCCATTGGTGACCAGCCTTCCGATATCGAGAAGCAGACCCGGACTCTCATTTTGGAATATATCGCCAAGCCGAACAGTATCATTCTCGCCGTGTCTCCTGCCAATGTCGACTTGGTCAACTCGGAGGCGCTTAAGCTAGCCCGCCAAGTGGACCCCATGGGCCGAAGGACAATCGGAGTTCTATCTAAATTGGACCTGATGGATCATGGGACCAACGCCATGGATATTCTGTCTGGTCGCGTTTACCCTTTGAAGCTGGGCTTCATCGGTGTTGTCAACCGCTCGCAGCAAGACATCCAATCTGGGAAATCACTTTCGGAGGCTTTGCGCGCTGAAGCGGATTTCTTCCGTCACCACCCAGCGTATCGAAACATGGCCAACCGATGCGGCACACAGTTCCTGGCGAAGACCTTGAACTCCACTTTGATGGCGCATATTCGGGATCGCCTGCCAGATATCAAGGCACGTCTCAATACGCTGATGGGCCAGACTCAACAGGAGTTGGCAAGCTACGGTAACAAGCAGTTCAGCGGAAAGGAACATCGCGGCTCTCTCATCCTGCAGCTCATGACCCGCTTTGCCTCATCATTTATCTCATCCATCGACGGTACCTCTTCTGAGATCTCAACCAAGGAGCTCTGCGGCGGTGCCCGAATCTACTATATCTTCAACGAGGTCTTTGGAAACTCTTTGGAGACGATTGACCCCACACACAACTTGACAGTCTCGGACATCAGAACTGCCATCCGCAACTCAACAGGTCCCCGACCCAGTTTGTTCGTGCCTGAGCTGGCCTTTGATCTGCTAGTTAAGCCGCAGATCAAACTTCTAGAGGCACCTGCCCAGCGGTGTGTCGAACTGGTATATGAGGAGCTCATCAAGATCTGCCACACTTGTGGCTCACAGGAGCTCCTGCGGTTCCCCCGACTCCAGGGCAAGCTCATCGAAGTCGTGTCTGACCTTCTCCGCGAGAGGCTAGGCCCCTGCTCTGGCTATGTGGAATCTCTCATCTCCATCCAGAGAGCCTACATCAACACCAACCACCCTAACTTCCCCGGTGCCGCAGCGGCCATGCATTCCATCATTCAGAACCGACAGGAGGAAGAGCGAAAGGCTATTCTCGCCGAGGAAAAGCGCAAGCGTGAGAAGCGACGACTGAAGGAGCTTGGATCGGCTAACGGTACTGCCGGCACACCTGATGACGAGGACGCACACGCTGAATCCAAGTCTCACAACCTTCCCATCCGGAACCAATCTACTAAAGGCGCACGAAGCATGTCCCCTCATGTTGGACGGGTCGCCGAGAATGGCATTGCTGCTACTTTGAATGGCTCTCATGCCAACCACGCGGCCGGATTTGGTGCATCGCACACTACTCGTGATTCGTTTTTGAACTACTTCTTTGGCAAAGAAGGCGGCATTCCCAGTCCCGCGCCGTCATCTCAGTCGGCCCTGACGCGACCCGTGACCCATCACAGCGAGCCAAGCATTAGCCAGAGCCTTCGTCGTCCGGAGGTTCGGTCACCCGTTATGCCCTCTGAAGAATACCCAGCACCCCCAAGCGAGTATGGCGGGGATATTTCTGCTTTCGTGAGTGTTCACCCTCCCTAATTCCTATCTGGACCCTTGACTGACTGGTTCCGCCCTCTCCTCTAGCCTCATGAAAACGCAGAGCCAACCCTAACAGATCGCGAGATCCTCGAGACCGAGTTGATTCGTCGTCTGATTTCTTCTTACTTCAATATCGTGCGAGAGACCATCGCCGACCAAGTGCCTAAGGCTATCATGCATCTACTAGTCAACCACAGCAAGGACGTTGTGCAGAACCGACTAGTCAGCGAGCTCTACAAGGAGGATCTCTTTGGCGAACTGTTGTACGAGGATGACGGCATCAAGGCTGAGCGGGAGAAGTGTGAGCGACTCTTGGAGACTTACAAAGAAGCTGCCAAGATTGTGGGCGAGGTGCTATAGACCTGAGAAGGATGCTTTTATGGTGGAAAGATCTTGCACCTTGTTTGATTATCGCGATGTGGCCGCTTTCTTTTTTCTTCTCATTTTCCTCTCAAGTTATGTGGATGTACAATTATATTGGGCCTTTGATGCACATGTGCTCTTGATATACTCATGGCTCTCTTCTTTTTTATTCCGAGGATCATCTTCTCTTCTAGCCCTTTTGATCCTACCGCTTCGTATGCTGAATATCTATATAGTCTAGTGTAGGTATATGAATGGCACTAGAGCGGGCTGCTATGCTAGTCAGAATTGACTTTGGGATGTCCATGCTGCTTTTGATCCAGCAGTACCTCACTGGGTCTTCTTCAAGCTGGTCTTCCTCAATCGTGCTCCCTCGAATCCATACAGACCACCGCCAACGGTGACCAAAACCGCTCCGACAAGGACACCGGATGCCAAATCATTGCCGAACAGGTAGATCGAAAGTAGCAACGAGACAAGCTTGCGGATATTCAAAACCACAGTAACAGTCAGGGAAGAAGATTTGGCAGACAACAGGTGGACTCCCCGAATGCAGACGTACTGCGTCAGGGCATTCATAAGCAGGTAAGCCACCTGGATCGGAATCTTGTCGAGAACAGGTGCAATCGATTGGTGCTTCTGAGCAGCCGCCATTATCGAGAAAATATTGTTGGTCAAAATGCTGGATGAAGTTTCGCTAACATTTCGAGCAGACAGTGTTGAAAGCAGCGAAGGAGTAGATGCCACGACACGCCACTGTGATAGTAGCTGCGGATAGCTGGTCAAGAACAAAGGTAGCGAGAGGGTGTGCGAGTAGAACAGAGCCTCCTTCCAGTGATCACGGCCATATGTGCCATATAGTCGGTCTGCGTAGATTCCCTGGAACGCGGACAGAATCATAGCCAAGGCAAGAATACTGAATCCAGTGGCCGTGGTCATCAATGTCACGTCACTATCGGTTCCTATCTCGATCGACTGGCCCTTGGCCTGCGCATCGGCAAGCGCCGCGGCGGCGACGCCGGCTGTAAGCAAGGCCACAGCGAGAATTTGGCCGCGAGAGTACCTCCTTCCGTTATATGCGTATCCAACGAGCATGGAAGCCACCGGACCACCGGATCGGAGAATGATATGAAGCGGGACCGAGATCTTATAGGCAAAGGCCCAATTGTTCAAAAGATTGACCGACACAAAGTACGCGGTATAGACCATCCATGAGCGGAGCGGGATCGCTCGAGGGCTCATGAACAAGGCACCGGGGCCGGCCGAGAGGGAAAGGAAATGTGGAAGTGTAAAGAAGGCGCACAGAATGAACTGGGCGAATGTGATCAAGGGACCTGCGCGGGGTTAGTTTAGATAAAAGCGAGTACTTGAGAAACGGGCCATTCAATTGAATCATACCGGCTGTAGGTTGCTCTCTAGAGCGCGAAAGTCATGTCAGTCTAGGGTTTCATTTGTATCCGCGGGATACACTTACTTGATGATGGCTTCGAGGGCAAAGACCTGAGCAAGATGTCAGCTATCGGCTGCCATCGAGATCGCATCCATGGCCACATATTCCACCATGGACTCACATTTGTGCAGCATCCTCCAAAGATGAGCGAAGCCATCAACAACATGTTGGCCCAAGAGGGCACCGTCGCATGCGCCACCGCCGCGACCATTCCTGAATCCTTCTTCGTCTTGGGCTTTATGGTGTCCGACGTGAGCGCCGGCTTGACAGCCGTAAACCCATTTGCGTGTCCATTGGCACCAACTCGTGGAATCGTGTAGGTATCCGGTCTCCGCTTCACGGAGTCGGTATCATTGATCATCTTGAGTGGACCCCGAGGTCAGTCGTGGTGGGCGTGGAGAAAACGAGCGGCTCGCGTGAGGGGACCTGCTCCGCAATCCCCTGCTCGGCGCGTCGGGGGTTCGGAGGGGTTCGTGGATTGTTTCAGAACCAGCCTGCGTTTCTTTCCACGGTGGTACTCGGTCGGACTCGGAATTAGCTGGTCGTTGCAGGGTGGTCAGGATCCCAATGGCCTGCAGAAGGTGACGTGGTCAGAATAAAAGCGGAGGGAAGGCGAGATCGGCGGAGCGGCGTTTACTCGATTTCCTTTTTGGGCCAACCGCAGATGAATTAGTTCGTCAAGTTATGGTTATTAACCTTAAACTTACTCAATAGACTGACTACCCTCGATTTATTGGTGAGTACACTACTATGTGGGTTTGAACAATTTCTGCGAGGTAATGTGGTAGGTATGAGACTTCCTTACACATCGATCAACTATAGCGGCGTTTCAGAGGTATACAGGCTATCTCCATGCGACCGATTCCTTGAATGGGGATATCTAGCACTAAACAATTTTATGGCTAACCGACACTCGTCTCCACGAAAACAGATTAGAAATGGTGGTCATATTTCATATCAAGATTCGTCTTCATATACAGTTGACATCGGGGCGGCTCAGTCGTCAACAATATCATCGTCACTGAGAATCAGCTTCTCTTCATCTAGTGCAGGCACCGGAGGCGCAAGTGCATTCACGTTGGCTTTGTCTCGAGACCGGGACGACGTCGACGTGAGTTCATCGTCATCGTCATCTATTTCCTCGTCCAGACGTCCCTCCTGGATGCTAGTAATTTGGTTGAGATGCCACCCGTCGGGCTCCTTACGGCGGATCTGAGCCATATAAGGCAAGTGATGGAGTAGTGCATCTTGTCGCGACATCATAGTCACAGCTGACTGCAGGGAACTGTCATTCTTATCCACTGCCGAGTATCCAAGTCGAAGATTTTTCCAGGACTTGACACCGGCAGACTCAGCAGCAGCGCCCGAGCCACGGGAAAGGAGGCGTGAATTTCCGGTAGGGTCTAGCAGGTGTTTCAAACACGAGTCAATGAGACCCTCAATCTCCTCTGTCCTCCTCCATAATCGCAGCGAAGCCGGGTATAGCATCCGATAGGGATCCCTCGCTTTTCGGCCGCTCACAGACGCCTTTTTCCTGTTAACGGGATACGGGAGAGCAAACAAAAGCCCTCGAGCCGCAACTTGAAAGCTGATCTCATCCTGTCGGAGCATATCGACACCAGCATTGAAAGGAGTGGCACCAACTCCAACACCCGTCCTTGCACCATGAGAGGGCCTGGGATCGGCGCTGAGGATATCGCAATCAGATAGCGCTTCAATACACTCATTGAAACTATCTGTGAAGAAGTCACTGTCGCAGGACTGTGGATAATTCTCATGTAACGCATAGATGAATGTCGAGACGTCGGTGCCCGTCTCATCAAGTAGGTCGTTGACTGCAACCTGTGAGACCTTGACACGACGTTGATGAGACAGGTGGTCCGGTGGTGAAGGGGGAATTGGGACATCACTGGGCATTAGACTGGAATCTAAGCGTTTATTATAGACAATTTTGCCCACAGCATGGAACATCCCGAGACTCGCTTCTCGCTGCGAGATCATCTCAAGAGACTCTTGCTCCATCGCTGTCAGGGTAGATCCACCCCGTGACTTTTTAGTTTTGGAGAGACTTCCGCTCCATTTCCCTGCTTGGTCGCCTTTCAGACAGAGAAACTCAAGGGCAGAGAGGGCACTGCGTATGTCTCCAATCTCGGCAATCTTATCCAAAACCGCGGATCCAGGGACTCGGGATCGCCGAGAAGTCTGGGCCTCTTTTTCAAGCACCAGTCGCAGGGCTTTCTGCATGAATGTCGGTGCAATACTATTGAAATCGATGATGGTCGTGCCAACGTGATTATACAATGTAGGCCCGAGTAACCGATGCACAGTCAAGTTATCGGAAATAGATGATGCAGAGCTAAGCAGCGTTTCCGAGACGATCATCACAATAGGCGGGTGCATCCACCCACCTAATGATTGCTCAGTGGATGCAGCAAGATAGCGCTGCAAAGAGGTCCGAAAAGCAGCCAGACTAGAAGAATTCCGGTTGAGTATCGTCGGGAACTCTTCAATGAGAAGCACGCGCTGGCTTCGAGGATGTGCATCACGGCCCTCCTTAGCCTCTACGGTGTCTTCGAGATCCAGACCTCCGAATCGATCGCCACGGCCAAGAAACTCTTCAAAGTGAGTGCTCACAGAGACGTACTCTTGCGCAGAGAACTCTGAGACTGATGGGTTTCGCCATTCAATCAAGTCGAAGTCAAGGGCTTCGGAAAGAAGTGTGATGGTGGTAGTCTTGCCGCTGCCTGCTGGGCCACGCAACACGAGTAACCTCTGCTCCATAGTGTTAGTGAAACATTCTCAATGGATAGTCTCGCCCGCACCGGGCATTGGAATATCCCGGTACAGCCTTGAGAGAGCACACTAACCTCTTTCCGTCTCCCTGCAAAAGCATCCTCCAACCATTTCTGCACATCCGAGACCTTCCTTTTATGAACAGCTATCTCATCCAAATTCGACGGGCCGTATCGCTGCGCCCACGGTCGTTGATCAACTCCCAACGAAGCCGGAGCTGGCGATTGTCGATGAGGTCCATTCGTAGACTCCGGTGGCATTACAAAGCGCTTAGAAGCATGACCTTTTGTTCGTGACGTTGTCGTCTTCTTCGGCGCAGCTCGTTTTGTCTTGGTAGGACCACGGGCAACGGGCGAGTCAATGTGCGTATCTGACTTTCCTCCCGCCGCCAGGTGTTGGGTAAATATCTCATCGTAGGAATCATAGTCGTCTTCGATTATATCGGCGTCAAGGGTCGTCTCCGGGGTAGCAGCGAGCGGGCGTTTCGCCTCGAATTTCTGCGTGGACCATCGCTGTGCTTCCGTTGCAGGTTGGAAAAAGGTATGAAGGGATTTCGATTTGGTTGTCTGAGGGGATGAGCTTGGTTTCTTTGGCGAGACTGATGAGGATGGAGCTCGTGTGAGTTTGGATTGACTGGAGCGCGTTCGAAGATTCTTGGATTTGGGGCGTGATGACAACGCGACGGAGCTGGAAGTTGACGGGCCGAGGGAAGGAGATCTGGATTTTAGTTTCCTTTGTGGATCTTCCTCTGAATGGGTGGATCGGCGTTGTCTCTTGGATGGACGACCGTCCATGATGGGGGGCCCGGGGGAGAAGAGGAGACGAAAGCGCAGAAGGAAGTGCTGCGCGTCCGATAAGCTTATGACGCCAAGCGCCGGGGTCCACTGCGTATCAGCTATCAGCTACGGTCAAATGAGATTTATGTACTCCGTACTTACTATAAAAACAATTCCAATTCCAATTGTAGTCCATTTATGCAATTATTATTTCCGTAATATTTCATATTAAACAGCCTGATACTATGATACCTTTTCACGCTCAAAGACACAACTCCAGTTCCAAGGTTCATAGTGTACTCTTACACATCCGGCCACAGTGGGTATAGGTATATCGACAGGGTTCCAACATCATGAGACAATGACAAGAAAAAGAAAGAAAGAACAAAAAGGCGCAGGAAATTAGGGAATAACCTGAGCCTTGGCTATGCGCCTCCAAAGACATCATAGTAGTAATCCTCGTCCAGTCCATCCCGCACGGGCACTGGAGGGGCTTCACCCGCAAAGGTAGCATCGTCAAATCGAACATTCAGCAGTCGAATCTTCAGTCCATAGTTGCCAACAAGATCAATGAGCTTGGTCGTCTCGGATGTGATAGGTTGCTGGTTGAGAAGCATCAGGAGGCCGTCCAACCACTCGGATGCCACACTGTGGGAAGCCGGTCGGAGAGTCAGAAGAACCACTTCCTTCCCAGTGGACTTGCTGCCCGTTCGTGTATGAGTGTGACTCTTGGAATGGCCTGTTGATGATTGCGCATAGCCATGAATGGTAATTTTGGTGGAAGCCTGGCGGGGTGCAGTTTTCACAGTGGCCGAGGAGGCATGGTCGGGAGTAGTAGAAACATTGGAGACTACAGACGAGACGGTGGACAGATCAACTAAAAGTAAACGTTAGCATGTCACCTCATCGCTGGAGATTGACAAATGATGGGGAAATAAGGAATGCGATAACTCACTCTTTTCTGGTAAAGCATCTAGCTCGGGGGCTCGATCGCCCACCGAATCAAACTCCCCAAAGTGAAGATACCGCCGGTTATGAGACAATTGAACATATTGATGCGAGGCAGTGGACCGAGCAGCAGCCCCCGTCTCCGTCTTGGAGGAAGGCTCCATGGAGAACCAGGCGCCTTGAAGTAGGCATCGAATACGCTGCTCTTTGACAAATTGCAGCGCTTCATGGTGGAGTTCATCGCGAACTTGGCGTAAGTGCTGGCCCCATGCATCCTCATAAGTGAGCTCGAGGAGCTCCATTTGCAGCTCTCGGAGTCGATGGTACTCATAATTTGCCAACTCCTCCTCGATATCCTGCACATCCTTCGTCCGACCGGCACCGCCTACCACAGACTCGATCAAAATGCGAACCAGCTCGACAAGCTTGTCCAGATCCTCAGACTCCGCCGCAGTGGCTTTCCACAGGCGGAAAAAGGCCTGTAACCCTGCGACATGCAATCGCGTCCAGTGTAGAAGCAGAGGCTTGAACAGCTTATCAAAGTTGGACCGTGATTCCAACATCATGTAGTTCTTTGAATCATCCATCTCAGACTTGTCCACCTCAAAGTGTTCGTACAAGATAGAGGTCACGGCCAACGAGGCCTGGGCAATCGGGCACCGTTGGCGTGCTGGCTTGGTGGACTGCTCTAGGAGCATCTTTTGGAACTCGTCCTGGTGGCTACGAACATAGTCCGCCAAATCCATCATACCCAAGAATCCCACCTCGTGGAACTCAGCCGCAGGACTCTCCGACTCGAATCCCAATCGGCGCCACTTGTCTGGGTGGTGTCGCTTGGAGCGCCGCGTATCATCGCCATTTTCCGAGGTCTCGTCAACGCCACCCTTTGTCGGGTTGCTAGCCAGGTAAATCCCCTTCAGGGCTCTGCGATGCTCCGGTTTCTCTTGGTTCAGGGGAATGTCCCTCCACTTGCGAAGAAGCACCTTTGTGAGCGATTGGAATTCGAGAAGCGGGTGTGCCAAATCTTGGAGAGCCGAGTCCTGCATGAGAACATAGACCGCTCGGATCACCCCGAGGTCTTGCAGTTTCTGAATAAACTTGGGCCACTCGGCCTCGGAGTCGAAAGTGATTGAGTCGCGCATGAGGGAGTTGATCAACTGAAGCGCATTGGCGCACAACGCGTGGTCGGCCGAGGACAGCCGACTCACCAGCATCTCCAAGAACTGAGGATAGATAGCAATGGCTGGTTTGAGGGCCCTGAAACCGAACAGGTCTGCTTCGGAGGCGCGACTCCCCGTGTGTGGATGTGAGACAATGGAGACGAGAATGGACATGGCGCCGCGGAGGATGTTAACGAGGGGATGGGTGACAATCAATTCGACAATCTATGCGACCATGATAGTGATTAGCAGGTAGGCAAAAATAGAGTGAGAGATGATCTCCATGAGAGACAGCATAAGTAACCGCAAAGGTCTGGGGGTTGGTCTTACTCGTTCAACCAACTCCTGATCAACACACTCCCAACCCTTGTCGACCTCAAGCAAGCGCGCGAAACTGGTAAGACTGTACGCAAGAGTATTTCCACTTGCGTGTAGAGTCAGGTATCGCAGGCGCGTCAATCCACCCTCGACAATAAAGATGTCGGCGAAGGATGGGTCGCCGATGTTGCCCTGGAGCTTGAAGACGGCCATTTTGCGCACGGCATCTTCGTCGCTCCCCAGACGCTCCACCAATTCGGCAACATTGACAGTATCCATGGTTGTTGTAGGAACTTCCCCCCAGGGCGTGTTGGGGTCTGTGAAAGGGAAGAAAGGCGTGGAGATTCGGGGGAGGATCAGGGGCGTTGTGGGGCAAGTCGAGATTGGAGCTCGAGTCGAACCATACGAACTCCTTACGAACTATAAACTCTCGACTGTACCGTCTGATCAATTTCATTTATTCTATTAATTGTACTAATACAAAAAGACAATGCTCATAGAACTCATTTTGTATTGTTTTGAGCTCGGCTTCAAGCCGGTGGAATTAAATATTTGCATATCTCATTCATACATGAAGGATCCAATAAGGGAGGAGGTTCGTGTTTCCAATCCAACTTCTTCCTCCTCCCTTGGGGGGAATCTATAAAAAGCAGTCCATCATGTCCGTACCATTTACTCCGGAAAGTCTGCAGCGCCCGACGCCGCAGATCTATGCAGGTGATTTTCATATTATACCAAACAAAAAGGGCGTCCCTTATGCTGGTCAAGATGTGCTTCTCCTGACGACGGGCTGGGAAACCTGCCAGCGCTCCAATTCGCCAAGAGAAGCGGACAAGGGTCATCGGCGCCAGCCCACGTTCCAAATGACATGAGCGATATCGCGCGCGGTATTGACCGTGTCCACAACTCGGCCCAAGAGACCATTACTGGCAGGTTCCCCTTCGCCCTCGCCATAGGGCATGAACATGCCCGATGCGGTGAGTCGGAGCGGCCGGTCGGCAAGCTCGTCTTCATCTTCGGGAACGAACCACGGCTGATCCCGATGCGTATAGTGACCGGTAAAGTCTAACGAGGGGTCTTCATCCTCGTCGTCGAGGAGGAAGTTGGCCGATGGCCGAGGGGGTCGGAGAGTCTCCACGGAAGGGGTTGGGGATAATTTGGAGGAGGTGGAAGATGGGGAGGAAGTAGACCAGCGGTCGAAGACACTCTCTCGTGGTTCAGGAGTATCGCCACGGTATTTGAGGGTGGTGGACGGAAGAGGAGCAATGGTTTTGCTGTCACTACTGAAGCTGTTGCGAGGTGTGCTTCGGTTGCTGACGGAGGCGCGGCCAGGGATCTGTCGCATCATGACGACGCTGTCATCCGATGAAGACTCCTCGTCAAAGGCAGGGGGCCAGCTTTCATCTTCGTCAACCTCCTTGACTTCCACGGCGATACATTGTACGACCTCGTTATTGAAGTGAATGTGACGTCGCTCACTGGGAGACGTTAGTCCTGACCAGGACGATGTGGTGAGTGTGCCGCCTAGGGAGTAGGTAGAGCTTCCAGTGCGATGGTGTAGCTGATCCAGGTCGGTGTTGGACCGGGGGAAAGAAGGTCTCGACCAGTTGTTCTCGGCTTCCTGGGCTTTGAGGATAGCACCCGCATGTTGTAATAGAGTGTGTTGGGAAAGCGACCGTTGAAGGATGGTCTCTGACATGGTTTTCTTCTTTAGGATTGGTTTTGGTTCCAAGTAGGAGTTTGGAGTATCCAGACGACTCGGAGGTGGAGATGCATCCGATGCGATGGCATCACAAGAGCTGGATGTTTTAAGCGGTCCATAGAGCCATGTGACATCGCAATCTTTCAACCTATTGGGCAAAAAGTCAGTTCCTGGAGACACATGATTGCAGATGAGAGAGATGAGGGACATTGTGAATAGGAACGTACCAATTCAGGGTCTCAGGGGAAATGGTCCCGAGGTTATTCTTCGCTTTGGCCCATGTCCTCCACGACGCGTTCTCTAAACGAACACCATTGCTATAGGATCCCTTGCGAGCAGTGACATAGCGCCAGGATGCCCAGATATCCTCTTCGCGCCACTCGTGGGAAAGATAGTCCACATGCCTAGAGGGTTCCTCTTCCACCGAGGTATCATCTGCGGCCGGGGTGTGGCACCATGCCGGGGTATGTGATGCACCATCCGCCGACGCGTCACTGACCGTATCCGTCTCCTGCTCCACCTCCTTGGTACCCGTCAACTTTTCGATTTCCGAATCGTAGGAAGGTAGTATCAAGTCGTCATCCAGGGAGAGTGTGCTGAGGGTATTCGGAGTGTAAGGAAGCTGATCATGGGCGGGTTGTGTGAAGCTCGGCGAGGGTGGCATGGACGAGAGAGTCGAGGAGGCTACGGGACTGGGGCACTCCCGGGCCGAGTATTCATTTTGCATCGGTGATTTGGACAAGATGCCGTGGTCGCCCAAGAAGTAGCGCTGCGCAGTGGGCGACCGCAGGGGGTCGCGGGCGAATTGTTGCGAAGCCTGTTCGCGGGGAGTCGCCAGCACCGCCGTCATTTCCCCGTTGCGAAAGAAATAGGATCCTTCGGTATAGCGAGGGCGAGAATGGGGATGGCCGGGGGGTGGTGAAATAAGATATCCTTAGCGGCGAGACATCGAGGTTGGAACAACCGAGAGAAGAACAACCGAGAGAAGAACAAAGAAGAGAAGAAAGAGTGGCAGAATGGGAAGAGTTGGGAAGGCGAGAGGAAAAACTGGCGGAGGGTGGCGGAGAGCGGGTCTGAACCCCGGGGGGAAGAAAAAGGGAGGAGGATTTATGATTTAAGAAAAGTAAAAAAAAGCAAAGATGCGGGGAGGCGAGAGGAAGAGAGAGGAGGAGAGTCTCGATAAGGATGAACCACGGGAATGGGCTACTGCCGATAGTCGTCAACTAATGAACAGATAGAGAGAGCCACATAAAGTCTAAACCGTCCAGAGAGTTCTTCAAGGAGGGGGGAAAACAGGACCGTATAAGAGAACAACAAGGAAACTCTCTAAAAAGTGGTGACACAAAAAGAAGGCCGGATTGGGAATCCCAGAAGGAACTTATAGTCTTGCTGGAGATTGGTTGCGCCAGAAATCTCATTCCAATGGGATCCGATAACCGCCTTGAAACAAACCTAAACCTCGACTCTCAGACGATAATAATAATATTATTTTATTTCTCTCTTTCCCTACTTCCTCCGTTCTCTTCGAGGCGTAAAAAAAAGTGCCTGAACACACCAAGTCGCCACCAAAGGCGCAGTAGTCCGGAATGCTGTCCCGATCTATGATTTGCAGTTTCCTAGCTACTCCCAGGGACAATAGTACACTAACAGATGTACCATAGGAGAATGGCCTATGGAGCTACAAAACGAACGGGGACTCGCCCCCTCTCCAAAGTATCTTTTGGTCCTAGACTCCCCCCGCCGAGCGAGTTAGCGACCGGTATATACGAGGCTAGACCGCACGATAGCCCCCCCCTCGAAAGTGGGCCTCCCCCCAAAAAAACAGCTACACCAGTCGATCCAGTGGAGCTCATTCTCAACGCTTCCAGGGGGGGCAAACGGTCGGACTTTCGGACGATCACGGATCCCAAAGGTCCTCCGTACTTTGGATTTCCTGGGTACTTTCGGGCCGTCTATGACGGGAAAAGGAAGGTTTCGGAGTTGAACAACTTGTGATAGTCAAGTGTATACAAAATATAGTATATATACACTCCGTGAATCGGATTAGTATTGATAGCGGAATACGAGAGAAGAGTATAATCTCTTCCTCTGGATCGACAGTACATCGTCCTATAGGGTAGCATCATAATCGCAATCATTAACATGATAACAAAAAGTATATAATGATATAATCATGATCGTAACCCGCCCCCATTGTACCCGTGGTATACAACTATGGTGGCTAACAGATTTGAAAGGCAAGACTCATTACGAGTAATATCGATAACATAACGTGAAATCTCCTCCCTCTTTCACCCCATGGGCCTCGAAGCTCGAGGAGGGGGCCACCGCACCCACAGGTAGGGTCTGAGCACCGTTCGGGACTGGGGTAGGACATGGCTGCCCTCCACCCTGTCAGGCTGGTTCCCCTCTAGACCCGGGGGAGACACAGAAAACGACGGTGAGTGGGACGAAAGATCCACGTCTCACAGCACGATCCACCTGGCTCGTCCGCAAGTTGTTGCAACTATACAAGATTATATAGAAACAATGTCGGGTTGAGAGACTACACAACATGATTACTTGCAGTAACTAACGTTACTATTATTGTTCACTTATCCCTACAATACTACAATGCTCGTTGGATCAAATCAACCTCGGTCACTAGTGAATTAGCTCCCTTAGTTGCGTCAAGAGGCGGTTTAAGGGGCGCATTAGAGGGCTCTCGGGGCGTGCGTGGGACTGAACTACATACTTAGCTGATTTGCCCAGCTGCAAGTCAGAGGTGATCATAATGTAACGAGATAATCGAATAAAATGTACTAGTATTACTAGCAAGCATAAAAATAAGGAAATATAAAATTAAGAAAGGAATGCAAAGCAAGTACATAAAATGGCAAGTATATTGCCGATAAAAGTGAAACGCCATTCCTATGTCGGTAATTATGCTCCTCATTTACATAACAAATCGTCATAATTTCGAGGCTGCAATATACCCCGGTGCATTATAAGACAGGGATAAATAGCTCGCATTCATCGTCTTCTAACCGTTTTTGACCAATAAAACCAGTAAATCCCATATTCATAATTCAAAAGCTACCATCCCTATGGATGATCATGATAGCTTCCCGTGCCCTCATTGCAACACAACCGGGTGTCGGATGCTCACCCCCGGTGAGCTGCTTCTAGAATGATGCCGTCCTCCCTCTTTGCATCAACCATGAATTGTCACATAGCTATTACCTTGTACGACCCAATGCTCATGATCATGATACCTACCGGTATCATCTCCTACTAGGACCCTCTTCCAGCTAGATAACGGGCAAGCTAGGGCTACAAAATCCCAGGAAACCAGGTTAGCTGCAGCATTTTGCAGCATCTCGTCCCTGGACCTCGCTCTATGCGTAATCTCTTTCCCCACCCAAACAGCAACCTCAAAAATGTCCATTAAAATAAGACTAACGGCCAAAATCACCCAAGACTGAAAACCAAAACCCAGCGTCATGGGACCGTGCGGCTGCAGATTCGAAACCTAATAATCCTCCGGCCAGCAAAGCGCGTGTACGATCGACGGGCCGATGAGCTCGATGTAGCCGAAGACCGCCACTAGCGACCAGCACGGACCTTGGGGATAAGAGTACTCCGTTGCAAGTATACTTTGAGAGTCATTGTTTGATGGGAGTCTCTGAGACACAAAGTCAGATAGAGACCGTCCGCTAAGCTCTGGCGCTGGTCTGAAAACGGCTTTATCGAAATCTCCCCAAGCCTTCCCGTGGAAGAGATAAGCGTATCTAGATTTCGGTCGATGCGATTAACGATCCAGGTTGATGTGGCCCAGGTCGATGACTCCAGGACCTGCGGCTAGTCCTGCGAAACCTGGTGGCGCCCAGCCATCAGGGCTGGGCGCATTTGTGTATCCGGGTTATCCAGAATATCTGGTTCATCGAGTGTCTTTCCCCCCAGTGTAACCCATGATTGCCGTCGAGACACTTTAATGGGGAATTTTTGGTTGGTGGGGGGAGGAGGACAAGATAGTAACAAGCTACGAACCAACCACATGAAAGTTCGGACAATTCTATATGAACACACTACAGAGTTCTGATTATAGTAACAACGACAACAACATGAAGAACCACACCTTCTAAATTTCTCACGGTACTATCAGACTCAGCAAAAAAGGCCGAGGGCGAACATGATCCTGTCCCCTCGTGCACCGAGACACCGCCAGAAAACAGCGATAGGGCCTCTTTCCAGGAAGGGGCAAAAAAGAGAAGAAACTAGAAACCGAACACGCAGAACTGTGTTTTGTCTGTGCGTCTGCATGGCCTTGGAGCCCTGGGCCCTGGATGGCTCTTCGAGCCCTTTCATTCTTTGGTCGTGGCCGAGAGGCCCGACGAACCGATGATTGGCTCGAACTTAAAACCCTCGAGGCGCAAATCCGAAGGTCAATGGGGCCAGTGATATGGTCGCATCGCTGCATGTTACCGCACAACACAGAGAGAAAGCCTGACTTGAGGCCCTTGCACAATCATAGTCTGGACTCTCCAAGATGGGGATTTCCCAGCTTTTTTCCAGGCACTAACTAGCGCCGGCGCCAGTCCCAGCTGCACAACTGCAGTCGTCCTCGGGCCAGTGCTTTTGAAACGCCCGAGTCTGCCGCCCATTTTGTGGTTGCTAACTTGCTATCAAAGCCCACTTGAATCTGGCTCTGGCCCACTGCGGGACCCCCAGTCAATCCTCCAGTTGACCGGGGTTACTTTTCTTGGGGGCCCCTCTATGAAGCTCCTACAGGCTTCCCGCAAAAAGACGTGACGACGAGGTTCCCAAGGTTCCAGGATGACGAGCAGGACGAGCGATTTGACGCCAAACCGGGATCGAATTAGACCAGACTGATGGGTCCCAGCAGGTTAATCCCTCCTTTGCGTCCTTTTCTGGCCCTCATTGGGCCATTCAGGTCTATACATTACCGCACGACTCAGCCTGGGCAGCTCTGGCGAATAACTCGGGTAACATGCCCTGCAACATCCGAGCCATTGATATCAATTGAATTTCCCTGGCAAGTGGATAGCGAGGAGAGAAACTCGTTACCCTCAAACCTCAGAGCTTCCGCCCTGACGGGGATCGTCGTCACACCCCGTCATCCCATTCTCTTGGCTCCAGTTATCTTATCACAGCCGCAAGCGTGTGCCAACAGCTGGCAACAGCTCCTCGCTAACGGCTGTGCGGATCTATCATCAACCGGGCACCAATTGGGGCTTGCAGGACGCCCTATCATTTCTATCGCTCTATCAGGCCCCGCTATGTTCCCTGCTCTTCTCCTCCATCCTTTCGTACTTTGGCACTTCAACGGCCCAGCATTGCGCGGAGATGCATGAAAAGCAACACGACAAGGCTATGTCCCTCCCCCGGCAAATGACGATAACGGCTGCCCCTCTTTCTTTTGCTACAAAGCATGTTTCGGAGTCATTGAACGCCACTATGGGCGGGGTCAAATCAGCAATCAGCGAGAGTATCTAGATGCATGCGCAATAGCCGTTGTTTTCTTTTTATCGGCTTTGCTGTCAATGGCTGTAGATTCTATAGATACTGTAAATTGGCAGTGGGTTTGCAGAGCTCGGAAATTAATATAATCGAGATATGTACGTTGTATGTACATACAACTCCCGACGTCCCGAGTCTTTTTCGACGACGGGACTTTGCGGGTATCGGGTCACATGACCAATATCCCTCCCAAAACGGACTAGCCTGAATGCCCCTCCGTCCCCGCGTACTCGCGACCGAGACGCAAGGTCTAGACGAGCAAGCTCGGATTTTTCGCTCCTTTCCAATTTGCCCCTAGTGAAACCATGGCTGAGGTGGCAGATTCAGGCCCGGTCGAGCCACAGGCCCGGCATATCGTGTATTGCGGAGGTAAGTGACACCCTCGTGGCCTGGATGGTGGGCTCTCGCGAGCCCCGAAGCTGTCGCTCGGCAAAGCCGTGTATGAAAGAAAGCAAAAGAGCTAACGGAATGGATTCCGACAGTGTGTACTCTGCCTCCCGAGGTAAGAAGAGCCAGCCTTACGTTTCTTTCCGAGAAATATAGTCTGCGATGGACGCCGATTGACGCTAATGGATATAGTATTGCGAATTTGGCGGAACAGCCAAGAAGTGCGAGGAATGGTTGAAGGAGAAGCACGATGACCTCTGGACTCGGTTATACTCTGATGGTATGCACGGATAGTCGGCCCTGTCATTCCGTTACTGCATAAGCAGACAATTACCTACGTGGACGGACATCTTGAGGGGATATCTTATCTGACAAACTATTCTTTGCTAGATTCGTTGAACGCCAACCTCTCCGCCCTCTCCGTCTCCGCCCAAGAACGTGCCGCAAAGGATGCCGCAAAGAAGGAAGCCAAGGCAGCTCAGAGCGAGGCCCGCGATGCCGAGCGCAAGGCCGCCTCCAAGATTCAGATCAAGCGCGTCGAGCGAAACAAGCGCAAGCACGTAACGGTCATTATCGGTCTTGAGATTTTCGGACTCGAGAACAAGAAGCTTGCTAAGGAATTGGGCAAGAAGTTTGCGACTGGATCGTCGGTCACTCGATCGCCCGCGGGCACGGAGGAGATTACCGTGCAGGGTGATGTGAGTGAGGATGTGAAGGAGTGGCTGTTGGAGGTCTACGGTAGCAAGGTGCCGGAGTCCAACATCGAGCTGATTGAGGACAAGAAGAAGAAGAAGGCTGAGGCATGAAGGAACTCTAATGACGACAATGAATCTATAGCGGATAGGGTATCATGACATGACCAAATTAAAAGTACAATAGAAACAAGATAACGCCCAGGAATCAACGTGCAGTGAGAACGTAGACCACCGCAGATGGAAGGTTGCGAGGAAGAAACAGTGACGAAGATCTCATAGCTCATCAAGTAGTTTGAATGGATCGTGTTCTGTTACCGCATCGTCTTCTTCGGCCCAGGAGCTTGCGCTAGCCGAGGCACTTGGTGCCGCCTGCGCATGCTCAAGACTTTGTCGTCGATCTGCGAGACTCGACGGGTACCAGGATGAGCCCGATTCGCTTTCCTGGTCACTCGCCTTCAACACCGACTCCCAAATATCGGGTAGATGAGCAGAGCCAGGGGAAGACTCATTCACCAGCTTCGCCAGTTCCGTTGGTACTGGGACCATATCAGGATGGGGCGAGCTGATAGTTGGCCAATTCTGCAACACCAGAGCTAGCACCAGCACCAAGAACGCACTGCTCACGATACCCCAGAAAATGCGTAACCGACGACTGGTGCGAGTCTGCCACTCGGCCTCTCTTTCCTCCCAGCTATCAATCTGCCGTCTCACAGCTTCAAGACGCTTGCCCAGCTCCTCTGCTCGTTGCCGGCCTTTTTTCATGCGCTCGTCCAGAGCATCCGCTTTTCGAATCTGCGGTTCAAACCCTTTAAGATCATTGATCTGCTTGCGAATCTCCTGGTCCAGGCCGGCCGTTTCACTTTCAAAGTCATTGAGCAGGGTCGAGCCCGAGTCGGAAAGTTCCTGGAACAAGCCAATAGTTGAGTTGAGCGAAGTGATCTTCTCGAGCAAATTATAGTATGTGTAATCCAGTCGTCGAGTCAAGTCCGTCGCAAGGGTCCCTATAGAGGAGAGTGCGGATCGTAGATATCTAAGAGCACCATCATCAGCCCTATGCTCAGCTCCACAATCGCCGCGTCATCATGTAGAAGGGCAAGGGTCCTTCGTACTCTTCACCTTGCTTCCGTCGCTTCTTGACCTGCTCCAGATCCTCCATCGATTGAATCTCTTGCCGTCGAATAGGACCCAGCCGCTCATGTTGCTCAGGCGTATCGAGGAGACTACCCCTCCGACTCCCAGAACCCAACCCACTCGTAGAATCCGATCCCCAACGAGACCTAGTCGTCTCCCGCGTAATCGGCCTCAGTAACCCATCATCACTCTCGCGCTCTTTATCCCTACCACCAGACCAGGTAGGTAGCAGGCCACGCGCGCTAGCCGAGGACGCAAGATGGCTCATGGGGCGTGGTAATCGCAGTTCCCGCGATTTGCTATGCTTGTGTCGATGATGCGACTTCAGGCCATCAAAGCCCGGAAGCTCCACTTGCCTTGCAAGTGATCGGGTGCGGGCGTGCGCGAAGGACTCGTCGGGAGAGTTGGGATGGTCGCGACCATGATGCTGTCGATAAGGAGGGTGTCCGGATGAGCGGCGGTTCGTCAGGGTCTCGTTGCGGGCTGCAAACGGCTCGTCGAGGGTGGGTTGGTCATTGGATCGGGGAGTGGAGGACCCATGGGTCAGCGGGAAAGTGGCGGAGGTCGCTCTGGAGGTTGATAAGGGGAGTGGAGATTTGAGGTGGTGCAAGTCCATGTCAGCATATCAACATGATTGAATTATCAAGTGTATTGGTTAAGTTTGAGGAGTAAGAGAAGAAGAGGAAGCTTCGTTGGGCTAAGGTTTGAGTCTGAGAGGCGGAGGAGGCGCATGACGCCAAGTCGAGAGGATCGGCGGCCAAGTTGCTCTGCTTCATACACCACAAGTACAATAGGCAATCTAGTGGGAACATGCATATCAAGTACAGTTACTGTCTTTGTATTTACACTTTCTTTTATTGCATTAATCAAGAAAACTGCGTCATATCAGTTAGATCATTTTTTCTAGATATCTTACCTCAAGATCTTCCGAGTACTGTTTTGTCCGAAGTGTATCTACCCTTTCGTGGATCAACAATCAGTTATTGATCATTTAGGAAGTAAGTTGATAGCGACTCGACCGGCTGATTACTTCCTGAATCTCTGCCGTTGAGGTTATGTACTACTCAGACGCCTTCTCTCATTGTCCACTATCGGCCCCAGCTGCTTGGGAAACCCCGTGGGGACATGTCTGGGGCCGCGATCTATGTAGATCAGCTATCATGCTAACATGTAATGCAACTACAGGTAGTTAGAGTATGCAATTGTCTCGGTTGATATATCGTAATAACTAGTCAAATCCCTTGGAAACCACTCCTAGAGAACGCCGGTGACCCAACCACCCACGCCCGATGGTCGGGTCTTTTCTCCCAAGTAGCCCAACAGTACTTGGGCTGGGTGGTATATGTACATGCAAGTTGGTGATATGATGAACGGCAACAGTGATAAACCCGACACTGTGCTCTGGTCTTGTCTTCGTATCCTTAAGAGCTGAGCAGCTTGTTGCGCTTCTCACGGCGCTTCAGGCGCTCGACGCGCTTGGCATGCATCTTCTCTGCCATCTTCTCGTAGCGAGCCTTCTCCTCCTTGGCAGCTCGCTTATCCTTGATGCGCTGGATGTGGGCCTGTATGGGAGAGGAAGTTGTTAGGTACCATGGAAGAAGGTGACGGTGAACAATTGAGATGGGGACGGGAGATGGTTCGATCAATCAATGGACAACCAGGACAAGTAGGTATTATGTTGAGAGGGAATCATAAAGGAAGATGGAAAGTGGAATATGATGGCATACCTGACGCTCGGCTTTCTTCTCTTCCTTCATCTCACGTTCGCGTTCCTTATTAGCATCATGCTGCTTGCGGACCTCCTGACGCTTAGCGTAGGATGTCAAGCCGGCGCTAGGGCGGAAGGCCTTCTTGGGAGTTTGCCATTTCTTGCCTAGAAAGGGGAAAGAGTCGGGTGAGTCGGGAGATAAAGACCGAGAGTAGTGGAGAACCCTCGGGTTCCTGGTAGACTGACCATTCTTGCGCATGCCCGTGGCCAGGGCCGTCGCGGGGGTGGTAGCTGGGGTTTGGGTGGTAGACGACATGATGTAGAAGATACCCTGGCAGATGCGATGACTTGACAGGACCCAGGAGACCCAACAACAGCAAGACAAAGGGTCGAAGGGATCGAGAACAGAGGGCCAGAGAGGAAATCTGATCGCAAATCTCGTGGACCCGGCGCGCGGGCGAAAATTTCACCGGGAGATTATCTGATCGATAAAATGTCTTGGCGCTGGGCGCTAACATTTTCTTCACTCGGGCAGCCACTCTCCAGTCTTCTCTCGGCCTCGCTCGCTCCACTCTTCCTACGCACTTCTCTTCTTCTTACTCCATCCAGCCCGACGCCTGGCCTGTTCCTCCTGTCAAAGGCGCCGATTCCGCCCTAAAATCCCTGCTTTTCGTCACAGCAGGCGGGGCTTGGCTACAGCAAATCGCTCGTTTTCACCGCCCCTCCCCCCACCTCAACTCCGAGACCGACTCGGACAAATCGCTCACTTAAATCTCCCTCGACACGCCGACATACCCTCTCTGACTTCTTTTTTGCGAATCATGCCCCTGCGATAACCCGTCTGTACGTGTCTGAGTGATTGTGGGAAGCCTTGATGGCGGCAGCCGAGCATGCGATCACGATCAGCGATGAGTCAGTGGCAATGGAGCTGCCAACTCTTCCGCCCAACCAGGGCCTTGAGGCGATGAAAGATATCGTCTTTGGATCGGTGAGTGTTGTTTAATGTCTTGTCGGTAATGCAGGCAAAGAGACTGACCGTGAGTCACGATTTTCAGGCGGCTGGAATGGCAGGAAAACTCATCGAATATCCCTTCGACACGGTCAAAGTCCGACTCCAATCCCAACCAGAACACCTCCCTCTTCGATATTCCGGACCAGTGGACTGCTTCAAGCAATCCTTCCAGGCAGATGGGTTCCGGGGCTTATACCGGGGCATCAGTGCCCCTATGTTCGGGGCCGCAGTGGAGACTAGCTGTCTGTTCTTCAGCTACCGCGTCATTCAGGACATGCTGAAGGCTACAGTATTTCCCGGCGTGGAGCAATTGCCTTTTGCGGCTCTCCTTGCCAGCGGAGCGTTGTCGGGCTCCGTCACATCCCTAGCTCTCACTCCCATTGAGCTCATCAAATGCAAGATACAAGTCCCTCTCGAGTCCGCAGGGCACAAGCCCGTGGGACCACTTGCCATGGTCGCACGAGTGTTCCGCGAGGAAGGCCTGATAGGGTTCTGGCGTGGCCAGCTGGGCACCTTGATCCGAGAGACTGGTGGTAGCGCCGCCTGGTTTGGTGGCTACGAGGGTGTCTCCTCCCTGTTGCGCAGCTACTCCCAGTCTGGTGCCCCGGAGTCAGAGGCTCTCCCGCTCTACCAGCAGATGATTGCCGGAGCCTCGGCAGGTATCAGCTATAATTTCCTATTCTACCCGGCGGACACCATCAAGTCGCGCATGCAGACGGCCGACATCTCGACTCTTGCCGCCAACGGGGAGCGGCAAACTTTTGTCGGCGTCGCGCGCGCACTATGGAGGCAGCAAGGTCTGAAGGGCATGTACCGCGGGTGCGGGATCACCTGTGCTCGCTCGGCGCCCAGTTCAGCCTTTATTTTCTCCGTCTATGAAGGATTACGATCGTACTTTGGATGAGCTGCTTTAGAGCATGTTTTTTGCATATAGAGTATCGACTGTTGGATCGGTTGATGTTGGATCTGGACGCACATATTTACCTATTTACTTCTTTGTTATTTGTCTCCTGCTTTTATACCCTCGATATCACCCCAAAAAAGAAAGTGTTTAATTTTAGTCTTCTATTCTCCATCATTCTCTTCGACTACTCTTGCTATCTGCTGTCATAGCTGTAGTATCTCTTCATCGGTCATCGATAAGCACGCTTTCCTAGGGAAAGCCTTTACATACTCAATGAGCGTTAAGGCATTGGACAGGGATCGAGTGTAAAGTAATCCATGGTGTTTGACACTGCTACTTCGTGATATCATTTCACCCACTTGCAAGAACCTTGACTCGTTGCATTCGCTGAATAGACACGATCCTTTAAGATGAACGTGGAGCAACAGCGTCAGCCCCAGTAACTGCGACAATACTCATCTCTCCATGTCCACCTTGTTCAGCAGCGGTCAAGAAATCTTTCACGGTGAGACTGAGCCCTTTTTCACTCAGTAGATCTTCCCCCTGGCATAGTGTCCCTCGTAGCAGGGGTCCATTCATGCCTCCATTCAACTCCCACACCTGCCCATCTTCCTGAACAAAAGCCACGAAATGATGATTGTTCTCGTCCCGAGGCGAGGGGGCAGTCGAGGATCCGCGCGAGGCCGCATCCATATGAGCCTCTTCGAGAAACTTAGAGTCGTAAAGTAATTGAGCTCGCTCCGTGGGACCTAGCTGAATAGCTTGCTGGATGAGGTTGTCTAGCTCCGACCCCGGAGTAACATATCGACGACCTTCCAGGTTAAAGAGTATGTGCAAAAGCGCCATCAGCCCGCAAGCATGTCCGATGGTCTGTCTCATCCATAAAACTGGTTCGTTGGGACCTGAACTGTTATATTCTGGGATTGTTGGCTCAATCGCCGAGCGGGCAGCGTTGTAAATCGGCGTGTGGGCGAGTAGAATCAAGGCATGACAAGGTCGGGGATACCACTCTCTAACAAACTCCGGTGACAGAGAGAGGACGTCATGGAATGCGAGATCTGGTGAGATACTAAGATTTCTGCAAAGAATTTCCAGTATATCGGGATTGTTTTCTATACGTATTGCGTCGTCAGTCTGTGTCTTGTTCTCCGCAGGGAAGAGATATTATGCAACGCACCGAGAGGAATGAAGGTCTTGCAACCATCAACGATCTCTGCGGAGGGAGCCGTAGACATATTGAAGGTCTCTTTACTGATACAAGTTTTGATGTTTACCAGACGGCTCTGATGGAAAGGTTTGATGGAGACGTCAAAGCGGGGGATGGACGGACCGAGCTTGTGAGGTTGTAAAGTTGAAATCTCCCCCGCCTTTGCTGGCATAAAATCAACGTCTCACTATGATTACTTCTTTCCTCCCAGTGGGAGACTAATTGTCGCGCATTTCAAAGAGTAAAGACACCCAAAATTATCCAGACAATTAATTACGAGTCGTTCTCGCGACTGTTTGTATTCAGGGACATGAATACCAGCCACCCAACTCAATCACAGCACGACTACATCCCTGGTCTTACTTTCTGGTTGCATTAAACCATAGGATATCAACGTCTGCTGGTTAATTATGACGGGTTATCACCTCGAATAGTCGCTTGGCCCCTTCGGCTTCGACAGGCCGAACCAATCTGCTCGATGGAGCCCGCTAACTCCCCGGGTCCTCAAAGCATGAGACAAGCCAGCGGTTGGCTCCGCTCGACAATTCACTTGGAATTTCTGGAGCTTTGCCTTTGTTGAAGAATATGATTTACACACAGATCATTCATCATCTTTGGTGAAATTTTGAATATCAGAAGGCTAAAACGCCATGTCACGATCCCATAACCAGGCCACTGAGAACGCACTTTGTACGGCATATCAATCCAACAGTCATTAGCCTCGGACTCCAGTAAATGCTTCTGACTACCAACCATGGAGCTCATAAAAGTCATCAACTGCCGACAAACTCCACTCATCCCAGTCCTATGCAGCCCTATGGACACCAGGCATACGTAGAACAACTCCGGCAGTGGGCCATTCGGTCCCCAAGACCCACCGACAGGCCCTGGAAAGCTTGACAAAAGCTAGGCAACAGTCACAAAGCTTGAGGACCTCGCGATAACTTCGGAACTTGGATGTCAACCCTCCCAGGGTCCTCACCAACGCGTCTATAAGATGGGCAATGTTAATCTCCAACATGGACTTTTCTATCCAGGGACCATCTCAATCACCAAGCGAGCTTGACATTCGAGACGTGGATTCATCATGTCGTCCTTCGATCCTACCAATGCCAACTTGAACTCTGCCAGCAAGGAGGATGTCTTATGCTACCTAGCCATCGAAGAGAACCAGTACAATGGCCATATGGGCGCACGCATCTCCTCAATCTTCGTGATTCTCTTCGTGTCTTCTGCCTTCACCGTTTTCCCAGTAATCTCCAAGCGAATGACGCGATGGAAGATTCCTTTCAGCGTATACATCTTTGCCCGATACTTCGGCACGGGTGTCATCGTTGCCACGGCCTTCATTCATCTCCTGGATCCAGCCTACAAACGAATTGGCCCAAAGACTTGCGTCGGCGTATCAGGATATTGGGGTGAATATTCCTGGTGTGCAGCTATTGTTCTAGCTACAGTAATGGGCATCTTCCTTCTCGATCTAGCAGCCGAAGTCTACGTCGAGCACAAATACGGTGTGCATCGAGACGAAGGTGCTACAAGCGCTTTCATCCAGCATGAACATCACCTCGACGTACAACCTGCTCCCGATGCCGAGAAGACTGTACAAGCATACAACGACGAAAAAAAGAACCAGACCTCCGGCGAAACCGACTCAACCATCGCTGAGCGATCTTTCCGGCAACAGATAGCTGCTTTCCTCCTACTTGAGTTCGGTATCATCTTCCACTCCGTCATCATTGGTCTCAACCTTGGTGTGACCGGTTCCGAATTCGCAACCTTATACCCGGTCCTTGTCTTTCATCAATCCTTTGAAGGATTGGGTATCGGCGCCAGGATGTCTGCCATTCCATTCGGCCATCACACCTGGCTTCCCTGGATCCTGTGTGCTGCCTACGGTCTGACAACTCCGATTTCGATCGCCATTGGTCTAGGAGTTCGGCACACGTATGCTCCAGGTTCGAAGGTGTCATTGATTATTCAGGGTGTGTTGAATGCGGTCTCGGCCGGTATTTTGATTTACACTGGTTTGGTTGAATTGCTTGCGAGGGACTTTTTGTTCGATCCCTGCCGGACTAAGCGCCGCTCTCGGCTGTTGTTTATGGTTGCGTGTACACTGTTGGGTGCTGGTATCATGGCTTTGATTGGAAAGTGGGCTTGATTTGAAATAAGTAAAGAATGTATAGCATAAAAGTTATAGTGGCAACATACAAAGGGCCGAGTGCCAATGAGTCTCTGAATTCTCAAGCCAGCCACTCTCGTCTCGAATTCACTTTTAAAACCTAACTTGTCTGCAGCTTGGCAGCTCCACTGTTGTGTAGAACCTGAAGCTAGAGAATGCCCTTTGGGCCTCAGGCTCGGACTGAGATTGCTGCATGTGGAGGTTCGGAGAGACACAACTAGGTGTTACGGTGGGCATCGCAGATGGTGTATGAAAGAAAAGGGTTGAGAAATTTCAATCTGAAACGTAATTTCAAAGATTGTCGAAACATTGGTATGGTTATGAAGCTTCCAATTAAGTATCTCAACCTACAAATTTGGGGACCAGCTTTGAAGGAATATATCTCGGCGAGTCCTGATCTATATCCCCGCACCTCAACAATGCCCTGCCCAGAAACCCCTCTCTACCATCGTTGTCACCAACCAGCGACAAACCGAAAATAAACAATAATAAAATAAAGATATAGCCAAAACCATGTCCTTACTTCAAATCTCAAACCAACCAAGCAACGAAAGAACCAAATTAACCCCTTAAAAGTACACCCCGCTGATAAACGCGATAAGCCGGACTATCGCAGTATCATCCCCGCCTCCTCCGCACCTCGCGCCCTCCACTTCGCCAACGTAACCACCTTTTTCCTTCTTCCTTTGACTTCTTCTTTCCACCCCAACAATCCTCTCCACCCACAATGCCACCCGTCGCCACCCCCGTAACAGCCCAAGAGCTCCAAACGCTCTCTACAAAGGCGATAGACGCTAAAGCCGCCGCATACTGTAAGTACCTACCGTCGCAACGAAAGCTAGCTAGAGCTAGCTAGTAGCTAGGCTTTACAGCTAGCCAGACCCTCTTTGCCTAGTCGCATCCATACTAACAACCTTTCTAGGCCCGTACTCGAAGTTCCGTGTTGGAGCATGCATTCTCACTGCGTCGGGCGAGTTCGTTGTCGGGGCTAACGTGGAGAACGTTGCTTATCCCGTTGGAACATGCGCTGAGCGTGTTGCGTTTGCTACTGCTATTGTATGTCCTCGATTACCTACCCAGTTCATGGCATCTATAGTCTATGATCTACCGAATTGTTCTCTAAGCTAATTTCACGTTTCTTAGGTGGCCGGGCACAAGGAGTTCCGTGCTATTGCCGTTGCGACGGATATCACGCCCGGTGCGTCGCCGTGTGGAATGTGTCGACAGTAGTATGTTTTCTTCCCTCTGTGATACGAGTATCTACGGCTTTTCTGGAACAGTCTGGACTAATACTCTATCTAGTATGCGCGAGTTCACTACGCCTTCGTTCCCGGTGTATATGTATGACGGAGAGGGGAAGTATACCGTCAAGACGATGGGCGAGGTATGTTAGCTATTACTAGTCCTACTCATCCTTTCAGTTACATATATCTTACTAACTATGACTACAGTTACTGCCGGACTCCTTCGGCCCAGATGACCTGCCGAGATAAGTCAGACGTGAGTATCAAGCTTCCTTACCGGGGGAAGTAAACCACCCAGCGAAGCAAAGTAGGAACCTAGTATGGAGAATAATAGTACGCAATTCCGTTCAAAGCCAAAATTCCCATTAATGGTCATGATTTATAAGATAAGGAAAAACCAAGCAGAAAAGAAAACCAAAACTCTTTCTATATCTTTGCGCCCCAAGGCGTCAAGAATCTGGACCAAGAGAAACATGATTGTCTCCGGCGCCAGCAAGATATGCAGTACATAAACAGAAAACGAAAAGTAGAATAAAAGAGACAGAAAAGACAGAAAGGAGAAAAAGAAAAAAAAGAACATCCTAAATCCAAACATATCGCGCTCATAATGTCACATCAAGTAATTCCAATCAGATCAGCCAAAAAGATCAGACAAAAAGATCAGACAAAAATCTCAGACCATCAATTTCCACCCCATTCTTTTGTCCTAAGTCGTGATTGTAATCATCTACGCCTCCTCGTCATCATCGAGATCATCCGCACCAAGCAATTCATCTTCATCATCGACGACATGTGTATAATCACCACGACGCGCGGCAAATGATCCCCTCGTCGCATATGGTCGCTGATATCCACGGCTGCGGGCACGCACGAAGCCACTAACACTACGCCAAAGACTCATAGCAAGCATGGGGAGTGCCTGAGCCACAGCGACAGCGCCCGCAATAATAGTAACGGGCACGGCGACGAGGAGAGAATCCCGGGCAAGCCAGCTCTGGCCCGATGAGCTGCCGGACTCGCCAAGGCGAATCTGGCCGAACTTGCCGTCCCAGCGGGTATAGACGAAGTAGCCAAAGGCTGAGGCGGCGGCAATAGGAGTGACGATGGCGAAGAAGAGGCCGACGCCGCTGATACCGTGCTTGCGCTCGAATTCCTTCTCTTTGTTGGGGCAGGCATGTGGCTGGAGCTTGTCGAGCTCGTAGCCGCCTTGACAGGTTGTCTGGGGAAGACGGCGGTAGCCGGTGGGCTCCCAGTACTCGACCTGCTCAGGGTCGTCCTTGCATGAGAGGCTGTGGTCGGGTGGTTGGAAACCGGGTACAAGACCACAGCTACCGTCGCTTTGAATCTCGTAGTTGTAGTCACTGATAATAGTTAGCGAGTCTGAGCTTTCCCCTTTCAACATGCAATGCTTGCTTACCATTCAAAGTCTGCACGGGAACAAGTGCAATTCGAGCCCTCGACCCGGTGCACATGGGTATCGCGCCAGTTCACCCAGCACTCCTTCTCGGGTTTCTTCCGGTGGTACTGCTCCACATGGCCGAAGAGGCAGTTGTCATCCTGCAGCGGGTGTTTGGGAGTCCACAGATAGTAATCATTGCTAGTCTCCTTTCCATCAGGCGGCGCACACTCGCGATCCCAAATTCCGCTAAAGTCGATGGGAATAGTGGCAAAGCGATTAGAGGACTTGGGCTCGCGAACCCACAAGACGAAGCTCTTAGAAGTGTCCGAAGGAACGGTCGAGATGTCTAGGACGATCACTTCCGTATCGGCGAACTGGAACTCTGACCAGGACCTGCCCTCATCAAGACTGTAGAAGACAGTATTGGTAGGCTCCAGCTCGCGCACGAGCACGATGATGGAACCCGAGTCGCCAAACTCGAACATGTAACGGCCCTTCTTGACCTGGTCCCAGGTGATACCGCCGTCATTGCTCAGGAATGTACCGACATCTTCACTGTCAGCACTCTTCAGATATTCACCAACATTACCAACACCAATGAGTACGCCGATAGCGGAGCCAGAGTAGAAGGTATCCCGCCAGTCACGACGCTCAGTATAACTGTGAAGATGCAGCGCACACCCCTCGATGCCCTTGCCCTCAAAAGGAGAGCAGCCGAACTGGTTGCCCTCGGCATCCTTTATAGGGGGACTAAGCAAAGCCCATTGACCACCGTCGTTATGAGTAATCACCGAGCGCAGCTTCTTGCTCGAACCCTTGTTCTTGACATCGTCGACATTCGCGACGACATTAGCCAGAGCGACGCCCTCGAGATTAGCGACTTTCTCGAAATCAACATAGCCGCGGTCATCCACATTCACGGCTGACAGACTCGAGACAAAGTAGGTGCCGTTGCTGTTACTCTTGACCAGCTGGCCGTAGCTGTGGCCTGCTTCGGCACTGATCTGGACGAACAGGAATAGGGCATCCGTAGAACCGGGCAGCACGGTGTATTGCTGGACATCGACGTTGATGGGGAAGTTGGCTTGCGCAAAGACGCGGCCGTCCATACTGGTGCTGACATTCAGGTACTTGTGCTTCTCAGTCGGGAAGGTGGCCACGACGATGTAATCATTCATGGTGACAAAGTGGGCGATATTATCGTTGATAACCTTGCGGTCACCGAACCGGTTATCCTTGGAATCGCTGGACACAAGCTGGCGGTTATACTTCTTGCTCTCCTTCTCATACTGCTCGCAAAGAACAAGATCCTCGCTATCCTCGCGGCCATTGTGGTAGGCAAAGAGACACTGACCAACGCCACGAAGGTCGGGGCCTTCCCAGTCCGCACCGCGGTTCTTGGTGAAGTACGCATCGGGAACACAGTCACTGCCCTTGCACTCATCATTGCCCATCCAAATCATCCAGTCCATGTATTTCTCATGGAAGGCCAATGGGTTGGGATCGCCCTTTTCACGGTTCGCCAAGGAAGTAGGCAGCTTGAACTTCTTGAAAGTATCACCACGGTTGATGGTCGAGTACGCGGTGTCACCAGCAGTCAAGAAGTAAGCACCATCGCTGTAGTAAGGGTGCTGGACCATGCCGACAATCACCTCACCCTTGAGCTCCTTGGGCTGATCCCAAGTCTTGGCGTGGTCGTGAGTGACAAACACCTCATTCTTACTAGAGAGCAGGAAGATAGTCTCGTCATCTCCCGAGTTACTCGTTTGGCGCTCCAGATAGAAGTACTCCAGGTCAGTGCCGGCGAATTCGTGCGCGTTCCCGGCATGAACCTTGCCATCACCACCGCCGATGCCACCACCAGGAGAGCCCGTGGCATCATCACAAGAGCGTTCAATCTCTTTGTCGTAGTTCTTGCCATCCGTGCGGCGACAGGTATTTCCAGGGATAAGTCGCCAGCCAGAGGGGCCCATGAACTTGTCGCCTTTATTCCCACACGTACCCGCAGGGGGAGCAAGAGGCACGGCTGGTACGCACTCGTTCTGTTCGTTGCGCTTAAAGTTGTAGTCACACTCAAAGTCTTCCTTGGTACAGTCGCACGGCTCAAAGATAGGCGGGTCCAACTTGTCCTCCATGATGAAGCACTCCGCATCGGCCTTGCGGCGCATGAACTTCTGCTTGTGACCCATCAAACACTTGGGTTTCCGGTCCTCATCGAGGAGGGCCCACCAGGGCTCGAGGTCGTCCTTGGTACACTTGCGCTCGTGGAGTCCATCAAAGTCAATCGTGTAGATGATGTAGCCCTCCTTCTCACTGGACTCGCCGACAATCAAGAATTTCAGACTAGTCGCTTCGGGGGTGGTCGTGATATACAGAGGCTTGATCTTGTGCTCCAGCTTAATAGCATCTTCCCAGTCCTTGCCGTGGTTGAGGGAGTATTTAACTTTGTCGGTCTTGCCATCGTCGCTAATAGCAACAATGACACCACCTTGATCACCGAATTTGAAGTGGTGAGGCCCCTTGAGCGCGCGGCGCCAGGTGAGACCCGCATCGTCGGAGACGTACAGGTCGCCATCCGAGTACTTCTTGAGGTGGTCGCCAGTATTACCCACACCCATCACGATACCCGGCGCGGGGCTGGAGAACATGCGGCCAATGGGAAGCTCGTGCATAGAGTCGTAGGAGGTCATGGAGTGCAAATGGAGGACATCACCATCGGCTTTCAGAGGCTGGAACGTTCTGCCATCATCGAAACTGATGCCACTGACAAGTTTCTTCTCTGTCTTGTCAGACTCCTCCACTTCCTCCCAATTCTTAACCGTATTCACAATCACAATGCCCTGAATATCGGCGACCTTTTCGAAATCAACGAAACCGTTGGCATCTCTGTTGGTGTGCTCGATGTTGGGGGTGAAATAGGTTCCATTGGAGTTGGACGAGAACAGCACGCCGACACTATTCTTATGCCAGGTCGTCTGCACATCGACTTGGATACTGTAATTGGTGCTCTCCAGAACGGTGTACGCATCCTGTTCGATGCGATGTCCACGGAACTCAGCACGGTGCCATTCCTTCGAGTCGTCACTGATATAAAGCGCTTGTTCAGTGGTACCCTGCGATTGTAAACCAACCACCAGATACTTCTTCACGGAGCGCGCAATGATCTGGCTACCGGTAACAGGTCGTCCACGGTCAAGATTAACCTCGGTACCATCTATACCATTTTGGAAATAATCATTCGAAGAAATCAAACGCTCAGAATGCATAGGGCCCTTCAATCCCGGCACCACGCACAGAACGCGATCTCCAATATCCTCGGACAAATCAAGGTCGAATCCAAACTCGGGCGTGCCTGCGGCCCACATACACGAGTAGAACATCTCCTGCAGTGGGTTCCAAGTCTTAAAGTCATCCAGGGTATACCACGCCTTCGGCATGCACCCAAGGATACCAGAGCAATCCAGGCCCATGAAGATGACCTTTTTGGCGTCCCATCCATTAAAAGCAAGCGGTGGGGTACCGCGCTCCGTCATCATAGGCCGGGCGGGAATCTCAAAGGGGTGCCAACTCTCAGCCTGATCAGTGGTGATCCAATGCTGACCCTTCTCACCGAGAATGTAGGCGCGCTTCGAGTCGTACGGGTGCGGCCAAATAACGGCGGCCGCGCCCTCCATCTTCCCATCGGGGCCCTTGACGACTTCCCACTTCGAGCCTCCATCGAATGATACATGGGCGGTGTGTTTCTTATAGTCACGGTAGAGAACGGTTTCTGTGCCTTTGAAATAGAAAAGGTCGTAGGGCGCATGGTCGAGGACTTCCGTCGCGAGTTTGGGTTGGTCCCCCTTGGCCGTGGCCGGTTGTGCGGACCAAGCCAGCAACAGACCGACCACGAGCAGCAACCACCGAGGGATCATGACCGGTGGGATGTCGGCATCTGAAGGGGGGGGGGAAGAAGGTGGTAGGAGTAGTTGGAGTGGATGTAGCAGCCTAAGCTGCACTAGCGGGCCGGTCCGGGGTGCGCGATCTGAATGAGCGTATTGAGGGGAGTGCAGAGGAATCGAAAAGGTGGTTGACGCGAGACGAATTAGATCTGCCCTGCGCACTAGTGAAACTGGTCGTTGTCAATGAGCTAAGGAGAGAATGGTGATGGTATACGAGGAGGGAGCTGCGTGGCCTCAGCCTAGAGCTCCCCTGTCACGTGAAAGTTGGTCTTATCGCGCTATCGCAGAAAGCCTCCGTGCCTTTCCGCTCGGATGAACCATGGTTTGCACATCCCTTCGATCTACAAGTTGATCCACTTGCTACATTACAAGTATGTGTCAATGACATCAAGCATAATCAGATTGAGTCCCATGCAAAATGCATTGGTTGACTCGGCAGCCAAGGAGATATGTACAGAGCGCTGCAAACTGTGCAGAGAGAAAAAAAAAGTGTAGATACATGAAAATACCGGGCATGTTAGCCTCGAGTCCAAATCCAATCAAAGTAAACGCTGGGTTTAAATGCAGAGTGACAATGCACTTGGAAAAAAAAAGACGCCTTCCCAAGAAACACACCCCGGATATCAATGAGCGAATGATCGCGCGCTAAAAAGAATGACAGCAATGAGACCCCAGAACGTGAGGGAGAAAAAAAAGAAGAGCATGAAAGCAAAAGAAGGGGAGATTTGAATATGATTGGTGGGCTGTTGACAATCCTCGTCTAAACTCGTCGACGAAGTCTGCGCCACATCTTTTTGACCACCCCCTTGTCGTCCTCATCCGAGTCCCAGATCATCTGGGTACGATCGGCTGGGGGCAGTGCAGCCAGACGCAGCGGATCCTCTTGCGGGGAGGTTTGTGAAGGAGTGGGAGATTCGGTGCGCAGATCCGGGCGGGTAAGTGTCATTTTCAGGGTCATCTCCCGGTTTCCTGGGAGTCGCTGGGGACCCGTCTTTGAGCCCGGAAGGAAAGATTGATGCCGTTGCAGCAGAGCGAGACTATCCACGGATGGCCGCGAGGTTTCCCTAAGCTGAGGGGAGAGACGAGAAGCCGTTGGCTCTTCAATTGACCCGCCGGGAGTCCCGACCATAGTGCCATCATCATCCTCGAAAAAGGTCCCTGCCCAATCACTAGTCACCGTGGGTGACATTGGTGGATTGGAGCTGTGGTCCGGTACGATATTTTCCTTGTCCTGTTCCAAGGACGGGAATCCGAACTCGATGGCCTCGTCGAATTTCTGCGGCGAGGCCAGGTAGACGCGCAGCTTGAGACGGGCGTCGGGATCTTGATAGTATTGGGCGGCGGGGTCGATGCTGGAAGTGGAAGATTTGGCTGCATGTTGGATGGGTTGGTGGCGTCGAGAGCCTGGACGAGAAGAGGGACGTTGGCTGGGCGCAATAGTGGAGAGAGCTTGGAAGGTGTGGGCTGTCGGTAGAGTGCGAGTAGGCATCGACGGTGAGGGTCGATGTTGTCTCAGAGCGTGTGTTGAAAAGGACAAGGAGCGACGGAAGGATGGGCGACGACGACTTTTGGATTTGGCGGCGGCATCTGCAACGTGGGCATGGTACTCATCCAGAGACAAGTCCAGATCACCATCTTCGTCGAGCCACCGGAAGCTGTCGTAGATGGACTGATCCATGCTGTCGTCAGACTCGTACTCCGAGTCCGAGTCGTAGAAGACTGTGTCGGGCTGAGCTACTGGAAGAGTAGTCTCTGAAGGAAGACTGTCGGTGGAGAGACGACGGCGAGAAAACGGACGACGATAAAAAGCTTCGTCGGCAGCGTCAAGAATGAGACTTTCACGATAAGCCTGGCGAAGACGCAAACGTTCTTCGGGAGAGAAAAGCTTTTGTTGGATCTTAGCGGGGAGAGAATGGAAGCATTGCGAGTCTGCCTGGGCCACGAGATAGGCCAGTTGCAAGGAGCCCGGCTTGCGCAGTTTCCTAGGAGATACGGTCGAGCGCTTCTCCAAGCCACGACCTCTGGCGAGGGAAGTTGTCGAGGAGTTTCGCAAAGCACGAGAGCGAGAGTGAGAGCGAGAACGCGAGTAAGGGTGAGAGTGAGAATGAGGATGGTGATGGTGGAGGGGGCCAGACCCAAGACGAGCACTAGGGCGATAAGTGCGGCCGTGATAGTGGTGATTGTAGTGCGTGGAGCACGCAGGGGAACTGGGATCGCTCTGCGCTAGCCGAATGCGCAAGCGCTCGACATTCGAGAAGAACTGTTTGGGATCAGCGGTGTTTCTACGAGCATGATGTGTGGATGTTTCCACTCCATTTTGAGTGTTGAGTGGAGAAATGAGCAAATGGGAGGTGGGGGCCTAGTGAGCCGTGCGCCAAAACATTGGCAACTGGAGGAGGACTCGAGGAGACTCGACGGTGGGAAGAGAGTGAGAGTGAGAGAGGCTGAGGGTACACACTACACTCATAGGGGCCAAGTTTTGGCGCCATTGGGTGATAGTGTGGGTGATGGAGCCAAATGGCCTCCACTCGAGCGGTTCAGGGGGAAAAGCCAACGAACTTCAAGCGCCATCAAAGGGACCGTGATGGGCGCGAGCCGTGCGGCGGCCCCGAATGTGGAGAACCCGGCTTGTACAAGTGCTAGGCGCCATTGAGGAAAAAAGAAACGAGACTGCGTTGGCAGGTTGTGGAGGGTAAAGATGTGCAGGGTTTCCCAAGTGGAGACGTTGAAAGAACAAAGAAAGTCCCCGAGGGCAGTTGGGGGGAAGAGGAATCTCGTATCGAGCAGCCCAAATGGCTAGTCCGAGACTATCAATTTGACTATCGACGATCCGCTGCACGCCCCCATCCGCAAGGGGAAATGAGATGGGAAAAGAGAGGAACGAAAACGAGAAGAGAATCTCAGAGATAGGGAAAGCCCTTACCTTTCGTTGCACTGAAGGTGGCAGAGATCTCAGGTCCTCCTCGCTGGCGGCAGGGATCATGTTGGAAACCCGAAATGGACTGAATGGAATAGATGGAAGTATCGGGAGAATAGAGTAGAGAACTCGCAAGATGTGGGGGGTTCAAGACAGAGTCAAATCATAGAATATATGGAGACAACTGGGTCATTCAATCTCGATCTCGACAATACAAGACGAGCAAGATCAGTGTCGAGTATAGTAGAGAAAGGAAGGAGTAGTTAATAAAGAGTGAATAAGGAGCCAAGAATTCTCCGAGAAGCGCACGAGAATGTCAAGTGCAAGAAGAAGAAACGAGCTCTCCCATGCAGAGCACCCAGGACTATATAGCTCAAGTTGACTAGAGGGAAGTATTCCCCAGCCCTAATTCTCTCCTCACAAGCGCCCTCGTCAATTACGAGCAAGTTAGGTCCGGGTCTCCCATGTCTCTCGCTGGTCCATATGCCTAACATGGGAATAACGCCAACACATCGAAACAAAGAAAAGAGAAATAACCCCCCAAAAAAAAATCCACGCACGGACCGAGGGGATGGGATCGATCTATTTCGAGACCTGTCACTTTTTTACCCCTCCCCTAGAACTGGTGATCGCCTAACCGTCTCTAAAAGTGGAGAAGCGTCCATTCCTCCCACAAGACATACATACGGGATCAAGCACGGCATAAGCAAGTATATTACCTTCCAGTTGATCCAGACATGCAGCATGAGAATATGATCAGTCATGAACCCCTCGATGAACCGGTTTGTCGCAAACAATCGAAGATCCCACCCGATCCCTAGTCAGATCTATTTTCTTCATGGCTCGTTGTATTCTGTAGTTGTACCATTTCATTTCGGCAATTCAATTTAGATCTGTGCAACATTCAGAAACAATGGACCCCAGTCTCTCCAGCTTCTCTCTCACCCTTTGTATCTTATTCTCGGCTGGTCGCACCCAGCCCGGTGGAAAGTTGGAAGCCCCAGAGCAAGGGGCAAAGCCACTGGCAAAAGCTCCCTTACGAGGCCCTGGTACATACAAGAAGTACACTATCTACTCCGTACGCATGCACGGAGCACAAAGCAGGACCACCACCAAAATAGTCTAACATCCACACCCCACACCCCGTTTTTATCTTTGCGACTGGTCTTATTTCCTTTGGGGGCCGTTGCTCTGATCCTCTCCAATTCGAGAAGCCTAGCCCCCCCTCGCTCTCCCTTTCTCCCAGCCCTACCGGAACAAGGCGGGACTTGGGCAGCGAGCTGCAATAATAGTAATAATACGAGGGGGTGGGTAGGGGGAGGCAAAGAAAGAATAAGACGTGGGACGCCTTCCAGGATCAAAGGATTGGGAGATTACTGGCCAGCTTTAGAAGATCCACGTTCCTACGGAGTAGATTGGCTATAACTAGGGAAAAACTCTGGTAGAGCATCATGTACATAAGACGGCGTACTCCGTACATACTTCAATCTCGTTAGCCCAATGGCCAGTGGATTCTTTTTCAGCCCTGGATCGTCGGGTCTACACAGTTTTGGGCCGGCGCGAACTGAAACGGGTCTCCCAGCTGAAACGAGGAACACCGCTAATTGTTACTGCAAACTGGTAAACTGTTAGCGTTCGGGTCGGAGATTTCCAGGGTCCATTTGGTCGTTGGTTTTTAAATCCCGTCGGGCTTTTGGGATGCGGGGCAGACTGGAAGGGATGACTTTGGAAGAAAGTTAATTGAGCTATCCCTACATGGAGACTTACAGTACAGTATGTAGGTAGCAGTTTACCGTCGTACAGCAGAAGGCGACGAAGGCAAGGAATACGTTTGATCGACGGGAAAAGAAAGGAAAGGTGTCGAATGACGGAGCTTTTGGAACTTTGGAAACCATCAAAGTATGTATGTAAACGAGGAAACCATGGATCACTAAAAGTGTAATGATAGCGATCGTACCTGTCAGATGTATACGGTAGTGTTCGCCTTGGGGATCAGGACGGCAGAGTTTACCGAGGTCCACCAGTGGGTCAGCTCCAGATGACGACTTGGTCATATTGTACAGCAAGTCTGAGATACAGTAGACATTCTTATCATCTGTACATGGCAAGTGCAAAACTCAGGATATAGTGTAGCTGGTGTATAGACTTTTTAATATATATCTGCAGTAAGCGACGTGAGCTGTCAGACCGCCACCAGGTCGATCCCCATAGTACATACACTACTACACACAATACTCACACTTGACCGAGTACAGTAAATAGCTTCTGCAGCCAAAACTAAAGAACTAAATCCGGAATCATGTACTCCGTACTGTACAAGGTACAAGCACATGTGTACGTATAGTCCATGCAATCAATCACCTAGAACACTCCCGTCCAGACCTCCACCGAGGAACGAGTCACAAAGATAAAGAACGCAGCTTCTTGCACGATTACGCCTTTTCCACACGAAACTCGATTAGATCACACTAGTGCAATGCGCGTCAGAAACTGTCAAATGGGATGGGTCCTTATACGCCGCGCCATCGATAACCGGCCGCTCTAAGGAAGACGCTAGTCAACCGTCGGGTCCCAGGGGAGGGGGGCAGTAGACAGAGTGCACAAAGAATGAAAAATGAGGGTAAAAAAGGAAATAGAATGTCTATAACTGCAGTCCTACAGAAGATACACAATATCGTTGTCAATCGAGGGAAATGGGAAAGAAAAGTAGAAAGACAACCAGTAGTACAGCACCACTAAGCAAAGCCATGCAAACAAAGACCTCATGTCCGACACCAAACAGGCTCCACCATCAATCGGAGCGAGAAAACACAAGATTGGAAAAAAGAGTATCTAGAAGAGAAACGAGACAATATGACACGTCCCCGGGAAACGGGCTCGACTCGGACTCGATAACAAAGGGCAATCCTGGCGAGCATACTCGGACAAACCGGAGTCTTCCCGAACAAGGACCCTCCCTTTCTCATTGCTTCTCCCTCCCGCTCCTTACAAGGCATTCAGAACCTGCTGCATAGCCAGGGTATTCGAGTCCTCGCGACGCGACACGTACGCCCGCACTTCCTGCACACTCAATTTAGCCTCGATCTGTCCACCGGCGCTTCGACCAGGCCCAGTCGAGCCCCCCGTGGCCCCGCTAGCCGCACCACCACGGATACGTTCCCGCAGCGCCTCCACGCCAATGACGAACAAACTGCCGACTTCAAGGAGCACGTCCAGCGCGCCACCAGGACCCTTGGTGTCGTCGTCAATGTCCCACGACTTGAGCAGGTCGGCATACTGCGTCATGTCCTTGGTCACCATCAGCCCACCGGGACCGCTGACGGCAAACCGTTTGAAGTGCTCCAGTAGCAAACCACGAGTGCCAAGGGCAATCTCCGTTAGAACTTGACGAACGTTCGATCCGCTCGAGGGAAGGGAGGTGCGGGCAATGTTGTGCAGACGGGTGAGGAACGTGCAGATCGAGGCGCAAGTCTATTGATATGGTGTCAGTGATTTGCTTTTTTCTCTTTTCATATTGCTTCTTCGTTTGTTTCTTTTCGTTTCTTTTTCCGACTACTCTTCTTTTCCCGCGCTCGTGCTCGGAAACGGGAGATTTGTGCACAAGCAAAGAAGGGGAAAGAAGGGGAAACGGGATGAGAAGAAGCAAAGAATAAGGAGAAGGGAAAAAAAAACAAAGACTTACTGGTGTCTGCAACATCTCCAGCCATGCTGCACTATCGCTTTCCCGAGGTCGGAAATCGTTCTTTCTCTGGCCAGATAGCAGTCGACTGACCCATGCCAAAGTGGCATCGATCGTCTTCTGTTCTATCGTGTTGATCTTCTCCTCAATACGGGATGTGATCTGGGTAGTCCGTTTTTCCATATCTCGTCGAGTCGTGATACTGGCCGCAGCCAGGGGCAATAATACGGCATTGACACACATCACCATCAAAGTGGTGATGCTGATCGTCGTTCGCACAGACATAAGGTAGCCAAAGTCGGGTTCATTCTTTCCAGACTCTTGTGCGGTGGCCGCCTCCAAGGCAGCGTCGAGGCAAACGTCCACGTATCCATCACCCATGGTGGCCAGCAACAGAGTCAATAGTGCCGACACATCCTTATGAGTATCCGTATTGACACTCAGTTCTAGTCCACGGCCCACAGCTTCTGCCAGCCATTTGAGCATGCGCTTGGCATCGCCGAGGTTGGGTTGGCCCTCTTCCTCGGTGATTCTAATTTCCGTCAGTCTCTGAGTCTCGGGGACGTCGCCGACTTTGGCTACTTGAAGTAGCATACGGCGTTGGATGGGGGACATCTCTGGCGAGTCGAGCCGGCTGATAAACGCATCGCGAGTTGTGGACAGCAGCTCCGTGGTCCCGGGCCGGGCTAGGGAGGCCATGAATGTGGTAGCAGCCTTCTTCCGGCGAGCATGGTAAGATGTGAATTTGAAGAGAACTGCGTGGAAGAGCTCTTCCAGGGTGCGCTTCTCTCGTTCAATATATGAGGACCCGACAAAGTAAGGCACGAAGAGCTCTTCTAACTGTTGGTCCAGCAGCAGTGCCGTCTGAGAAGAGATGGGTTCTGGATGTTCAGTGAGGCCGTGTGCCTTCAAGTCGTCAATCAGGGCACTGATATAGCCCCGGGAGCTCTGTAGACACCGGAGGAAAGCCAATGACGAGACCCCACTGGCTTTGTCCAGGACCATCTCCAGCCGCTGCTGAATAGATTGCTGGAACACTCGCTGGAGGAACTTGCCCAACACTTGCTCGTAGTAAGGAAAGGCTCGTCGGATAATCGCAGACTCCTCTTGCACCACGACCTTGACCTCATCCAGCAAGGACTGTAGGCTCGGCTCAACACCGGGTAGCTCCGCATCGGGATCGGCCATCTTCTCCCACGACTCGGCATCACCTCCTACTTCCTCCGTAACCAATTGACTCCGGTCAATGAAGAACTGGTGCTGATTCACAAACAGCGCAATCACACTAGAACCGCCATTGAAATCCTGCAGCACCGTAGCGCAATCCTTCATGCCCTCGAAATTAGCCTTGCGGTAGAAATCATCAAACTGCTTGAGCAGATCCTTCTCCAACGTCTCCGAGAATTTCTCAATAATCTCCCGTGTATTCCGGCGCGGCGTGTTGTTCCCAGTACTCAAATCTTCCGACGAGGACGAATTGCCCCCGTAGTTGCCATTACTTGGCTTAGATGACTGCTGCCAGCTCTGCGGATCAAGCCGTTGACTGATGCGCAACAGCTGGCGCGCAATATGCGCAGAGCGAACCTTGGCCTCCGCCGTGCCTGACCGTCGCAGATTCTCCAACAGCGAAATCTCGCCGCGATTGCATACCCCGTCCCAGCACTCTAGCAAGAAGTGAGCATCCAAAGCCCGACGGCGCTGCCGATCCAGCTCCTCCAGTCGCCGACCCGTTTCCACTGCCATATTCCCCGTTCCTCCGGCATTTTCCAATCCCGCGCCATTCAGCGACGTGTCTAGCTGCTGGAACGACTCGATCGTCTGACGAAGCTTGCGGCCAAGCGTGGTCAGATTCTGAGAATGCTGAGCTTCTGCGCGCCTGACCGCAGCTGAAAGCTCATTCTCGCGAATCTCTAGATCTCCGGAGAGCTCCCCCAGGCGACGCTGGGCATGTTCAAAGGTGCGGATGAGGGGTTTGGGATCGAAGGGCTGATTCGGGGCACCGGCGGTTCCTGCGGCAGAGCGACGGTGGGAGATGGCGGTGTCGGAGAGGGCCTCGATGAATTCCTTGACGATAAAGTCCCGGCTGGAGAAATCCTCGAGTGTGAAGCTGGGGCCCTTGGGGAAGACGGAACGGGCGGGGTTCGAGGAGATTATGGATGCGTTGTCGGGCATCATGGCGACGGTGAGTGCAAGGGAGTCATATGGGGCCGCCTCAGGGCTGGCTCAATGTGGAATTGGCCTGCACAGCTTGATTGAGGGAGGGTTGGAAGGTGTAGGCCTTGGATTGTAGATTGGAGACTGGAGAATCCGGGGAAAGCTGGGATGCGCGGTGGTTTGAGGTTCGGAGGTGTGGGTAATTTCCACCGCGTTAGGGGGGGTGCTATTTCCACTGCGTAGTAGTTACATAGTTGGAAGCTAGTAGCAGTAATACGTAGTCCTCGAAGATATATATTTCTAGCAGCCTACGTATATTCAAAAAGACATATCGTTGAATTTTAAACTTGTTTTTGAATGCCTATTAGAGTTATCTCTATATTTAGTACTAACTACTTTGTCACGCTGATATTCGAACGAACACCTTGCCACAAGAGGCAGTGCAATATACCCAAGAGACAGGCAGCCACATTAGAATCTTTAAATCTGGTCATTTGTATAAATTTGATAATAAATACTGAAAATACCAAACATTCATACACATCCGTCACCGACGAAGCGCGGACCTAGGAGCAACTACTCGCAAAAAAGGGTGATTTGCATGTGGCCGGAGTTGCCTCCAACTAAGAACAAGTAACTCCGTACGCCTTCCCGCCCACCTTCAATTTCCTCAACCCACACCATCATGGTCTCCCAGACCGATCGCGAAGTCCTGCGCGCGGAGATCCGCTCGCGCGGCGACAAGCTTAATGCCGCCGACCGTGAGAACCTATTGAAACCATACCTGCCCGACCCGGCCGACCTACCATCAACCAACGCAAGCTCAAGCTCGCCGCGGCGGTCCCGCGCCGGAACCTCGTCCTCCCAACGGCGCCAGAAGCCTCGCAAAAAGCCTATTCGCACATTCCTCAAGTCGCAGCTACATCGGTTCACCTATGCAATTACCCATATCTTCTTTGGTATTGTTGTGCGTCTGTTGCAGGCGTACCATGCCGTTGTCGATCGGGTCTTCGCCATCGTTTACCACCACCACCGTACGCCGGAGTTGATCCGCAAGGATGTCCGGGGGTTGAAGCGGTTGCCGGAGCATCTCAGTGTGATACTGACTCTGCAAAAGGAGGATGATGCGTTGGCTGTGTTGATGGACGAGGTTGCCGAGTTGGCTGCTTGGAGTGCCTGCGCGGGGATTCCGCAACTCAGTGTATATGAGAAGTCTGGTAAGAACGTGGCCTCTAGGCATATTTCATTCCATTACAACTTGCCAGGAACAAATTCTAACTAACTTGCTTCCTAGGTGTCCTCAAATCCTGTATCCCAGCCCTACACCAGATCATCTCCACCAAACTGGCCTCCTACTTCGGTACACCTTCTCAACAACCCTCCCTCCAGCTCTTCGCCCCCCACCACCCTGTCTATGGCACCGCGCCAAACCCCAAGTCCGACAACCCTTCCTTGACTCTACTCCTCCTCTCTTCCACCGATGGCCGTGAAACCATCGTCGACTTGACCAAGACCCTGGCCGAAATGTCACAGAATGGCAAGTTGTCACCGGAGGATATCACACCGGAACTGGTGGATGCAGAGATTAGTGAAATCACCACTCAACCTCTACAAGCCAGTGGCCGTACCGTCGGCACACTGAAGCCCGAGCCAGACCTCCTTTTGGTCTTCGGTCCCTTTTTGAAGCTGGATGGCTACCCGCCGTGGCAGATCCGGTTGACGGAGATGTATTGCACTGGGGACCGGAACCATGCCGGGTACGGAGAGGCTGTAGAGTATCAAGGGTTCATGCGTGGGTTGTGGCACTATGCAGGAGCTCAGATGCGGTTTGGTCGTTGAGGGTAACGAGGGTCCAGTCCAAGGGTACGTGGAAATCTGTTCAAATTGCATGGTGGAATTTCCTATACTGTCTGTTATACCATACATATATGCATCGATAATGCGGTGTTTTATTTACTTATACTGTTTAAATATTCATGACTTTTGCATATGCCATTACTGATCTCATGGGAAAATTGTCATTAAATTATATTCATTTATATTGTGTTGGTATCGCCATGCCATGCCATGAAAATGAGAAAAAGCAGAACCGCAGAAATACTGCCCGAACATGAATGGTATCGCTGAGTTGAAGAACAAAATGTAGGCAAAAGTCAAAGTACCAAAGACGTGAAACGGGATAGATAGTAGAAAGTGTAGAAAGTAGGCTTGGCTGCAAGTGCGAGCACGACTGACCCATGGCCGTCATAGAGACCGCTGGGAGTCCACTAAGCCGAGAGAGGAGAAGAAGGTCGTAGGGGGGTCATATGGTCGTTTATATGCATCATTCGGGTCGCTTGAATCTGGCAGATGCTCATGCTTATCCGCGCATCATCTCATGATTCATCCCATCTATCGTCCAAGCAGGCGCAGAGTGGCCTTGTACGCAGTCGAGACATCGGACAATCTCAGTACCCGCCTCTGTAAGACCCTCAACAGCACAGCCAGAACAGACTTTCCGTCTTCGTCCCATAGCTGCACTTTCAAAGTCCTCATTCGGCGAGAACAGGTCTGGCTCGTGTTGGTTGGGGAAGCCCGTGTTGGTAGAACCCGGGCAATCGAGAGCATCACACTGGCGCAGACAGATAAAGCATGCTCGTTCGCCGCAGAGGTCACAATCTGCATATGCGTCGAGCACTTGTCGTGTTGTTGGGCGTCTGTGGCAGATATGGCATGGTCGGAGGGCGGAAGGGGATGTTGAGGGGTAGGCTAGTGGTACGATAGTCTTTGGGGAGACGGGCGGGGAGTATGGGTCTTGCGCAGGGGCATAGACATTTGGTGAGAGGAGAGATGATTGTTGGTGAGTTGGCAGGGCGAGATATGGAGGCTGGAGGTGTCTACGTTTGCGAGGGAGACAGCGGGGGCGGAAAGAGAGGTCGCTTCCTTCTGTAGGGTGTCGGGACAGGGGCAACGGGCAGTTGCCTTCGTAATCGGGACGGTCTAATCGGAAGGGGATGAAGGATGATCTAGATGAGGGTGAAGTGCGATTAGTCCGAGGCTCAAAGGAAAGCGAGAGGTATTGACTCGAGAATGACTCTCGTAGATGGTGATTGGCACTTACGGACGACTCAAGGTGTTGCTGTCTTCATGATCACGCTTGCGTTTCCTCCAGCTCGCTGCAAAAGAGCCAGTAGGCTCTGAAAAGCTGGGCATCTGAGAAGGCAGTATAGTATTCCCAGCCTGTTTGTTTAACAGGTGACGGTATAGTGAGGGGGGTTTCAAAGGGCGACGGCGTTGATCGAAGGTGAGGAACCAACGCAGCAAAGAAAATAAAGCTCGGGCCTCTATCCAAGTCACGGTACCTGGGGGCTGCTTCACCGCTAGTGGCCGAGGCGGTCACTAGTCTCCACTTTAGTCTTTTAAGTGTGTTGATGCTTATTCAGGTGATGTTTTTAGGACTACTTGCTACTGTGGTAGTATGAAATAGTCCTCAAGGTTATGGACTATCACAAGATTCTATGGTATTATCATTATTAGCCTATGATGGTGAACTGGAAAGAATCTTCACTTAGATGGACTGAAGTCTTCTTGATGCCTTGATGCCTTGAATCGGAAGGTGGACCACAAGTCGGTACTCCACTGGACTAAGCTTTGGATAGTGTCTTGACGAAATGACCTGCAGAAGATGAGACAGCAGAGGATAGGCCCAATTGCGATTAATGTTGAGTTTTACTTTTGAAGTTATCCTTGTCAATCTTCTCATGTAGGGGTCTATCGTCAAGTAGTAGGTCCATATTAGGCCGCCTCCTGTCGTAGTGAGACCATTGCCATTGTCCTTTGGCCTTAATGCAATCTAATGATAGTCAAGTTATCAGGGCCGGTGTAGCCTAATCAGGTTTCGAGCCCTTTTTATTGAAGCTCCATGTTGAATGAGGAATATAAACGACTGGAGTTGGTGTACCTAGTCTCAATTCAGCGCATGAGCACCCTATAGTAGACAAGTTACGGACCCAGAGGAGGATCTGAATTTTCAAACAATCCTTAGATCTCCATAGGAATCCATATTTGAATCCAGTTTAAAATATCTCCAGCCTTGAAGAGAAGTAGTGCATAGAAGAGTTGGGGCTGAGTACGTACATACAGTGATAGTTCCGAGCGGTAAAAGTCTTATCCCGCAAGCGTCACCTAAAATTAACCTTGACCCAAGACACGCGACTCGCTGCGGTCAAATGGAATTACGTATTCTGGATTGCCTCTGCTCAATTTCTGCTGTAGAATGTCTATTATATACCGATCAAATATACATCTACAGTATATGTAGTTCTTCAATCACCCCGTCGGAACTGCCCGGTAGCCGCGGCATTTTTCCGCAGGTAGTTCGGCGCGCATTCCGAAAGACAGAGACACCACACCGTAACGGAGTGTGGACTCGGGGGCACATCGGGTTGTTGCCCGTAAGAAATCGGGATGCCGGGTGCTCAAAGCGTCCCGCTGCTTTCTCTAGGCCGAGCACTGCCCCCAGTGCAGGGACCTGGCATTTTAGGTGGGTGATCAGCTATTGTGTGTCGTTGTCTGGCGGGACAGCGTAGTAAGGTTTATAACTACATAGTAACCAATGGGGCAGTGATCTATGTAAATAGAACACAGTGTACTTCGTAGAAACTAAGTAGAAAGAGTTGAAGTGAAATAGCAAAAAAGGGGCACAAAAGTCAAAAATTGCCGACTATCGGCAGTTGGGGCTCAAGCCATTCAGGGAAATGGGGATGTGAAGCGAAATGTCAGTATGGACTCCATTTGCCGGAGTGCTGCCGAAGGGGGGGAGAGTATACGAAGTATAGTCGTATTCTGTAATGATGATCATGATCAACAACTTGAAAGACTCAATTGCCCTTGTATAGAAAGATAGAAGCTATCCATCCAATATTCCTCCCAATCGGTCACATTCTTGCTCTAATTTTGGCACTTTTTAGACCGCAGAGTTGAAGCTCCCACATCCCGCCCATCAGTCTCATCGTGGGGACGTGGGGAAGGCCCCCGACCGGTTGGACCGTCACCACCTCCCGAAACTTTGCTCCGACTTCTTTTTGGCGAAGACCGCTTTCTCTCTGCCTCGGGAGGGATTCTTCTCTTCTTCTTTTCCTCTTATTCTCACACCGGTTTCTATAAGGAATAATCGACGAAAAGTGGACTCCTTGTCTGCCAGTGACTAAGCTACGCTGGAAGGTCAAGATTGGGTCCCGCTGGCTGGCCCTGATCGCCTCTTCCCGTTGCGTAATCCTTCTGGCCCTTCCGATTGCGTCGCGACCTCATTCAATACTCGGACATGCGTTGCGATCGCCGATTCTACGCGACCAACTGCGATATAACGCTCTAAACCAATTTATCCGATCTACATATAATCTTCACCGAACCAATTACCCACACGGGGACCCTGCAGATCGCATCGCCAGCGAGACACCGCACTTCTGGATAGCTCCAGCTTTCGACCTGTACATGACATGCGACTCGGCGCAAACTAACCCTGCTCATGGATGAGGGCTCCGATAAGGCCCCTCGGCGGAAGAGGGTGTCGAGGGCCTGCGACCGGTGTCGCAGTAAGAAGGTGAGCTGGCCAGTCCCTTTCTTGCCCCCGGTCCGTTTCTCAAGCTGACCCGTGTGCTGTTCTCAAACCCCAGGATAAATGCGATGGAATCCGTCCCACTTGCTCCGCATGTCAAGCATCCGGCCAGCCCTGCTCATACGATCCCCATGCGAAGAAGCGCGGTCTACCAGAGGGCTACGTGCGCGGGTTGGAGAAACTATGGGCGCTCTCCATGTGTAATATCGATGGGTTCGAAGACACCATGCTGGCCATGCTAGGAACCACCGCAGAGTCGGCAGGCCGCCGGGAAAAGTTAATGTCAGTCTGGTCGGATGACGGCTCGTCGGAGAGCTTGCACGAAACCTGGAAAACGAGTCGTCTGTATAGCGCATTGGAGAAAATGCTATCGAACCAGGAAGCACCTCTCACAACGGGCAAACGATCGCGCAACCCGCAGGATGATCCACTAGAAGGACCGGATGGAAAATGGGGATTTCGAGTGGCTCGAGACTCGACACCGTTGGGGCCTGAAGCACCACGGATCATCGGACCAGCCATTGGCTCGCCAAATGCGAAACGAGCCCGAATGGCACAGGGGTCAAACGGTCGGGACGTGTCGCAGCCTGGAAGTGGGCCTCATACTCTACAATTACCCCCGCAAACATCACAGCTCCTCGATATCTACTTTGCCACGACTCACTCGTGGTTCCCAACCGTCGCCAAACACAACATCCTCCGCGCGTCCTACCTATATGCAAATGCCCCATTTTCCGTCGCGACGACTTCTCCAGGGTCTGGCGATCATGCTGCGTTGTGGGCAATCCTTAGTTATACCATCACCCAATCTCCAGCGACCACCCGAGTGAATCCTACTGGAGCGGTCTCTTTAGCTAAAGAGTACTATACTGTATCTCGAAATCTCATCCCATCGGAAAAAGAACGCTACGAACTCGGCCATATCCAGGCGTTGTTGCTATTGAGTTTGGTCAATATCGGCCTTGAAGATTGGACGGCTGCATGGCTACTGAGCGGCCAAGCAGTGCGCATGGCCATTGCAATGGGCCTGGGTGCCTTTGCTGATACTCGTCGCTCCGATGAATTGCGGCAGGGTAAAGCAGTTTTCTTAGGCTGCTTTGTCATTGATTCCCTGCTGTCATTCCGACTTTCCCGCTGCCCGGCCATGTCCTCGAATGATCTAGCAAATGTTGGGTTGCTGGAAGAGGATGGACTGGAGGAGTGGAATTCATGGGTGGACGTGCTCCCCCCGACGGGAGTTCCACATGGTAAGAATCCTCCACGAAGAGGACCATTATTGTCTCTAAGCTGCTTCAATCGTTTGGTCGAGTTGGCTAGTGTGCTCAACAAGACATCTCGGAACCTGTCCATGGGATACAAGGCGCCCAATTTTGCCCAGCAGTTGGTGATGGACCTGAAGCAGTGGGATGATGGGTTGCCGCTGGGATGTCGACTGATTGGACCGGAAAGCATCTACCCCGAACGACATTCAGCACTGCTACCGCATCAGAGCTACTTGGGATTGACATATGTTGCTACGTTGCTTTGGCTGTATCTACGCCTTATTCCCGGAGAGCAAGGTCTCCATCGGTCACAGCGTCCAGCCACTGAAGGTGCAAAGAAACTCCTTTATCGTGGCCTTTCGATGATCTCTCAGCATCTGGAAAACTTCCCCATGTGTGGGCTGCCGCCTATTTTCGAGTTTGGCTTGCGTACAATCTCCGAGCAAGCGTTTTCGTTGCGACAAACTGTGGACTCGTCGGATACTTTCCCCTTCTCTCGCTGGGCCGAGGAGTTCCGTCAAAAGACCACGGTGTTGACTGCCAGTTGGCCGGTATATGGCTCGATGATATCCTCGATGGATCGCTGGCAGAAGCCCAACAATGTTCCCGTCGCACCGCAACCATATCCTGGGAACACGACTTCTTTGCTAGCGGGAGCCACCTCCATGCATGGGGCCATGCAGCCTCCAGTCATGGCTCACGGCTTACCCCCGCATGATCAAGGAAGCTATGCATCATCCATCCTGGGAATAAGCATCCCTGCCGATGGACAATCGTTGACGCCCAAGGATACGGTCATGGAGAATACCGAGATGGCTATGATGGATCCGTCGGTGCAGCAGTCGATCCTCCCCACAGACAAGGTCACGCCTCGCAGTGGACCAGACCAGTTGTTTGCACCTGGAAGCGCCCATGCACAACCTCATACCCCCGACTCGTCCATTTCCAATCCCATGATGGCCGGTAACGCTCCTACCAGTGAACGATCCGTCTCGACCAACGACCACATGCATTTCAATCCCGCAGGCACGGGTGATCTCGATGCGATTTTCAAGGATTTAGCATACCTGGACACGACCGAGTGGTCCAACAACCGCGAGGCAGGCCTCAAGGACTTTGGGTTCTTGGATGATAGTACTTTCCAAGCCTTCTGCCACGATCCCGACCGTCTGGTGGGATCTCAGCCCTTGGTGCATCCGCCATCGATTGCGGATATTTGGCCACCGCCAGGATTCTTCCCTGAAACCTTCCAAGAGGTTCCCGAGAAGGCCATGAACGGGTGATCAAAAGATGATGGAAAAGGACCGTCTCGATGACATAATTGTCAATTGTCGGGTTCTTTTTATTCTCTCTCACATTCACGGGTCTCAGTTGGTCCAATCTCCAAAGCTCCATGCGACCCACCGTGGCTGTACTGCTCCGCTACGGTGTTTCAGGTGTTCCCCAGGAAGCCGGGCGCTATGAGCTGTCAAACACAAGCCACCCATCGACCGTTGCTGACACACAAGGATATTATTTTTTTTTGGTTTCATGTGTTGTCAAGCGCTGTGTTTATGATATTTTTTGCTTCTCCTATGTTTTCCACTGGGAGACCGGCAATTGTCGAAATCGTTCCTGTCCCACAGTTGAAGCCTCCCGTTGATCGACACCACGAGGAAGCCTCCATCAAGTTAGGCAGCATTCTTTTGCTCCACGGTCATTCTCCCGTCGCTGGTTTGACTTTTGATCGACTGACTAGTGGATTATTGGATGATCTGAACCAAGTGTTTTACCATCAACTCTGTATCAAGTAAGAAAATGTACATGTATCATCATCGAGGGGTAATATATGCACGTACTTGAGAAGGCCGAGACTTGGAGAATAATTGAGACATGTTAGGAGTATACAGTATAGTACCTACTATCTCCCTGACACCGTCGGGTATCCCTGCACCATCTGTTTCTACCTTAGTTCTCCGTTACTTTTAGCGATCGGCGATCGGCGGTTCGCTTCCATTCTTTAAATCCCTAAAACTTGGGGCCAACTGGTTCAATCAAATCATCCTCTGCTCGGACCCCCTAATGCAGCCTCGGCTTATTCACAGCAAACACAAGACTCTCTCATCATAATCATGACAGTCAAAGTTGATGAATTGATGAACCTCTCTAGCTGTGGATGTCCCCTAACCTAATCACCCCTGGCGATCGAAGGGGGCGCCGCCACATTTCTCCTGAACCACAACCCGTTATTGTGTACTCCAGTCTTTATTTACTCCACTCATCGTCGCAGTCGATCCCTTCCTTCCCATCTCTCAAAACCCGCAAGCGATGACGCTGACCCGTGGGGCCCTGCGGGTTCGCATTTTCCAAACTACCGCCCCAACTTGCCCCTCGTTGGTTTGCTGGCCCGCGTGGTCGATGATCTATTCCCAGTCCCCTCGGGCGGTTCCCTTCGGGCGGTTACTAGGGTGAACCTATCATCCTCGCGCTTCGAGTGCATGGACCGAATCAGAGGGGATGACGCATGGTTTCTGCCGGGTCCAATATGAGATCGCCGAGAGCGAAAGTGAGCTATGGGGATAATGGGGATACTGGGGGGGGGGGGGGTTCCTTTTTTGCTTATCCCATGATGATCATTGTCCCTTTTCACTCACGTTTCAGCAAGCGCCATTATTGCTGCTGGTATTTTTTTTTACTTCTTCGCTTTTTCTCCCTGTTGAATTATTCTTCATGGCTACACTTTCTCATCTAACTATTCTTTCTTGACATTCCTTTTGTGCAAACAATTCCAATCTCTTTCTTTCCTTATCGACATCGAACACACTCTGGAGGCAACCATGTTCTCCTCCCCGCGACGATGGATCTTCATCGTCTCGCCACTCATTACTCTAACTTTGGTCTACTACCTTTTCCTCTCACCACATACCAACCCGATCACATTAAATCTCCAAGGACAATGGACACAATCCGAACAAGAACCCATGATCCTCGAGGGGACACGCCCTCTTTCACAAGCCGAGAAACAGCACCAGCAACAAATCTCAGATGATTCATTCGAGGACGACCGATGTGGGAAGTTGCGCAAGGACATGGATGATGTCTTTGTCGTCTTGAAGACCGGCGCCACTGAAGCCCGCGAAAAGGTCCCCGTACAATTGCGCACGACTCTTCAATGTGTCCCGCATTACGCCGTTTTCTCCGACTATGAGGAGACCATCAGCGGCGTACGTGTCTACGACGTCTTGCAAAACGTCACCGAATCCACCATGAAAGAGGCACCCGAATTCGAAATCTACCACCGCCTACAGGAAGTCGGTCCCGAGGGCCTGACAGATGAAGAAATGGGCGATGACTCGAACGGTCCGTTCGGCAAAACCAACAACCCAGGCTGGAAACTCGACAAGTGGAAGTTCCTCCCCATGATTGCCGAAGCGCTGGAAGTGCAACCCAACGCCAAATGGTACATTTTCATGGAAGCCGACACCTACATGGTCTGGCCGAACCTGGTAAACTGGCTCGGCCACCTAGATCACCGTCAGAACTACTACCTCGGCAGCCCCATGCAAATCGGCGACGTTCTCTTCGGATACGGCGGGGCAGGCATCATCCTCTCCAGCCGAACGATGTATCACCTGCATAACTACCGCGCCAAGCACCAACAAGAACTGGAGCATATGACAAGTCAAGAATGGGCCGGAGACTGCGCACTAGCTCAAGCCCTGAAAGACGTCCACGTCGAACTCACCTGGGCCTGGCCCATGATGATGACCTCCCGACCCCACGAGATCGATCATTTCTCCGAGGCATACGGCCGCCAACCATGGTGCTACCCCGCCGTGTCATACCACCACATGAGTCCTCGCGATATCGAAGAAATGTGGCGGTTTGACCGGGGCTGGTTCAAGAGTGGTAAAAATGCACTCTTGCTGCATGGCGATGTCTATCGCGAACTCGTTCATAATGGATCTCTTGCTGAGCGGCCGGATTGGGATAATCTGTCACCGGCTATTATTGATTTTGATCCTCCGACTGAACCGTCGACGGAGGCTTGTGCCGATGCGTGTTCGCAGAATTCGGAGTGCTTGCAGTTCTCGTTTAATCATGAGATGCAGTCTTGTAAACATGCTTCGACGACGTTTGGTGGTGTTGCCACGAATGGTACGGACTCGGGCTGGATGACGCATCGTGTTCAGCGATTGTTGAATAACTTTCAATCATCTTGTCCGGAGGTACAATACATTCTTGAATGATATTGTCACCGTCCAACCACCTTCCTTCCCTCTTGACGCTATCCACGCCTCACAGTTCTCTTTGAAGACACACACTCTCTTTTCCTCGTTTGTATATATCCCACCCTCGCACATACCTTTGCTTTTGCTTTTCTTTGCTTCTTTTCTGGCGCTCACATCATTGGCGAGGCGTTTTGTCATATTGGGGCGTCTTTCTTTCGTTACTTTCTCATGTGATACGTGGTCTGCTGGACGGACTAGATCATTTCGGTCTTTGGACTGTGCACTCGCTTGCATTTATGGATACTTCACTACTGCCTGGAGCTACCTGGGCCTATTATCAGGATCAATCAAGAAATTAGATTTCAAGAACATTGAACCATGAACATCACCAATAACACCCCGCAACGAGGAGGATATCGGTACGGAATGGCTGGGTCACTATTTGATGGTTGGACATCTTTTCTTGAGAATGTATTTGTGTTTGCCTTTTACATCACCTCGAATAGATCTAGCAAAGACTGTGGTTTGATAAGTAAGAACATTCCAAATTTCACAGTCTCGGGAAGTTCCAACACTGCAATATCCAAAACACAATCCTACTTGATCGTTCCACAAAACATCAGATCAGGGCCATTTGCATTGAAAAATATATACGACTCGTCTCAGACGCAATTAATTACACGAAAAGAAACCCTCAACCGACAAAAGCACACTTGCCAAGATGTACAAAACACCCCAAATCTCATAATTACAAGAATCCATCCCCCTTTTGCTTCCTCAATTTTAAGCCGCGGTAACGACACTCTTTCGTCTCTCCTTGATCAAGACCGGCACAATGCACAGAATAACCGAGACACTGACGACGATAGCTTGGATACCGAATACAAGACCTAGTCCGTTCCGAGCAATCCAGGCTGGCTGGAAGTATCCGACAGCGAAACCGCCGCAGGTACGCCACATGTTTAGGATTGCGGAGACGACGGTGGATTGTTCGGGGTATTTTTCTAGGGCGTAGGCTGTTACGGCACTATGAGTGGAAGGACGGGTGTTAGTGTGGTGACTTTTGGATATTATCTTTCTCTTCCGGGAGAAGTAGAACCCCTGATTGGAAGGATGAGTGATATTTTAGGACGAGGGGGAAGACTTACACAACTGTCCCCACCATACCGATATTAACCATGATCCATCCAAAGGCAATACCGATCCAGTGCTTGCCAAAGTTCATGGTTAGACCGTAGGTGAGTAGGCCGCAGACCATGCTGGAGAGGGGGAACCAGACGCCGTGTAGACGGTATTCGGTCCGCCAGTTTGCGTGGTGGCGCTTGAAGATCCAGTCGTTGAAGATGAAGCCGACGAGCCAGCCTGGAGGGATTGTGTTAGAATCCTATCTGGGTATGTGCATGGTTTAGGAAGAATGGGGAAAGAGACGTACCGCCGAGAGCACCGATTACACCGGCGAAACGCATGGATGATGCTTCGATAGTGTCAAAGTTATATGGTGGGCTGTGCAAGAAGCTGTCGATGGTAGTGGTGATTCCTGTACTCGGATATCAGCAAATGTTGGAAGCAAGGTAAAAAGACAAGAAAATATCCCCGACTCAAGACATGAGTGTCACCCTCCTGGAAAAGCTATACATACCAATGGGCCAAGTAAAAGTCACCAGAATCGCAATACCCGTCATCAACAACGGGAACTTGAAAACATATAACACCATAACCTTGCACCAGTACCACAGAGTTGAGCCCTTGGGCAACTTCGTATTTCCAACTCCAAAGTACGAACCGACACGCGAGGTTGGTGCTTTGCCGGGGTTATAATAAGTCTCGGCGCCGAAGACGAGTACCATAATCGTAGAAAGGCCATAGATAGCCGTAAGCACGCCGAAGGAATCAACCCAGTTTGTGCCTGCGCCGATATAACCAGCGAGTGCGGGGCCGAGGAAAGGGCCGACCATGAAAGTTGTACCCCAGATATTGATCATGCGAGGCCATTCTGAGAGGATGTTAGTACGAAGTATTTAGGATTGGGTCGAATTGTGTTTCATACCCTCTGGGCTGTACATATCGTGAATGATAGGTAGACCGATAACCTGGGGGACTGTGCCGAAAAGTCCCTGCAGCGAGCGGAAGGCTGTAAAGGTGGACCAGTCGTGGGAGAGTGTGGCACCCAGTACCATGAACATTGTGATGACCTGTGGCCAGATCCAGACGGGGAATCTAGAAGGTGAAGATCGATTAGCTGTTTGGTTTCATACAGTCTGCTGGATACTGCTCTCGGCTTCCTCGGTTGTATTGGCTACTTACCGACCATAGGCTTCAATCAATGGCACTGCAAACATGCCACCAAAGCCTTGTAGCAGAATGCCGTAGTTCATACTCGTCGCTGAGTGTGTGACGCTGATACCCCATTCCATTGCCTGCGGCGTAACGAGTGTACCACCCCAAACCATTGCTCTAAAGTTACCGAAGGAAGCTTGTCAGTCAATCTTCGAACTTCTCCGTAAACATTGAATCTAACATCCCAGTTGCAAGGTTTAGGGTCCTTCGGATTGCAATTCCAACCGGTGATCAACTTACCCATCTGCAAGCAGCGAACTACCCATCAGCGAGACAAAGAGCAAAGTCTTGCGAGTCCGACTCCAATTCTGCGGATTCTTCATATCCGACGGATCAGCATTCTTCAATTCATGATCTGGAAGAGCCATCTCGTGAGAGAGCGAGGGACTAGTCGTCCCGTCAATCTCAACCTCGCGCGTGTTATCAATAGACGTGGGTTTCTCCATGGCGATCTGCGAGATCTGCCGTGATCAGCACGAATTCCCCGATATACAGTCGCACTGCACAGTGACAATGTCGTGCAGGTTTGCGTGGAAAGTCAGCCGGCAAGGGGGGAGATGAGCCAAGGGGGTTAGAAACTGGAAAGGAAGATACTAGAAGGGATGAAGAGAAATAAAAAAAAGCAAATGAAAAGAAAGTGCAGTAATAATCGGCAACAGGGCGAGGGGTGCCCGGCAGTGGGCAGGACAGAAGGTTTTATGGTTTGTATGCAGGCGAAGTTTAGATCGGACGGGTTGGGTCTGGTTCTCGCGTGGCTTCTGTTACGCGGAGAGATTGGCGACTGGTTTCGTTTCAAGAGTCGGACGGAATATGCTAAGATAGAACAGAGCACATGTCTAGAACTTTTTTTGGTTTGTAGGGACCAGTGGCTACGAAGGATTGGAGCTATCGGTGCCATTCAACGGGCTGTTCTCCTTGGGTGATTTATCATTACGCCACTAAACGGCCAGAAACGGGATACAGGCCGGAATCAAGAGTGTTAGTTATGAGAAAGATCAAAAAGAGTCACTGACGCAGCGACTACCGTCGAAACAGGGGCAATTACAGCGGTCCCTACTCCTCTGGAGTGTTAGTACGGGGTACTTACCTTGTACTCGTAGGTACTTCGCCTATGAATAACATTTTTTCCACCTCTATGGCTCGGGTATTCCGAATCTAGAACATTAACCTGGTAAGTTCTAAAGTAGTGCTCAATTAACTCTAGCCAACTATACTACGTACTCCGTACATAGTAAATCGTATACGGAGTAGTTGAATCCTTTACGACGTTCGGACCAGGTTCCCCCACTTAGCCACTTGGCTCCAGGATCCACCAAAACTCTCAGAACCACCCGAACCAACGATCCATCAAAAGCCACCTTTCCGGCCCCGAGATATCGCGCATATCCCTGTACGCCCCACCCAAGGGGGCTGCTCCATGGTCGCGTATTATTCGGAAAGCATGTTAACTAACGGTCCCTCCTCCGGATGGGCTAGCGATCAGTTAGTTAGCGGTGCCCACCTATCTTGGGGAGCGTAATGTTGCTCCAGTAGATTATATAAACATGACTCGAGTCGACAGCCGACTTACTTTGAAGAACAATGTAGAGCAGGCCAGTTTGAATGCCTCTGGTTTGCGATTCTACTCTCTGATGCGTACGCTATTTGTTCATAACGTTCTCAGTACTCTTCGAATAATAAAGGCATGAATCAGGATTGGGGACTGGTGGTAAAGTAAATTACCTGTGGAAGGCCACTTTAGTCCACTAAAGTTCCCGAGTTCGAACTAAGCCGCGCCAACGCAGGGCCCCTTGCACATCAGGGCTGTCTGATTCGTGTGATGTATTAGATTAAGTATTTTTGCTTTTCTCCCTTTCTTGCTCTTTGCTGCCCCTCTTCTTAGACTGATTTTGGGTTTTCTGGGTCTGAAATAATCGGTAATTGTTAGCATTTGGACCTTTTGAATCCGGTTCTCAAGGAATGAGTGTACTATCTCGACTCATCATACCATTCACACCCCACTAGGTCGACATCAACTTGCACTGCGAATCGTTAATCCACTGGGGTTGCGTTAGTGTTATTGAGCTATCTTTTTTGTTCATTTACATACCCGGTCACAACAACTCACTATCTTGAGACTGCTATACTGTTATAAATTTGTAGCTATCTAGTTGTTATTTTGATTATCATCCCTGTCATTCTTCGCTTTTCTCATCCTTCAATTCAACGTATTCCAACCGTTCTCGTAGCACGCTAGAAATCTTTGTGCGTCGGCCTTGAACCGGTCATAATTCATATCTCCATTCTTATTCGCAGTTCTCGGCCCTCCACCCCGACCTGTTCCAATCTACATAAGACACCGTGCAGTCTCGGCATAAACACCAGCATAGACCATCAAGGTTCCAATCGAAGGAATCGAGAACTACGAGGGCGATTTCATCTACTATTAGCCCTTTCATTTCATTTCTAGGTCTTGCTGCGCGTCTACATTAGGGATTTAAGGATTCGATCATGTCTTTACTCAACCGTCTGGCCAGTCTCACGCCCGCAGTGCCTCCGGGTGCTGCGCTGGCAGGCACCGTTACCATAGTAAGTTGAAGCCCCCATGGAAGATTGACTTTCCTAACTGATGAATGGTTAGCCCGCATCATTAGGCTTTGTTCCCGTCGCCGTGCACTTTGATCTATTCCGGGCATTGGTTCGCCATGGAGGCCCAGCAAGCGCAAAGGATATCGCCGATGCAGTCAACGAAGCTATCCAGGCAGACGGAGAAAATAAATCGAGGATCCGTAAGTAAAATGTCTATTCTTTGTTTTCCAAACAATGCCCTTTACCATTTCTGCCCCTGGCAGTTGTATCCCGCTTCTTCCAATTGTCTGATCCTGCAGCTAACACCACACTTCCAGCGCTCCTTCTCGCTGGTATGTTCGACCTTGACCCTAGTCGATTCCCAACCGCCCCTCGTCCATGTGGCGCCAATCCCTACCAGTACCGGAGCCTAGTCGACTTTTGGATTCCTCAATGAAAGACTAATTAATTCTCATTCTTGGCATGCAGCCGACACGCTCTACATCATGGCTGGTCTTGGGCTGGTCGAACGCGTGGACGAAGACTGTTTCGTGGCCAACGCTATTACCCGCCACATGGTCGACATGCCATCGGCGCAGCATGGTGCCGTACACTTGTAAGTGACTTTACTTTATCCCTGTCTATAACAATGAGTGCCAGGCAAGGCTTCCGCTCTTGGCATTAGTCGTACCGAATTAACTAACCCTGTCTGTTTCTTGCCACTAGTTGTACCGAAGGATTAATGGCTGGTGCCTTTTTGATGAAGCAGCTCCAGGATACGAACTTTGCCTACCCCTTTGATGAATGCAATGGGCCGTTCCAGTACGCCTACAAGTTGATGGGCCAAGAGGAGCTCGCCAAGCAGCATGCGTACTCCATCATGGAGGAGCAGGGTCGTATGGACAGCTTTAATCAGTTCATGGTCGGCAAGTTCCTCAAATTCGGTACCTTTCCCGAACGCGTGGCAAGCGTTGGCTACGACCTTGGCGCCGTTCTGGGCGTGAATCCTGATAATTCAAGCTCCGGTCTTCGCGACGACGAGGTCGCCATGGTAGACATTGGCGGCGGACGCGGCGAACTCCTCCTCGAAGTCCAAGCACGCTACCCCCAACTCCAACCGTCACAACTAATCGTGCAAGAATTCAACGCAGCCATTGACGATGTCCCTGGCGTGCGGCTGATGGAGTGGAACTACAAGATCTCAGCGGAACAGCCGATCCGGGGAGCGCGCGTGTACAGTCTTCAACATATTCTGCATAACCTGTCAGACCTGGGTGCCGTGGCGTTGGTGCAGAAGCTGGCGCGAGCTATGGGCCCAGAGTCACGGTTGCTGATTATTGAGTATGCGAAGAACTTGACGTATACGAATTTGCATTCGAGTATGATTGCGTTGTATGGAGGGCGCGAGCGCAGTTCGGCGGAGTGGCGGCAGTTGGCTGGTGTTTGTGGGCTGATGGTGAGCTTTGAGAAATATGAGACGGCTGGGGAGTCATTGGTGGAGATGCGATTGGTCTAGGGGTGTAATTAGTACAGTTTTCAATACAGAATAATGCTAGTTTATCGTTCCAAACCCTGATATTTTTCTGGAGAATCGAGTGGAGCCGAGAAAGTTCGCGGATCGTCGGAGCAGAAGCCGGGCCCCATCACTTCGTTACTTTATGACTGGTTTTGTATGGTCAAGCTGTCAACCCTCGATTAAAATGCGATACATCTTTAATGGCGATGTGATTTGTGACAACAGATCCAGTTTCCAACCAGATAGCTTTATCGACGTGTTCCTAGACACTGCATGAACCATCTCAGCTGATCGGCCCAGCCTCCGATCTCCCTTGATCAGTCACATTCGGGGTCTGCAAATCACAACTTTCAAGGACTCGACTTGAGGACAACATTTGAATATTTGACTTTTAGCCTCCCCCTCTCTTCCCGACCCTCACCGATCCAAACTCCAAAGAGGGAAACACAAGCCAAGTGGGGGCCAGGGCTGGGGTCCCCAGTCTAGCGCCAATCCACCGAAAATCCACCACAAAGCCACTACGAGTCCCATCACCCGCCAAATCTTATTCTTTGCTCCAGATTGAATGGGCAGTCTTGGTTGGCGTTGGTCTCTGGTCTTTGATATGTTAGCAGATCCTTCCATTCGCACTTTCCATCATTCCAGATTCAGTCCTGACTCCGACGTTGGTGTCCAAGCACTGCTTCTAGTACAACTTGATCTCTGGTTTGTCCGTCTCCGTTCTTCCTGAGATCCACCACATCGCTTATCGTTTCTTTTTTTTGCTGCCTGATACTCCATACCGGGTGTGCGATGCAGTCAGATCCTATCAGTCCAACGCTTTTGTGATGGGTTTGCCAAAAGATATCACTGTTGTAAGTTTGTGATCTACGATTTGTGCCTCATGTCTATGCACGCCAAGTTGGTGGATCCGGCTATTGAATGCGGTTGCATGCAAAAGCCGATGTTGACTTCTGAAATTTGCTTTCCTTCGTCACACCCCTTGCGCGGTGACGCATGGATCTTGCGTGGTTGTCATTCGCCCCGAGTTTTTCTACCTAGGGCTGGTTGTGGAATGTTGTTTGTGCGCCAGGTCTTTTCGTTCAGTGCTCACGCGTCCTCAAGCGAAGGAAGGGGGTTTTACTTTACAATATGGAACCCACATGGATACTAGCAGGAGAGTCAAACCACTGTACTAGTGTGCTCGAAGGAATGGACGGACCCTACATACACAGTATCCGTATCACCGGTACCCCGTACACAGGACTGCTCGTCTTATCACAAATTTATCCAGTGAATATGGATTTGACGCTATTGTCTGGACTCCCTGACTTTTAGTATTTTGCCCGATAGGCTAGAAACTCCTGACTCTGTCAAACCACGCGAAGGATTCTGGCTCCATGTTTTTCATTTCGCGTGGACACAATCTCCCGATGCCATATGGGAATGCAACCGAATATTCTCGGCGTACCTAAGCGAAGTTGGTGCCTGGAAAATATCCCTGCTTGCAACTAAATATCCATGGATGCGTTGATCGTCGAGACTAGCCATTGCTAGAACGGGGACTTCGCCTGCTGGTTTCTTGTATAGCATAACTAACTGCACAAATCGCCAATAACAAGATCGTATCTTCTTCATCGACCTTTTACTCCGTACCTTAAATAGAAAGCACTTGAAATTAATACTCTGTACTATTCTTCATCCAGTAGGATGAGACTAGCAGGGATATGCACAAATCATCAAGTCGTTGGCCAGATTTCAACCCCACTGCATCCTCCCACAGGCTGCATGCACTCTTTCCTAAGCCACAAAGTCTTTCTCGATTAATATCGCGCAAACAAGATTTTTATTTCCCAAGGAACAACCCAATCTGGCCCCCGGCACCGGTGTGGACAAACTTATTTCGTACTTTATCCAACACAGTAAACACTCCGTCAGAAGGATGGTAATCCTCGTCTCTTCTCCTTTCTTTAGCCTTTCGGTTACAAGCTGGCTTTGGCTTTCTCAGTGGCTTAAGCCCTGGATGATTATTGTATTGGTATTACTTAACAGCATTTACGAGTTCTCCCGGAGTAAACATCCATCCCTTGTTAGGACCTGGTCCCTTCCTAGCCTAATAATACTCTCTTCCGTACGCCACAACACCATCAGACACTGACACGACCCAAATTATAAAACAAGAAAGTCAAAAGGAACACCATATTCCACTTTTTTCCGCGACTGGACCTGTAAAGCGTTCGCCAACACCAGAGTTTATCGGGCTTTACCTCCCTTCCGAGAGGGCCCTGTTCCGCCGGTTGGCCCACACAAGCTTGAACAGGGCGATCGGATCATCTTTCTGATTTATCAAAGCACGCCCGCTCTGTAAATCAATTCAATCCCGTTGTGATTCAATGGTCTTGTCCCTGGGGCATTGTAACGTCTGCCCCTCTTTGATCTTCACTGGATAAGACCCAATGTGATTGAAAGTACTTGAATTGCACTCCCCCGCTTGTGCTGCAGCTTGACGAAGATCGAGATCGAGATTGATTTGCGCATTTACATCACGGCCACCGCCTTATCCCTTCCTTTTTGGTTTTCCCTTCCCTGTATTTTTGTGAATAAGTTCTTTGCTGCGACTCTTACCTTCCTTGTCCTTGTCGCCATGTCGAGTATTCCGCGGCCAACTGAGGGCGATGTTAATATCGGTGCGTTGATCTCTGCATGTGCAGACATCTTGATGTGAGCATGACTGACATAACATCATAGGAGCGGGCACGTTTGTTGCTTGTTGGGTATGCTATCCCAATCTATATAAATATCTGAAATGCCGGTATCAGAGTTTACTAACATTTGAAAATAGGTCCTTACCGGCGTTGTTGGTGTTACACTTCTATTCCGCTATGCAGTCAAGAGCTGGGTACGCTTTGCGCTGCCCCAGGTCACTGCACCCGAGCGTGTCTGGGGGTTCGAAGATCTATTCTTCCTCGCGGGCTATACTCTCGACATTGCACACATGAGTATGATTCAAATTAGGTGAGTACACACGCAAAACAATTGATATACCCCCACCATCGACATGGTAGTCTACGCAATAGCCCGATATGATGATTGACTAATAATGCCCTTCAATAGTTCACAATGGGGTTTGGGTCGACATTATTACTACCTGTCAGCGGCCCAACGCTTGACAGTCATGAAATACGACTTCTACTCGCAACCACTCGCTGTGGCCGCGGCCATGGTCTCTCGCACAGGCATGATGTGGTTCCTGTTAACATGCTTCGCGGCTAGCGATAAGAAGATTCGTATCTCAATCCTCGTTTGTGCAATTGTGCAGATAGTTGCCAATATGGTGACTATTCTGCAAATTATCTTACAGTGTGGGCCGAATCCCTACCACCTGGTTTGTGTTTCTGAGATATTTCGAATTTTGCATGGCCTGACTAATTTGTTATAGACGAACCGCGTTGCATACTTCAAATATATGTGGACTCCACTACCCAGTGATGGATCTGTTGTCTGTCAATCCTCCAATGTCCAGACTACTGTTGGATTTGTTCAAGGGGGTGCGTTGAATGCTTGATAGAGATAATCCAAGAGCTCGTGACTAATTGTATGCAGGTTTCAACACGATCATTGACTTTATTCTGGCGGTTATTGCTGGTGTAGAGCTGTGGCAATTCTTCCTTCGCACACTACACCGCGAGAACCTGTCCTTTTGGTCGCAATTCAAGAAGATCAACAGCACCGTTCGATCTCGTCGTCTCTGGCAGACTATCACCCTCTGTGGTCCACTAGTTCTCTCGGGTGCGGCCTCGATTGTGAAAACATATGTAAGCCTTCAACTGCAATTATCAAATACTAGACGTAAAAACGCTAATCTTTCTATTCTCTCTAGAAACTCAAGTCCCTCGGCGACAGACTCGATTTTACCTACAATATCGTCTCCTTCATTCTATGGGTAAAGTAAGTCGACTTTATACATCTCACTACACTTAATCCCAACTGTCTTGTCCAAATGTCTAACATGCCCCTCAGAATCGAAAACTACAGCATTCTCCTCGCCTCGTGCGCCCCAGTCGCCCGACTCTTCCTCCGCACCGTCGTCGACGCTCGACGAGAAGGCCGCTTCGGCTACTGGTCCAAATCAAACTCAAACAATAACTACGCCACCCACGACACAGAATTGAAAAGCCAACAGAGCCGAAGTAGAACCGGATGGATGGATTCAGCAACAGCCACAGCCACCGCAACGACGCAGTGGCATGATGAAGAGGGTCAACAAACGAAGTGGAATATCCATCCTGAGCGATCGATAAGTCGACAGTCAAAAGGATACGGACATGAGATAGAGGGTATGGAGGATGGAGGTGTTACGGTGAAGACAGATATTGTGGTGCAAGTTGATGATGGGCGGTCGACGTCGAGTGGGGATGCGAGGCTTTTACCTGGTGGTGGGGAGATACCACTTGGGAGGGAGGACTATGGGTATCATGCTCGGTGAAACATATGATCGAGGAGGTAATAATTATGGTGGATAATTTTTGTAAATGAGGTTGATTATTCGTATATAGGATGTACAGGACTTGTGGTTTTCGAACGAGCGAATCTAAAATTTCTTTTGTGTCAAATTGTCTTCTGGCAGTCGATCATTTCTAGTCTCGTATATATTCCCCTCTCCATAGGACATTCCGTTTCTAAGCATTGACGTAGCAGTTAGGCTCATGGGCTCGCAGGTCCATACTGAAGGCTGACAGGAACCGAACTGAGCTTACTCCAATACGTGACCGGGAGATACAATGAAGATTATGAAGCATAATGGCGATTGGAATTCTCACAAAACGTAATGCATGTCATCGAAACATAGGTTCTGCCCGGCAGTACACCGCGACCTAGATGGGTATATGGCCAAATATGATACAACCCAGACTCCAGCAATGCAACAAAGTATCTCCAGATGCACCAAGCCCTGATATCTCCATTCCAAGTCCAATCATCAAGCATACCCCATCCCTTTTCTCCACCAATTCCACACTCCACGCTTCTCCATACAATTCCCAAACTCCTTCACACTCTCAACCTCGGCCAGCCCCATATCCAACTCTTTCCTCCCCTCCCCCTGTCCACCCTCCGGTTCCAAAGCACCAGGCCGTGTGACGAGTTGAAAATCCTTATATCGCAATTTGCGCACAACCCCAACCCACCCCTCAACCTGCACTTTGTCTCGGCCCTCGACGTACATAATTCCCGGGCAGCCGCCGGAGCGCAAGAGCACGTAGCATTGGTGGACGTCGGCAGCGCGTTTGAGGGCAGCGACTTTCTTGCGCGAGGTGATGTGGTGTGTTCGAATCAGGGCATTGTAGAGCATCGTCGGGTCGTGGGGTGGTCGAGGGTCATTGTGAGAAGACGAGAGGCAGAAGATCTGAATAGAATCTATCCGGGCTATTTAGAGATGACGAGAGACTGAGAGACGGGCAGAACAACCAAAAGGGCCGAAGACGGTGAGCGGAGACCGAGAGCGGTGGGCCTAGTCTCATCCATCCAGGTGTGATATGGACAAGTTAGAAAGAAGTAGCTAACGACATAGCACGACAGTCTAACTATCCAGACTCTAGAGTTCTGAAGTCTCAAGCAACAATTCTGGATGCATATCCTCGTCGTACCACTCCCCCAGGCCTCGCTCCACAGCCGGTCGTGCCGCAATGTGATCAACCCACTGTTGCAGATAAGGAAACTGAGCCAATTCATCCTCCGAGAATCCAATGCGTCGAATATTTCGTATCCAAGCCCAGGCATTGACATCGGTAATACTGTATTTCCCCTTACCCCGCCCAGCCAGATATTCCCGTGTGCCACCACCATATCTCCCGGAAAGACGGATTTCAAGAACATCGTAGACTCGCAACACTTCGCTCTTGAAGCGATCTATTGCGACTAGATGGATTTTTTTTCAGCAAGCGAATATTGAAGCTCCAAGGGCAGTACTCACGAGAACTTTGGTCTGCTTTATTCCGAAAAAAATTATATTGCCCTTGATTGGGTTGTCCCGAGGCATGCCAGAATATTAGCCATTGAAATGCCTCACTTTGTTCAATCGGATCCGAAAACCAGAAAATATCGTTTTTGTCTGCTAAATTGACAAGGTACAACAGTTCGGCGGATGATTCCATCACTACGTGTGGTGGACTTGTATTGTTGTCGATTAAGATTGGGATGCGCCCTGGGTTCTTTGTTAGTTTTGATGTTGGAAAATGAAAAGTAAATGTGAAAAAGAAAAGAGGTACCATTAGGATTCAGTCTGAGAAACCAGTCTTTCTTCTGTTCGTTTTTGTCGAGGTCAATCAGGCTTGTCGTCCATTCAAGGCCGTAGGCCTCTTTGAGTTCTTCGAGAAGAATGTGGACTTTTCTTCCATTTGGGGTTAGAGAAGTTATGAGGTGCAGGCCCTTTGTGGAAGTTAGCTTCAGCATGTTGTCGCGGGGTTTACTATGGCAAAAGGTCTGTTTCTGATGTTAAACTACCTACTTGGGCTTTCTGCACCCGCTCGGGGGTTTCTGCGGCATAGAATGAAGACATTCTTGAATTGATAAAGTGGCTTATTTGACGTAACCATGAACCAAAAGGTTAGGGAAAATATGGACCTCAGAGGTGGTCGCTGGTGCCTGGAAGAGGTGTGTTGAAATAAATAAAGGGAAAAGGCGATGTAATCTCACTAAGCTGAAATCGGAGGATCTACAGGGTCTCGTGCTTTATTTGATCCATTTTGATTGCGTGATAGATGCATTGCATGCAGTCTACTGGTTATTCCGCCTCGAGATTACGGAGCGCCATGGTACAATTTAATTGGACCCCACGTTGCATCTTTGCATTGAAATCGCTTAACACTCACTTCAAGATAAGTCCTCTACAATCGCATGACACAACTTCCTTGCTATCGAGAGCTATCGTTTCATGATCTCATAATATGATCTAGCAGCCTCACCGGAGATAACGTGGAGGTAGATTCACCGGCAATTGAATGGATGCAATGACGGTAGTTGTTTAAATGATCCTTGATTGTCAAATGCCAAAACCCTCTTAGAATATGACCCTTTTAGCTTTGACCAAACAAAACCGTACAACACGAGATCAGAAGCAAGATTGAAGATCAAGGAATAGCAGTATGGTCAATGACCCATTGACGGATCTCCCAGAAGTTGCGGCATTTATGGTTTGACCGGAAATCGGCACGTTCTCCAAATGGTGCCTGCTCTGGGAATTAGAAACTGAAGGCAATATTGTGCTAAAGAACTTGGTGCTTACTTTTGGATCTAATTCTATAAGGATCGGTGTCACATCAGAGGTACCTAGGAAGTGTTAGTTATCTTGGTATATATATTTTCGCTGGTTGCATACTTACACATGATGTTTGCTCGTAAAACTTCAATGCAATGATCTGCCAATCAAGTTAATATATGTTGCTGCCGACATACTTTTGGTCAAGTTACCTAGATGCATTCTCGTGAGCTTCGGGTCTCCATAAAGACTTCCGGGTAAGTCAAGCCCTTTGTCGAGCCAGTGCTCTTTGTAGGACCACTGTCGGAGCATATGCTAGAACGGTCGAAGTAACAAAACCTGATTAGTAAAAGTTCCTACAGTCGCAAGTTTCTTCAAAGTGAGCATACCACACAATGCAACTGATGAAGGACTTCCAGTTGAGCCGCATAGCCAGTTCCCACCTCCGGTGGAACATGTTTGTATGTTCTACCTGAATGTGATTTGTTCATGATACCCAACTTATCTTCAGGCACCTCAAATGCACCCTCTGATCCAGTATTCAATGCAATCAGCTTCTTAGTCTCACTCGAAAGTTCATTCATATTCAGATCACTGACGGTGCCAAAGTTTCTCCCACATTACCTCTCTCTCGGGGGTTGGTGGGCCACGATAGTCTGTTTTCTCGTTGAAGTACAGTGGAAGATCGTACTCGGAATACTTGATCAAGTCGGGTTCTTCAAGGAGTGGAGCTGGATTCATTAGCTTTGTTGTATGTTGGCTCACAAGACGCCAGGTGAGGGAGCTCACAATAAGCTGATACTTGTCGGGCACATTCAAGATCGGAATCTAACTCCGGGTTCCTCGTTTGAAAAGCAAGGATAAGTCCAATTGTCAGCAGAATGAGGGCAATGCCTTCCAGAACACAGGCAATGCGTAGAAACAACAGAGACTTGGGTTGACGAATTTCGATCACGAAGTTCTCGGACGATTCATCATCCGATTTCTCTGCCAGCGACCTTGAGCCATGTGAGATGAAAGGTCGACTCTCTTCAGACATCGTCAATGTGGGATGGCAATGCCTTGTATGTCCCTGGCTCTCGGATGTTGTCCTCTATCACTGAGAAAATATCCTAGGTTCTTGCAGAAGACTGGCCTCGGAACATGTTCAAGAAATTATCTTTTACTGCAGACGCACCTGACTGAGTATGACTAAGGATTGAAGTATTTGTATTGAAAAACAAAGTAATACAGATTTTGCAAGTCATTCCCTGCTCTAGGTAAAATGGGGCCAATTCAGCCGTACATAGATAGACCCACAGGCTATAGACTCTTATTCAGAAGGCGACTGTAAGTAGGTTTTTGGGATGCAGCCGTCGGATCTCCGCAAAAGATATCACATGTAACTCAATCATGCAGGGAAGTAAGCCAACTATTACCGATGTGCAATTAGAGGGCGAGCATCCTCTCACTGTCTGTACTGGATGAGGCTGTGACTTGCATAGGTGCGACGTCCCAGTCCCAGTCCCAGTTTCAAGATCATTCTGACTAATGACGTAGATAACGCTGCGTTAGGCATTCAGGATCTATGCTGATCGGCATGTTTGCGCTTCAGTCAATAAAACCTCGCCCTGGTTTAGTGAGATATGGCTATTGTGAAAATATCGGGCAAATATCGGAGAAAGGTAAATGTTACAGGAACAGAACACAGTGGGGATTTCCAATGCTTGTATATGTGAACTTCATACCTATATCCTTTAACTATCTCACATTAGAAACCGACCACAAATCCTTCATTAGGTGATTTCGTATGATAAATGAAGATTATATCAAGTATGACTGGCCTGGCATTTCATTGAAACTATCTACAGATACTGGAGTCTTCAAAAAATGAATACTATGTAGAAATGAACCCGTCTTCGATATACCAGGCTGTATCCATATGACTCAGACCTAATTATCCTCGAGCAGGTCCGCATAGGCAGCTTGGCATTTCATGGTTACATCGTACTGATCCCGCTTCTCGAGCAAGTCAGCATACGCAGCCTGGCATTTCATGGTGGTGTCGTACTGGTCACGCTTTTCGATTAGATCGGCGTAAGCGGCCTGGCACTTCATAGTGACATCGTACTGATCACGCTTTTCGATCAGATCGGCGTAAGCAGCCTGACACTTCATAGTCACATCGTACTGATCACGCTTTTCGATCAGATCGGCGTAAGCGGCCTGGCACTTCATAGTGACATCGTACTGGTCACGCTTCTCAAGAAGGTCCGCATAGGCAGCCTGGCATTTCATAGTGACATCGTACTGATCACGCTTCTCTTCTGGAATATTGTGAGCACAATTGATCAATATGAACGTCAAGAAATGGCTTTAAAGTCTTACCAGCAGGCATAGGAGCAGCTCCCACAAGAGATGCGGCGGCGAGAATTGCCACGCAAATTGCTTGGTTGAAAGACTTCATTTTGGCTTTGGTTGATGCAGGAAGATAGAATTGAAGATTTGACTCAAAATATCGGTTCAGGGAGATTGGTCTGAAAGGAACTATAGCTGATGATGGGAGGACAATCGTATTTATGCCAAATATTCGCCTATATACCAAGAGATCTTGAACTGGTAGTCACCGCTAGCAGCTTACTACTAGCCTGTGCTGACGAGTTCTAACACTCCCCTGGCAGTGGAACTTCGGCAGGGGAACATTCATCTGTTTACAAGTCCATTAAGCAGAGATCCTGGCAACGAAACCATAATCACCTGGCCCGCAAGGAATATCACCCTGTCCGCATTTGCCTGGTCTGAACAGCTCAAGATACTATCATGAATCTGGAAATCGGAAGAGCAGTCTCCACCGATAATCATTCACGATGGTTCATTCTGACTAATTAACTTGCACGAGGCTGTATCTTGAGGCTTGGCTGCATGTGTCGTGCAGCGTGCAGAGTAACATTTCAAGGTGCGAACATGACGCAAATTAAGACGGTGGCTTCCCCGAAGTTCATGCAAAATTATTTCAAAGGTTCAGCCAATCTATAGCAAAGTCTGGGTCTAATGCAAAGTCACTCGCACTAGAGTAAACTCGCTGTGGAGACTGGCGTGCTCGCATGCTGAGATCACGAATAGGTGATGTGGATATGATTCATTAATTAGACTACTACCGAAGGAATTTTCAACATAGAACGAGGGGAAGGGACGCCTGATATTTGCCACAAAGATTGTGCGAGCAGGACGGGGGGCAGGGCAGAGGTTGAAAGGAAAGTTTTATCATACACAGGGAATAATATTTATGAATTTGAGTCTTTCATTGTCTCGATACTATAGTTTCGGGTGTAATATTTCAAGACTAGCATGACCCAAGTGCAATATTTCCTGGTGTGTTTACTCTGTCATTATCGGGATCTGTCTTGCTGGCATCCAACAACATCATCACACAATGCTTCGTGTGGCTAAAGCTCCCCGTTAGATGATCAATTTTCCCACCTCGCTCCAGGACTTTGTGGAGCCTCAATATCATGAATGCACAATGAACCAGGTGCTCCCTCTGCGTGGACCACCAAAATTTATCCCCTAGCTCCGACAACTCATCCGTGCCGTCGATTGGATGTTTGGCATGTCTATCCCGATAGTAGACCCAGGTTTCGTTTGTAGCGTAATCAATAAATTCCTGTGTCTCATCTCGAGGACACTGTTCTGGAAGCCAGTTCATAGACAAGACGTCAAAGGTACACCCTCTCTGTTTTGCTTCCTCGGTCGAATTGCCGCATGTGTACTTCCGAGATTTCAATTGTGGATAGTGCGACTGTGTGTAAGGTGCCACCGAGTGCCATCGGATTTCTACTGCTAAGAAAGCAATGGCCGTGGCACAGAGGGCAATGGATGCGGCAAACACAATCCAGATGAGTTTGGGTGTTGATCGATTAATAGGGTATCTCGAGGCAGTAATTTCTTCAGGCCGCTCCTGAATAGGCTTATATTTGCCCTTGTTCAAACTTCAGTCAGGCATTATAATTACTATTCACTTTGTAGGGACTCACCAAGGTAGAAGACATGTTCTACTGATAGTAAAACCTTTATGTGTGATGGTAGCCACATAAAACGAGAAAACAAAAAAAAGAGTACGAGGGTGCTGATAACAAATTTCACTCATGAGAGGTAATGGATATTTGGAAACTTGTTAACTTCAAGTTGTACTTGGCGAGATTTGGGGGGGAAACCCAGCCTGCTAGGTTCTCAGTTCAGTTGGTGACAACCGAATATGCAAGAATGTTTGAGCTAATGCAAGTTCTACAGCCTTTCCTTTTCCCGCATTATATGGCCGACGTCGAGGAGACCAACTGCAGGCCTATAGAGGGCGATCCGGAATACGCGAGGCAGATCAACCGAGGTTAGTAGAATTAGTGCAGATCGCCGTTTACTTTACCATCGAAAGTGGGTCAGCCTTGCTAAAGAAGTGCTTTTGCTTTGGGGGTATGGGCGTATAGTAACAACACCGGCTTCCTGAGCTCTTACGTTTCGATTACATACAGAAAAATACAAAAGAAAAGATAACTGCTGTTAGCTCTGTGGCTTTTAATTTGGCAGATATGTCGTGATCCAGTCAGCCTATGCAAGAAACGGCCCCTACATGTACAGCGACAGCGTTACATCCTCACCCAAGCGCATACTACCGCATGTGAACACTGACTACTCTAAAATCGATCTTCATCGTCTTCTTTTTTCTCATGCGTCTTTTTCTCAACTTTCTCTAACCAATCCATTGGAATTTTTTACCATGTTTCTCTCTTCTAGTATCCAACTGATACTCCTGGTTTTCACCGACGTGGCATACTGCATTTCACTCAAGGGCCAAACGGTCGAATTAAACGGAATTTCATTTTACCTCCCACCCAAGGTCCTCGGTACATTTGGCTCCGATGACAGTCCACTTGTCGCGAACCTGACGGAAGCCTTGTATCCGATCACCTTCGTAGACATCGCTGGCAGTAATAGTTCTCTGGATGCTATTGTTGCCGATTATCAATCAATGGATGATGTTTTCAATATTGGGTTTTTGAAAGGTATACTATATGACTACTTATAACTTGCCAGGGACTAAACTGATCGGTTGTAAAGTCATTCTTCACAATGGGCACTCCAATGACGCTATTCAGGACTTGCAGACGGCCAAGTCGAAATATGGAGTTGAAGCCGTATTTCCATATGTGGTCGATTCCTTCAACGTTTCCCTCCCTCCTGGGCCATATTTCTGGTCCCCAGCGTCAGGAATAATAAACGCCGCTTATCGACTCTATTCAGACAAACAAGGGGCCTTCACGCAAGGCCTGATACCCTTGAGAGATGGCTCTTACGATGCGGTCCCTGCCGCTGTACCAGTGAGACTATCCATATCAATTGAAACAGAGTTTACATCCTCGTTCTAACTATATACCAGGGAGCTGGGTCGATGACTATTGGGGTGCCGTCAAGGCTCTATTCCACAAAGGACACGGCGAAGCCACTGGCAGGTGTAAGTGTAAAATCCCCATATCAGCTACTCTTTTCAAAATAGTCCCCCTATTTTATATTTGCTGAGTAACCATGGATTAGGTACGTCTTGGAGTGAAAGACATCTTCGATGTTGCTGGCGTCAAGTCCAGTGGTGGGAATAGGGCGTACTATCAACTTTCTCCTCCCGCAAATGCAACAGCCCCCGCTATCCAGAAGCTAATCGATGCTGGAGCTATTCTGGTTGGAAAAATGAAGACTAGTCAATTCGCGAATGGAGAGGTGAGTCAAACATGAGATCTTTCTGGTCTGGTGTACTGATCATCCGTGTCAGTGGGCCACGTAAGTGTGATCTAAAGCATCGCACAACGCATACGCTAATTACAGGTGGCATGAAATAGAGCTGATTGGTAAGTACTATTATAAAATTTTATGATACTGTTTCATTGCTAATCAAATAAATAGGGTTGATTACCATGCTCCATTCAACCCACGAGGAGATGGTTATCAAGATCCGGGAAGCTCAAGCAGTGGTCCGGCAGCTGGAGTGGCGTCATACGACTGGCTCGACCTGACCGTAGGAACAGACACCGGAGGCTCCATACGGGTTCCTGCTGGTGTCAATGGTGTCTACGGAATCCGACCTTCACACGATTTAGCGTTGCTGAAAGGGATCATACCTCTCTCACCTGAGATGGATACAGTCGGTATGCAATACTTATACGACTGCGTGATGTGGCTCAATATCCTCTAACTATACACCCCAGGAATGCTGGCCCGAAACACAACACTATTGAAAGAAGCTTCGAAAATACTATATGGCGGTCTCAGGGCCAACACCTCTCTGCCCCGAAAACTATACCTAGTTGACTTTCCCGCTAACCGATCGAGCCAAAGCGATACTCTACTTTCAGATTTTGCTGAATCACTGGCAGATATTCTCCAAACCACTGCTAAAGTCTTCGATATAGAAAAGCTATGGAACTATACTGCCCCGAACGAGGCAAACGGTGCCAGACTTGTTGATTTTGTTGGTGATGTTTTCCCACTGTTGAGTGCAAAGGAGCAATATGATCTAGTGGGAAGCAAACTATACACACATTATAAAGAAGAGAATGAAGGCCGGTTACCTTTCATTGACCCAAGTCCCTCGATCCGATGGACTTGGGGAACAGAACAATCAAACGCATCTATAGACGAGGCATTTCACAATCTGAGCATCTTTAAAAGCTGGTGGCATTCTCATGGGCAGGCAGGCGGCGCTGATTCATGCTCCGATTCTCTGTTTGTCTACCCTCAATCGACCGGAGAAACAATATATCGAGATGGCCCATACCCAATTGATGCACCCGGAATCCCGTCAGGCTTTGCAATCGATCGTGTTCCTTCGTTCGTAGGTTCGCCTGATTTCGCATTGCCTAGTAAGTTTTGTCGAAACACAAGAGCTTTCCAAATATATTGTGTCTGACTTCTGCTAGTTGGAGAAAGTGAGTACTACTCAAGGGTCAGTAACCGAACGGAAGTACTGCCTGTTGCGGTTGATATAATGGGAGGCAAAGGGTGTGAGTGGATGCTGTTTAATGTTATGGACAGACTGGTTGCGGCTGGGAAGTTAAAGGGAAAACTCTATACTGGAAGATCATTGTACAGTTTGGATTGACCACAGGTACCCTTCACCCTCTTCCCTGCATGATTCCTATTTCAATACCCCGTTGAATGACTAGGTTCATGTGCACACAAAAAGCTCAGAGTTCTAAGCCCTCTCATTTCATCATAGCGAGCAAAGATATGAGCTAGCGATTCGTTTCTACGCCTCTTGTTTAATTTCAAACCTCCACTGCATCCTAGGAGAAGAGATAAATAAGAGCTTAAACTGGTAGATTTCTAAAGTATCACCTCACTAATATTTAGAATATTGGGAAAGCTCGGGTCGGGCCCAATCTCTTAGCCTAGACTTGGCACGGGTTGTACATCGTCCAGTAGTTGAAATTCGCATCTCCAGGCCAACCATCATGCAGAGCATGATCAACCTGAATGGCAGATAGACAGTACTTCAGAAAGAGAGATATGTCATGGTATATGACTGGTGCAGATACTTCGTGAAGGATCAAATCCCTCTACTCGCGGCATGTGATCTTGGGATATCCCTGAAGAATTGGCCACTCCGGTCTACTCGTCACGAAGACTCGCCAAGAGACTGCTTGCGTGTTTTGTAGCTGCGATAATAAATCAAGAAGGAGACGCACTCGACGGCAACTCCCTTACGTAAAGGAATAATTTATCCTGTCAATCAAAAAAGGTTGCGGATCGTGGAGTCTATGACGTGAGCGAGTGTCATGAAACAATCCCTTTGTGCATTCGGGCTAAGTTGACAGTATTCTTCAGGATATTCACGCTATTTCTTTCACACAACTGAAATGCCCGTGATGATGCGCAGCCCTTTGAATTTTCGTGCTCATATGCGCCCCAACTCTCACTTCTCCGGACTGAAGGCCAACCAATTTCAGAAGGTCCCAGTGGAAATTGTCGAAGTTATATTCCGATTCCTTGTTCTCCCGGATCAAATTTGCTTTGCACTCAGTTGTAAAGGTATATATGACATATACGCACAACAGGAACACTTGAATTCCGCACCGAGACTTGAGTCAGTAATGCAGAAAACAGACCTACGTCTTCGACTTCAAAATAAACGCTGGATATATTGCACCCAGTGCTCCATTCCCCATTGGTGCTCTGTGTGGCGCAAGATTCAGTCATGGCTCAGCTTAAATCACACAAATGCAGATTGCCGTTCAGGTTATCAAATTTGGCATCGCCCTCCCTTCACGGGACAAGTCGACATTTGCCCCTGTTCTACTTTGTCATTTTATAAACATCAACTATTCTCATATCTATGTCGAAATCCAGCTTTTACATATCAAGCTCTACAGCAACAACAACAACAACAACAACGACAACATCCTAATATTGGTTGTGATGAACCCTTTGTCCAATTTGCCCATGAATGTACCTTTGACAATCACCCATCGGTGGAGACTCAAATTAGAACCACTTTTTGGTTCGATGAGACCTCCAAGACTCTCCAGGTGCTAAATCGGTTTAAGTTCGACATCTCCAAAGCAGGTCCCTCACACTTGGGACACTTTGGTAGAACGAGCTCTAATCTCTGTCTCCATAAAGACACCAAAAGATGGCTGGAGGACTTTTTTCGTCGTTCCAAATCAAGCTTTCATATAAACACCCAGGATCACAGTTGGTGTCAGTGGCTAGGCTGGGATACTTCTCATACATTTGAGGTCCTCTTACATAGGAATCTAGGAGATAGAAAATGGCCAGATAGGCGGTGGAAAAGCCATTGTCATAACTAGCTGATTCGAATTTGGATGAAATTCTTTAGAAGTGAAAGCAAATTATTGGTTCATAGACTGGAGTCATGCTTCCGACCAGGATAGGGCGGACGATAAACGCCAGTTGCTTAAAACCCATAATTGGTCAGTTTATCGACCGCTTTCATAGCCACCTCTGCCCTGATGCCTTCTTCTTTAGGCCAGGGTGACTCTATTACTGTAGTACCGATTTGACTATGTATCCACTTCCTTGTCTTTTATCTTCTGTAGGGCATATGAATTCTGCCGGACGTTCTGCCTTAGAAAATTGATTTTAAGCAATTGGCGCTTATCGTCCACCTCACGACTAGGATCAGTTCAGACTATAAAAAATAAGACTAGACACAAGCGGCAAGGAGGGTGGGAGAGCAGTGAAGTTTAACCAAGGAGCCACGTCAGCGCTTCAGGGTTCTTCAGGATGATCAGGTGAAGAATACATAGAGGGCCTTCAGGGCGTTTAGGTGAAGGGCCCTAAAGGGGCTGAAGGGCAAAATGGCAAGAGCAGTAGTCCCAGCGAATCGCTGGAAGAACAAAAAAAAACATACAACAGCCAGGATTCGCATGTGGTCACCCACCATACTACTAACTGGCCGGCGTGTGGCTTAAGTACGGCTGAGCGGACGGGAAGCCCTGTTCTCCACACCCTATGGTCGTATGTGCTTGGAAGTTCTTCAAAAGGAAATATATGATGACAGGAACTTGAAAATGGTATCTTATCAAACAACCAAATATCGACGTTTCCAACAAATCTCAACTCGACTGAAGACGATATCTTGGAGATTCGCAATGTTTATAGTAAAATTTCTGGCGCAGTCTCTGTCCTGCTTACTGCATCTGCCGTGATCCCCACCAGTGTCTCTGAAAAAGTTCCGATCAGATTCCCTTTTACTTCTACTATACATCTGCCTCAAGGGCCCATGGTACCATTTCATCTTTTATCTAGCGGTGGCTTCTCCAACGGGTAATCCTAAAAATATCCTAGCTCGCGTAGTTAGCGCACAGTTAACTCTTAGCTGCGCTGTATTACTACTATCCAAGAAAGATCAGTCCGCTGTTATTTGAATTTGTACCTACTGTAGTTGCAATAATAGGGAGAATTATGCCGAAAGCGACGTTCATAAACAAATTGATAATGCGTTCATGCCCCGTCAAATTGGTGTTAAAGTATACTTTAATCTTGTGCCCGACTAGACATTCGAGAATCTTCCTGCCAATATTCATGCAGAATACTCCGTACCCAGTTGCCCGAACGGCTCCACTGATCGGCGTATTAGAAATCAAAGTTATCTTGGTGCAATAATTTGGTACTATGCGACAGATTGATCCGCCAATAAATAAGAATAAAAATACTGTAATGTGGCAATGACATCATGCCATGCTTATGGGTCGGCCCGACAGTAAACGGAAAAAAGGCGGAAAACAGCCACCTGCACCCAAGATTAGGGTGGAGGACGGGCCAAGTGCAATGTATTTTCAATTCTGCGCAGTATAGAATGGAATAGATTATAGATTGATACTTGCCGTAGTATAGATGAAACATTCTCATTTCTCATACAGTAGTAGCCAAAAAAAATCATTAAACGGCCAGTCGCACAAGCGTCGCACAAGCGTCGACAAAAGTACCTTTGTCTACTTTGGGCCTTACACAGCGGCGACTAGAAGAGAATTTAGCAGGGGTTGCTATTTAGAGGATTTGCTGACTTATGCAAATGTCAAATCGAGAAGGATCATGTGAGGCTAGCCTCAATTGGAATAAGCTATGGCTTGGGCGTCAGCAGCCCGTCTGTCACTATTAATTATAAATCTCTTAGCCCTTGAGCCATCAATAAGTATGTGGCTGTACAGGGCACTGATTGATTTCAAAGCGCGGCGAGTTTAACAGCTATATAAAAGACCTTGACAGTCTGGTTGAGAGCAATATTCAATCTTCACCCATCGATAATAAAACACTTAACGTGTTCTTAAAACAAAACTTTCATATAATGGCGACTACTCCAGTACTCGTTTTTGGCGGAGCGACCATCGTCGCGGATGGAAGTTTTGCAAACGCTTCAGAAGTCTCAAGTCTGTTCGAAGTCCTCAAATCAGAAGGCATCAATCAGCTTGATACCGCTCAATCTTACGGCGGTGGCACTAGTGAGAAACTCATCGGTGAGGGCCAAGGCTTGTCCGAATTTCTTGTCGATACCAAGCATGTCGGAGGTTGGTTCCCAGGAAGCTCATCACGCAAGGAGGTTTTTGAGAGAGCAATCATCAGTTTGGAGAGACTTGGAGTTGAGAAAGTGAGCCAAATCACAAAAAGCTAGACTGGACTTTCATACTGACTACCTTAGGTGAACAACTTTTATCTTCATGCTCCTGACCCGAATGTACCTCTCGAGGAAACTCTAGCTGGTGTCGATGATCTCTACAAAGCAGGGAAATTCAACAACTTTGGCCTATCCAATTTCAATGCCGACGAGATCAAAGACGTCGTACGCATCGCGACCGAGAAAAACTACGTTCTCCCCAATGTCTACCAAGGGAACTTCAGCGCAGTTTCTCGCCAGGTAGAGAAGGATATCCTTCCAACCCTGCGCGAGAATAACATCGCATTCTATGCCTACAGTCCCATCGCAGGCGGCTTCCTCACCAAAACCACCGCCCAGTTGACGTCCGGTACCAAAGGAGAGGGCCGTTGGGACCCCCAGTCAAAAATGGGATCACTTTATCACACTTTATACGGAAAACCCACTTTCTTCGAGGCATTGGACAAGTGGAACGAGATATCCCAGGCGACAGGTATTCCTAAGGCTGCGCTTGCATATCGATGGGTGGCGTTCCATTCGGCCCTCGATGCAGGACTTGGTGATGGACTCGTCATTGGTGCTAGCAGCTTAAATCAAGTGAAGCAGACTGCTGCTGCACTTAGAGATGGACCTCTGCCTGACAATGTGGCAGAGCAGATCTCGGATCTGTGGGAGATTGTGAAGAATGATGCGGTTACTAATAACTTTGATGTCCTCAGAGCGACTTAGAGGCTCCACCTTGTGGACAATTTGAGTCGCATGGCTTGTATTAATATGTGAAATGAATTGAGGTGTCCTGATATTATCACCAATAATTCAATCTTGCCTTAATGAGAGAGACCTACCAGATGTGTATATATTTCCCGTGAAAATCTGGTAGTTGTAGACTGGGATATTGCTTCCCAACCTCGGGAAGTATTGTCTTTTTCTTTATTATTATGAGAACTTAAATTTGCGCGTGCTAGGGATAAGGATGTCACAAGTTAAAGTATGCTTTATACCATGGTTGTGTCGATTCTTGTTTACATGGGATCATGTATGTCTGCCTGAGGCCACCAAGATCGGCCAGGGTTGCGGCTGTCAGTCACTTTGCTTCTCTTCTCCTTTTTAATTCTCCGATCATCTCGCGATAAAGTAAAGCCACAAGCGGCAGCACTGGTTCCAGAGGTCTTGGCCTTACCTTTGATCGACAATATAATATGAGCTAACAGATTTGATATTCGCACAGAGCAGGACTTTTGATGCCCTTTTGCCTGTTATCACTGACCACAATATTCGCCTCTGCACCCCGGCCTATGTCATCACGGCCATTCACCTTGAAATGAGCTTAACGAGCTAGCCGCCGCATTGGTCACTACTCGCCACCCGCGATATGGCCCTCGTCGTGATATCGTAGCCGGGCCTGTCACCGAGCGAAGGTCCAATGGCTCGGATCCGCTATCCCCGCTTATCTTGACTGGAAGTTTGGCTCACCAGTGGATCTTCTCCTCTTGGCTTCCCGATTCTGCAAATCTCACGCCGCGGTGCCCGCGGGACGCGCCCACTTTCTTGATTAGCAGCTTGTCTGCGCTTCAGACTCCTCGTGCAAAATGGAGACGATTTCCCGACTTGGGGAAACAATCGCAGCCGCACGGGTCTCCCAGGTCCGGCCCTCGTGGCCCTCACATAAGCCGTGCCGCTCATTGGCTACAAGATTTCATCTGAGGGCAATGGGATATTCATCGTTCATCTTTATGGGTCCACTGGGCCATTCAAATTTTTGCAGCCTGCTTGTTTCTGTTACTGGATTGGCCAAAACCTTTAAAGAGTCATGCGTACCGCTTGGCTTCCTTTCTGAGATCTGGATTATTCAGGGCCGTTGACCTTCTATATAACTGGGTTTATCCGTTGGCCGCCACTTTCACCCAGTCCTCGTAGAGCAAAAGGATGCTGTACTTTGAGCTTTTCGAAACTTTCTAAGATCGATCATTCTAGGCTGAAATATGCCCGCTCCTCTTCACTCTCACCCCCATGGTTCCTCATTTGCTCCCGGGCAAGAAGTGCCATCATCTGGAGACAATGGTCCCCGGGTGCATGTTTGTCACGAGGACGAGGATGCCATCGCAGATATTCACCGGACTTTGACCGCCCAAGAGTATTCAGAGCCCCACTCATCCTTCGACAGGTTTCTTGAGCAAGAAGTCCAAGGAGGCAAGAAGCGCTCCAACCTAGGCGTGTGCTTCCAGTCCGTCTCGACTTGGGGCGAAGGTGATGGCCATGTCGATGTGAAGACGCTGGGAACGGCCCTCTGGCGCACGTTGACCTTCAGAGATGTCTATGAATGGACTGTCCAGCCATGGTTATCGGCCAAAGATCCGCAGAAGGGTCGCCCACTTATCCGAGACTTTTCCGGCGTTGTTCAAAGCGGAGAGATGATGCTGTAAGTCAAAATATTGTCAAGTTTAGAGTAGGGCAAAGCTGACTCTTGCCAGCGTTTTGGGCCGTCCAGGAGCTGGCTGTTCGACATTTCTTCGCACTATCGCTGGTCATCATTCCTCTTTCTTAGGCGTGACAGGCTCGATCGACTATTCCGGCCTGTGCCCAGATGAAGTCAGGAAGCATTATCGCAGCGCAGTCGCCTATGTTCCCGAAGATGACGTGCATTTCCCCACACTTAATGTCCGGCAAACGCTCGAGTTTGCGCTGCAAAGCAAGACTCCCAAACGCTATCAGGATCGGATCCCCAAATACCTGGAGATTTACGGTCGAGTATTTGGCATGACCCACACAATGAACACGCTCGTGGGCAACGAGTATATCAGAGGTGTCTCTGGCGGTGAACGCAAGCGAATTTCCATCATCGAATCCCTGGCAACCGATTCATCCGTGACTTGCTGGGATAACTCGACCCGTGGCCTCGATGCTTCATCTGCTCTGGATTATGCGCGCAGTTTACGAATTATGACCGATACCTGTGGAAAGGCGACTTTGCTTACACTATATCAGGCATCGGATGCCATCTACGAGTTGATGGATAAGGTCCTTCTAATCGATGAGGGCCGCATGCTCTTCCAAGGTCCGGCCAAAGAGGCAAAGCGGTACTTTGAGGATTTAGGATACGAGTGTGCGGATATGCAGACTACATCCGACTTTCTCACTAGTATCACAGTTCCTGAGCGACGGAGGTTCCGACCTGGCTGGGAGAACCGGGCCCCGAAAGGACCTATCGAGATTGAAGCTGCATTCCGACAAAGTCAGGCATTCAAGGCCATTGAAGGCTCGGTAGAGCAATACGAAGACAGAAGGTTTGGAGGCAAGGGTAGCTCGACATATCCTACCGACTCCGAGTGCGGTAGCGTGGAAGAGTTCAAGCGGACTATGCAAAGCGATAAATCCCGCTTCGTATCGTCCAAGTCTCCCTATACCATCTCCTTGTTCCGTCAGATTGTCCTTTGCTCTCAGCGCCAAATGTGGCAGTTGAAGGGCCATATGGGTCCCTTATACATCAAGCTTATTTCTGCCGTGGTGTACGGTCTCTTGGTCGGCTCAATGTTTTACAAGCAACCCCAGACAACGGATGGGATGTATTCGCGAGGTGGAGTTCTTTTCTACTCCTCCATTCTGCTCGCATGGCTGCAGATGTCAGAGCTGGAAGATGCCATGCAGGGTCGTGATATTCTCAGTCGCCAGAAGAAGTTTGCATTTGTGCGACCCAGCGCAGTCTGTCTCGCTCGAGTTATGCAAGATATGTTGGTGACATTCATCCTGACATTCTTGTATCTGATCGTGTTGTACTTTCTTTCTGGACTACGCTCTGAGGTAAGTCGCTGGCTTGGAAGATGGTTCTGCGCAAGCATGCTGACATATCGCAACCAGGCTGGTCCGTTTTTCATCGACTTCCTTTTCATCTACACGTGCACAGTCTGCCTGACATCTCAATTCCGAGTCTTCGCCGCCATGTCTGGAAATTTCGAGGTCGCATTGCGATATTGCGGTGTATCCGTGCTATTTTGCATTGTTTTTGGCGGATACGTTCTGTCGGTGGACAAGATGATCCAAGACGTCCCGTGGGTTGTATGGCTAGCCGTAAGTTTGGACTGACCGACATGCATGAAAATTGCTCTGACGTTTTGAAAAGTATACGACCCCTGCGCTATACACTTATGAATCTGTGATGGCTGCTGAGTTTCATAATGTGAACTTTACCTGTGCTGCATCTTCAATTGTCCCCTCTGGCTCAAACTACACCAATGTTGCCTACCAGTCCTGTGCATATGCGGGAAGCAAGATCGGCAGCATTGTGGTGAACGGTGACGATTACCTAGCCGCGCAGTTTGGGTTTTACTATAGCCATGTCTGGCGCAACTTTGGTACGTTTCTCTCTGAAAATATAGTTGAATGGTCATTGCTTAGAAAACTAATTAAAACACTGTTTGTTAGGCATACTCTGTTTGTTCACGGTCGCCTTCATTGGCCTTACTTGCTGGCTAAGTGAGGTAATGGAGTGGGAGCTGGACAGTGCAGGCCCAATTCAATACAAACCCACCCAAAGCTGGTTCAAGCGAAACAAGAAAATCGGCAATGATGAAGAGAAAAAGTCAGTTTCAACAGACCCACGCGCAGCCCCAATAGGAACTGCAGAAAATACTCCTCTGCAGTCTTTGGAAGCGACCGAGTCCACATTCACATGGGCAGACTTGGAGCTGAACGTGCAGATCGGAAAGGAGACCCGGAAGTTACTGGACGGAGTCTGCGGATATTGCAAACCTGGGTCTCTTACAGCGCTTGTTGGTGCATCTGGAGCCGGGAAATCGACGCGTAAGTCTATACCGCAGTTGTATACAAAGCGATGGCTGCTGACAGGTGCTGTCTAGTACTGACTGCCCTCACTCAACGGCAAAGCGCAGGTGTCATTACAGGCTCCCTGTATGTCGACGGCCAGCCCATCGATGGTTCCTTCAACAGGCAGATTGGATACTGTCAGCAAATGGACATCCACGACGAAAGTAGCACTATCCGCGAAGCATTCGAATTCTCCGCCCTGCTCCGACAAAGCCATGACATCTCGAAAGAAGAAAAACTGGCTTACGTGGAAACGGTGCTACACACACTGGACCTCATCGACCTGCAGAATGCGGTCATGGGATCTTTGGATATCGAGAAGAAAAAGCGTGTCACGATTGGAGTCGAACTCTGCGCTCGACCCAAGCTGCTGCTATTCTTGGATGAACCAACTAGTGGACTGGATAGTCAGGGTGCGACTAGCATTGTGGCTTTGCTTCGGCGACTGGCAGACCAGGGGCTAGCTGTGCTATGTACAATTCATCAGGCAAATCAGCAACAGTTCGAAGAGTTCGATCGTGTTCTGGCCCTGAGCCCTGGTGGCAAAACCTATTACTTCGGACCAGTCGGTGAATCTGGAGCAGTGATTTTCGATTACTTCAACAAGAATGGCTACGTTCCGCAAAATGTCACCAACGCCGCGGACTTCCTAATCGAAGTGGTCGTCGGTGGTATGAAGGCCTCCGAAGACAAGGTCGACTGGGCGTCGATCTGGCGGAACTCACAGGAAGCTGAAGATGTTAAGAAGGAAATTGCCAAAATCCGCACTGGCAAGAGCCATGAGGGCCTGGCCGCTCCACGTCCGCCGCCACTGTACCAGCAGATAACCCTTCTAACCCAGCGGACTTGTCGTCAATTTTGGAGAACGGCTGAGTACCCATACTCACGCCTCTATTCATCCTTCTTGCATGCTCTTATCAACGGGCTGACCTATCTCCAAATTGGGAACAGCTCCACCGATCTACAATCCAAGGCTTTCTCTTGCTTCTTGGTCCTAATGCTGGTGCCCGAGTTCATCAACGCGATCTCTATGAGATTCATCATTAACCGTGATATCTGGTTGGCAAGAGAAGGGCCTAGTGGATTGTATAATTGGATTGCTTTCAGCACTGCGCAGATCATTTCAGAGATCCCGTATACCATTGTTGGTGGTGTCATCTTCTACGTGTTGTATTACTTCATGGTTGGATTACCACTGGGCTTCGCAGCTGGGTATAGTTTCCTGATGTTCTTCATGTTCTTCCTTTTCGCCACATCATGGGGACAGTGGATTGCAGCTTTGAGGTGAGTACTCCAATATTTATTTTCAGAGTGTTCTAAACTGACAATATGCCCAGCTCGGACTCTATGATCGCCGCTACCCTAATGCCATTTTTCATCATCATGTGTGAGCTGTTCAATGGCATTCTTCGACATCATGACCAGATGCCGGTTTTCTGGAAGTACACAATGTACTACGCCACGCCCTTCACATACTGGATCGGCGGCGTTCTAACAGCTGTCCTCGGTGGCACGCCTGTGATCTGCACCGAGAGCGAACTGACTCTTTTCGAGAGCCCACCGAACATGACTTGCGGTGAATACGCCGGTCCATGGCTTTCGGCACAAGGTGTGGGATATTTGTCCAATGAGAGCAGCACCGGCACTTGTGGATACTGTCCATACAGATGGGGCGATGACTACCTGTCCGGCATTGGGCTGGATGATTCCAAGCTTTGGCCGTACTTTGGCATTTTCCTCGCTTTCACGATCGCCAACTATTTGATGGTTTATTTGCTGGTCTATGTTCGATCTGTTATGAAGCCATTCTGGCGATCGAAGTGAATAGTTCGTCCAGTGAACCCGTTGTACATAACGTGAGCAGATCACCGGGAACTATGGATAAAATTAGGACTCGTCTACCCTGAATCCTTCATACTTTAATTTTGTAATCAAAAACTAGCGTTTCCAAGTATGTACTTTTAAATTCAAACTATTGTGACAACATAAACAATACAGCATTAGGATTTCAACATCAACTTTGATGTGAACGCGCGACAGCCAAAACGGGCAGTCCAATGCGCCTAACTTGCTTAGTACGCATAACGGAAGTAAGGATTCTCGCGATCAGTGAGGCCAGCCCACTTGGTCTCGTCCACCATAGCCTCGTTAACGGGACCCTTGGTCTGATCCCTGCGACGGTTCTGCCACATATAGTATAAGAAGAGAACAACCGACAACACAGCGGCAGCAGCCTGGGTAGCGAGAACCGCAATTTTAGCAGGTCTGTATTCCGGAGCATCGCGCGCTTGGAAGGTCTGAGGACCGATGATATTGCCAATGGAAAAGGATCCAGCGACGAGGGCACTGGCAAAGGCACGCTTGGTGTGGCCTGCACAGTTGGCCATAGTCCACTGATAGAGGATTGGAAGAGTAGCGACGATCGCATTAACCAGATAAATTCCAATCAACACGCCAGCCTTGTTTCTCTTCGGCAGGAATGAGAGCAGACCGCCGCCGATGATGCCGGGAATGGTGCAGAGGACGTTCCAGGCCCAACGGTTGGAGGTCTTGCGGATACCGAAGCCGACGAGGAGAGTGAAGAAGATGCTCACGATGCCGGCTGGGGTATTGAGGAGGGCGGAGATAGGACCTGAGAAGCCGAAGCCAGCGATTAAGGTTGCGGAGTAGGTGGTTACCACACCACTTGATACAGAGATCTGTAGATATATTAGCACCGGTGCTCATAAAACTGACAACAGGTTGCATACCAGGATGGTTGTCAAGGTCAAGAGCCAGAGCTGGGCATCGAAGACTGCGTCCTTGATCTGTTTCAGGTTCAAAGTGGAACTCCACACGCCAGTCTGGTTCTCGCTGACGTGCTGCAGGAGAGCAACCTTTTCGTCCTCCGACAGCCATTTAGCCTTGATGGGGGTGTCCGGAATGAAGAAGAAGGTCAGAGTTCCGATGACGGCAGTGATCAGCCCCAGAACGAGGAACATGATACGCCATCCCTCCAGAGAAGCATGGTGAACATGCTGGAACGCGAACGAGATAATACCACCCAAGATTTGGGCAACACCTAGACCCATATACCAGAAGGTAAATCGGGGAGCTTGCTCACTGCGTGTATAATACTGGCTACTCAGCAGCATCAATGAAGGGCCGACGGTTGCCTCGAAGATACCGAGGAAGATTCGTGCGACCAGCAGACTCCGATAGTCACTGGCGCCAGCAGAGGCGGCCGCAGCGACACCCCAGAGGAAAACGTTTCCTCCGAGCCACTTAGCAGCAGGCACTTTCTGGAGACAGTAGACTAGACACAAGGTTAGTCAGTTTCTGGTAGTCATCACAAGCACAGACATATGTATCCCTTGCTAAGGGAAGGGGTTGGGTGACACGAACCGTTGGGAACCTCGGCGATCAGATAGGCGATGAAGAACCATGTTGCCGTGTTGGAGAACTCGTTGCCAGCCAGCTTGAGGTCTTTCTTGATTCCCATCACCGCAGCATACTAAGAAATGGAGAATGGTTCCATGTCAATAGCTACTCTCTCATAAAGACACCATTGGTTAAGACCGGGGTAACTGCAAAACACTTACATTCAGCATGACCTTGTCCAGGAACTGCAGCACATAGCAACAGAACATGTAGGGCAGCAGCCGCCGATCGATCTTGCGGCGCAGAGCCACCAGATCCACGTTGGGGTGCACATCACCATGGCCCTCGAGATACACCACCGCCTCGTCATGTCGATCGGCGCTCGCCATATGGGGCATGGCTTCTGGTTGTTTCTCGCCCATCTCGACAGGACAATAAGCTCTGATCGAGGGAAAAACAAAGGAACAACAGGGAAGAAAAGGAGAACAAGAGATATACCGAAACTAAAATTCACGAACAGAAATGAGATGACAATTTCAAAGTTTAAAGAAAATAAATAATGATTTTAAAAGCACACTAAAGCCAAAGATAGAAGGAGAGGCAGAGATAGAATTGGGGGCGGTGGTGGAAATAGTGTGGCTGCAACGTGCATTTAACGTGCAACAAAAAAAGCGTGAAACAAACCCACCCAACCAACGAATTAGCCAAGAATAACCACGCAAGTACATCCTCACTATGTGTATTAACGAATAACGAGCTCCACTGCCAGATCAGAAGGTCTAGATGGAAATCTTCCGCGAATCGAGTCACATCGCTCTCGGCGAGTTCTCGTCCGGGTGGGGGAGTAGTAAGATATTAGGGTTCGGCGATGCAGTAGATGCAGTAGTCGTGGTTAGTTCGTTGCAATTTGACCCCAATCCGATTCCTCGCGACTACTAGCCAGAACCAAACAGGTTCATTTCGCGTATGAGGAGCTGACCGGAAATCTTCCAGAACCGGGGACTGCCGCGACTCCGCGAAATGTCTAATCGGGAAGTATGAGTGGCCAGCTAGGGATGGTTACAGTGACAAATCTCTCCTGGCGCAAGGGGGGGGAAAGGAACTAGGAGAACTTTCTGAGTACCCCCGTCTCACCTACAGTAGTTTATTGGTTATTTCCATCAATCCTGAGGACCAAACAAACAGGCCCAATGGATGAGCCATTGCCCGAAAACGCCCTCATCTCCTGAACCTGGGAAGAATGAATGGCCGCATGGCGATTGAGTTTTTCCTTCCACGCAATTTCCATATCCACTCTGTCTTACTGTGGAACATAGGTCAATTTATACAAACTCTTGACGAGATCAACCACGCAGAGTATTAATGCAGCAGGGGGGATTTCCACGTGGAATCTTGCATCCGCTCTCAATGTTCTAAGTCTGCCCTGGTCATTTCGACTATCGTCGCTCTTAACAACTCCCCGCGACGATGGGTTGGGTGTATAATGCCTCGCCGGAGGTTGAGGCGGCGTCGCAGTACCAGTTGATTCTGGGCGTCTGCGTGAGTTTGACAGTTTTGATGATTATCACGGTCTGTCTTCGCTTGTATGTGCGGGCACAAGCCAGTCGATTGGGTGCTGCGGATTGGGTGATGGTTGTCAGCATGGTAGGGAAATTCCAAACGCGACAAACTGAGAATATACGACTCGTGATACAGGGATGACTGATATTGGCACCGACTCAGATTTTCAGTATCATTTATGCTTCATTGTGTATTGCTCGTGAGTATCCTTTTCAGTATATCTTGTGAAACATCATTCTGACTTGCTATTAGAAAGTCGATATGGACTCGGACTACCGCTGCTACTACGACCCAAGCCTGATCTCCCTACATATACCAAAGTAAGCAGACTTGGTTTCTTGCTTGCACATTGACTTGGAACTAATAGATATAGCTCAACTATGCAGGTCGCCCATTCTACCAGCTCGGTATCGCCGGATTCAAAGCGTCTCTGTGCCTCAGTTACTTGCGTCTCATTTCGGGCACCTCGATGAACATCTACCGGATTCTAATATGGACGGTTATCGGGCTATGCACAATTGGCCATATAGCAGGCGCTTTGGTTCTCATCTTCAACTGCTCGCCGGTATGGGACAAAACATCTACACTTGCGACCTCGAGGGACTCGATACTAACATAGCGTTTGAATTGTATAGGTCAAACGAGCATGGGACTCCAAAGTGGTCGGCACTTGTCTCCCCGTCGGTCCTACATTCTACGGTCTTGCCATCTTCACGATTATCTGTGATGTCGTGATCATATTCCTCCCGATCCCACTGCTGCTACGACTGAGCATCAAACCCGCCCAAAAAGCCGGGGTCGTGTGTCTATTCTTGCTCGGCCTGTTCACGACGATCTGCTCCATCCTGCGGCTCACCCAGATCCACCGGGTAGCCTTTGGCGACGGAAACTCTACTATGCTGGTTCTCTGGGGAACTATTGAATTTAATATCGGGGTAAGTAGAAGCGATCTCCCGGCACCACATGCGAAAAAGCAAATTTGCCAAACCTAATCAGGGCCCATCTCTTAACTAACGCAAAATTTCCATCTAGAATATCGTGACTTGTGTTCCATACCTTGCTCCGCTTCTTCGAGGATTCGTGCGTGACTTCCGGTCAACCAGTGGTCGGAAGTACTACGATACTCAGGGGCGGAGTTATGCGATGGAAACGTGGTCCAAGGACCAGCGCTCGCATCTGCAGTCGAATGCATCTGGACCACCCCTACCACGGCGCTCGCCGAGTGAAGAACTTATTTTGTCCAGCCGGGAGCCATCGCATGGTGGTATTGAGATGACAGTGGAGTACTCGGTATCGTTAGAGAACGAGACGGAGAAGACTCCGAGGTGAAGAGTCGGGGGTCATTCATAGCACAGAATGCCCGCCTATTAGTATATGGTCTTAAAATCGATGTATATAATTGTGAATTCTTCTCTTTCGGTGCATGTTATCTTCCTTCCTTCATTATTTCCATTGCGTGCTGTTCTAGTCTCCTTGCTGCCTCGATACTATCGCCGTGGCATTTGGACAGACCCGGGACAATAAGGAGTATATCTTCCGAGTGGGGAGTCAATACTACGGGTACTAGGGAAGTCTATCTTGGAAATATAATAACAACCAAACCTCCGGAGGATGCCCCATCCCTGCTTGACCTTTCCGTAGAGAACAATGCAAAGCGAGAAAAGCCCAGTGGTCCAACAAATCCACAAGAAAAATTCTCATACAGGGATTATTATTTCCCTCATAAAACTCTGTCGCATTAACCACACCCAATCACACATATTGAACGTCCTTCACGACGCTAGACAAGGGTATCGCGCCACTCTAAACTCTACTTCGGGTGTGCAGGTCCGGTGAGGATGCCCACTCGGGTGGGTCCGGGAGATCCTCCAGCAGCGCAGTCGATATGCGATGCACGATGACTGGACAAGCAGGAAATTGGGTTGGCGCCGTCGAAAAGATGGGGTCGATCTTAGTTGCTTCGGGCCGGGTGGGTTTCAGGGCGGCGGAGTCCGAAGCGTTGATGCAACACGAATTGGGGGAGATGTTTTGGTCTGCGACCAGGTTTGTTTCTCTTGTCAGAACTCAATTTGGGAGTAGGTAGAAGCGAGATGGTTAAAAATTTAAGAATTGCAGGGTTCATTCTTGAAATATCTCTTCTGGAGGTTGGCGAGAATAGCGTTTTGCAAGAAGCTTGCACTGGCGGGTCGGAATGCCAATTTTGGCCGGGCCGTAGCCTGTGGTCCTCGATTGAGACATAATATGCACTAGTCTACTACTAACTATGCGCAGTTATAACGTTTTAATATGACTATCGCCCAAGCTGGGTAAGGTTACTTCATTGTGGAGGAACCTTATGTTACTGATTAGGCGCCCGAGTTCCTCTGGATTCGCCAAGTGTATCCGAATCCTTCGAACCAAAAGTACTACCCACTCAGCATTCCGGCGCTGATGCTTTATTCAGCAAGAAACGGAATGTTCTGCGCGACTACAATGTATTTCGCTGACCACTCCGTGAATCCTTCATGTCATAGCCAGTAATTCCTCCGAGACACGCTCCGACAGCCTTGTTAGAACAGGAGTATCTTTGTTGCCATTACCCGCTACACGAATACCAAAGGAGCCAAAAATACTCCGTAAAAAATTCTCGGAGGCCTGTCTTACGTGAATTCACCCGGCTTTCGGGCGCCAGATACGAGGTTGTACTAGCCACCAAAACCAGGGGAAAAGCCACAAGCCATTTTGACCAACAGACCAAAGCTTTTCCTTGTCGCACGCTGCCCGCCATGTCTGACACCCCAGTCCTGATCGTCGGCGCTGGCATCAGCGGCCTCGTTTTGGCTCAGTACCTCAAAAGTCAAGGAGTTCGGTTCGAGATCTTCGATCGCGACTCCGCTCTGGATGCTCGCACGGGAGGATGGGGCCTAACTCTGCATTGGGCATTGCCCGCCCTGCGCGCGCTGCTCCCGCAAGACGTGGTGGAGCGGTTCCCGGAGACTTTCGTCAACAAGGAGGCCTCTGCACGCGGGGATGTGGGGAGTTTTCAGTTTTTCAACCTTAAGTCTGGAGAGGCGCTGTATAGTGTTCCTGCGGAGGAGCGAATTCGTGTGAATCGAGGTCGACTGCGAGAGCTTCTTACGTCTGGAGTTGACGTTCAGGTACGGTTCCACCTAGAGATAATCCGATGCATATGTAAAGAGGGAAAATACTGATATGACAACAGTGGAACAAGGTGTTGCAGAGCATCGAGTCCTCCGAGGACAGTATCACAGCTCACTTTGAGGATGGTTCGTCCTATACCGGCCGCCTGTTGGTCGCTTCCGACGGAGCGCGATCGCGAGCTCGGCAGATCTTATATCCAGATGGGTGTCAAATGAATTCTCTCCCGGTGCAGCTGCTCGGAGCATCAACTCTGTATACGACTCAGGATATGGGTGGAGCGCAGTCCATCGACCCGTACATCTTCCAAGGGTCGCATCCCGATACGAATGTGTTTCTCTTCTTTAGTTGTATGTTGTCTTGGAGAATACACGTGAAGACCACAGCCCTAACAAAGTCGCAGTCCTCGATACCCCAAACAACTTTGATGAAAGCAGCAAGGACCGGTACCACGTCCAAATAATTGTGTCATGGGCTGATGAGAAAGAGATCGAGGTGCCCGAGGATAATGCTGACCGCATCTCCCTCATGAAGACACTTGCCGACAACTGGGCTGAGCCCTTCCGGGCCTTGGTCAAAAAGCTTCCAGATGACACTGAAGCACGCTCAATCCGTATCGAAGACTGGATCTTCAGCCCAAGCCGCACCCATATTCACCCTCGCGCAGTACTTATGGGGGATTCAGCACATACCATGACAATGTGTATGTTTGACAAGACAGCATGGATACAACCCTGAAAGTCAGACTTTTGCTAACCATAATCATAGTCAGAGGCGAGGGAGCCAACAACGCCATCGTCGACGTCCAGGACCTGATCAATCACGTGGACATGAAAAACCCTAAGTAAGAAGGCTTTTCAAAATTAAAGTATAAGACTCTATTTTTCTAACAAAGAAAACAGGTCTTTCGACTCTGACACACTTTCCAACTCACTCGATGCTTACAAGCATGAAATATTTGCCCGCGTTGAGCCCAGCTTCCTCAACTCTCGCCAGGCCTGTCTAGATGCCCACGACTTTTCACGGATTTTGGCTGGTAGCCCGCTTGTTGCGGCCAGAATCCTAAAAAAGGAGACGAATTAAGCGGCATACTTGATCAATTCAACTTCTGTGATCATTAACCTCGCAATATCCTATACTTCCACTTCGTATCCAAACTTGCATGTTCTCTATACAGCCATACGTATCCACTGGGAAAGAATTCCACATTCCATCTTGGAAGACCTACAGTCTGTACATTTACAAATGATATGTATGAAGGCGAACGATACCTACGCCTCAATCAACCGCCCTTTTCGGTTCGTCAACCGCCATTTCTGGATCGTTTGATTCGTTTGCTTGACGTGGGTCACAAGCTGCATCAACCACCACAGCTTCCTCGCGGATTAGACGGTCTTCTTTTCCTTCTACACGCATCCGTTGTTTTCACACTTGGCAGCGTGTCTGTTCATTCTACCATTTCCCTACCTCTCTCATCAACTATCTTTCGTCTCATTACCTTCCTTGTTTGAAAATACTTCGTCCTAACAAGCCTATATCATGTCTCTCCGGCTGTCTTTCGAAGACGTGGCCGGGGAGGTCTTTGATTCTCCCCACGCTGACCACCTCAAGTGTGGTATCCCGGTAGGAACATTCATTCCCGATTCCGAGCTTGCACCATCTCGCGCAACTGGCAAAGTCATCCTGCGTCACCGCCGTCTCGTGTTTTTTACCTTTGACGAGCTGGGTAATCCGAAATGGGAAGCCCGCGAGTTGAACTACCTCGGCGAGCCAATGAGCAAGGTGTGCCCAGGAGTCGTGTTTACTACCCGGAACTGCCGTGGAAATCGCAACACTGATCTGTTCTGCGAGTTCCGTGACATGGAGTTGGTCGAATTCGAGCGTGAGGCATTCAAGTTTCTCGCCGCGAAGCACCAGCTGGACGAAGAATGGAACTGGCCCACTTACGATATCATGCGAGCTGAGCCCTACCGCCGCTCACTGCGTCAAGTCCAACAGGAACGCTTGGAACAAGGTAACTACGCTGTGCCGACCTTCAACCACAATGGACTGGATGATGCCCGGCGCCGCGAGTCGTTTTTGAACCGCCTGGAAGGCATTGTCCAGTGGGAGATGGATAACAAATTCGCGATCAACACTCGATGGAACCACAAAAGTGTCGAGTACGCCCAGGAGCGCTTCCTGCTAGCCTCCCGAGCCGTGGACCTGTTCCAGAAACTTCTGCATGACACGCAGATTGCTTGTGCCTCGGATCTGAGCGACACCTCCTATGTCCCTCGAGTTGCTCATCAGCAGCAAAAAGAGGCCCCTGCCCCTGGCTCTCTTGGCTCGCCATTCGATATTCCAGAGGAGCCAGTCTGGTCTCCAGTCGGAGGTCAGCAAATTGCAGCTGCTTCTACTCCTGGCTCTGCTATCTCGCCATACCCCGTTCCACGAGCCCCGTTCTCGACCCCAGTCAGAATGAACGACCCGCAACACATGTCGACTCCCACTCCCAACAGAAATATTCGACGTATGTCTGGAATGGATTGCGCGCCTGACGATCACCTGCCACCGAGTAGACAAACCGGCCAGCTACCCCCCGAACCAACCACGCCTACTCATACCCAGTCCATGAACTTCGACGCAGGAGCGCAGGCTGGTGAAGTTCCATGGTACCCCCGCATGGCGTCAACACTCAGATACCTGTCGGTCAGCAGTACCCTCAAATCACCCAAGGAAATGAGGGGACCGCTCAACCATGGGAGGCTGGCCATCCTAGCCCCGGATATTCCGAGGCCTCGACGATCATCCTGCCGCATGTGCTGGTGAATGAGGGCACCATTAACCCTCACATGGTTGAGAACAACCCTGGCCCAGGGAATGGTGGGTCTCACGTACAACGTGTGATCGTTCCCATCGATGCAAATGAGCGCATTTGCATTGATGTCTCTCGGGAGTTTGTGCCAACTCCCACCAATGTGTATCCGGGGCCCTCTATCTACTGAGTGGCTTCAATACGGGCGTTGTGAGAGTTTGAGAGTCTGGTGGAAATATGGGACATTCATGATCTGGGATCGAGAAGACATGAAGGTGTATGACAATTTCGACATATTTTCAGAGACCATGTGGAGGATTTTTATGTTAGAAGTCATGTGTTAGATGTCGGAATGTATTATTCTCTTTACAATTTCTGGGTTCGTAGTTATAAAAGATTATCTGTAGGAATTGTGTAGAGTTGAAAGAAACACTATGTCTGTGGATATACAAACGCCCAGTGCGTCGCTCAAGAAATGTTGGTAGAGCAGTATCTCACGTCGCATTATCCGCCTTGGACATACAAAAACAAACTTATCAAGGCACTTGATTCTGGGGTTTCTGATCTTCGTATAGCGCAAACTGCCTTTGCGCAAGCCTCTTGGTAACAACAAGATTAGTACAGAACTGAAATATGCCAACAACACCCGCTAATAGTACCCCGATCAACGGCCCCAGTATTGCAAAAACAGTGAAGCCCCACGACGCATTTTGAAAAGATGTATTCTCCCCCAGACGGCTAGTTGCTAACCCAACCTGCATCGCAGTCAACACCAGTGCAATGTAGATGGTTGCCGCAGTTAGTGGCCCCAGGTAATCACGGAATAGCTCCCCATATGTTTGATAAGTGAATTGATACCCTCGCAAGGGACTTCCATATCGAAAAGCATAAATTTTGTTGAGTTGTGACAGTCTCAATTCACCGTAGAGATATCGGGGGTTGATGTTACTCGGGTTGGTGACTCCATTGTCAAGGAGTTGGTGGACGAATCGGAGCCACTTCTCCCAGGTCATGTCCTTTGGAAGTAGGTGATGGTTTTGAGCGATGGTGAGATCACATTCAAACCGTATCAGAGCAATATAGGAGTAGAGGAGTCCAAGGGCACACTTGTGGATGTCCTTTGTACATTTTGTGGCTCGGTCTGGTGCGACATGATTGCTTTGTGCGGGTGCACAGCATGGGCCGTCGCAGGTAATCAAATTTGTGGCCCAGAAATCGGTATCTAGAAGATACCGTGGCAGAGGTTTGATATGGAGGCTTTGAGGACGTTCCCAGACTAGGTGCATGTCAATTCTCTGGTCGACGACAATCTCACGGGATGTAGCGAGCTGATAATTCAGGGGCTTGGGAGGCATTGGTTGGCCAGCCAGCCATAGGTATTGATGGATGTGATTGAGTCTGTCCACACATAGATCTTTCTTCAAGAAGCTTGGGATATCCTCTGTAGGACGAATGAGTAGATATTGAGATGTCTGGGAGGAGGCTGGTAAAAGACGTGATGCGGGGTCGAGCTCATGGTTGGAACTGAAGGTCTCCTTGCTGAAAGGCAAGCCTGGTGACATTGAAAAAGAGGATAGCCAGCTTTGCATTCAATGCTGGACAGTTGCTAGTTGGAGTGTTGAACAAAAGACTGGCAAAGAATAGTGTGCTGACTGCTGGTGGCTGGAGATGCTTTCTTAGTGCTTAACACGTGCTTAGCCGCTTATGAATACGAGACCTCAAAATTCCAATAAAGAAGCATACGAGACATTTCAGTACTTTGTGTATAAACCATGGATCTTCGATATGTGGTGATATGTTGTCTACCTAACTATAGATGGCCACTTACTAAGATGCTATCTGACATGGCAGCCTCAGGCTATAGGACCGTTCAGCCATAGAGCAAGCAGTGTAACCTTATGCAGAGAAAACACGGGAGATTGTGGTTACAGACTGATTAAGCTTGATTTCATGACTAAGAATTCAAAAACTTCTTTCACGATTTTGTTGAGTAGAGGAGCATATGGTCATCTTCGATGATTCTGGGTCTCTCGTTCTCCTCGACCGCGGGGTACCCGCGGAATGTCCGTGGATGCCACCAAGCCTCGCCACTATCCGCTTTCCGAATGACACCGTGCTCAAAAGGGGCGAATGAAGCAGGCCAACGACATCAGATAAAGGCCACATGCAGGTCAATTTCCATCAGCACACTCCACTTTTACGAGGCTTTGGGTGTGACTCAGGCTGTTCATCCGACGCCAAAAAGGCTTATCAATCAGGCATCACCACTTCGGGGCTTGGCATTTCTGCCAAAAGGGGTAACTCCGAGACCGGACAACTTCTTTTCTCGTGTTAACTCCCGGACTCGTTGCATAGAAAGTCCAACTTTCGCCCTCTTCAACGCGATTCTAGACATTTTCTGTCTTTAAATGCTGTCGTTGAGTTGTTGAGATTCATCAAAACCGCATCGCTACACACCACCGACTGCGAGTCTCCCAAAAAGGATATTACTGCGAGATTGCGTCAGCAAGGCTTTACGCGAGTCCAAGAGCAACTTATACGCACACATCCTCGAAAGAAATGCATCTTCGCTTCTCATGAGACGAGGTTCTCTTTTACAAATACAGAAATTATCACAATGAGCGATTACCACGATTCCTTGCCTCAAGATGAGGCCACCGACTCCGGCAGGGTCATTCAGAGGCGGCGTCGACCCCCACTATCCTGTACCGAATGTCGACGACGCAAGTTAAAGTGCGATCGATCACTTCCATGCGGGCAATGCGTCCGGTCAAAAACGGCAGACTCCTGTGTCTTTGTTGGCCCTCAGCCGGGAGAGACATCGGGATCCTCACAGCGCATGTCGCCCCCCGTTTCTCGCATGCGACTACCCAGCGGTTCGGACGAGCAACCAGGCAGCACGGGTGGCATGTTTGTTTTTGACTCAAAAATGGGTCCCAAGACTACTTCAAATCGTGTCTCCAAGCGTGGCCATCAAGATGAGCTTCATGAGCTTCGCCAGCGACTACGCACCTTGGAGCATGCATTGGCAAAGCCTGGCGCTACCCTTCAAACCCCTGAGACCTCCATTTACGATACCTTCTCCGAGGTTACAACTTCTCAAAATAGCGTCGAGGGCGCTGGAGTTGATGATCGGGTAAGATTCTTGCCTGACTGTAGCTTCCGAGGCAAAAAGGGCAAGACGAGATACTTCGGTCGCAGCCATTACAGCACAACAGTATCATTCGTAAGTTTACCCCACAAAATTTGGATATATGAGCAATTTACTAACCCAAGTTATAGTTTCAAGATATCGGCACATTTATGCGTCGCAGCCACAAGAATGTCAAGGACAAAGAGTATAGCGAGATGAAAAAGTTCAAGTGTGAGATGTGGTCGCGTGAAAGTCAGGAACACCAGCGAGCCTTTCGAGAGCAGGCTTTCAAGCTCGACGAGATGGTGCCATCGCGAACCGTTGCCGACAGGCTGCTTCAACTCTATCTGGACACATTCGAGACCACCTATCGAATTCTGCATGTTCCAACTTTCCTGAAACAATATGCCGATTACTGGGCTAATCCCCAAAAGCCAGACATGGCCTTTGTTGCGCAGCTACTGGCAGTCATGGCGGCAGGCAGCCGGTTCTACTCGCAATCCCCAGAACACGATGAGAGGGACACTTATCAAAAGCCGGCAATGAAGTGGATCATGGCAGTCCAGTCTTACATTTCTTGCACTTTTGTCAGTCCTGATATTAATTTCAAGATGATCCAGACACAGACTCTTCTCCTTGTCGCTCGACTTGCAATTGCCAGCGATGGCGACGTTGCCTGGGCTTCATCGGGCTCTCTTATTCGTTCCGCGATGACCATGGGACTGCACCGTGACCCAACACGCTTTCGTAAAGCGGTCACGCCATTCTGGTCAGAGCTTCGACGTCGATTGTGGACAACGATTGTGGAGATCGATCTGAAGATCTCTCTTGATCGTGGCGTTCCCCCGTCAGTCGATTTGGATGAGTGCGATTGCGACGCTCCATCCAACTGGGATGACTCTGAATTATATGAAACCATGGAGAATAACCCAGCACCTTTGAGTACTGCAAGATACACCCGCAGCTTCTACCAATGCTTGCTTTCGAAAACATTGGAGCTTCGATATCGGGTCGCGAAGAAAATCAATACCTTACGGTTCGACTTATCATACGACGAGACTCTCCGAATAAGCGAGGATCTGTGTCGGTCAATGAAAACCGCATCCGATCTATTTGAAGACAATGCAAATGGAATCAATCCTTCCGATGCCGCCCGCCACCGATTTGCTCAGTCTCTGCACCTGTTTATAATGCGCAAGTTCCTACTTGCCCTCCACAGACCTTTCTGTCTGAGCGTTGTGCGACTACCGAAATGCTCTTACTCTCGAAAGGTCTGCCTCGAAAAATCTCTAGAGATTCTATCGCAGATGGAGCTTCCTACCCCTTCCGACCCAATTCTTTACCCCCACATCACACAATTAGGAAGTGGTATGTTCTGCGATGAAACCTTCCACGCAGCTATTACGGTTTGTGTGGAGTTATCCCTCCAAGCTCAAGAAATGAGCCAAGCATCCGGTCCAGCAATGGAAGGAATGAACACGAGCGTGTTACTCAGCATGGTACAATCACAGCAAAACGTGATGCTACAAGCAGTTGAGCGCAGCCTTGACGACTTCGGACGAAGAGTCGGTAGTGGCACTGGCAAAGGTAGCAAGCCATACTTCTTCTTAAGTCTGATTCTGGCATCCGTCAAGTCTCGCATCAAGGGAGAAGATCCCTTCTGTATGATTGAGGCAGCATCCAAGCGATCCGTTCGGGTCGGCCGAGGCATCGTGAGCGGCCTTTCATTTGACGAGGCGTTGGCGAGTGCGGACCGACCGCCTCCACAGGTGAGCTTCCCATTCTCTTCTTCTTACGAAGAAGCTTTGCTTATGTGGAATTATCAGCCTGCTATTTCTCTGGATGGTCCAATTGAGACCACTCCTCTCTCTGTATCTTCTATTGATTTTGATTTCCCTTCTTTGTTGTCTGCGGACTTTGGTGATTTTGCAGTAAGTTCTACATTCTGATTTGGAGTTGGGGATCGTTGTGCTAACTATTGTAGCCGCTTGATTTGGGGGGTTGGTTTGACGGTTTGGATACTGGTGGCGCGGAGCTCTGGGACAACAACCTTTTTACGGACTTGCCGCAAATTTAATGAGGATATCCTATTGGCTTTTTGAGGAAGGGCGTGTTTGGAGGGAAAAGCATCTGTGTTAATACATAATCTCCGCTACAATGATACCCAAATGATCTCTGCTTCTCATCAAGATGAGCTTTCTTTCTTAGCATTAGCATGTAAAACGACCGATATCTCTATATAGTAACTGGTCTCTAAAAAGTCACCGTAAGATTATCCACGTATACACGTAGTAGTAATTGTGAAGACGTAGAGTGGAACGTGGGCTAGTTGTTCTCGTTATGAGGGATTTTGGAAGGACTTATAAGAATGAAGCGACTGTAAGGCCAGCAAGTCACACAATGAAGGGCAGTAGTGAAGACCCACTTTCGATGTTAACAGTACTGCTTGCTTCAATTTTTAATTATTGAAATAGAGGAGTACACAATATTTGGAAGTTTTTGACGCCATTCTTGTATCCAGATAAGATCGACAGCCAAACGACGATTTCCCCCAGAACCACTATTTCCAGAAAGCATTTACATCGACTTGGCACTGTCACAACATAGCTCTCCAGCGCAGAACAATTATTATCCAACGTATGTTTGGCACAATTCGAAGCATTCTAATCGCTTGACACGCCATCATCCCTTGATACAGGCAGAACATTCTAGCCCTGAATTGTTGATAGGGGTGATAAGGTCGGCGGCATTGCCGATCCGTGCATACGGCGGGTCGGCAGGCATGAACTACTGCTTATGGTAGCTTTGATTGGCTCGATTATGGCGAGCTGCGCAAGGATGAGTGGAGAAAATTGTACCAAGCTTCTTAGGCACAGTTGATCCTTCAGAAACGGGGTTGTGGTGGCTGGTTGTAGATGCAATTATTGTAGCACTGCATGTTTGCTACTATCTTGGATTTTGCACTGCGTACAACCGTACAGTAGCTGCTGGAGTATTTCCTTGAGTCTTGGTTGAATTTTCAGTGCTTTAATTATTTTGGAAGACTGCCCCATTTATGATCAATCGCCCTTTATCTTATAGTACAATGAGCTTCAGGAGGGATTCCATCTGTATGGCAAGGTGTATGGCGTAAATAGTAGGTCGAGGTTTGCTTCAACTGTTATCTGTGATACGTCACAAGCTCAGTAGTACCCCTGGGCCTTGCAGGAAGGGATATCTAAGCCCGAGCTTCCGTGTCATCTTATCATGGCAGGAGACTTCGTCAATGGGTTCCTAAGAAGGGCGCAAACATTCCTTCGAGTCAGAGCTGAATCATACTGGCATTTGCACAACTTATCCAGCTACTGACCCGAACTGTCCGAGCTTCGACCCCTCTCATCGATGTCTCATTGCGAAGACTTGACCTCTCGGATCAACCCAAGCTGATTTAGAGTCATGCTCTTTGAAAAGGTTATTCACACGTGTCATTGATACCTCGCGACTCGCGAGACAGGATGCTTCATCCAATCCTCGACATTAGCGGTTTCAATGTCGCTACTACGTTCGCTGGTTAGAAACCAAGGTCCCTTATTCAAATACTTGCCAAGATACTGACTTCAGCCAGGCATATTCCTACTTGGTTTTGGGTTCATCTCGTTGAAGATTAAGCAACGATGGTACCTTGGAGAAGCATGTATGTATTTCATTCCGCTTGTGCGACCGCCACTAATGATTAGCAGTGCCTGCATTTATTTTCGGTGTTTTACTTGGCCCGTTCACCACAAATCTGATACGTGTGAGCGGATGGAGCAATGGAGGTGATGGGGAGGATGTCGGAGGCGTCGCCTATGTACGTCTCCCCACAGGTTCATTCGACTGGAAGACCTAAAATCTAACAAATGCAGGCATTGGCGCGTCTGGTCCTCGGGATTCAGATGATCAAAGTCGGATACGAGCTGCCGAAGCGATATCTACGTCGGCGCCTGGTTGAGCTAACCATTTGCCTACTCCCATTAATGGCAATACAATGGCTAGCTACATCAGCATGCATCAAGTTGATGATCCCCCATTTAACTTTCGTATGGCCCATCTACCGCTTCCTCAGAAGTGATGGTCGCTAACAAGTTATCTTACAGTTGACAGCTTGTATCATCGGATCCTGTGTCATCTGTATAGACCCCGTCTTGTCTCAAGCGATCGCAAAGGGCCCCTTTGCGGATAAATATGTTCGACGACACCTTCGAGAATTTATTTCGGCAGAAGCGGGTGGAAATGACGGATTCGGATTTCCTTTCCTTTTACTCTCGATTGCGCTACTGCGGTACGATGAAGCCCCGGAAAACGGCGCGGGGCCGATGAGACGTGATTGGATCGGAGAGACCGATGCTGGTCGGTTTGGCGGCGACGTTGGTCGTGCATTAGCTCATTGGGCAGTGGAAGGGGTTTTGTACATGATAATGATGGGCTCGGGGTATGGTCTATTCGCAGGATTTGTCGGTCGGAAAGGCTTGAATCTGGCTTCCAACAGGTATGTTCCTCGCTCATCCTTAACTGGAAGGACAAGTGTATTGACACAAACTCAGAAGATGGATCGATAAGGAGAGTTTTGTGTTATTTCCAGTTGCCCTTGGAGTAAGTGAATTTACAAATCTTCCCGATTCCTTCTGTCGTTTAACTACTTTACTACGGACGCTAATTTCGACTAGCTGTTCATCGTTGGCACTTGTGGCTGCTTTGGAACTGACGAGACCCTCGCTTGTTTTATCGCGGGATGCACGTTGAATTGGGACGGGTTGTACCATTCCGAAATCGAGGCAAGACATGATTCGTTCAACTCCTCTATTGAGACGGTGCTAAATTTCGGCACGTTCGTCTTTCTTGGAGCCGTTATGCCGTGGGATCAGCTCCATATGCCCCATGTAACCGGAATTACGGTTGCGCGATTGGTCACATTGGGCATACTGATTGTATTGTTCCGACGAATCCCTGCCATAATGCTTGGCTATCGGTTCATGCCGAAGGTCTGCAGGGATTGGAAGGAAGCTCTATTTATGGGCTACTTCGCCCCGATAGGTGAGTCTAAACTAGTTTCAACCGTTGCAACGTTGGCTCACTGTGGATACAAAGGCATTGGAGCAATTTCTTACGTTGAATATGCGCGCCGACTGCTTCCAGATCCCGGGCAAAGCGACGCCGAGATTAATGATTTGACCGCAGCCATGATTCCAGGTAGGACCGTGTTCGAGTCTCAATTATAAAACGTTACTAATTTAGCCATTTAAGTGGTCTACTGGCTAGTTTTCTTCTCGATTGTCGTCCACGGCCTTTCAATCCCAGTGTTGAACATTATCTACAAATGGCTACGGGTCCCTGTTATCCACGACCACCCTGTGGAGATTTTGTTGTTATCGGAGAATGAGCCCCTACCCAATAACAGTGTCGTGAATCGGCAAGCCCACCACGTCACAGTAAACAATCGCTTTTCCTGCATCTCCAATCACACCGAAGGGTCGGAGCTCGGTAATAGTCACCAGGAAGACTCGGACACTATCAGAATGATTTTGCGATCGAGTAACCAGGGCCGAGACACTTGTTCTCTAGCGCGAAGCTCAACAAAGGGGTCCTCACGCCAAGTTGAGCAGATCGAAGCTGGAGAAATGGTTTGACTTGGCTTCACGTTGTACATATTCCCCATATATCGGAGGGAAGTCCAGTCAGGCTCAATTACGTAATAATTCAAGTGCAAACTTGAATGCAAGACCGAAGTCAAATGCCCAAGCTATGCGATTACAATTTGGAATTACCTTGATTCAGTGCATTCAAATCAATAAAAACCGGTCGTATTCGTAGCTAAAGGATTATTGACACCATTATTCAATGTCTAGATTTTCATCCAGCTGATGCGCTGTCCCTTAGTTGCCATTGGATAATATCTCCATCAAACCGTAGTCGTGCGATCGGGATATCTTCGATCGAGTGCATAGCCAAGTCCTACCGAACAAGCTAGCCTTTCCCAAAGCGATACTTGACCGACAAAACTAAGTTTATTATCCTCGGCCAACCACAAACACACTTGCACTTGACCCGACGATCGCGTCGCCCACAGTTTTGGTACCAACATGCAGATACTTAAATTGTAACCGGGCCCGCCCCTGACGAAATAGTGAGGGGTTCGCAAACAAAAGTCCAACCTGATAACTATGTTGTAAGTACGTGTCATTCGGGAAATATTGTGGAGAAATTTTTGCTAATTTAACAGGTCGTTGCTGACAACACTCGGGTTGCGCGCTGCTCCAGGGGGGCAGGTCCCTAACCACGCCGCGAGCTTGCTCTTGGCGAACTGGTTCATCGCATATGTCTGGATGAGCACCCGCTTCAAAAAGATTTCCTTGGGAATTGACAATAATGTGGCACCTCGCGAGGACTTGGCAATTTTGGGCGAAGCTGCGGTGAAATCCGGCAAACTTAGCAGAAGCATTCTCAACAGACTCAAGCGAGAGGAAGCAGCGCATGCGAATGCTATTGAGCATTTCCCTGTGTTTGTAGCAGCTAGTACGTCTAACTATTCATTTTCCTCGTATACCTACATAAGAAGTTAACCTCAACCAGCTCTGATCGCAGTGTACGCCGGAGTTCCCAACCAGACCGTCAACACATTCGGTGTCTGGTATACGGTTTCAAGAATCGCATTCAGCATCTGTTACTCATATATCGAGACCCCAGCTTTGAGCTATCTCCGCTCTGCGGCATGGTGGTCTAGCAACATCAGCTGCGTCACTGGATTGATTGCGGCAGCGAAGAAACTATAATTGGCCCGGTCGGGAAGCATTGACAATCTGTATATATATCCCCTCGATGCCTCTTGAATAAATTTGGAAGCATCACCTTCGGGAGTCTTGCCAAAGTCTAATTTCTTCTTCTTTATTTTTTGGAGGTGGTATGGTGGAATATATATCTGCGCACCTTGGATTGAAAACAAAGCAGGCACACAAACACCCTCAAACACCAGGTATCTACGTATACACAAGCATCAAATTCCAGTTCAAGGCATTTAAAATCCACCGCTTTGTGGAAATCATCCAAGTTACTATGATCAACCTGACTGAGCTAGGTAGATAGACAGCCGCATACACGGAGTACCTGATATAGAAGGTGCTACTAACAGGTGACGAAGATATCGAAGATACCGAGGATTCGTGAAAGGAGCAGAAAAATGAACCCAATTTGAAGACATCTGATTGCTTATGGAGTTCAAGGATCTTTAACCCCCACGCTGTAGCCTTGAATGAACCGAGCCGGGCCTCCGCACGACGCATCCTGCCACAGACTAACAGCGTGGGGGGATCGTCGGACAACTTCCAGCTATCCCCCATATTCTGCTCCAGATCTCACACTCGCATGAAAGGGCGCACACTTGGCTGTACGGGTTTTATTGCTGATAAGGGTATAGTCGCTGCTAGCATATATCATACTGTGCATCGGACAGTTTCACAGACCTCTTCCAAGATCATTCTCAGTATGTATTATATCTCGTGTCTTGGTCTTGGATGGGAGTAATTGACGGGAAGACTTGTTCAGTACGAGCGATAAAACCGTGTCTAGGCTCTGGTGAAATGTGAAGTGACGACTGCCTCCATGAGTCTCAAACCCTCGGCCGGGCCAAGTCCGAGTTTCACAAGGCTGCTGTGGGGAATGACTCCTGGATGGTATGCACCCCCACGCCTTCCTGGCATATCCCCAGCCTTGGCACCCCCGCAAAGATCCCATTTCCTCTAGTCTTGAGTCTGACTGGCAGAGAGTGAAGTGATCTTCTCAGATTTGGGACATATTTTGTCTAGATATGCACCTGACATCCCTTTCATGTCCCCCGCGTACTCGGAACTGCTATTCTTGGGAGAAGACATGGGTCTTACAGGAAGGCCGAAGGCGTGGGGATCGACTGGTATATAAAGGAACTTGCCGGGTCCCAAATTTTAGATCTTGAACTAGCCAACCTTTCTAGGAACACTTGTTACTTGCCAGGACATTCTCATGGCTAACAAAGAGAGCAATCCCCCGAAGGAGATTGAATATGTTGTTGATGAAAATGGCAAATCAAATGGTAGTCCATCAGCGATGCCATCCTCGTTGGCCGTTCTGTCCGAGGTCGAACTTACCAAGATCGGGCGTCGAGCAACGCTGAAGCTAGACGCCCGGATCATGCCATGCATGGTGTTGATGTATATCATGAACTACCTCGACCGACAGAACATTGCTGCTGCCAAATTAGCTCAAATCGACCAAGATCTCAACATGACAGACGTGCAGTACCAAACCTGCGTCAGCATCCTGTTTGTCGGCTACAGTACGTTCGAGGTTGGTCTGAAATCGAGCTGAACCATGGCTAATCATGGTATCTTTAGTCCTCATGCAAGTCCCGTCAAATCTCGTCGTGGGCAAAATCAGGTTTCCAGGTGTCTACATCTGTGTCTCAATGGCCCTTTGGGGCGTCCTTTCCGCCTGTACAGCCGCTGTCCACAACTCTTCCGGCCTCATGGCATCTCGTTTCTTCCTTGGATTCGTGGAGGCAGTCTTCTTCCCCGGAGCGCTTTTCTACATGTCATTGTTCTACACCAAAAAGCAGTATGCGATGCGAACAGCCATCCTGTACTCTGGCTCCCAGATTGGTAACGCCTTTGGCGGCCTGTTCGCTGTCGCAATCCTAAAACTGGATGGAAAGCATGGGCTTGAGGGCTGGCGATGGGTGAGCATTCCTTGACTCTAAAATCTCAGCTGGCACTTGTCTTAACGCCAACCTACAGCTTTTTCTGATCGAAGGTGTTGCCACGGTTGGTATAGCTATTATCCTTGCATTTATCCTGCCCAACTCGTTGAAGTCTATTACTGGACTGAGCAAGTTAGAGCATGAGTACTTACTGTGGAGCTTCGAGGAGGATAATGGCCAGCAAGATAACGCTGATGAGGCCAGCGTGCAAAAGGGCGTAATGATGGCCGTGACAGACCCGAAGACATGGTTTTTCATGGGCACTCTTTATTGCGTTTGTACTCCAATTCTCTCATGCCCTCATGTTTAGAGACTGACGAAAATAGATCTACATTGCGGGTGCCGTGACCAACTTCTTCCCTTCAGTGGTTGCCACTCTTGGATACTCCCGAAACAAAACATATGGCCTTACTGCGGTTAGTATCCCCCCAGCATGTGTTAGAACCTTTTCAATTACTCATGCGGATACTCTACAGCCACCATATATGCTCTGCGTTTTTGCTATGATTCTGAATGGTTTCCACTCGGACAAGGTATGTGACTAGATACGCGGCCAGAAACTCGATCTAATGAGGCATCAGAAACAAGAGCGCTACTGGCATATCGTCGGCCCGATGGTTATCTGTCTTGTGGCTAACATAATAGCTGTCTCGACGCTGAACACGGCGGCACGATGTAAGTCTCCAGTTCGATTAAAAGTGCCAATAATGCAAAGTCACTGACCATCACTACGATGTAGATGTTGCCATGATGTTGATGCCAGGATCGTTCTACTCGGCAGCTATCGTTCTTCTATCATGGGTAGCTGGCACTCTATCGCAACCGTCCATTAAGCGTGCCTCGGCTATTGCTTTGATCAATGCAGTCTGCAATACTCCAAATGGTGCGTTTAAGAAAATCCCTCTTACTTCCCATACTAATAATCCATGATTAGTATGGGCCTCCTACCTTTACTACTCCTCGCCAAGATATCTGGCAGCCTTTTTGGTCAATCTAGCCGCTTCCGTCTTGGCTATTATCCTGGCCACCGTAACTCGAGTTTACTTGCAGCGTCAAAACAAGAAGCTTGAGCGTGGCCAAGATGTGGGGCGAAATGGCCCAACCCCAGCCCAGATTGCTGTTGGATTCCGCTATGTGGTTTAGGCTTTCTAGGGAGCTGATTGAATAGCGTTGGGAATACCAACGGATCTTGAATTCGCACCTGTATGCTGTTCAGCGCACATATGTATACAGTGAAAGATTAAAACCTAGTTATCGGACGGTCTGTGCATCAGATCAAGGACTCAGAACATATAGTAAATCGACTCTCCTTTTTTACTATACGAGCTCAATTATTGCAGATTAATAAGTGACCGGCAAATAGTTAACTTATAAAAGATCGTCATTGGTAATTGAGGCTATACTTGACACACCGACCCCTTCAATTCCGCACACGAGCCTTGATTGGTGGAACAACCCCTTTCCAGCATACGCAAATCACCACTTCCAAGACGGCAGATTCCCGCCCGCCCACAAGACAAAGTTCCCCAAAGAAGTGTCACTCTAAAACTTACAAAATTAAACCTCTCCGCATCCCCGCGGCCAGGTGCTTGGCAGAATGCGGAGAAATCCGCCCATGCCGAGATGCGCTCCAAAAGGCTGGGCACAATACTGCAACATGTTCCTGTAGATCGTTTCCCATTGAACTCTCGTGTTGCTCAGGCCATTGTGCATTGTTACAGGCGGAGAAATGTAATTTGTTTCCCCGCGTGCCAATGCTGAGCTAGATGGATGATGTTGGGGGAGGGGAGTACAAATGGATGAGCGTTGGCAATCGTAAAAAGTGGTCAAAGGTTTCCATTGAGAGTTCACCTAGCAAGAGGAAATTGGCAATTGAGAAGAACAATTTTCCTCATTGAAAGAGTGCTTTCATAGTTATTCAAGATGAAATTCCTCGCTCTCGGCGCGCTGCTCGTCGGTGCAGTTACTGCTGTTTCGACGGGTCGAGTTCCCCAGGGTGCTCATGTCATCCCTGCCAACGACAAGTCTTCGTTGCGAAATGTTGGAGCCCACGGACAGAAGTACCCTGACCGTCGGACTATCACAATTCGGCCATCGAAGAATGACACGGACGACATCTCGGATGACTTCCTTTGGGGCATCAAGCATGCTAACCACGGCGGCCGGCTGCTGCTGCAAAAGGGCAAGACCTATGTTATTGGCAAGAAGCTTGATCTGAGCTTCCTGGATAACGTCGAAGTCCAGCTAGAGGGTGAGATCAAGGTAAGCAGCCTGCGTTGACGATAAACTTCGAGCCAATGTCTAATTCGCCCAGTTCACCGACGACATCGAGTACTGGCAAGCGAACAACTTCTACTACTCGTTCCAAAAGTCAATTACCTTTTGGGTCTGGGGTGGAAAGGATATCAAGATCTTCGGCCATGGTACCCTGAATGGTAACGGTCAGGCTTGGTACAATGCGTTTGCAGGACGAGAGATTCTGGTACGGTGACAGCCTTGAGGATAGCCTGAATCTCTGGCACAATGCTAACAGCATTGCAGGACTCCAGCAACACCTTCTACCGACCAATTCTGTTCTTGACCGACAATGCCACTCGCATCAGCGTTGAGGGCATCACTCAACTGAACTCGCCATGCTGGACCAACTTCTTCGTGCGCACCAACGATGTCTCCTTCGACAATGTCTACATCAACGCGTACTCAACCAATGCCTCGGTAATTGATCCCGATGCCCTTGACGAGTATGTAGACTAACCAGGCTCTTCATAGGCACTGCCCAAGAACACCGATGGCTTTGACTCGCTCAACGTGAACGGACTCAGCGTCACCAACACCCGCGTCGATATTGGTGACGATTGCTTCTCGCCCAAGCCCAACACATCCAACATCTTTGTGCAGAACTTGTGGTGCAACAACACCCACGGTGTGAGCATGGGCAGTATTGGACAGTACTCGGGTGTGATGGACATTATCGAGAACGCGTACATTGAGAACGTAACCCTACTCAATGGCCAGGTAAGCATATTCATAAATAACCCAGCTCATTCCCAGTTACAATATCTGACTCACCGCTACAGAATGGTGCCCGTCTCAAGGCCTGGGCTGGTCAGGACGTCGGCTACGGACGCATCAACAACATCACCTACCGCAACATCCACATCGAGAACACCGACGCCCCCGTTGTCTTGGACCAGTGCTACTTCAACATCAATGCGACCGAGTGTGCAGCCTATCCATCCGCTGTCAACATCACCAACATCGTCTTTGACAACATCTATGGCACTTCTTCGGGCAAGAACGGCAAGGAGGTTGTTGATTTGACTTGCTCCCCCAACGCAGTGTGCTCGAACATTCACCTGTCGCGGATCAATTTGACCAGCCCTGCGGGTAGCCCACCATTGATCACCTGCGATGGTATTCAGGGGGATATTGGTGTGAACTGCACTAGCTCGACGTGATAGGATTGACCTGGAGAAGCAGAGAAAAGGATGATCTGGTAGATTGACTGTATTGTTGGATAATAGTATATTGGAGATACTCTTGTTCTGCCCATTGAATCTTTGTGGGGAGCATAGGAACAGTCTCTAGTCAAATGATAGATATGATGGATTTTTCTTAGCAATGCTGTATACCTCGTACTCGTCGGTCTGCATGTGGATATCCCCACAATATCAAACGGGGATACCAAAAGTACCAAGGACACCGCAAGCGAGCGGTGCTGAATGGCCAGAGATAATATGAGAAAGCGCGACAAAGCGGATAATAGCAACGCAAATCAACGACAGCAGCTAAACCTCGTTGGTCATTCCGGTAAGCTGCTCCTTACGGCCTAACGGAGCTTTGGCCACCTCAGCTGCATTTGGGGCCGAGACGCGTAGCCTGGGAGATTTCTAGCGGATTTCATATTACGCGATCCATACCCACGACTACGTTCGCTACGGAGTCCCAGGAAGCAATCCTATCTATTTCTCTCTCTATTATTCAGCCCGATCCCTGGCTTGTGGGATGGCTTGAGACGCCACCAACCGCGCCCAGCCGCCAAGCGGGAACAAGCATTATGCGGCGTGTCGGGAGAAGGGAGGAGAGTTTTGGTGAAGTCGTCAACCAAAAGGACTCGTTCTCCACGGAAAATGCATCAAAACGACTCTCCCCATGGCGGGGTCTGGGGTATTACCTGTCATTGAGATGATCGCAGACCCCATTCTTGCGAGGCAAAATGATCTCCTCCAGCGATGATTGGCATTTTTCAATCCCAACACTCTCCACACCCCACAATCCCCACACCATGTAGACTTTAGCGGGCAAAAATCATATCCGGACACTCTCTACCATGGCCAATCGCAACTCGAGTCCAGCAAAGCTGCGACAAACTCGCCTTCTTGGCTCCAGTTCTCCAGTTTCTACGTCTGGGGGTGGAGACCATTGGAGTCATGGACCATCCTCCTTGTCCCCGCCCCCAGAACAGATCCAGTGAGTATCTCCGAAGGGTTGCGAAACCCCGGACTTTGCACAGAAAAGCGACCCTGCGTAGGGGGCCCTGTATATAAGGACGATCACTCTGGCCGCTTGATCTCCCTTTTTCCCACTCGGCACCGGACTTTTCTCTCTTGTACTTTTAGGGCCTTTTCTTGTCCGGGCATCCTTTTCAATATACTCGTCCTCTCTTCTACTTGTGATTGTCTGTGACAGCCATGGAGAAGATGGATAGCAACTCCCAGCATGTCGAGGGGGTACATGCAAAGGAGAGTGATGTTAGCCCCGGGGCTGTCGAGTCCGGCAAGCACGAGGCATTCTATGTCGAGGACCGAGTCGCCCATCTTACTGAGGAACATCGCCAGTATCTGCTTGCTCGCCATGGAACCCTGGATTTGGATCCGATTCCAGACATGAACGATGCAGACCCGTATAACTGGCCGACCTGGAGGGTAATTACACCACCCCTTTTATCGAAAAGGATTGAATAAACTAGCACTATAGATGCTAACACACTTCCCGTATAGAAAACCGTCAACCTAACACTGGTCGTCTTCCACGCCATGATCGGTCTTTTCACTGCGGCTTCCATCCAATCCGCCTTCGTCAACATCTCGGCCGATCTGGGTGTTAGCATGCAGCGAACTAGCTACCTGGTCTCCCTCTTCATCGCCGTCCTCGGTGGTGCACCTCTCTTCTGGCGCCCACTTTGCAACCGATTCGGTCGCCGGCCCATCTTCCTGATCTCGCTGAGCTGTGCCCTGATCGGAAACATCGGATGTGCGAACAGCCACTCCTACGGAACTATGGGATTGTGCCGTGCTATCACCGCGTTCTTCATCAGTCCCGCCGCGGCCATGGGTAGTGCCGTTGTCGCAGAGACTTTCTTCAAGAAGGATCGCGCGCGATGCATGGGTTACTGGACGCTGATGGTTACTATCGGTGTCCCGGTTGCGCCATTCCTGTTTGGATTCATGGTTATGCGCGTCGGATATCGCTGGATCTACTATGTCCTTGCTATCGTGAGTTTTTATACTTCCTACCCTCAATGCTCTCCGGTATGCCAAGAATATTATACTAATCAGACCATGCCACTCATAGGTCAACGGCGTCCAATTCCTTTTGTACTTCTTCTTCGGTTCTGAGTCCCTCTACCTCCGCAACGAGAACGCCCCCAGCCAAGTTACCACCGCAAAGGACAGCATCTTCAAGTTCCGCCGCATCGACCCATCCCCCCTCCGTATCTGGGACTTCGTGCAGCCCCTGACCTACGTCACCAAGCCATGCGTCTTCATCCCTGCCTGCGCCTACGCCATGATCTTCCTCTGGGGTAGCATCGCGCTCACCATCGAGATCCCCCAGATCTTCCCCGAGCAATTCGGCTTCAACACCCAGCAAGTCGGCTTGCAGTTCCTGGGAGTGATCATCGGCTCGGTGATCGGTGAGCAAATTGGTGGCCTGATCAGTGACCGCTGGATGGCGGTGCGACAGAAGAAGATCGGTGCTCCTCCAGCTGCCGAGTACCGTCTGTGGCTGAGCTACATCGGACACGTGCTGACTATTGTCGGTGTTGTGGTGTTCGCTGTGCAGTTGGGCAAGGCTGGTGATAAGTGGAACATCACTCCTATCGTTGGTGCGGCTATTGCTGCCGGTGGTAACCAGATCGTTACTACCATCAACATTACCTACGCGGTGGATTGCTACCGTGCTGATGCCGCGAGTGTGGGTGTGTTCATCACGTTTGTGCGACAGACTTGGGGATTCATTGGACCATTCTGGTGAGTTTTACATCTTCTCTTCGGGATACACATGGATTATGCTGACTTTTTGAAAAAGGTTCCCCGAGATGTTTGAGACTGTTGGTTGGGGCGGTGGTGCCGGTATTGCTGCGGCTCTGATGGTGGGTGTCAGTGTGATCCCGACTATCATTCTGCAGGCGCGTGGATCCAAGTGGCATTAGCCATATAATGTATGAAGGGAGGATATTATGTTGGTAATTTGTATAAGCTTGAAATCTTTTGGAAAGCACTTAGTCAATGAAGCTTTGAATGGATAGTTCAATTCATAGCTAAAGAACACTTTGAGTGATCCGAAAATCTCTTCTAGTAATATTAGGTAACTTGGGAATAGTCCCATGACTTGATAGGGCATCCCTCACTAGCTCATAGGTTCATCTTGGATTTATTTCTATTTCAACGACTCAGCCTCTTCTTCTCCAAGGCGAAATGCTCGCCGAAGACGTAAGTGGGGTAATCTCGATACCTGGAGGGGCGAGCTGAAGAGCCGCCAGGGTGTAAAGCCCACTGATTGGAGCCACGATTCTCAAGGCGCTAATATGCATGCACCGCCATTCCCATCTGGCGCCTTTGAATTCCTGATAACTCCATTAATCTATTGGGGGACTTCCACTTTTGAACTTTCTCATCTAACCTAACAATCATGTCCGATCCCATATCCTTGACAGGCACCGCCGTAGGCGTTGTGTCACTCGGCCTCCAAGTCTGCGGCGAAATCGTCTCTTACTGCCAAGCATGGAAGGGCTTCGATGAAGACATTCGAAACTTTTCTCAAAAAGCCGACGGGCTTCGCATTCCTCTAGAGGTTCTACGAGGACTTCTAGCAAATTCCCAAGAGACTGACGTTACGACTGCTGCCGACATCGAAGACAAGCTGCAACATATTGAGCGAGTGATTACGAGGCTCAAGAATGCGACAAAACAATTTGCATCGCGAGCATCTGGCGAAACTGCTGCTATTCGAGCCCAGTTCAAAAAGGCGACATACCCTTTCCGCAAGAATAGCTTGCGTGAGATGTCCAGTGACCTTGATAGCTTACAGCTGAGTTTACACACAATTCTGCACGCGTCAGTCCACTGTGACCCTTATTCATGAGTTCATTGGCCTAATCTTAGCATTTATTAGACTCTCGATACAAACTTTGCTGAATATACAGCAGGCAACTACTCGAAACATACATGACGTGGTACGATCAACCATTTATAGGGGAATGTGAACGGTTTTGATTGATGAATTTCAGAATACGAGCATCCAAGTTATCCAAAAGCAACTGATGCCACCGATTAGCCCACAGAATCGAGGCTCGGCCCATGACAATGGGATTGCAGCCGCTTCAAAGTCGTCACTTATAGGGTCGTCACTTATACACCCAGATTCCACCCCAATTAGCGCGCTTTACCGGCCCCGCCCACAGGCAAACGTCAAGTGGCAGGGCAGGAATAAAATAAAGACTTACTCTCACAGCACCCGCATACTGAGGCTTGCGATAAATTTCACACTATCGGTGTCAAGGGGCACAGCGGGTATTTCAATCGTCCCGTCTTTACATTTGAGGCCCCTACGGGATGCAAATTCCAGCCACGTGCTGGACCTATTAATTTCATTTGCCCATAGTAAAAACGAGAGAAAGCCAGGTAATTTCCAGGAGCTCGTTTCCGCAACTATCATACAACTGCAAGAGATATTCGATAGAGGCGAGGCAACACCTTCTGATATATTTGCATATTCTGGGGAGGGGGACTCCTTCTCAATGCTGGACGTAGGTGACCCCATTTGAGATTTAAAGGCATTGCTGATCAGAATAGTATATGGTTCTTTTGCTGAACGTGAATACTTTTCGTGAATGGAAAACTTTGTTTCGGTTTTTGATTGATTGCGGGTCGAGCCCAGGTACATCCAACTATTATTACACCTGGGTCGTCTCGGCGAGCCTGACTTCGGTCAGCCTATTGGCAGGATGGTACGACATTGGGTCCCGCTTGATTGATTTCTACGGCTATATCATTCGACCACCATTGTCTTTAGCCGAGGGAGAACTCCTTCGATATTTAGTTAACCAAGATCATGATAGTAAGCTCTCACTTATTTCGAATATTCTACTCCAGCAGTGCGGTTCAATACTAAGTTCCCATAAGACGTTACCGTGCCAGAAATCTCAAAGGCCATAATACTCGAGTCAGAGCATGATCTCAGAGCAGCCATTGCGTCGAAGCCCTCTTTGGTAAACGAAAGAATCGGCAACTGTTCCTTGCTTGATTTGGCATTTGGTTGGCCAAGAGGGATACAGATACTATTGCAAGCAGGTGCGGATGCGCATGCTTATGAGATCAATTTCGTCCAGGACACCAGGTCTAAGAACATATATGACTCAGTAAAGCTTCTGCTTAAGGCTGGATGCAAGTTCAGCTTCCATCATATTGAAAATTGCAATGAAGTCGAGAATGGCGACAACATGAGAGACCTCTTGATTAGGGAGCTCATCACACGACTCCAAGGTCTGTGGGAATTGGCTAAACTTTATTTGCAACCAGACGAGTGCCCTACGCTAATCGACCAGGACAAAAATTCTAAGAACACCGTCATATTCGACGTTAGAACTACACAAGTCTACGCAAAGCTTTCAGAGCACGGTATCGCTGTCGATCCATCACTGCAAACCCCCCACATTTATCGGCGGGACTCCGTATATCATTGTGAATTCTTTTCTGCAAAAACAATGCAAAAACTCTACGACTTTGGATTCAGAGGAGTCAATGACCCGGACATAAGCGGGGCCTTGCCGTTGATGGCTCATGGAAGCCTGTTCAGCTATAGTATGGGGGAACTACGTGGCCAGCGATTAATGGAGCAGGTGCTCTGGTTGATCTCAAAACATGCGGATACAGAACGACTTGTACCGGGGACTAGTTCAACTGTTGGCCATCACCTTACCCATGGGATCATTCGCTCCTTTGAAAATTCCATTCAAGATTGGATTGCTCCTCCCAAAGGTCTCCTGGCAGAATGGAAAAATTACAAGGATATGATCGCAAATTTTTGGAGCTTGGTGGTTATTACTCCTCTTGCAGGAGATGGATGTCTCTGCGCATGTTCTCCCAGCTGGTGCAGCGCCATATCTTTGTTACTGCGCCAAGCTATTCAATTCCTTTCATCAGAACGGGGTAAAATTAATGTCGAGGATCCTGGATTCTGGTTCCGTGAAATGGTGACCTTCTCCTTGCCATTGACCGGAGACAACCTTGAAGTGTATCGGGCGGTCATCAGGTTCCTCACATTTGATGCATTAGGCTTGCGACATGTCTGTTGCGTCGAGGAATCAGTCGGGCCCTGGTATTATCTTAAGCTTCAAGACAGAGACAGGCAAGAAGTGGAGGAAATTCTCGATGAAGAGAGACTAGGGCTGGAAGACCTCGAAATGCTTGTGACCGAATTTGAGGCAAAATTCGATGAACTCGGCCTTCCCATAATGGATTTCCTGCAAGGATGTTGGTATTCTCGCATGGCATCCTTCCTTTTGGAGCGCGATCCGTATGATCAGGAGCATGTTCTAGAGTCAAGGAAACTTGGCGTGGAATTGAAAGCGGAAGATTGGGTCTTGCCGAACCGGGTGTCTTTGTTAATTCGACCTCCCGTGGAAGAAATCGAATCTTGATGATAGCGACGGATATGTGAAAGAGGAAGGACAGCTCCATGTGCTCCTGTGTCTACTGCCACTATCAAACTCATGTTCTCCCGCCAATGAAATCAAAAACTCTTACCACCACAGGAGGAAACTTCCATTTGCACGAGATCTTTGCCCATTCTCTATAGATAGCCCTGAACACGACTCTTTACTACAAAGATAGTTTAATTGCGAATAGACATGACCATATATACATCAACAAAACAAGGGAATATGTACACTATCACACTCACTTCGTAAGGACATAAAATCATACCCAAGTCATATCCATACCAAACGCCCAAACCCAAGCATCCCCTACCACCCCTCAACCCTCCACATCTTTAAATTCATCCCCTCAACCGGCTTCGTCGTAACCGCCCCGGCAATATGAATCTCCTGCTTAGGATCCTGCATCTCAAACGCAAACCTCCCCACAACCCCCGCAACAGCACACCTCAACTCCGCCCTCGCAAAGTCTTTCCCAATACACGCCCTCTGCCCATGCAAGAACGTAATCTGCGCAAAATTCGTCGAAGCACCCCCATTATTATTCGGAACCTGATTTCCCGCTTTATCAGTATCAATCCAGCGCTCGGGGGCGAATTCGTCCCCATTCTCGCCCCAGAAGATTGGCGCGCGGTTGATGGCGTAGGGACAGAGGATGATGCGGGTCCCCCGGGGAACGTGTTTGCCGGCGACGGTCGTGTCGCGGATGGATTCGCGGATTGTGGCGGGGACGGTTGGGTAGAGGCGGAGAACTTCTTGGCAGACGCCGTTTAGGAGGGGGAGGGATTCGAGGTCGGCGTGGGTTATTGGGTGGGTTGCGGAGGGGATCTTTGTACGGATTTCGGTGCGTAGGCGCGTTTGGATTTCTGGGTGAAGGGTTAGGAGGTAGCAGGCCCATGTTAGGGCTGCGGCGGTGGTTTCGTGCTGGAATGATGTTAGGATATGGATCTATAGAGGAGGGCAGATATCAAGAGGTAGGACTTACTCCTGCGGCTAGGAAGGTTAACATTTGATCCACTAGCTCGGTATCGCTAAAGTCTCCGCCCAACATCATCGTGCCGAGAATATCAGCTTCGAGATCCTTTGCTGAAGCCCTGGATGCAGCTAGCATCTCGCGCTTCTCTCGAACGATGTCGTTGCAGAGATTTCGCAGGAAGCCGGTCTCGTTGGCGATGACCTGGTTCAAGCGCCAGGGCACACGTTGGGCGATCCATTGTGGTAAGGTAAAGTTCATAGCCAGGAAGGCCATCTTCTCGGTAGTTGGCTCCAAGATGCGCAAGAAACTCTCAGCGACGGGGTTATCACTGTTCTGCAAAGAGCGGAAATCACGGCCCATCGCGGCAGGACCGATTATATCCAGAGTGAGGCGACTAAAACCACGTTAGCATGAGCATTTACAAGGCAAGAGAAATGACCAGGAACGAATGGCTGTACATACCTCCCCCAAACACCCATCTCCAACTTCCCCACCCCCTCCTCAGGACTAGTCCCCTCCATGGGATTCCCCGTCAACTCCTTCTCCATCTCAACAAGCAACTGATTCGTCTTATCCCACATCAACGAATACATAGCGCGAATATTCTTAATATTAAACGCAGGAGTCAACGCCTTCCGCTGCTTCTTATGAGCCGCGCCCTCAGAAAGAATCAACCCAAAGCCCAAGATCCTCGCGAGGAAGTTACGCGCTCGCCAGGGCTTTTCGAAATCGTAGGTATTTGTGCTCATGATGTCGAGGAGGGCTTGGTGGTTTGTAGCTATGAGGTAGCTTTGGCCTATCATGTCGCGGAGGTGGATGAGGCCTTCATTGGGGATTGTTTTCATCCAGTAGAGGGGCATGCGACCCCGTGGGGAGTCGAAGATTATTTTCGAGTGGCTCATTGGACCCTGGAGACATGTTAGTTTGTGGACTTTTGGAGATGGGATTTAGATAGGCGATAGGCAGGGATATGGGATTAAATTGGGATAGTTGACAGTAGAGTAGATTGATTAGGGTTGTCGGGTAGTACAGTACATACCGAGACCTTGGGTAAATGACGCAGTGGGTTCAAGAAGAACGGCCAAATGACCAAGCTATAGACACCCTTGAGCAAGACATTGACGGCAACCGCACCCAGCACGACGGTGCGGAACGTCTCATCTGCAAAGACGGTGCGCTGAAGTAAGTACGCCTCGACAAGGGTAAAGGCCAACAGGGCCGGAAGACTATCCCCGGCCGCCATATCTGCAGGTTACTCAATGCCAGAATAGACGAAGAAATCTCTCGATCGGAGGGTATGACAAGAATAGGAATAAAACCACCGACGATTTTCTATCTGATTGTCGGAGGATTGAAGAAGGGAAAAAGTCTGGGGGGAGAAAAGATTCCACTTTCAAAGATAGCCCCAGTGCAAACCAATTAATAGTAATGAACTACCGCAATAACAGTCAGGGTGCGTCTCCATGTGGACTCCACCGATCGGCGAGGCACCCCAGTTCGGTTGGGGGTCGACCTCGGTATTGTGCGTATGCGAATGGCTATCGCGTGGGGATGATAACGGTGAGAATGAGCTCATGATTGGATTTTGGCTGCCTATGGGAAGTGGTCAAGTAGTATCAAATGATAATGATAGTCATGGATCGCCAGAGTAGTCCATTATCATGCGATTCTCCAAGTGTGGGGGATTCATGGAGCCGAGCAGCTTGTGAAATCGGAGGGTTGTGATCTCATGCGTACGGTACATACGTTAACCCTAAGATCGGGGTCCCCAGATCTAACCAGATCCGGTAGGATTGTTCCGACGTCAGAGATGTTCCATGTGTGGGGATATGAGACAATCGGATACTTGAACCGACTTCACAGTCTTGAGTATGACTACATTAGTACATACTGTGAAGCAAGAACCTGCGGGGAAGCAGGAACTAAGGGAAACGTGCATGTGAAAGAAGAATTGTGGATTCGCATTGCTCGCTGATTCCAGTTAGTCTGTACTAACCCGCTTTCGTCCTAGTCAAATCCTAATTTACTATCCTTGCGGATTCATGTCGATCCCCTATTCTACAAAAAAAAAGCCTCGGCTGGTGGGGAAGTGATGGTCGCGGCCCTTGAGGAATTTAGTCTCCGGCGGTACGAAAGTAGTCCACTTGAGTAACCACACTATTCGTACCTGGGGAATTCATAAAAAGACCCGATCGACGTAGATTCTCGTAGCTCTTTCATTCTTTCACCTTCACCCTCCTCCTCTCCAATTCTTCACCTCCTACCTCTACCACTACCACTACCACCACCATGGCGGCCTATCTCGACCTCCTCCAACAATACTCCCAGACTGCCCTCGCGCATGTCCCCGAACCCGCCCAAGCCTACCTACGCAACCCACTCACCCAAAAGGCCCTAGGCGTAGTCCTCGCCCTCGGCCTCCTCCGCAGCATCAACAAGTCCCTCTCCCAATGGACCCTCAACAACTGGACCAGCAGTCCACGCTGGAACCCATCCCGCGAACTCATCCTCCTCACAGGCGGATGCAGTGGCATCGGCAAACAAGTCATGGAAGACCTCTCCAAAACAGGCGTCCGAGTAATCATCCTGGACATCACCTCTCCAACATTCACCCTCCCGACAAACGTCACCTTCTACAAAGCGGACATAACCTCCTCCGCGAACATCGCTGAAGTGGCAAAGACCATCCGCGATAAACACGGCGACCCAACCGTCCTCGTGAACAACGCCGGCGTCGGCCACGACGGGACCATCCTCGACGAACCCGAGTCCAAAATCAGACAAACCTTCGAAGTAAACACCATCTCGCACTTCCTCATGGTAAAAGAATTCCTGCCGGCCATGATCCGCGAAAACCACGGGCACGTGGTGACAATCGCCTCAATGGCCTCGTTCGTGGCTCTCGGAGAAATGGCAGATTACTGCTGCTCCAAGGCTAGCGCGCTGGCCTTCCACGAATCGCTGCGCCAGGAACTCAAGTCTTGGTATAATGCGCCGGGTGTGCGGACCTCCGTTGTTCACCCGATGTGGGTGCGCACGCCGATGATCAAGTTGTTGACGGATCACGAGTCGCATTTCCGCCAGCCCATTATGACGGTGGAGTTTGTTGCTGGGGCGATTGTGAAGCAGATTCTGTCGCAGAATAGTGGGCAGGTTATTTTGCCGCCTAGCCAGTCTGCGGCTAGTTTGGTGAGGGCTATGCCGACTTGGATGCAGGAGGGTGTTAGGTCGATTGCGTCGGGGTCGTTGCGGAAGTTGAGGGAGGTGCAGAAGAAGGAGGGTTTGTAGGGAGATGCGAGTATAAGTAGGATGGTTAGGATTTGATTTGGATGTGTGTATATACCCCTACCAGGGATTCGGAGGGATGTTACTTGTTATTTACTTGAGCTACTTGTGCAAATATGATATATGGATTTTGATACCAGATACGGGATAACTGAGTATGTATTATCTGTAAGTCACCTAGGCTTGTTTCATATGAAATCTGAGATATGGTTACAAGATAAAGAGGTTGGCATCCATTTCAACACATTAGAGTCAGATTTACCTCGGAACATGAACTGGTAACACAGTCCCATTCTCGGGGGGGGAATTGGGTCACACCAAGTCTTTTTCGCTTTTCATATAGACTAGACTAAGATCATGTAGTACAGCATGCAGCAAATTACTCAAAGTCGTACAATCACATAACGTTTTTCATCAATCCAGGGCTCTGCCCCTCGAATATCATCAAACCCCTCCAAGTATAATAACCTTAACCTATATACAGAAATTCCTCCGAGAGAAAACAACACAATATCAACAACCTCTCCCCTCCTCACTTCGCCAACTCCCTCAACCAAGACTTAACCTTCTTCCCCTGCTCCGTCTCCTCGGTACTCCCCAACTCCAAATTATAAATAGGAGCAACATGACACTCACGATATCCAACAAAGAGTTCAACGTCCGGGAATCCCGCCTGAATCTTCTCCGCAAAATCACGAATAATCGGCAACAAAATCTCGTTCCCACCGCCCGTAATCAACACCCTATTCACGGGGAACGTTTTAAACCACTCCGTCGGCGCATGCGACAGATCCGTATAATAATCCCTCGTCGCACCGCCCAAATACGCCGTGCTCCACGGCGCCGCCACGGCCGTGGTAATCAAATCACCACCGTGATAAATATCTTGTCCGGGGAACTCGGTATCCAGCAACGTCCAGGGCGCGATCATCGCCGCGCCGCCGAATTTGTGGTTACCCAGGGCGAGAGGCTCGATTTCCGGGTGTGGGTGTGCTGCGTGGGAGAGCACGCCGCAGACTAGGTTTCCGCCGGCGGAGTCGCCGCCTAAGAAGATCGTGGATGGGTCGCGGTTGGAATTGGAGAGAATGTAGCGGACTGCAGAGACGGCTTGGCGCAGTTGGGTTGGGTAGGTTGCTTCCGGGGCGAGGGTGTAGGTGAGACTGAAGACGGCGACGGATTTGCCGGCGCGTTGGAGGTCGGCGATGACTTGGGCGTAGAATTTGAAGTAGCCCATGTTTGCGGGGAGACCGAAGCCGCCGCCTAGAAGGGAAGAAGGAGAGCATGTTAGTCAGGTTTGATCCAGAGGTCAATTGCAGCATGGCCGTGGATTGGAGGTGCTTTTGCTTACCGTGGAACCAGATGAGCACGTTTGTCGCATCGCGATCACCAACCCAGTGGCCCAGCGCGCCGTGTCCCAAGTCCACGGACTGAGGCTGCACGCCGACCTTCTTCACGTATCGCTCATAGATCTTGTTGCTGGGAGGGAGGATAGCCTGCATCTGCGCCGGCGACAGACGCGCAGTCGCCTGGCGGAAAATGGCATAGCCAAAGTGCAGCAGCAACGACTTGGCTTGACGCTCGGTACGCCAGAGACCCGTGAGAAGCGAATACGTTGCCGCGACGAAGATAGTCGCCAATGCGGGGAGAAAGTCTAGCTTCTCGGCGAGCGAGAGCTTGGTCTTTGCGAGGGACATGATCAATCCAGGAGGCAATTCAATCCCTTGTTCAAGGTGTCAACGAGAGAGTGCGAGAGTGTGCCGCTGTACCAGGACCGAGTATGCGATATGCAGGGCAGCACTGGGACACTGGATGCTAGACTCCATATTGGCGACTCCCGCCTGATAAAGGCCCCAAATTTCGTCAAGCTGGTCCCCGTGGGTTCGGTTCTCCAGTCGGAACGCGTTAGTCGGCGACGGCGTGCCTGTGGGGAAAGGAAAAAAAGGAGGCGCTACGCCAATTCAGGAACTAACCATCCGCTCTTCCCCCCACGAGCCTCGGAGCCCTTGGTCGATCTCGCAATGCTATCTGAATGGGGAAAAGATCGCTGTGAGGTCCAATGGTATTTCTCTTTGGGAGAGGCTTACCTTTGGGTCCAGGGAACGGACTTTCGAGAACATGAACATGAATATGGTGCACTTGTTGAGACCGAGGTGGTGTGGTTCTGGTTATTTGTGAAGTGGAGAATGAGGGTCCTCGGCTGCATATGGGCAAGTGTAAACGAGGGGAATGGATGATGGAGATTGAGGAGATTCTAGGTGTCTAGGACATGCGATACATATGCGACCGTTATCGCTGTCGGAAAGATCTAGTCTTGTATGCTGTTCTATGGCTCTATAGTTGAGTCTTGAAGTAGACTGGACTATCGATCTTAGTAGATCTGTGTAACCAGTTCGTTCATATTAAGTACAACTAGGAGATACAATATACAGTTAGCTCATGGTTATAACATCCTGTAGACTGTATACTTAAAACTGTAGATTGTCAATTCGAGCTGTCGCATGTCATCATCTCCAGGTTCTTTAGATCCGCTAAAATGCGTGGAGCCCGCACGGACGTGAGCTCCAGACTTTCGGGACTGGAGAAGTTCGGACTTTTCGTCTTTTTTTATTTTAATTATTTCTCAGGTCCCTTCTCAATCCAGTTTTGGTATTAATCCTCCGAGCTCTGTCAATATTCCTCCGCACACCGTTGTCTGCATCCAGAGGCAACCATCGCGAGTCGATCGATCCACCGCCGATCCCTGATCACCGTGAAACCGAGGCATGTGAACCACTCTTAAATCATTATTTGTTGCGCCATCATCTTCAATCTTCTTTTTAAGTATCATGGTGATCGTCCTTGATCTCCTTCACTTCTTTCCACCCTATCCCTCCTCTACCACCACCACCACCACCTCCTCCTTATCCGCGCCATCATGAACGGCCACGCCAACGGACAGTCGGAGCACCGTTTCGACGTGATCATCGTCGGCGCAGGCATCTCCGGTATTAACGCTGCCTATCGCGTTCAAGACCAGCTCCCTGGCTTCAGCTATGCCGTTCTCGAGGCTCGCCATGACCACGGCGGCACTTGGGACCTGTTCAAGTACCCCGGTATCCGATCCGACTCGGACCTCTTCACATTCGGCTTCGCCTTCAACCCCTGGAATCGCAGCAACCCTATCGCTGAGGGCTCTGCGATCAAGACCTACATTGGCGACACCGCGCGCAAATTCGGCATCGACAAGAACATCCTCTACAAGCACAAGCTCACCAGCGCCGACTGGTCAAATGAGGAGCATGTCTGGAACCTGTCGGTCGACGCCGACGGCAAGGAGAAGAAGTACACCGCGCGATTCGTGATCTTCGGCACGGGCTACTACAACTACAAGCAGCCCCTCCAAGCCAAGATCCCCGGGCTAGACGCCTTCAAGGGCCAAATCATCCACCCACAATTCTGGCCCGAAGATCTAGACTACGCGGGCAAGAAGATCGTGATCATCGGCTCCGGCGCCACGGCCATCACTCTCCTCCCCAATCTGGCCGACAAAGCCGCCCGCGTCACAATGCTCCAGCGCAGCCCAACTTACATCCTCTCCCTCCCCAACCGCTCCGCCAACCACTGGCTCTCCTACATCCTCCCCTCAGCCGCATATCAGCGCATCCAACGCGCAGTCTGGATCGTCACAACCCGTATTTTCTTCCTCTTCTGCCAGAAATTCCCCACTTTCTCCAAATGGATCCTCAAGAAAAACGTCAGCCGCCAACTCCCCAAACACATCCCCTACGACCCCCACTTCGCCCCTAGGTATAACCCCTGGGACCAGCGACTGTGCGTCTGCCCAGATGGGGATTTCTTCAAGAGTCTGCGCGCAGGCAAGGCCGACGTGCGCACGGACACTATCAAGACCGTTACCCCCAAGGGTATCACGCTGAACAGCGGCGAGACCCTGGACGCCGATATCATCGTCACCGCAACAGGTCTGCAGCTCCAACTCGCGGGTGGCGCCCAACTCTCCGTGAACGGGGAGAAATACGACCCCGGCGCGAAGTACATGTGGAACGGAGTCATGCTGCAGGATCTCCCCAACGCGTCATTCATCATCGGATACACCAATGCCTCTTGGACCCTCGGCTCCGACGCAACCGCTCAATTCGTCACGCGTCTAATGAAGACCCTCGACCAGCGCAAATTGATCGCCGCGACGCCGCGCCTGAAGCCTGCCGACGCGAAGAATATCCAGGAACGTCCGCTGTTGAATCTCAGCTCGACGTACGTGACTCTTGCGCAGCGCGTGCTGCCGCGCGCTGGTGATAAGGGGCCCTGGCAGCCAAGGGATCATTATCAGAAGGATATCAAGTTTGCGTTGAAGGGAGATATTAATGAGGGGATGGAGTTTGTGGCGGGGCCGAATTTGCGTTTGCGTCCGAAGTTGTCGTAGGTTTATGACTGCGAGCGTTTGATGGATTTGTTTGATTTGTGTTGATTATCATGATACCTGGGTATATATTTGTGATGTCTTTATTTTTCGATTTGTTATATATTACATCATCTTTATTGGTTACATCATCGCTGGGTTCTGCCCGTCTTGTAGACTCGAGCGTGTTTCCTTGCTTACGTATATAGCAAACTATATGTCTCATTTCTTCCATTCCTTCTAGTGTCTAGATCTAACTCTGACTCCTGATTGGCGGAACTAACAAATCTACATCGTCGCGTCATATCCCACACGATTGGATTCTCGAATAACCCGATCGCAGATCAAGCTTATCGAAAAACCAGAAACTAATACTATCCGCCGACTGAGCCCCATAATTCTGACGGCGCCACCATCTCCCACGATCGATTAAGTTGCGGCGAAACTGGATTTCCCCAGGAACGACCCGATCCAGGCCCGGCCGCATTCCGGGACGCCGGGACAGGGATGGATATGGGATGGTTAGGGAATGATGTCACCCAGTTACAGATAACTAGCATGGAAATGCCATCAGAATAGATCCTAGATACAGGATTCTCGATAGAAATTATTACATAACGAATGAAATTACACGGGCACTGGGTAGATATAAAAGCATAGTCCTATGCTACGGGATCCAGATCTTATTCACAGAGCAACTACCGCACCATATCCAATTCTTCACCAATAACCTATCACCCACTCAATCCGTCCCATCACAATGGCACCAAAAGACAAATACACCGACCCCAAACTGCGCGACGAAATCAAAGAAGAAATCCACAACAGCGACAAGGGCGGAAAACCAGGACAATGGTCTGCACGGAAGGTACGCCACAGCCCTTCCCATTTAAATCTCCCTCTCCCTTATCCCACAACTATCTGTAAAATCAACCCACTAATAGCACACAGGCCCAAATGATGGCCTCCGAATACAAAAAGCGCGGTGGAGACTACACAACCTCAAAAGAAAACGGGCAATCCGAATCCCAAAAACACCTCGACAACTGGACGAACGAGGAATGGCAAACGAAGGAGGGATCTGGTACTGCGCGACAAGACGATGAGAATGGCACGCGTAAACGGTATTTGCCGAAGAAGGCGTGGGAGGAGATGAGTGAGGGGGAGAAGGAGGAGACGGAGGAGAAGAAGGTTGAGGGGTCTAAGGAGGGGAAGCAGGTTGTTGGGAATACTAGGAAGGCTAAGGAGGTGAGGAAGGAGGTTAGTGGTGGGAAGAAGGAGGGTGAGCAGGATGGAGAGGAAGATGAGGATGGTGAAAATGCTGAGGAGAAGAAAGGTGCAAAGGGTAGGAAGAACCAGGAGAAGAAGGATGAGAAGAAAGGTCCCAAGACCCGAAGTGCTAGCAAGGAGGAGGATGGTCAGTCTGATTATGGCACTGATGAGGGAGATGGTGATGAGAAGAAAAGTACCGGAACAAAGCGTACTGCGAAGCAGTTGAGTGGTTCGAACAAGAAACAGAAGGAAAATGGAAAGGGTGGTAAATCCAAGCAGGAGGAGGATGGAGAGAAGGACAACGAGGAAACGGGCGGAGAAAATGATCAAGATGAGGATGAGAATGAGGAGGAGTACGTGGAAGATGAGGATGTTCAGGATAAAGAGGAAGAAGAGGAGGAAGAGTAAGAACTCTGTGCTTAAGACTATGTATATTATCTTACTGTACACCAATACACGCAAGCATAGTCATATTTGCCTATCTTTTTGCCTTTGAGCACACTGAGACTGTTGAAAACTACATGCATAGCAGTCCACAGTGCAGCATAGCATACCCATCATCATAAACCATCACACATCAACTCGTATTCACCCTCACTTGGCCTCCACATCCGTCTTCTCCCCACGACCCTCATATTGACTCTGAGGCAACATATTAAGCTTATCCTCCTCCTGATCCAACTTGTAGTTTGTCAACCAGAAGCCCACACAGCCCACAAACGCCAAAATAGCCACAATAGCATAATTCCACACAAGCAGCGGATCCGCAGAAAGGCCCACCAGCGCCTGTCCGATAGCAGCAGAGATGGCATTCATGAACAGAGCCACGGCCTGCACGAGCGAACGCATGTTGCGGGGGGCCTTGGTGTAGGCGTACTCGAGCGAGGTCACGGATGCGAGAATCTCGGAGATACCACCCAGAACGTAAGTCAGGACTTGCACCCAGACGGAGATCGGGCTGTGTTTGCCTTCCTCCTCGAGACAGCGGTTGGCGTCTTTGCCGCAGGGTCCGAGCTTGTAGATGTAGTATTGGGTGACGGTGGCGACGATCATGCCGGAGCCTGCGACGGCGAAACCAGCAGTGATACGCTTCAGTGGGGTGAAGTTGAATCCCATGCGGCGGAGACCGGGGTAAACGAGGCGGTCAAAGATGGGGATGAAGATGATCAGGGCGAAGGGGTTGAAGTTGTTAATGACATCGTTGGGAACACCGTTGAGCTCCATGGTCGCGGCCTGGGAGGTGAGGTTGTTAAGCATCTGGTTGTATGCCAGCCCTAATAGATCGATTAGCGAATGTAAAAGCAAGAAGTTGTTCAACGGGTTTGAACTTACAGTAGAGAGGATACCACAGGAACACCTGGCAAGCCTTGAGTCCACGACGAACTTCGTCTACCCAAGCATCATCGAAAGTCATCCACTGGGGCTTGCTAGAGCCCAGGGTGCTGGGCTTGACGTGGTCCCACTGCTGGTGCTCAGGAGAGGTCTTTTTGAACCTATATAGTATGAGTATGCATCCACCAATCGATCATATAAATCACAACTTACATATTGACGGGGTTGAGTGACCAACGGCCCTTCATCGCCAAAGACCACAGACGGAAGGCCTGGCCATAAGTCGAGCCCGTGGGAGGGACCAAGTGATACTTGCTCCGGCAGAAGTACAGAACTGTAGGGCAAAGGCAGAACATGATCGTAGGGAGAAGGTAAGACAGCCAGAATCCAACGTATCGCTCGGCATACACCATGGCAAGCTGGCCCACCAGAGAGCCAACGTTGACCATCAGGTAGAAGTACAGATAGATGCGGGCTACTGTCGCAGCAGGATCAACGATCACGCGCTCTCCATTCTTCAGGACCTTGATAATTGGCTTCTCCTCTCGGTATTGCTCCGCAATCAGTGGGGAAATATTAGACCTGTAGTGCTTCATTAGTTTTGTGCCGACGCTAGTAGTTCCCAGGGGGAAATATACTCACTTAAAACCACCAGTTCCAACGCCCATAATGATCAGACCGATTGAGAAACAAGCAATCGAACCGCCAGGCTTGGCGATGACAGAGGGAATCGCAGACACAATTAGAATAACGTGACCCACGAGGGCACACGCGATGGATGCAAAGATGGTGCGGAATCGACCCCAGTATTGATCAGCGACATAGGCACCAGCCAAGGGCATAACGTAGGACCAGAATTGATTGACTGTGTCTCGATGTCAGCGTTTACAACCCATGATCCCTGTTTCTCTGCGGCTTACTCACACAATGTCAGACCAGTCGATGCACGCTGTCCCATGCCCAGAGCTCCAGGTACGTCGTTATTGAAATCAGCACCGGCTGCAAGAGCACCGGTCGTCGAGTTTGCGGGGAGAGGGCGCTGAATGAAGTTGACGACTAAAACGCGAGTCAGTACTGCATCAGGTAATAACAACACTGCGATGCCTCCGGTTTACTCACACACTGCTGTAGTTCCATAGTACGAGAAACGCTCGCACAGCTCTACGAATGCGACGGTAAAGATAGTCCAGTGAAGATGTCCCGAGACACGGCGCAAAGTCCGCAGGTCCTCCTCACTGGGATACACCTTGTGAAGCGTCTCATCTTCACCCTCGGCGGGGCTTTGGGTAACCGGAGCAGGCTCGATAGTGAGATCCTGGCTAGGATCCTGACGCTTCTCGCTCACGTCGACATCGTGCTGCAATGCCTTGGACTTGGACACCTCAGCGACCTCGATAGGGTCGGACGCATTCATAATGGATAAGCAGAGGGCGAATAAACAAAAGAGATGATCGACGAGAAAGAAGAAGCGGGAAAGATGGGGAGAGGTGGGTTATATTTTAAATGTGCCGCGCCTGCTAGACTAGTCAAGAGAAGTAGAAGAGGCACTGAGACAAGGGAGGGGGGCACCAGAGGTTTCCCATTCAGGAAGGTCGCTCTCAGCCGCGGATGAAGTTAATTGGCATTTCTTATCCCCTCGTGGCTCTGATATCTCAGGTTCCCGCCGGCGCATTGACTAGAAACGGGAATGCCAGATCCAGATGTCACGGAGAACCGTCGATAGCCGGGCCAGAAGGTGGGAAACTAACGGCACAACGAGATCTGTGCCATGGCTTGGATGGCTTGGATGGCTGGGAAGGTTGAGCTATCTCTTGTTCAATTACCTATTACCCAAATTTCCAATAACCAAACCCTCCAATGTCTGAGAGCCCGAGTCGCCCCCCGGTTGGGGCGCCCAGCCCGTCTACGCCAGCACGCGAGATAGCGCCATAAATTGAAGGAGGGGCAGCCTGATAGGCTACAGGGTCTCATAGGCTCGCCTTCGCCCAGCCCTCTGGTTGTTCTGGTCGAATCTCCGCAGAAGCTAAACTGCTGCCAAGACTGGCGTTATCCAATGGACGCCGTGGTCTTGGCGGTCCGAGTGTTGATATCCCTGCGCTTGGCAACCCCCCTTGGCATGGTCTGGTGGTAGGTTACACTGCAACCTCATGTCTTGGCTTTGCTGATACGCCGACTACGAGTGGGAAAGTCGGTGATAAACGAAGCGGGCAGAGCTGTGAGTGGCCATCATCGGCAACGAAAGGTAGATGGGCCTGCAAATGGCAGGTCTATCGTGGAGAACTTGACCATGCACTCATGCAGGGTGTGCTAAGGTTTCCAATGCTAAATCCTAGTGTGGAGTGACTGCTGATAGGAAGTTTGTAAATGAGTGGCTAATGGGGAGAATAATGCGTATCTTTGATGTCGATATATACAAAAAGGTTCCATACTTTGTCCTCGTGACTGACTTCCTCGCAGTCTCGGCGTGTCAGCTGTCAGCAACTACCCCAACAGAGAGACTCTGGACCTCGGAATCCTCGACCGACGAACCACAACCCCCTTAATCCAATATCCATGAATATCCTAAGCCTCGTGGCGACTGGACCCTGCAGACTCTCAGACTAAAAGCTGACAGTCTCACATTCCGATTCGTGATGTGATATTCGATCATTGTTCCAGATTATTCCGCGATTCGGCCTCTCGATTACGCTTCGCATTTCCCTCTAACCCATACAGTACATCCTCCGACATGCCTGGGATGACCATATCGAATGTCTTCTCGACAACGGTGTACTGGTAATATCCACAACGTGCAATCGGCTTGGTCTTTTGAATGTCCAGGATGCCATCTGTCAACACTTCGTCCTTGATATGCACGGCGATCACCCGGCCGATCACAACGTCCACGGTACCCATGGGCGGGTTGCCGGGCAAGCGAACGGTGGAATGATACTCGCACTCGAACTTGACGGGTGACTCCTGCACCATCGGGACATCCATCAGTGTGGCGGGCTCCTTGGTCACCTTGGCCCGCTCGAATTCGTCCACTCCGTACGGCACTTGCTCAGCGGAGATATTGACCGCCTCTCGTAGGTCCCAGGTTGCCAGATTCCAGACAAACTTGCCAGTCTCTTCGGCATTGATGACGGTGTCCTTGCGCGAGCCATTGACCGTTTGGTTTGATGAGAACATCACGTATGGCGGGTCAAAAGTCAGGTTATTGAATTGCGAGTATGGGGCCAGATTGGCTTGGCCTTGTTTGTTCTGCGTGGAGATCCATCCGATGGGTCGAGGGACCACGCATGCCTGCGACTGTCAGTGACTTCCGTCGATGATCATTGATGGTAATTGTTACCTTGAATGGGTCATGGGGTAGATTGTGCTCGGTGATGCCTGGCTGGTAGAACATGATGCAGGGGAACGATCTATCTTTCTGTTCTCACTCAGTTGAGGGGATCTGCCCCTCTATTTATTGAACAACCCCGCAGCCGAACGACTTGCCGAGCGCCTTCTGAGATACTTGGAGTCGCTAGTTGCGGGCTGATCACTAATAGGGCGAGCAATCATCTTGACCTGTTTTGAACAGTACGAGACTTCCGAGATCCGATGCCGAATTCCTACCTTGATACATTGCCCAGGACAAGGCGACAAGGCATCAAAAATGGCCACCTTCGGTATACCTCGGAGGCTCGGCGGCTCGGGACCTCGGAGCAGGTGGCACCAAAGCAAAAGGATTTCCGAGTTTTGCGGCATACCGAGTTTTGAAATGGGCAAATTGGCCTATTGGGATCCAATTATAGGATCTGCAATGGATCTCCGACCGATCCGAGCTTGCCGTACCGAATACTTACAGGGGATATATAACCTGCGTGTTGGTGTGTCTCCAGAGCTTCATCCATCCATATCGATCTATACATCGAAGTCACAGTCTTACTATATCTCACCGAACCTCTCAATACTTTCACAATGACCAACAACGAGCCACACCTCTGCTTCCGCGCCTTTGTGGAAGCCCTCAAAGCCGACGATGACCTTGTCGAGATCAACACCCCGGTTGACCCCAATCTCGAGGCTGCGGCCATTACTCGACTGGTCTGTGAGACCGACGACAAGGCCCCGCTGTTCAACAATGTTATTGGCACTCAAAAGGGCCTCTTCCGCATTCTGGGTGCCCCGGGATCTCTACGAAAATCCTCCAAGGACCGTTATGGCCGTCTGGCTCGCCATCTGGCCCTCCCTCCAACCGCCTCTATGAAGGAAATCCTCGACAAGATGCTGTCTGCCAGTGAAATGCCCCCCATCCCGCCACAGATTGTGTCCACCGGTCCTTGCAAGGAAAACGTCATGGTAGAAAGCGAGATCGATTTGACCAAGCTGCCTGCCCCTCTGATCCACCAGGCTGATGGCGGCAAGTATATCCAGACCTACGGCATGCACGTCGTCCAGTCTCCCGATGGATCATGGACCAACTGGTCTATTGCTCGTGCCATGGTCTCTGATGAGAAGCACCTCACCGGACTGGTCATCGAGCCTCAGCACATCTGGCAGATCCACCAGATGTGGAAGAAGGAAGGCAAGGACGTCCCCTGGGCCCTGGCCTTTGGCGTTCCCCCCGCTGCCATCATGGCGTCTAGCATGCCCATCCCCGACGGCGTTACTGAAGCCGGCTACGTCGGCGCCATGACCGGTTCCGCCCTGGAACTCGTCAAGTGCGACACCAACAACCTCTACGTCCCCGCCAACTCCGAGATCGTTCTCGAAGGTACCCTCTCCATCACCGAAAAGGGTCCCGAGGGTCCCTTCGGCGAAATGCACGGCTACGTCTTCCCTGGCGATACCCACCTGTGGCCTAAGTACAAGGTCAACCGAATCACATACCGCAACGACCCCATTCTCCCCATGTCATCATGCGGTCGTCTAACCGACGAGACACACACGATGATCGGCTCTCTCGCCGCGGCCGAAATCCGCAAAGTCTGCCAACTAAACGGTCTCCCCGTCACCGACGCTTTCGCTCCCTTCGAGTCCCAAGTAACCTGGGCTGCCCTTCGCATTGATACTGCCCGTCTCCGCGAGATGAAGACTACCTCTGCTGAGTTCCGCAAGCGCGTTGGTGACGTCGTTTTCAACCACAAGGCCGGTTACACTATTCACCGACTTGTCCTGGCTGGCGATGACATTGACGTGTATAATGGCAAGGATGTCATGTGGGCTTTCTCGACGCGGTGCCGGCCCAACCTTGATGAGACCTTCTTTGAGGATGTGCGCGGTTTCCCGCTCGTACCCTACATGTCGCATGGAAATGGATCGCCGACGATGGGTGGCAAGGTCGTTTCGGATGCTTTGATGCCGACGGAGTATACTACTGGGCGGGATTGGGAAGCGGCTGATTTTGAGAATTCGTTCCCGGAAGATCTTAAGAAGAAGGTTCTTGATAACTGGACTAAGATGGGTTTCCGGGAGGAGTAAATTGCTATTGATTAGATAGATAGAGAGGTTTGATTTTTGCTCCATGTTAATTACCGAAGTTTGCAGATAGTCCAATAAGGTTCTTGTTGCTCGCACTACAGATTATGGCTCATTAAAATAGCCTCTGTTTCATTCTTTGCATCATTATCCCTCAAAGGTTGCATGGTGATCTACTCCCCGACTGGATTTCAGACAAGTTTTGTTAATGATAATCCAAAAGATAGCTCAAAAGACAACTCTAAAAGTGTTCAGGGAGACGTTTCAAAAGACCTCTGGAAGGACGTGTAGAAATACTATAAAGAGGACAAGACGGGTAACCATAGCTGACACAAGAACGCAATCACACATGAACACAGTCTACAAATCACCACCAGCGCTCACGCTCTACACCAATTCGTACGCCTCTGCCCCTTCCCGTTTAGTAAAATTAAAAGACTCGCCCTTTGTCGAGCCGCCCAGCCCGAACGTAAAAGCCTTCAAAAGAGACAATTTATACCCCTTGTCCTTGACATATAACTCCTCCTTTTGGTCTGAAGTCAAATCAAACCCCCTTGCCTTGCGGCAACATCCACACGACGTCGCGCAATGACCAGCACTATGTTCTCTCTAAAAGTCAGAAGCACGCAGAGCACAGCATCCACAATCTCGACTGCAACATCCTCCCTGTCCCGCACACATTTCGATGAGTGCCGGGTGCATATACCACTTGGGATTGGACCGGTGTAGCTCAAGTCCCCTGGAAACAGGCCCCTCGAGGGTCATTCGGAATTGCCACCATCTTCTCAGATAGGTCTAATATTTCTGGTCGATGCCGTGGAGTTCCTCGTTTAGCAGTGGCTCTAAGCTTGTGGTTTCTTTCTCGGGGTCGGTTCGGTTTTGTAGATTTCGCATATTCTCTTGGATAACTTTCTCCCCTTGCGCAAGTTTGCTCAGTTTGTACTCTGTCAATACTATATCGGAAAGGGCAATTTCTTCTTCTTGGGTTCTCAGGGGCCATCTGTAAGACTGGAGGGCATTTCTGGCGCCGAGGTTTTCCAGAATCCATTCCACGCTGGACGAGAGGGAACACATGGTGAATGGATGTGAGACAGAGTGGAGTAAGGAATTGATAGGAGTGTGTAAAGAGTGATTTGGGAAGGAAGTTTGAGAAATCCAGTCCTTTGAGATGGTTAAGGAAAATGAGAATCGTCCAGCGGATGCAGTTGACTTGGACTTTGGGAGACATCCGTCGGCTCCCAAAATGGAACTCAGTAGTAGCTACTATTCCCAGAATGGAAGCTAAACTAATTCTGGAAGTGAAAGGAACTAAACTTGGGTTTAAATAATTACTATTGCGAATTATATGATCCGCTTCCCAATCTGTAGAGCACTAGTATTCTATTACTACGAGTTCCCCAAAGAAGTTTGGTACACACCGGTTCGGGAACAGTAGAACCCAGTACGATAAGCACATTTCGGAAAGACGAAACGGAAGTGTGTCATTTTTCGAATTTCCCTTTATGAAAAAACGTCAAAAGAGAGATCAGATCTCCAGAGAACATCGCGGCGATCGAGTCATGTTCACAAAACATTTCATTTTGGGAAGAACACTAGCTTTGACTCTTTCGGTTTACGCAGCAGAATTCTCCGTGACGGTCTATCACATGAAGCCAGTTTCCTGTGTAAAGTCAAACAGAGGAACTAGAGGAGCAAATTAACACCTGAAACCAACACAATACAACAAATCAGACGTACCATTCATGATCGAGTCGAGATACGAGACGGGCGAGAAATCCATGGGATTCAGCATATCCAAATAACCCTCAGGTCTGACAAGAAACGGTTAGCAACAAGACTTCCTTCAATACCAACAGCATAGCCTTACCCAACACCAAGCGGCGGCACAAGACTAGCGCCCAACACATTCAAATTCTCATTTTCAGCGGTTCCCATCTCCCCTTCTCGATCCAAAGCACTCCTAAGCGTAACCAAAGCCCTAATATGCCGAGCTGATAGCCATTGATTGCCACCATTGGACAAAGAACTTCCATCATCGCTGATCTTGGAATCAGAAGTTGAAAACACATCAATCACGCGCTGTTGCAAGCCACGGCATTCGGGGTTATTGCGAGTTTCTTCCCAGATGCACAGCAGCAATGTTGAGCTTAGGACTGTATGAACCATGGACCAACTGCGCAGGGGAACCACGCTTAGGGCTTGGAATTCGAGAAATGCTTTTGAGGCATCGATTAAGCTACCTTTTGCGCGGGACCGGAGGAGATCGGATTGAGGGTGGAGGAGTTGGGGAGGGGTTTTCTTCATTGCTGGACGGCAGATTACCGATACGCAGAAGGAGGTGTGCATTCTGAGAGCTAGATGTTGAAGATTTTGCTGGAGGGAGGTGCAGTTTTGTCGGGATTGGAGGTAGGGTTGACCGCGTTGGGAGATGCTGTCTAGTCTTTGGAGATAGCCGATTGCCTGATCGAATTCGTCTAATCCTATAGAATCTGCTCGCATGATGTCTAGGCCGAGTCGACATATCAAGTGCATGACATCCTCGTATGATAAGTCCTGCTGTTCAAAGACGGGCTGGTCGAGGGGCCATCCTGTTACTGTGACGATGGGTGGGCGGTCATAGCATAGGCAGAGAAGACTATCTTGCCAAACGATGGTTGACCTGAGATATATATCAGTTGCCGATTCATATACTCCAAAATTGGGGGTAAATTCATGAATCTGAACCTACCACAGCGCCCGCGCTTTGGTTTGCACATGCTCAGGCAAATGTACCGTACTCCGTTGTGTATGCAACCCCATCGTCTGAGCGAGCCGGACCGTAGTCCCGAGTAATGCCCACGCCGCGTCAGACTGACCCATATTTTGCAGCGTGTTACCTAGAATCAAGAGTGCCTGGATGATGTCCAGGGATGGTCGGAACAAGAAATTAGCTAATCGAAGAGCATGAAAGGATCGACGAGCTATCGTAGCATTAGCAGGCGACCACAATGATATGCTATACAAGTTTTGGTCCATACCAAAGTCCGTTGCAAGCTCCAATCGCTGAGGATATTCAATGTCAGAGTAATGCGCTCCCGCAGCCAAAGTAGCTAGCAAAAGACTAATATGGCCGATGGATTTATCCGTCGCCCAACGCTCTGTGATCTTATCAGAAGACTTGAAATCACCTTCAGAATGGGCATTCAAGTAAATGCAAAGATCAGATTCGAAACGACCCATGTCTGCCAGTATCGGGTTGAACGGATAAGCGGTGACCTGGTAGTAATGGAAGAACCTAGACCCAGTCAGTCAAACCCCTCTACCTTTCCAAATGGCTCCAACATACTTCAAAATCTCATTCCTCTGCGGCAACACACTTAGCAACGCCCTCCACCGATCCCGCGGAGTCTTCGAGTCCATAAAAGGATAACTATTGAACGTATTCTGCAATCCGAGAACAGACCCAACCTCCCGCGCCATCGACTCATTAGCATCCGACGCCCTCAACCGCAAAATCGACACGACCGAGTTATCTCCCGAATATACATAATTCTTAGATCCATCATCCGGCCGAGAAGGTATCTTGTTGCTACCATCACCCACGGCACGTGGAGAAGTAGGCGACGCCGAGCGAGTAATTTCTCGATGCGAAGTCGATCTGCGGCGTGAGTGCGAGAGCTCGTACGTGCATATCTGCGGGTGCTTGCGCCTTTGGCAGGTTTTGCAGGGCTGGGTCCCGTCGCACTTGACTTTGCGTTTCTTGCAGGGGTAGCAGGCGTGGGATTCGCGTTCGCGGCTTTTTAGGCGTAGCACTCGGTCTACTTCGTCTTGACTGGGGCCGCTCATGGTGCCGAGTGCGCCGAGATGGGCCGGGATGGGCCGGGATAGTCTGATGTTGGCTTGCAGGCCACTGATATGTTTATTCCTGGGTTGTAGTGATTGGCTTGTAAGGTAGACCCGTTCAATATCATTGACTTGATGGGGGAGGTCGTACTAGTTGACTTGTACAAGGTTGCCGGTTGTCGTCTTGACGGGTTGAGGCGGTATGTAGACGCACGGACCAACGGTTGTTTGGTCATTCTTGAATCTTGACCAAGTGGATATACATAGAAGAGACTATGGGACACGTGAGCATTACTAGTCCTCGAAGAGCAGACAGGCTTGGATACAATATCAATAAATGGTTTGTGTGGGGCTGCTCCTATAAATCTTGATGGAAAATGACAACACACAAGCGCCATGTTCGAAGTATGTCAAGAACAAAGACATATATATGCACGCAGTACCGCAACAAAACAAGGGCAATGCTCAACATACTGAACACCATAGCTCCAGTACACAAAATTTGAGAAATGCCATTTACAAAACACGCCAAATCAGTAGCTATCCTCATCCGAATCCCGATCCCCACCATACCGCTGCGAAAATCCGTACCCAGATCCATACCGGGCACCTCCCTCACTCCCCGAGTCATCAATATCAAATTCCTCGTCGTCGGAGGTGGCACGATGCCGGTATTTGCGGTATATAGCAGTAGGGTCGTCGTCTTCATCGGAGAACGAGAGTTCCTCGTCGGGGTATTCGTTGGCGGGGTTATTCTCGGCTATGCGGACAACTTGTCAGTAAAGTCATCGCTAGAGATATTGGAGAGTCGGCCGAATGTTGCATGTACTCACCGTTCGAGTCCGCATCTTCGCTATCCCAAACTTCCTCTTCGTCTTCCACAAAGTGTTCCCAGTATTCTTCGTCCTCGGCGGTGATGACGATGACGCCGATTCCCCGACTCGCGGCTTCGAGTTGTTGCAGCTGCTGCTCACACTCTAGTTCTGCGAGTGGATTGGTGAGCATTTCGCTTTCCGACAGCGGCCGACGAATATACACGTCGTAGACGTAGTCATCTTCATTATCCTCGACAACGGCCGAGGTAGCTCCAGCCCCAGCGCCAACAATGCCCTCCATTTCAGGCCCTGGAGTCGGCTTTTGCGGCACACTGCGGGGCTGCTTCGGTGCTCGAGGCTGGTACTTCATCGGTTTCGGCGGGGATACAGGCGTAGGCGCGAACACGGTCTGGGCCTGGTGAGGCTGCGCCTGTGTAAAGTCCATACTATGATCATCAACCTCCATTTCATGCTCATGCTCCAACTCAAGCGCAACTTGCTCCAAGTCCTTCACCAGACGCTCGGATTCCTCTTCCCAGGTACTATGATGCGCCTGCTGCGCCGAGTTCTCAAGTACCTCTGAGAGATGCTGCTTCGCAGCGGTAATAACGCCCTGACGCTCCGCGCGCCACTTCTTCTCAGCCTGGTTCACGACGGGTCGCTTGCGCGGTTTAACGGGGACTTCTTCGGGTTGGTCTAGCTCGGCTGCATCGACCCGTGCTCGGTCCACCAGTCCCGCAACCATCGAGGCTTGACGCGAGTGCGGCTGCCGCCGCAGTTGCTCGACGAGCACGGCTACACCGGGGGCTGCACCGTCGAGTCGACGTTTCTGGATACCGCCGCCCATACTACGGGGGGATCCGAGGCTTGGGCTATTAGATCGCGAGATCTGGAAGCGGCGGAGGGACTGCGCGCGACTTGACAAGGGTGTCACGGACGGTGAGCCTGGTCTGCCTAGCTCCGTCGTCGTTGAAGGAGCCGGACTGGGACTGGGTTGGGGGACTGGTTGAGGTTGCAGAGCTCGTTGGCGCTTCTCCTCGGCCTCCTTCCGGGCAGTAGCAATGCGCTGGGCTTCGCGAATCTCTGCACCCGGGGACGTAGCGCGTACGACGGGTACTCCATTTGCTGCAACCGCCTGTGCTGCGCGGCGGTTGGGGATGTGCAGACTGCTCACAGAGCGAGGACTGCGAAGCAGTCGCTGAGCGGCTGGATTCCCGGGTGGGGGACCAGCCGCGTCGTTAGCGACATCCTTGCTGTTGATGGTAACGCGCTCGAAGACATAGTCCGTGAAGCGACGCTTAGTCTGGCGTGTCGCAGACTGGATATCTGCAGCGAGTCAGAGAGGGGATTCGTAAGATGGTGAGAGACAAGACGAAAGCATGAGAAGAACAGGAGTATGAATCAACAATAAAACCGGGCCGAGACAGAGACAATAATGGGTAATACATGAGCCAGTTCGAGAAAGGTGGCAAAATATACGATATCACAAGAATGTTGGCGGGGTCTAGATCGTGGGGTAGAAATTCCAAAACAAATTTCAACAAGCAGAAACGAATTGCATACATAGTGTCTCCACGGGCTCCTCCTCGCGGCGGCGCTTAATGTTGATCTGCTCTGGTGGAAGAGCCATTTTCACTGTGTCTGATGGGTAGAATTGGGCTGTGCAAGACTGAGATGGAGAGATGAAGCTCAGCTCGTGTAGTGACGAGCCGATGGGAAGCTTTCATGGACTAGTCTCAATCGGGTTAGTAAATGTCACGTGGAGTCGAGGGTCAAACTATAGAAGCCCACGGATAAACCGAAGCAGATGTAAGTGGCGAAAAGTGGTAAATCAAAGATAGTCAAGATAAATGTGTATCAAGGTTGAGACTTTATCTTCGGAACTGTCCGAATATAGCGTCTGGATGCTGATGTGAGATCGAGAAGCAGAAGAAACCATACAAATCGAGGCCTGAATGCCCACAGAAGCGAGAACTACAAAGTCTACGTACAAGAGGGAATGGTTCTACCAGCATAGCCGAAGCTCTTCAATCAAGAAAAGGTGCTAGTAGTCGACAAGTTTTCGTTTGGGTCGAGACAAGATATGTTAGCTTATATACGCGTCTCTTTCTACGCTATATCCCGCCATATAGCTCAACGCGAGACATGCAACATCATCAACTCGTACATTTCACCTACGATTCCCCTTCCGCCCAAGTAGATACACAATAACAGCGGAGACAATAACCCAACCGCTCCCTCGAAACAACAATCAACAGCCACCGTAGCCTCCGTACAAGAAGACTGAACCGAAACCTGGGTATTATCACAAGATTGTACCGCCCGATGCAACCATCCACGTGGCACAAAAAGCCACAAAGAACCACAGTCAAAAGGAAGAGTCAGTAAAAAGAGTTCAAAACGCATTGAAGAAATGAAATGAGGAAAAGAAAGTGGCCGATATACACTCCAGCCTTAAGATTCAGCCTCGACCGGAAGCAACCAAGCACAAAAGAACACAGCAGAAATGGAGGAAATAAAAATCATAATCGACTAGCAATACATGGTGATAAATTGAAGAATTAGGTGATTATATGGCAGTAGCGAGATGACAGGCAGGAGGGGGGTATGGAAGGTATATTTTGGGTATATAGGGGCCAAATTAGGCCAGGCCAAACCCAACAGCCATATAGAGCAGGAGAACAGGGAGTCCGTATGGAACAAGTGATTAGCAATAGTCACGTCATGGTCCAGGATGATAAAAAACTTTGAAATAAAAAAGATAAGAAATAGTAAAAAAGAAGAATGATTAAGAGCGGTACAAAAATCAAAAAAAAGATCAATAGAAGATGATAGAGATGGCGTCACAATCAGAACAAAAAAGAATAGACTATATGTAAATAAGAAAGAAGTAGAAAAAAGAAGGTTGTAAAGGTAAGAAAGAGTAAACAGAAGGGGAAAATTGAAAAGAAGGAGAAATGCCATTAAGGTTCACCAACGGAGTGGCAAAGATGTAATGAGTTGAAATTACCATCTTCAAGACAGATGGGATGAAAGGGAAGACATGATGCTGTCAGTTGGGCGTTTATTTCGCTCCAATCTCCTCCTCTGCCCATCCAGGGAGGGAGTTTTCATTTTGAATCGCCAGACCAAATCCAGAGTGGTTCAAGCCGCCAAGGCCCGAGAAGCTAGAGAAGCTAGCCTGGGGCTGGTGCGCACCGGAGCGAATGTGGCCGGGCTGGCCAGAGACCGGTCCGAAAGGCTCCTGAGAGAAGGAGGGCAGGCTGACAGCGCGGGAGTGCTGGGCACGCGGCACACTGAGGTTGCTGGCGCTGGCGGTGGAATGGTGACCGGAGCCAGCGACACTGAGGTAACCGTTGGCGGAGGGCTTGTGAGCGTGACCGTGGTGAAGAGGTGCATCCATGGAGCCGTTGAGGTCACCGTTGCTAGTGCTGTTATACAGAGACTGCTGGGACGGGGCTTGGGATTGGGCTTGGAGACCAGCCAGGACCATGGGGTCGGCGAGGCGGTTCTCCTGCTCTTGGGCTTGTTGGGCGGACATCTGGTTAAGGTACATGGTGAGTGGGTTGTTGGAGCCCACGTTCAGCACACCAGAGGGCGAGGACACGTTCTGCAGCGGGTGGCGCTGTTGGCCATTCTGGGAGCCCGTGGAGCCTGGCGCCGGTGAAAGCGCGGACCGTGTCGGGCTGGATTGCGAGCCGTTCTGGCTTAGGTTCTGTTGGAAGCCGTTCAAGGCGGGCGAGGGCGACTGGGGACCATCAATACCGCCGTTGCGGTTCTGCTGTGAGTTACCCTGGTTGCCAGCCTGGCGTGGGGGGTTACCGCAGCGATCCTTGCCGAAGTTGATCTTGAAGCGGCGGTACTCTTCACGGTTACGCATGCCCTCAATGGCCTTGATGGCATTGGCGATGTTGGTGAAGTTGACAAAGGCACAGCTCTTCTCGCGCAGTGTGTTGACCAGCTCAATCTCACCATACTCGGAGAAGTCCTGGCGCAGGCGCTCCTCGGTCCAGGTTTCGTCCAGGTTACCGATGTAGACGTTGCGGGAGGCACCGCCGCTGACAGCCAGAGCGATGGCGGGAGGGAGAGGGCCCGAGTGCTTGCCCCAGCCGATCTTCAGACGACGGTTGTGGATCATCAGGCCCTGTAGGTTGCTCAGAGCATAGAAGGAGGCGGCGGAGGTAGGGTCGATGAAAGTCACGAAGCAAATGTGCTTGTCGGGAATATAACGGATGTGGTGTAGCAAACCGCCGCGTACGACGTTGCAAATCTCCTCAATCGTCGTTTCGGGGTGAATGTTTCCAAGGTAGATGGTGCGGTTGCCGAGGTTGTTCACACCACCAGCGGTCGTAGCCACCGCGGCCGCAGCGACAGACTGCTGAGCGAGCGCATTCGAGATCAGATCGCGATCTGCCGAGTTCAAGACGTGTGCGTAGCCCGGGGCAATGCCCAGGAACTGCGCGGCGTTCTGCTGCTGGGTCTTGGACACGTAGGCGCAGCGGTCCTTGCCGTAGAAAACGCGCTTGGGAGCCTGCCATTGAGGCTCCTGGGGCAACTGAGTGACAGCCTTCATCGCGTTACTGATGGAAAGGAAGTGCACGAACCCAATTGCCTTTTCCTTGACAATCTTCACGGTGTCGATAGGACCAAACTTGCCCAGTTCCTCACGCAGATTATCCTCCGTGGTTTCTTCGGGCAAGTTGCCCAGGTAAACATTGCGCGACGCACCGGACTGCTGCACCGCAAGGGCCACCGAGGTCGGGACCTGGGAAGGCTTACCCCAGCCGACCTTGATGTCATTTCCCTTGATGGCCAGCTTCTTCAAGATGGCATCAGAGTGGAAGTGAGTAGCGGAGCTGCTGTCGAGGAAAGAAATGAAGGCACAGGTCTTATCGGGGAGCAGACGGACAGACTCGATTTGACCACTGCGCACATGGTTGAGAATTTCCTCCGCGCTTGTTTCGGCGGGAATGTTTCCCAAGTAGACTGTGCGACTAGTCCCGGAGAGCAAGCCTGGAGCGACCGAAGCGGCCGGGCTGCCGAGGGCTGCATTTCCAAGGCTTGCGTGGTGCAAAGCGTTGATGGGGGATTGGGGGCCGCCCATCAGCTGGGACGCGCCCAACCCATCGGTCGACAGGTACAAACCGTGGTTCTGCATTCCTTGGGTCGGGCTACCGAGTTGATGGGTTTGGTGATTCTGCGCGTGTCCATTGGCATTGGCTTGGGGGAAGCCACCAAAGCTGGCGAATTGCGGCGAAGCAAAGGCCGAAGGGGTACCAGGCTGGAAGGGGCTGCCCACGAGCAGCTGGGAGGGGAGGAGAGGAGTGAAGTTCATGTCGAATCCGGAAGCCATGTCAGCGGAATGGCCAGCGGCGGCGGTATTTATAGCAGGGATATTAGCGCGACGGTTGTTGCGGTTGGAGAAACCCTGATTAGGGGTATTGGAGTGGTAGGCGCCGTGGGAGAAACCGGTGTCGCCGTTGATGTTGTTATATTTAGGGGGGATGAAACGCGCGCTGTTCGGGATGCTCGATGCATCCGAGTTTTGCATGGCGAGGTGAACGTCCTGTCGGGTGTATAAGTCGTCCCTGGGGATTTAAACCGAGGGAACGTTTTCCAAAAGGAGAACTCGACTTTGAGCGGTTGTAAGAGGGGAGTGACCGACGTTCAGCACACCATTCAGGGGACGAATTTTCCGATGCCGATGTCACGGACGGGTATCGAGGGGCGACGAACGGGGGAAGGCGGGTGTTCAAAAGGAAAAGGAGTGGAGGGCCGTCGGCGAAGAGAAAAGTCTCACTAAAGACGAATCTGAAGGCAAGAGGTTAATGGCAATGTTTAATGATTAGGAGGGTCAAAGGAGTGAGAGGGATCTGAATGGGAGGAAGATGCAACGGAGGACAGATCAAGTGGAGTTTGGCATTGAGGACAAACAAAAGGTTGGAGCAGGAGATGTTGGAGATAGAACGAAGCAACAGAAGGAAGACTTACGGCTCAAGTCTTTTAACTTCCAAAGTCCAGTCTGGTCAAGAATATATGATGGCCATATAACCAGGACCATGAACCAGGGAGGAGAAGGAAGACAAGATGCGGAGTCGGCAAGAAAAAAAAAGACTATCACGGATGAAGACGAGTTATTAGCTGAAAAGGGATAAGTGGGGAGGAATCCCAAAAGGTATAAGGCTAATGGAGAAAGAAAAGGGGGGAAGAGGTGGAGGTGGATGGATAGTCGGGATATTCGAGGGGAGAAGGGGGTTAATTACTAGCAGAAGAGAATGACGAGATCTAAAGATGAGAGAGAAGTGAAGAGAGAAGAAAAAAAAGCAAAGTAAGCGATCAAACGAGTGTAAGAAAGAATGAAAGGCAAGGATATGAATCCAGGCAAGGTATGAAGGAAAAAGCGGGAAAGTTGATAAAAAAAGGGGGGAAAAGGTGGAAGGAAGGAAGAGGAGGAAAAAAGGACGAGAGACGAGAAAAGCGAGAGGAAGAGGAACGGGGGAAAAGGGGAAGACACGAGGAGAGCGGGAACTAAAACCACGAAAGAACTAAGAGAAACTACAAAGTGATCATGAATTTATGTAGGACTTAAATAGAAGTTGAATATCTGATTGATATACCAGATGTGAGTGAGATACTACAGTCTATACTCCGTATGCAAATATCAAGATCAAGATCATTTCCCTATTTTTCGACGCCATCCAGGAACGGGTTTAACCAAAAATGTAAACAGACTCGCGCGCCCCCCAAAAGTTCCGTGGCTCCTGCAGAACTGGATCAAACTGGAGAACCATAGGAGCCAATTCCTCATGCTCATTGGTTCAATTGGATCAGACTGGATCACGCTGGATCAAGCCCCCGCCAATCACCAAAACCCCGGAGTTGCCCCTGGCATGCCAGCAGGTGTTGCTAACTTCTCCGTACAGGAGGACCGTCCCTAAGCTGAACATTTAAATTAAGGTACCATCGCCTATGAACCATAGGGGTCTTTGTGGTTAGCGCCATAGTGGACGACTATCCAAGGTGGTCACCACGATGGTACATCTGGAATTATCTCAGCACGCGGAACACGTTCGAGGATTCGATAGGATTATTATCTATAGATGTTTACTTCATCCGAAAGAGGTGCTAATCTATGAAATAGGATGAGATACCATTGACTAGAGGTTAATTAATATCCACCTAGTGTCTACGGAGTACAGATGCTATGTATCCCCGTGACCCCTTGCCTTACATCTCCAAGTCGTGAGTAAATAAGCGACCACGAGTTGATTCCACTTTGACACATATACCGCCATAGGAAAGCAATACTCATCCAGGAGTCATTAACTACTCCGTACTGAAACACCTAATTGACTTTTGCATCTATACACAAACTGGACGTACGAGGTAGAGTGCCCTGTGGAAACCAAGCGGACTCCGTCCTTATTCCGTAGGGCAAATAGGCACGAGGCTTCCTACTGTATCAGTGATGAGATAATATCAGATGATAATATCCTAAGCCCTGATCTCTTAGAAACCATGCTCTACCATGATCCGTCAAGTACTCACTCCTCCCCGGCAAAAGTATTCGGCACCAGAAAACTCAGGCACCCGAATTTCCGCCTCAGGCACTCGTGGGGAAACCCGCGATCCGCGGAAATTTACCCCTCCATCTTCAGACTGTGCGATTCTTTCCTTCGACAATTTGCCAATTGAGGTTCGATAAGAGCCATTGTCGGTTCCTTTACCCAGGGTATGTCTACATACCGGATCCGATCAAATATCTATCACACTGCTGTCGATCGCAGGCCGCCTGATCTATCCCTATCAATCCCATATGACTCACCAGATAACCCGGCTAACTATTTAATTTGTGCCCGCAGAATCCAATCCTCCTTAGAAGGCAACCCAAGCTAGCAACGTCCCAACAAGGAAAAGTATAGGGCTTTTCTTGGACCATTCGTCCTTTCTCCTCCCTCCCTACTCCTCTTTTACACACGCAATCATGGCGCCCTCTATCTACATCGACGAGGATGTCGGCCACGACGATGTCTCAGCCGCCGGCACCGAGTCTGCCCCCTACAAGACCCTTTTGCACGCCTTTGTGCAGCACGCCCCTACTACCGAGGGCATTCAGTACTTGACCCGCAAGTCCCAGACAGACGCCGCTGGCGAGGATGTCGACCCCGCCGCCAAGCTGGAGTGGAAGCCCGCGACCAAGTCCGCCATGAAGAAGGCCACCAACCTGTGGGAGCAGCGCAAGAAGAAGGCCGCCAAGGAGCAGGAATTGGCGATCCGCGAAAAGGCCGAGGCTGAGAAGCGTCAGAAGGTCCTGGATGAGGCTAAGAAGGTTGTCATCACCGAGGACGCCTCCCTGCCCAAGCCTGTCCGCATCCGCCTGGATGAGACCGACCCGGCCGTCGTCTCGCTCCGTACTCCAGAGTCTGATACCCCGGGCACTCGTGTCCGTGTTCTCGGTCGTGTGCACCGCATGCGCGCGCAGAAGGACTACGTCTTCATCACCCTGGCCGACGGATACGGCTACCTTCAGTGCATTCTGACCGGCGACCTGGTCAAGACCTACGATATCATGACCCTCACCCTGGAGACCTCCATCGCCATCCACGGTGAGATGCGCGCTGTCCCTCCCAAGCAGCACGCCCCCAACGACCGTGAGCTGCACGCCGACTTCTTCACCATCATCGGCCGCGCCGCCGGTGACAAGGAGGCCATCACCACGCGCGTGGCGCCGGACGCCGACCCGCAGACCCTGTACGACAACCGACACCTGGTGCTACGTGGCGAGACTTCCTCGTCCGTGATGAAGGTGCGCGCCGCCACTCTGCGCGCTTTCCGCAAGGCCTTTGAGGAGAACCGTATGCTGGAGGTTACTCCCCCGGCCATGGTGCAGACCCAGGTCGAGGGTGGTAGCACCTTGTTCGGTTTCGACTACTACGGCGAGAACGCATACCTCACTCAGTCCTCGCAGCTGTACCTGGAGACCTGTCTCCCCTCCCTGGGTGACGTGTTCTGCGTTTGCCCGTCTTTCCGCGCTGAGAAGTCTCTGACCCGTCGTCACTTGTCGGAGTACACCCACATCGAAGCCGAGCTGGACTTCATCACCTTCAACGACCTGCTGGACCACCTCGAGGCTATGATCTGCCGTGTCATCGAGCTGCTGCTCGCCGACCCCGAGGCGTCCAAGTACATCTTCACTCTGAACCCAGACTTCAAGCCTCCTTCCCGGCCATTCAAGCGCATGAAGTACTCCGACGCGATTGACTGGCTTGTTGCCCACGACATCCCCAACGAGGAGGGCCAGCCCCACACCTTCGGTGACGATATTGCCGAGGCTGCCGAGCGCAAGATGACGGATATTATCAACCAGCCTATTTTCCTCACACACTTCCCTGCCGAGATCAAGGCCTTCTACATGAAGAAGGACGAGAGCGATCGCCGGGTTACCGAGAGTGTCGACGTTCTGATGCCCGGTGTCGGCGAGATCGTTGGTGGAAGTATGCGTATGGATGACTGGGATGAGCTGATGAACGCTTACAAGCACGAGGGCATGGACCCTAAGCCTTACTACTGGTACACTGACCAGCGCAAGTGAGTAATCCCGGAAAGAGACCCTTAACCCGCCCTCCCTCCCTACTTCATTCTATCCCGGTGTCCGCTTTTATACTAACCGTCCATAATAGGTACGGTACCTCCCCCCACGGCGGCTACGGCCTCGGCCTGGAGCGCTTCTTGGCCTGGCTGTGCGCTCGCTACACCGTGCGCGACTGCTCCCTGTATCCCCGTTTCACGGGCCGCTGCACGCCTTAAGCGCGAGCAAAGAAGCAAAATCAAAACGGGTGTCAGACCTAGACGGAGATTTAGCTTTCGTCTTATACCACGATCTCATTGGCTTGGAAAGCCTGGCCTGGCCTGGGCTGGTCTGGGGCTCGTTACGGTATAGATAGTTTATGCCATATTATGATGATACGGGCGAGTGCAATGGTTGTTTGCATTGACTGATGTGGAACTTTAGAATCATTTCTATTTGGGTTGGATTGGATCGATAAAATAGTTCTGACGTGGCATGGCATGGGATGCAATGAAGATTTTCTTTTTCTTTTCTTATATCTCTCGTTGATGGGGACACCCTTAGCGTATGTCTTTCGGGCTTATATTGAATTATTACGTTATCCTTTGCTGTACAACTAGGATCTTTCTTGCTGGACTCGTATAGACTGGGAGAGAGTTCTGAGTGGAATAACGATCAGCTTTCCATAGTCTCTCTTCCTTCGTTATTTCGTAGTTTTAGTCCCCCCCCTCTCTCTCTCTCGTGTCTTCCCCTTTCTCCCCTATACCGTACCGGGCCATGAAATTCAGTCCTCACCTAGGCCGAGGATTTCTCTGTAGTTAATACGAGCTTCTCGGTATACCTGTAGAGTGGATATTCCCACTGTCAGAACCAGCCAAGTTTGATATCTAGCCAGTGATTGCAGCATCGTTTTCAGCAAGACATTGCCCTGCTATTATCTCTTATCTCCCCGTCTTTATATCCCTCTCTCGCATTGACCATGTCGTATCCTTGGAGCATGCACTGACCTTTACCCCCTCTTGGAAAGTCAGACTCTCATCCCACACTCCATGTATACGCCTATATATCAGCGACTCGCCAATGGTTCATATGGTCGTCTCCCATCCACACGGCATCCTGCATCCACAGAACACCTTTATCCGGACTTAAAGCCAATATGCTGGGCACAAGCTCGAGATGCAAGGCTCGGTAATACACCGTAGCACAAACGCCCTCGTACACGGCGACAACAACTCTCTGCGCTCCACCCACCATGGACTTGGTCTTTCCATCCTAGTTACTGTCTCGCTGTCACATTCCCTGGCTGGAACTGGTCCGGGAACCGGGTATTTGGGATTCAGACTTCGTCTGACCGGGCAGTCTCAGTCGTGATCATGATAGATCTGTCTCGTTTCTAGCCGGATCTGGCTCGTTGTGGAATGCGTGCGTATGCAGGTACGGTTTACTATTTCGAATCTCGCGTTGGGCATATTGGAAATAGGTCTGGGGTTTCGTGCACGGGGGACATGGTACCGTCTGGGATGCTGGTCAGGGTATTTGGCATCTAGAATGTGCAATCTGAGACGATATTCATCCGAATCGGGACTGGAAAGGATCGAATTCGAGGGTAGGCGATGACTGGTCGTAATCTGTGATGTGAGATTTTCGCCGGTAACGATGGACACAGTCCACGGTAATGCTAGACTTGGTAGTGGTAGGGGCTAGCAAGTCGTATTCAGCAGTCCATCATCGTGCCATTGGTAGTCAGCGCCGTGTTCTCGGGGTATGCATCCCCTTCCATCAGTGCATGGCTTCACGATACATCTTTCCATCTCAGGAAACGGCGAGGGAGGACCAGTATCGGAGAAAGTATCCGATCAGATGGGCCCCTGGGGATGGATGCACGATAGCCAGCCAGTCATAAGAGGGCAGAGCGTCTGGACGGAGAATATCCTTCCCTCCTAGGGTCGGGCTTAGCGGTATCTTTCTCACCGTCTTTCTTCATCGTCTTCGTCGGCGTCAATGTCGTCGATTTGCCAGTGGTTATAGAGGCCATTGGCAAAGATGCGAAGATCAGAGAAGTCCCGCGTGTCCCGCGTGTCCCGCGTGTCGGGGACAGACCCTGCAGAGTTCTTTTGGCGCGCGTGTGTTCCACTGCGCTTGATGACTTCTTATTAGGGGAGGGTCGGCCCGGATATCATCTCCGTGACAGCCCACAAGGCGCCATTCCGCTTGCCCACTTTGAGTCGGTGGCTGTTGCCGAGCGAGGCAAAGCTGCAGGGGCGGGTTCTGGTTCTGGTCCCTGGTTCTGGGTCTTCTGCTTGAGTGGAGTTGTTGGACTGGCGTGGCATGGTATGTATGGTTCGTTCTCATGGCCATGGCTTCTACCCCGGTTTTCTTCTCGTTGCTTGTCTGGACTTCATCTGGGTTTCTGCGACGAAGGACACGCTCATTAACCGCAGGTCAGATCTGCAAAGCGGGATATGATGTGTATTGTTACGCTCTTCTTCTTTGTGTGCTTGTTCTCGTCCTTTTGTCGTGGGTGTCGGCAGCCCTTGTCGATCAGGGCCGCCGGCCTGGGTTCTTTGATAGACCCACACTTCCCAGGTCTCTAGCTCGTGCGGCCGTGGCCCATTGATGCTTTTAGCTTCTAGCTCATGCGGACAGACTGACATCCACAGCCCTGCACTGCAGACCTAGCAACTCGGAACAATTGACGTCTTCTAGCACTCTGGTGCTTGCCCTTATTATGCCCCTATTTTCTCTTGATATACGGCGACAGAGAGAAGCCGTAGGCAACGACAACGGCAACATGAAATATCCATGTCCCCGTGGACACATCCATGTTCGTCCCAAGCTGACCGAGGTCACGGGGAATGGTTATCAGATTCGACCTTTTTCCCGCACTTTTTATAACACGCCGCCGTGGCCGTGATACCAGGCGTTTCCCACAATGTGCCCGTCAAAATTTGGGGAGATGTCTAGCGAAAGAAATTCTCTGCTCCAATTCCTCGCGACATTAAGACTGGTTTCTTTCCCTCATTTGGGACGAATACGACGGCGCAACGGCTCGCTACGCTGAAGCGCGACTATACATTCCTGCACGAGAGAAACTGATTAAAAACATCAATTCAGCGAGACTGTGTGACACTGCTGGAGCATACAACATGAGCTATCTCGTTCTGTCTGTGATCTGCTGCCATTCAACACAGATTCCAGACACAAAACTCAGCTCAAGTCCGCCATGCTAAAAATCCAGCCAGTCCTCAGCCTCACCCTGCCATCACAATTTGCAATCACACCTCGGCTAACACACATCATCAATGCAAACTAAACTCATATCATAAAAGATTCTTGAACTCGTCTCCGGCTTCGTTTCCGTGAACCACAGCCCCAGCGCTTCACCAAGTCATACTTTACCCGTCCAAGTCACCAGACTGTGGCGCCCCGCTGTTGCTCTCGTTCGAAGGCAGCAGGACTATCACCGTGAGCACCTATCTGGATAGACCATTTCGCTGGCTATCCGCCTGGCCAGGACCCGGGAACAGTTGCTCGATGGTGGCGAAGATATCGTCGTGCGAGGCGCCCGAGCGGACGACGGAGATGAAGCGGTCGAGCGAGTCCTGGTCGCTCTGCTTGAGAAACTCGAGCAGCCTGCTGGTGTTAGATCGGTAATAGGCGAGCCTGTTTGCGTTCGTTTGGTTGCTATGGTTGAGATGTCAGGTTCCAACTTGTGGCTGAGCAAACATGAGTGGGGAACCGTGTCGTCGTGACTCTCACCTCCCCCCACTCGCAAGCGCGGATAAACACGCTTGGGCTTGGGAGGAACGAGAAGGCCACCGACACCTTATCGATGTCCGGATCTATGGCAGAAAACTCAGGGAGAGGGCTGCTTACCTTTGATCACCAGACGAGCCTTGATTATCGCGGCCACCCCTCGCTGGGACTGGCTGGTGGCTGGAAGAGGGGTTGTTGTCTGGTCTTCGGGACGACATGCTGTCTAATCTAATGGGTTGGCGGTGTCGGGGAGACTAGGCTATAGGGTAAGGAATGCGGACTGACAGGAGCGTCTTGCTTGTCACAGCCCACTCTCACGACAGCTGGATAAGAACGCTTGCGATCGATGTGGGAAAGGGTTTATAGTAGACTTCAGGTCCTTGCAGGACCACCTTCTTCCGACGATGGTCAGCACCAGGTATAGACTGGCGATGATATATTGCAAAGTAAATAGAGAACAGCACAAAGTGCAGCCACCCGATGTGGACTATGGCCATCGGATAGCCAAGAACCATGCGGCAATGGCCACATCGGCGACAAGGTCGAGAGGGGCAAGGGGAAATTGAATGGGAGAGAAATCAGAGCGGTCGGTCATACTGGAAACAATGGGTTTGTGTCTGCTGTACTAGGAGAAGTTCGGGAGGGTAGTCTTGACTCCACGCAAGAGCACGGATGGCTCGATAGCGATAGATAGAGAGAAAACGAGATGGTAAAAAGAAGATAATGACTTGGGGGTGGATGAAAGATGGAGATGTCGTCGAAAGGCAAAGGACCCAAAAGGACGAAAAAAAAGGCGGGCCCTGCTGCTATTCAATTCAGCCAGTGGAAAAATCATCCCAAGTCCGCATCGAATGTATTGGCCCATCTACAAGGCTCTGCCTTGACTCTTGCTCTCCTGGGCGATGGCAGCGGCACCCGGGCGCCTCTTGGAGAGACTCTACCCAACGAGTGCATCGCGGAGGCCTTTTCCGTATTTAACGCCATTCCACCACGGCCGCTAGCCATTTTGTGATTCGCGTGAGAAGCGCAAGGTTTCTGGAGCTGGATTGTTATTGGGGGTATATTTCGGCAGTGTTGGGTTGTTTGTTCTTGCTTCTTTAATTGTAGCGTTCTTTGTCGGACACGGAGAAAACTGCCGGCCAATTGGCGAGAAGAGATGACCTTCTCCTCGGGATGGCAAGGTATCGTAGATCGATCGGGACTCGCCTTGACATTTGAAACTTGGTTGAAACTTGGTTCTTGAACCGATCGAGAAGATCCAACTGCTTATTCGTTTGGCTGGTGATTTCTCGGATTTCCCAAGGGTCGGTGGAGCTGCTGTTGATTCGCCGAGTCGCCTTCCCGTCATGTCTCGAATAATCTCAGCTCGGATAGACACCATTACTCGTCATCATTTCGAGGCTTTTCGACATAAAGACCAGGCACGGGGAGCTGGAGACAGTGCTACTATTTGTAGCTGCTGGTGATGGTCTTCGAACAAGTTCAGCCGTCTTGATGATTTTGATCAAGTCTGTGCACTGCCATCAACTGATGGAGGATATTAGTCTTATTCTCTTGCAACACGTTAGACTGGCGTCAACTCGCCTGGAAAACAGGTTTTTCATCGCTAATTCATCACAGCAATGTCACTGACAAGCAGGGTTCCTCGAATATTCGAAATCAAACCCCCAAATGACCCCGTTAAATCGTTCGTTCCGTCCCGATGACCGTTCTTGCGCCCAACATAGGGGGAAAGTGCCATCAGGAGGTGCAACTGGGTGAAAGGCACGACAAGTCATGGTGGTGGGACCTCATGAACTGCATCGATGTCATGAAGTTTTCCCCATCAACAGCAATTGAACGGGATTGAGGTCGTTGGAGGAACCCTTCGCTGTAGCGATGTACAGTCAGGCCGGTCATGACTATCTCAAGTCTCTCCCTTTTGGCTTCATTGCAAGATCAAGACTCCAGAAGATCACATTCTGTGTGATTGAAAGGCTCATCGTGCGTAGTTGAGGATGACTGACTTTGTTTGCTCCAGAGAAATCCAAAACGCGTCACCAGCTCGTCGAGGACGGCACGCGCCAGCGCCTTCCCTTTTCAACCCGTCACCATCACCTTCTCCTTCCAAACTTATCGATCAGACACCGACTCATCTTCCTCCCTCGAATTCGACACTGAAACTCTTTCCTCCAGAGAAATAAATGCTCGTGGATAGCTCATCCAGGATGTCAGACGCTGGCTCCTTTTTTTACTAGTCGGCCACATTCATCTCCTTCCAAACCCTCCGATCAGCCATCGAACCACCTTCCTCCCTCCAGTTCGGCATTGACACGCTTTCCTTCAGAAAAGCACAGTCTATCAACAGCTCATCGAGATGTTGAGCGTCGAGGATGTCAGGCGCAAGCTCCATCCTTGTTAATCAACCGCAGGCTTCTCCTCCCAACCCCATCCATCAGGCGCCTTGCCACCTTCCTCCCTTCAACCTGGTTTCATCAGTTTGCTCACCCCGATGAGCTCGCTCTTCTCCTCCGTATACTGCAGACCAGGATCTACCTCGATCCAAGTCTCCATCTCCTACCGCGTTCCGATCCAGCCTCCTTCCACATCACGATTCTTCGAAAAGAACTTCTCGGTTCTCAAAGCACCGCTGGAGCACCCTCCATGCAAAAATGAATGTACGACGGATTGAAGATGAAAAGGAACACAGTCTATGACAAGGACCATATGCCATCACTTCCTCGTTCCAGTAATGGCAGGACGATGCCCCCGTTCAACATCTTTCACCTCTGTTCAGGGATTTCGACCATCGAACCGGGACTGGCATTTGGGGATGTCACTAATTGCACACCCCATCCAGCGTTATCCATGGGGGGTGTTCGTTGTTCTCGAAAATGATATTGGAGGCGTACAATGCTTGGCTGTGATGGCCTCGAGTCGTGACCAATTCATGAAATGTCACGCAAGTTCGACTCGAGACGTGGCGATGCCGGGCGATGAGAATTGTCTTGACGATATACGATGGGCTGCGGTGCCTCTGCAAGAGCGAAGCCCTTTGGCATAACTGTGAAAGGCAGGAAATGGCGTGGGTTGGATGCAATAAGTATCGAGGACTCGGTGCTCGAGGACTCAGAGCTCGGGAACAATGGCGCTACCCTGTTTGCTCTGAACCGTTGCTTCTGCACCATCGCGCTACGACATCAAGTTATACCATTGAGGCCTTGGTCTCATGTCCAGTGGTAGCTTTGACTGAGTGTGTCACTCTCGACTCAAGCCGCCGTATCCAACCACCAACAGTGCTACGCCATCGCAGTGCTCCCATACCATATCCATGTAAGGAACGTCGGTGGCTTTAGCTGAGTGTGTCCTTCTTGACTGGAGGCCCGAGTAGCCAAGCGTCAAGACTCCTGCGCCATCAGCCCTGCAGCATCCTGCTGTTTCACTTTTGCATCCCGTGGAGCAACGTGATGAGGTTTGGTTGAGTATACCTTTCGTCACTAAAGGTCCGGTATTCGAGTGTCAACAGCGCTATGCCATCGTGGTCCTTCAATACCATGTCAATGTAAGCAAAGTCGCCAGTTTAGACTGGGGTTGCCACCCGGATTAGTCTCGAAGTGAGGTGCTTTTGCATCCTCTACGCCTCAGTTGTACGGATAATCTCCTAGGAATTTCTTGCCTGGGTTATCTCGTTGCTAACTGGAGGGGAGGGACTGGGATGCTCGTCACTGGGAGCAATACCACTCTTGACTTCGGGAGCTAGGGAGGAGTTTGTGGGTAGGTCTTCTGCATCTCGACGGTGACGGCCCTCGTCTCAATCTTAGTTCTGTATCAGGAGGATTCGATTATGATCGGCATGATTGGTCTGGCTGGGGTATCGAGGTGAGTTGGTGGCAGTGCGGTGCGTTGTGCTGTCTTCTGCCGTGTCTTTTGGGGGTGAGCAGTCCTTGTCATTAGCAGTGGTGAAGTGAAACTACATCCTCTACAGGAGAAAGCATGAACGAGTTATCATCTTGATGATCAGTGTGGTTAATGAATCAATCCAGGCTGCTCTGCTTGGGCAGCGAGGTGCACGGTACGGTCGGTCCGTGAGGCTTCAGAGTCTCTTCGGATGGCTCCATTCGTGTAACCAGACTGTCACCTTGTCGAACCTTTGCTGTGAATGGTGTTCACCTCTTTTCCAGCTGAAGTGATGGTCACTGCCCTCAGCGATCGCTTTCCGTGTGCCCGTCGAGAGCATCTTCACCAAGACTTGATGCCCCTTCGGTGATGATGGCTACGACCTGGCTTGACCCTAGCCATGACCATCACCAGCGACAAGAAACCAAAGCGAAGACGAGGCTGACTGAGAAAGCAGCCCGTGGGGGCTATTCACCGACTCATGAGGCCAGAGGAAGAGACCTCCACGATCCTGTTCTGGTGACTGACTCTTGCAAATCAAGTCAAGTAGTCACTGAAGGAGTTCAAACCGCTGTTTACCGGTCAAAGTTCGCGCAATCATAGAGGCAAACCCTACCCTTTTCCGTGTGGTGCCAATTGGAGACACTTTTCATGGGGAAAAGTGTTCCTGGAAAAGCTATTGGGGCGGCCGCTCCACCGGGCTTCTCCCTAAACAGGTGTCAGATTTACGTCTTGTGTCCGAGTCTACACGTGTGGAGCAGCGAGGAGGCAGTCTCGTTATCCCATGGATTCCGTCAGTCGACCACTGAAGATCTCGTGAATGCAGAGCGTGGACGACCATGGACTCGATACGAGGACGTGGATGTTTTGACATAAGACCCGGGTATCGATCGAGCTCCAGATGGGGCTATGGTCGGTTGGGTTGACAAGCACCGTCGATATCGTTACGGGAAATCCCAGATATCAACCGAGACGCCAATACATTGATACGTCTCGGTTCTGACATGGTGCTGGCCAACTTTCGTGCATGACGATGCTGTTGATCGTGCTGTATAGCACGACGCGGGTGGACGGCATCGATCCACCAAACTTCTCAGCCATCTCCGTCGAAACACATACTGACGCACAAGCCAGCCGGGTGGGTTATAAGAGCCGACCAGAATGACTCGGCAGATTGGAGCCGTGAGAAAGCATGACGATTTGATACGTAGTTGGGCAAAGTCGTCGGCGCACATGGAACCCCAAGACTAATCTAGGCTATTACAAGCGAGCAAAACCAGCCCCTTTTCAGCCGGTTCACAAATGATAGTCAGGCATCAACCAAGCCACAGCCAGCCAACGTCCTGTCAACAACAACGAAGAACCGCCCCCAGATCATAAGACTACTGGGGGAAGTCGCCACTGTTGGTAACTAACCAAAGAGACGAGCTCACTTATCACAATACAATTTTTGATTCCAGATTTTTATATTCCATTTTACCTTCCAGCCGTTGCCCTGACAGGTCTCGGTTCCCGGTTTTTGCTGGTAACTAGGTTCTTTAGAGGTCTCGGCCCAGTCGCGGATTGCTGGAACCGCCCCGGTTGGACGCCCCAACGAGCTAAAACGCGGCTGTGTGACGCGCTGATTGCATGACATTTCTGAACTAGATAGATCTGTCGATGGTATATATACAAGGGGGTGATGTCCGGTACATACCTGGTGGGCTGCTATATATTTCGTACTTGTACTTGGCTCGTCCCCGAGGTTCTTCTCCATGTCGGATACTGTCCTCCCATCGCAGGGAGCATCGTGGTCATTTATTTATCCAAGTACCTTTGTTTATGCGGGTCTATGTACTTTCGGGAATACAGCTACAATATTTAATACACCGCAGCAGATCACCCTCAGCAATGTCTCCAGAAGAATCGCTTTCCTCGCTTAATTGAGTACACAACGACTTAACCAACAGGTCGCCCATACAGGCCACTTGATCTCCTTCCAGCAGATCTACACAACATCCAGAATACATATGTTTTTCTCGCTTTGAGCAGCGCATGTCGAATGCCCGAGCAATTTCCTAAACCTCCATCGACACTCAGCCAAATATGGTATGTAGGGGATCCGAACCACGTCATGGATAACCTCGCAGCAGAACGTAGATAGTCGTCTTTCATTCAACAACAAATAACACAGTTCTATGCCCGATCTCGGTTTATTTTCAAGATATAGATCGATAACGCGCCCGTCGACACCCCGTTGTGGTCGCATTTTCAACCACCACGCCCAAGCGCGCCATATACATCCCGCATTCCACGAACGCGCAACCCAAAAATGCATCCACGTCAACCTCAAAACAACCCCTTGCAAAAGCATAAGAAATAAAAAGTAAAACGACCATGGCACCCATTTCTCCTTCCACCATCTCTCCGCCACCAACGACACCACCGCCGACAACGCCAGCCCTCGACAATAGCCTCGACATTAAAACCACATAACACAATAACCACCTACACAAACCACCCAAGATGCAACTCACCTCCCTCCTCGTGGTCTCAACCACCCTCCTAGCATCCCAAGTCCCCGCCCAATTCATCCGCTCAATGATCCCCAACGTCCCAACCTGGAGCGGTATAGCCGTACCGTCGTCATCCATGGCAACGCCCTCCCTTCAAGCTCCAGCTCAGCCTCAATGGCCAGCCACTCCTTCCAACCAATGGTCCACGTCCACCCACCAATGCACATCGCAGCCCAGCCCTCCATGCGCCCCGTCGCTAGACCCTCGTCCTCGTCGAGCTTTAATACTCTGAACCTGAACCAGGGTTTGCGGCAACCTGCTGCGCAGCACCAAGATCAGACCTATGCTATCCCGGATGGTGGCCTTGCGCCTGTTGATCCGTTGCAGCCGGGTAGTGATGTTGCACCGGTGTTGATTCAGAAGCCTACTGGTGTTGATGAGGGGAATTCGTTCTGTATAGGACAGTGCTATGCTAGTAAGAAGGAGGCGCATTGTGCGAAGCCTTATGTGAGTTATCACCTACCGTTTACTGCCCTTTGCTGTGTGGTTTGTTGGGAATTTGGGATTTTGAGGCTAATGCTGTTTGATAGGCTTCGCCTTTGTACAAGTCTGCGCATAATTGCTGGATGTGTTGTTTCACTGCTGGTGACTTTTAGACAAGAATCATCCATTGTGTCGTGATATTTAGGAGGGCCTTTCGGTGCCTTTTCTGGTATATTCTGTGTGAATTCTTATACTAGGAGGGTTGTGGTCTGTGGATGTGGAAGTTTTGTCATTTTTGTGGGTTGGATGAGAGGTTGATTGTACGGCTGGGTCCGTTGTCCACTTTTACTCATGTTTGTAGTTTTGGTAAGTGGGATTTCGTATCTTAGTTAGTACCTATCAATATCATGTCACTCGTTTCAACTCTGAGATACCTGCTCGTTCTAAACATGATATATTTCAATATCTCAACCAAGACCCAGGTGCATACGAAGTAAATGATGAACGTAGTAAGTCAAAATAAGCGCAACGAAACTCGCAAGTGCAAGTCACATTCGGGAATGAGGATCGGAGTCTCTAGTTCCACTGACTCGATCTCAATAGGCCCACGCCTCCAGCGTCTCACAGTCAGGGCCTGACTTCCCATCCCGGAGCTTGTCTTGAAAGCAAGGAATTAAGATCCTACAGCCCAGATTTTGCTCACGATTAAAGCTATGGCGATCACCCGCCTTGAACTTTGATGAGAAAACCTGTTCCTGCATTAGACCCATTCAGTATAACGCAATATAGCCGAGACTGCCGAACTCATAAATCATCGCTAGTCATACTTCGGTACGTGTGCCATACGCGGACGTCTATATAAGTTCCCCTCCCACCGGGTCAGGTTCCTGGTTAATAATCAGAAGACAATAAGATCCAAACTAAAGCTGTGACATCTGCTACCATGTCTACCAAATCAACCAACAACGCCCCCCACAGCTCCAAACTCGCCAACAAACTCCACCCTCGCGTCAACAGCGACACCCACAAAGGTAAACCCACTCATCGGCAAGCGTCGCTTGCAATAGGCAGCACATACTCACTATTCCCGTAGATATTTCGATCAAGTCCGAACTAGGAGACGCTCGAAACTACGGTAAAGGTGGTCCTGCAGGGAACGCCGGCCCTCGTAGTAGTAGTAATATTGCCAACAAACTCGACCCTCGAGTGGCCTCGGGCCAAGACGATCGTGCCCCTCATGAAGCTGTGGCCGGTAGTAGTTATGCGAACTCTAAGGCTGGATATTCAGCAGCCCCATAGCTCTGATGTGGCAAATTAGGAAACAGGTCCATCCGTTGAATTCTCCCCCCAAAAAATATGCGGCGTAAGGCTTGTCGGAATTACTTCATAGTAACGTCACCTACTCATCTGGCCCTTGATGTTTCACGTGCGCATTAACAGTGGGCATAAATAGTTCCGTTTTGAGATAAGTCTTAAAATAATATAATTTTGCACTGGGACATAATATCCGGTGATAATTATTGGCTGCATCGTTCTGCTGACATCAAATGCTAAAGGGTGGCAGTCTGAAATAGGTTGAAGGTATAGGGTATGAGGCGAAAAAGGAGCATAGAGATCTCGAATTGAAATTTTGAGTGTAAGAGTGTAGGAGTATATCAGCCTGACGTACATGTGGCAATTTCTTAGGTACTTTGTAGCGCAAAAAGAACTACTATGTGCTTTCGCTCTACAATTCTCATAGACCTTAACACAAACACCCGTTGAATTCTTCGACGATGGCCGCACAAATCGTTGATAAGCATGGTAATGCTATTCACGAAGGCGACTACGTATTCACTAGGATTCGTGGCGGATCACATGAAGGGAAGGTACGTTCAAGAGGCGGTTGCATTTATCCTGCAGAAGCCAACATCCGAAGTGCCATAGGATTTACTAACATACTTTGGGAGTTCAGGTACAAGAAATTGTTACGGATGAGCAACGAGCAGAAGAGACAGAAGTGAAGCATCCTCCCAAGGTCAGCAAGGAGAATCGTAATCCTACGAGAGCGAGAGTTGTTGACAGGAGTACTTAGGTGTTGCTGCATAACAAAGATGGGAAGATTGTTGCACATAGCCCAGGTACACTAGAGATACGAAATGAGTGTGCTTAATTGCGGAATATTGACATTGGTTCTTGTCTGATATACTCGATTTTCTGTGTCGCCTGTAGTCGGTGGGTATTTGGAGAGTGATGAATGTCCTGACAGTTCGAATATATTAGCAAAAGCCATGGCATACTCTACTGGGCCAGATATATAGCAGCATATAGCAAACCATGTCGAATCAACACATTACGTGCAGCGACGTGAATACAATCCTAGAAACATGAGGACGGCGAGCGACTAAGGTTTATCGCCTTGATTATTAAAAGAGGGGTTGAACATAACTTGATTTCAGCACTAACCAAATCATGATTGAACCCTCCCACGGAAAAATATGGGGCTAACATCTCCAAGTCCCTCTCAGCCACTCAAACAAAGTCTCGACAACTCTCAGGTAGTCTGGGTTTAAATTGATGTCAGTGGGAATTGAGGGGACTTTGGCGCGTCATGCCTGTGCTAACTTGATTTGAGCCTCGCCATATCCACTTATTTCCATTTATAGGAATCGTCGACTTTCGACTCTTCATCGTTCCTCAACTCACTTGGTCAATCTCTGCGTCGTCTTCGAGGAAATTTACTGCCATATTTTGATGCCTGAAATACCTCCACAAGTGCCGACATGCGTCAGGCAAAGTGATGGCTTGTCAACAGCCAACGTCTCTCAAGTCCCAGACGCTAGAAGAACGTCTTCGTCTTCAAGCGCCCAAACGTTATCTGGATCATCGATGAGCACAATGCCTCCAAGCTCTAAGATCGCGATCCCTCGACATCGCACAGGCACACCTTTAAGACATCACAGACGGGTCCCACGAGCGTGTGCATCATGCCATACCCGGAAAACAAAATGCAGTGGCGATACCCCCGTGTGTAGGCAATGTCAAGATTTAGGCATGAATTGCGTGTACCCACCAGCCTTACGCGAGAAGATGAAAATGTAAATTGTCAAACACTGGAACTACTCTACGAAACATTCACAAACATACCGAACGTTTCATGTTTTTGCGATAAGAAGATCAAGAGCTGAACTTCTTTTCACTAATCCTCAGGAAGCAGGAGGACCTATCAAGGAAACTTCAAGAGTGTCAGAGCTTATTGGGAGATGTAGAGCCTCTTGTCACGGGACATACTGCTAAGCGTGTGAAAGAGGTGTTAGTAAGTGGTCTTGTTTAACTTGGACTCGGAGACTACTAACTCAAGGATCGTTAGCAACGTTTGGACACTGGGTATCTCCCAGGTGAACTCTCCAATAGAAGCACCTTCTGCTCAAGAACGTCCTCGCTGGCTGAATTGGACAAACCAGCCAGCTCACCATCCTCTGTCGGGTCATTAGATGCCTTGGATCAAGTAGAGGATGATATCAATCTTACCGAGGATTCAAGAGCTACCGGGCATATCGGAAAGAGCTCTGAGATTACCTGGATGCAGCGACTGCAAAAAGCAGCGGATGACCGCCGTAAAGACATTACCGGACACGCCGAGGCCACTCAGGACGGCGCAATCAATGACCAGCCCCATGATTTGAACTATCACCTCGATGATCTCGATATCACTGTATCTGAACCAGTGCAGAAGTATTGGGTTCCGCCTCGTCCGTTGGCAGACAAGCTTTTCGAAACTTACCTTCTAGTCGCTCATCCCTATTTCCCCATTATCAATCGTTCTCTATTCAGTGATCAATATAGAACATTCTTCGATAGCTTTGCTCTTCCCGGTAACAAATGGATGGCAATTCTGAATGTGATATTTGCTATTGCTGCGAACTTTGCTCATGCTGCTGAGTTGGACTGGCATGGGGATCCTCAAGATCATCTGGTTTACTTGACCAGAGCTCGGATGTTAAGCATGGATGGCGATGACTTGTTTCAACACCCAGACCTCCAACAAGTTCAAGTGGAGGGCTTAATTGCTTTCTACCTGCTTTCAACCGATCAAATCCACAGGTAAAACAGCATCACCTCACTTCACGAATTTAAACTAACACTTAAAACAGGGCATGGAGAATCTCAGCCTTGGCTATACGCTCTGCAGTATCACTGGGCATAAATTTGAAGAATAATAGCCAGTCGATCAGGAGTATCTCCAAAGAGATCCGCAATCGAGTCTGGTGGTCGTTGTATATTGTCGAGAACAAACTCGGCATGATGACCGGTCGACCTACTTGCATCTCAATCAGTATGTGTAGCTCACCCTTCCCGCTTCCCTGGGGAGAGGCTGAACTCTTGAGTCCAACCGCTACCTTACTTCTGAATGATCCGATTCTTCGAGATAAGCGTATCGATACCGCAATGGCAAGCTCATACGTGCCGGGAACACCTATGGGGAAATCGCGTTGTACCGAAGACATCAGAGCCGCTCGCTCGTGGCTTCGAGACCAGCCTGCCAGCTCTGAACTGTGCTTCCTTTACACCTGCGATCTCACAATGATAACGCAAGAGGTCCTCGATCGCGTATATTCGATTCGAAGTGTAAATCGACATTGGTCGTATCTCCGAGACAGATTGGTTGGATTGCAAGAAAAACTTGATCTTTGGGTCTCTTCGCTGCCCAAGGCATTAGACTTTACTCGTGTTGAAGAGGGTGATGCCGCGTATAACGAGAAAATGCAACTTGCATTCCAATATCACGGAGCAAGAATCTTGCTAGGTCGTCCGTGCCTCTGTCGACACAAAGCCTCACAAACAGATGAAAAGCAAGACTTCAACCGAGCCATGGCTCTATCAGCTTTGAACTCCGCCGCTCAAATAGCCTATCTAATTCCAGACGGTCAAAAATTCAGCTCGCCGCAACGAAACGGACCTTGGTGGTGCCTTCTTCACTCGGTCATGCAGGCAGTAACGATCATGATCCTCGAGATCTCATTCAGGAGTATTCACATGCCCGAAGGAGAGAAAAATCTACAGGAGTTGGCCAAGAAATGTGTGCGTTGGCTCCACAGAACCTCCGAGAATAGCATTGCATCACGCAGAGCTTGGCAGTTGTGTGATATGGCACTTCGTCGGCTAGCATCCTCCATAGGCTTCCAAGTCAGCGACTTGTCATCGCATCCATATTGGCTGGGAAAGAGTCCCACAGATGACTATTTCGGATTCTCGCCTCTTGAACGCCGCAAAGAGTCGATCATTCGTGTTAAGCATGAGGGTGAAAACATTGAGAGGGAGCGTGCGATGGCCCCTTCAAGCAGACCAGATGGGGTCAACATTCCTCCAGAGTGTAAACCCGATCCTTCGCAGCCTGCCCCTTCGGTTTCGTCCAGTCAAGTGGAGGATGTGGCCGGTGAGGGCTCATTTGCCTACGGTCCTCTTGGGCCGGAATTTATTCAGGCATTCTTCCCTGAGCTTGGGAGCGATGCCTCATTCAGTGTCTCGGCATAATAACTTGCTATCAGCAGCTGTGCTACGATGCCTCTTGGTTCTGTCTTTTTTTTCGAGGAATGACGGGCATCTAAGGGAGGAAGGAGGAGGATGTTCTAGATACTATGGGAAGATTGATCAACATATGTATGGTATTATATGACTTTATTTTTACTATACACCGATGCTCTCAGGGTAGTCTAGATCTAGAAGGTATTAAATACAAATTTAGCAGATATTTACAGCAAGATCTAGCTCCAAGGAGATCTTACCTTTCGTATGTTTCGTAGATTCAAGTTGCGGATTTTATACTGGCTCATAAATCCAGCTCTCTCAGCATGCAAAATGGTTTACCGTGCAACTTCAACAATATGCCCCGGCAAGATCCTTTTTTACCAGCCGTTACTATATGGTATCCTCCGATCCACCTCGTAACTATCACACAAGGGACTAGATAGACTCTCAATCTATCAAGATATTCAATGCGATTCTCGACGCCAGACGGGGGCTGTAGGTATCAACGTATACAGCCCTGTTACCATAAATACACCATCAACGAGAAATACACCATCAACTAGACCACCCTAATGACCCTCATCCGTCTTTGCATGTACCGAATCCCCCCATGATGCTCCGGAATCGACTTCGTAGCCGCAGCCTTCGCATTCCGATTTCCCGACTTCCATAGGTAGAGCATTCCGACAGCCCCGGCAGCGACGGTGCCATATAGCCTGGAAACAGCGCATAACAGCGAATTAGCATTGTCAGCGCAGATTAACAATATTTTCAGAGACGCTATGTAGTGAATACTTACCACATGGGCGTCCTACGGTTATCTGCGATTTCATTTGGCGAGGTGGCGAACTTTCTCTGGGCGAGACGTGAGGCTTGCAGTTTTGCAACGGAGTTGCGTTGTTTTGCGCGCATTGCGCGAGTCATGGAGTTGCGGATGGAATACATAGTCTTTAATGGTAAAGTTTGATGAATGTAGTTGTAAGAGAAGGCGTTGTCTCGCTTAGATGCTGGGGTATCCCCAGCTTTATACGTATGGTATGAGTTTAGGCCATTACATCATGTTAGTTAGACCGACCACGATTGGGGGCTTATACCAAGTTCTGATTCGTGGTAATTTACTAATCATATGGTTAAATAATAACAACCCTGGTTAGACCTGACGGTGAAATGGATGGTGCTGGGATCGTGTAGGGGGGTGACTAACCCTGATTTGCGGCCAAGTAGTACCGATTAGAGAAGAGTGACCTGGTTATGATATCACGTCAATTGGCCTGGAGACTACATCTCCACCAATCACTATATAGTGAATCAAGTAGCTTCTTCCTTATAATCTAGATATAGCTCCAGGAATTCGCTTCGCGAGATTCTTGCAGCTAAATAGTCATAATGCGGCCTAACTTGTTCTCCAACTAGCGAAGTAGAGAATCAAATCATAGACACCATTTATCGGTTTCCGGTATCTCGGAATTTCAATTTGTCTATTGCCATTGGAGGATTGACGGGGGCAACTGAGGAAAGAGTCCCGTCATGATGACGCTCAACGGGATATATATATGCAGGCGCCGGTAGATACCCATCCATATTCAGACTTGACAAAAGTCCACTTCATACTTCGCTAACGAATCGCATCACTGCCATTATGTCTACCACAGCACCAACATCAGATACCCCTTCCTACTGTATCGCCGACTTCTCATTGATCCCGGTAAGATCATCGTTATTCCAGCTTTGCCTATTGCGATTGCTAATGCCAGGGAATACTTCAGATCGGATCCTCAGCTTCATCATTCGCCCACGAAATCGCAGGTGTCCAGCGTCTTGTCCGCGAATCCGGATTAAAGAATGAAATGCACGCTACGGGAACACGGGTTGGTAAGTAGATTCGCGTATGCCGCTATTTTCTTCGGGGGGTACTTTGAACTTGACTCTTTGTGAAAGAGGCAACGTATGAGATGGACTGCCTGATGGACTCACTGCTCACTGATTTGCTTTCTTTTCAGAGGGACCGTGGGATCTCGTTATGCGGTTGATTGGTACTGCGCATACTTGTGTGCATCATAGTGGTATACCGAGGATTCAGACTGATGTGCGGATGTTGACAAGGTATGTCCTGATGAAAGTTTCGATTATATTGTCAGTCGGGTCATTTTCTCATTGACTTTGTAATGTAGGACTGATAAGGATGAGTCGGTCGAGGAGGGTATGCAGGAGGTTGAAAAGATTCTTGCTGCGGATGTGTAGGATGTGGTTCTGGGAGAGGGAATGCAATGTTAAATTGTGTCAGTCGGGTCCTTGAGACCTATAAGTCAATAAGTAAAGGGGGGACTCGTCGTGGTCAATCTGTAAAAGTTTTTGTAATCTAGATTTATCCTATTTTACAGTGGATATGGCGTTGAGGTTGTATCGTTTGTAGTACTATCGTGTTTCATTTTACAGACTGCATATCTGCAAGTTCAAGTCCTCTTATTGTACTATGTGAGGTAGGGAACGGATAGATCCTTAGATACGAATCGTTGCTTTGCTATTAAGGATAGAAACACTAGCTTCGTAGAATAAAAGGGAAAGATCAAGTCAAGCGATGGATATGAATTTCTTCTCTCGTGTATCGTACATTCCGAGAATGGTTAGATCTTTAGTTTATACCTACAAAGAAGCCTAGACGAGTAAATTCCCTACATCTAAAAGGAAAAGAGTAGAAAAAGAAATTTTGTAGTAGCTGTGCACTGCACAAGATTTGACTTAATTAAAGAGAATCTATAATAATCCTACTCTCCAGCCCAGCGAAACATCCAGTCATAGCCATCAGATCAGATCACTCCAAGCCAAACGAGCCAAATAGACCAGCATCGCACGATTGCCGAAACTTTTCAATCGAGGACGCCACGCCCACGCAAAACGCAGCGCAGCGCTGAACCTCAATCATAAATTCCAACGCTGCCGCAAGACGCCTAGACCTTGGTCGCACGGCTACGGCCACGGACCATGATAGGTGCACTACCCTTGGTCACAACGTCATCTTCCCAGACAGCACTGCTAGCGGGGAAGATAGAACCGCTGTCACTCTCGGCATCCCGGACCGCAACGGCTGCGACGTGCGGGACGACCAGCGCCATACCCTTCTCCGCGGCGTGGGAGAGCGAGAAGAAAGGGTTGTGTCGCGGCGGGAGCGGGCGGTGCATGTGCTCATGCTCGTGCTCGTCAGACGCAGAGCTCGACACCGAGGATGCGACGGAGGGCGCGTGGGTGAGCGAGGGAGTTGCTGCGACGTCCAGGGTAGACAGGCTAGCCGTGCTACGGTGCGAGCGACGGGTGAGCAGGACGGAGGATCCGCCGTGGAATTGGGAGAGATAGCCCCATGCATCGGAGGTAGCGAGCGAGCTGGTGCTGCTGGTGCTATCGGTGCGGGGGCCTAATACGGGCTTCCATTCGGTGGGGTCGAGATCTGACTTGGCGGCGTGGATGGTGGGGGGTATCCTGATGGATGGGATTGGGGTTGAGGAGGAGATGCGAGTGGGAGTCATGGGGGCGACGATAGTTCGTGGGGAGAGAGGAGGGGAAGTTGGTGGGGAGGTGGTTGCGGTGTAAGTTGAGGAGTAGGAGTAGGTGTTGGTGGCCATTCTGGTGGAGAGGGTTGAGCTGGATGGGAGAGAGGCCGAGAGTGGTTTTGCGGAGTCTTTGCGGCGGCAACTGGATGTTGTTAGTATGAAGTCCAAGATATAGGGGAAGTATGGAGGGTGGATGGCATCAATTGAGGGTATTGGGGACAATGGATAGATGTATAGGGAGGATACCTTTCACTGCAGTAGAGGATGGAGTTGTTGGGGACAGTAATTTGACGCTCACACATGGCGCTATAGATATAAAAGTCAGTCCCAGATATCAAAGAGTAATAGCCCAGGTCTCAGTCTATTTAAAGACCAGAGTATAAGAATGACGGCAACCGGCATGCACGGGGCAGGACAAGCCCTGCAGGGAGACTGGACAGAGATAAGGGGAACTCCCAGCCAAACAAAACAAGGAAAAGCAAAGACAGAAGATCACCAAAGATAAAAAAGGAGTTGCCAACATACCAAAAGTTCAAAAAACTAGCCGCCATATCAAAGTCGTCGTCGGCCTTGACTCCCCTCGAATGCGATCGGGTAGATTGACCCGAGCCCAGCTTGGAAATGGAGAGGCTGATACCGGAGGTACCACGGCGATGAAGAGCAGGACGGACGATGGGCTTAGACTTGGGAGCATGAGGAGAGGAAGGGGAGCGACGATGGGATGTTGATGATTGAGTCATATTTGACGATGTGGCGGTGAAGCCGAGGCGGTTTGAAAATGCCTCTATCTTATCAGGCGTACCTTGCGCAAAGGTGGAGCACGAGATTGCGGGATTCCAGGAATGGAGGAGGAGCGGGTGAGGGATTTGTTGTTTGGATATGAGGTATTTGGGAGGTTGGTGGTAGGTACTGTAGTAAGGTGGTTTTGGAACGGGATGGTGCAGGTTGTAATCAAATAGGACTCTCGTTGTGGGAGGAGAGGTAATCATATAATCATCTCTACTCCGGGTAATCTTTCTGGGGAAAAGACTAGATCAAAGGGAGAGACCGGGGGGCTTTGATAAGGTCAGTAAGTAGTTACTCAAAGTAACGAGAGTAACTAATATCATCGAGTGTCACGCAGACAATCGGGCCCGGTCGGGGCGATCGTCGTGAGTGGGGGGAGATAAGCAGAACGAGAGAGATAACATACCGGAAGTTTATTTCAGTGGCAAAAGATATGGAATAATCCCCAGGAATGTTGCAAATAGGGCTGTGTTATAAAGGGAGGAGTAAGCGTGTGATGATGAAAATTGAATTGATGATGGGGAAAGAGAGCTGTATAAATATCGACGTGCTCCGACTCCAAAAAGGTATATCCAAAAGTCTAGAACTTCCGAGTTCCACCCCTCCGACTCTTGGGAGACGAATTCCTATTGAACTCCCCCCACCTCAAGAGACCCAGACTCTTTCCCTTTGATCGACCTTTTCCACGCAATCGACTCTCCCAATCACACCAATCAGACTATCCGATCAAGGTACCACACCTAAAACCTTAGGTTCAAGTCCAGACCGCTGACTCAACCTTCCGCACGCAATTCCTATATTTAAGACGGAATAACTTGCCTTTTACACATAGTAACAGTACAACGTAACCTGTCTCTCTTCTATAATTATCTAAAACATCTTCCCCATATCCTTTTCTCCATATACTGTACATCTCTGCCAGGGTACTCTGTACTTTGTACTTACAACTAACCACAGATCCACGCTGATCCAGTCTAGATCCGCACGCGCCCCTCGTGCTTGGACACCACGCGCTTCTGCACTCTGCAGGAGACTGCAGCCCTCGAGGTACTTGGTTACAAGGTACTTGGAGTAGTAATCTAGGAAAAAGTAAATAGTTTCCGTTTTCGTGCAATAACGCGCTAGCCGGGACCACCTGCAGTAGGGTCTGGCGAGTTTATCTCCTGGCGTGATCGGGGGAAAGTGGCGCGATCGGAGGATTCTGAAATGGAATTGGATAATCACATCATCTTGGATTAGCAGTAACATAATGAATAAGTTATATGGAGTAGATGTAAAAACTTGATCACGACACAGATTTCCAGTTCACATCATCCTCGTCATCATTATTGAAAATAATGATCTAATTAGTATCAGCCTTACTATAATCACGACATCAACAGCCTAAATGATACTCTTAAACATTGAAAGGAAAATAAATTAATAGTTCTTCATCTCATCCCCAAACTCCATGACGCCATACCCATCCATACTCATCCATGGCCATCAATACACTCGTTGATTCTTATTCACACCGCTACAACAAAGAACTAGGTACTCCATACACACCCACGAAAAAGGCTCGGATATGGATAAATACTAGCCCTGATCATCATCCAACCGGAGCATATCACCTAATAACAGCTAACGAATTGAAAAATTCAAGGATAAGACTTATGTATTATCCGACCACCGGCCAGACTAGACCAGACAACGGTGGAGTAGAGTGGTGGATCAAGTCCATCCCCCCACACACTCCAGTACGCTATGAGTCGTGACACATCCTTGACACGTCGAGGTCTAGGCTAAGATAATAGAATTCTAGAATATTACTGTAGAATAGTACTGTATGATAAGATCTAGTGGGCGAGAGCTGCAGAATGTGAAACGGGAGAAATGTCCCACTACTGTTAGTTGGCGCGCTCTCTAACCCTGTTCTTGAAGCCTTCTCCCGGTGCTAGCCGTCGATCATCCGCTTCGTTTCGTGTTGATGGAGAATTATGTGGGTTGGTGATGTGTTGGACAGTACGGAGTACTATTGGAAGAGACTCGAGTCGCAGGTTAGACCTATACATAGTAGTTACTTCCCCTGGATTGCTCGGTCTGGCGGTTAGGGAGGGCGGGTAAGGCGTTGTGTTCTATCTTCTAGCCTCACTGATTGGACTCTCATTGAGTACACTACCCTAACAGCTACGCATCTGATAATGTTGGTACACTGAGGAGGTTTGACGAGTTAATTGCCGATCGCCCGATCCGTCTGTATACTGTATTCGATCGTGCATACAGTAGATACTCGATCATCCAAATCCCTCATCCACAGAGTCATTATTCCCTCTTTCCATTCTGAATTCTATTTTCTCATCTCGTCTAGACCACTCGCCACCACGTAGCTCCTACGTACATTGACTTCACTAGTAGTAACTAGGCAGCTAATAGCGGGTGCCCGGTTGGTACCTAGTATACGTAATGTGGAGCGCAGCGTCGACGCAAGATAAGTTACTCGATTGCGTAGCTTGCTATGACACAACCACAGCACAACACACAGTACCATACAAAATAACAATAAAGCAAGGAGGAAATAAGAAATACTGAAATTTAAACCTTCAGGGCTAGGGCGATAATGTCATCCCTTGAAATATGATCTATTCTTTTTAAAACTTTGACGCGGAGGAACTACGGTTTGTCAATGCTATTTTTGACTCCCGTCGCCTTCCGTGGTGGGTTCCCTGGAAACGGGGTGGATTGATGGCTGATTTACCCAGGGGGAAGAGGGATAGGGCGAACGAATTGTTACATCAGGGGGGACATCATAGACTATCATGTTTACTGTGAATAAATGTTTCAGGCGATGAGGATGGGTGGAATTGAGCTGGAGACGTAAAAGAAAACTCATTTTCGACGTACTTTCCAGGGGTGGTGATACTTTGGGTATGCTTGTTTATTGATAGATGAGTAGTCTATGACTGCATGGTGGAGAATGGAGATAGGGCTGGCCAGCCCTGCATTTATCTGGGATAGGAAGGGGTCTTGGAGCTAGGGATTTGGTTGGGGTTGAGTCATGATCCAGGGTTGTTTCCAAGATTGAATGGGTATCTATACAGGTAAAGGCTCGACTAAGACAGGGCTAGTTTGACATATCGTACACACAAATATCTCCCTCCATAACATCCAAAGGATGATCTAGATCAATGAAGAGCCATCCGGACACAGTTCATTTCACTTCGCATCAACCTCCATCGGATCAGCCTTGGAATCACCAGCGGATCCACCTTGCGGCTTTTTCTCCTTCTCCTTCTCGGCGTCGCCTGTCTTTGTCTCTATGCCGAGAAACCGATCCGGCACGCCGCGCGCTGCAATCCCGCCAGGTGCGACAAAACAGCCTAGCATCGAACTCCAGATGTATCCCTGCGACAGCATCTTGCGGATCTGCCCATAGGCGTAGGAGTTTGCATATGGAAGGGAAGTCTCTGGATCACGATATCGGGAGGGCAGGGATGTGATGACGCAGAGCGATGAGGAGATTTCTAATTGGTGGTTAGCCAGTCATGTTCGATCTTGATAAAGATATTTGCATATGGATAAAGCGGGTGCAGTCTGGGCTGAACTGGGGTATCCAGGATTGGGCACGTACTGGTCAATCGCGGTGGCTTCTTTGCATTAAAGTACATGCTGAACTTCTTGCTGTGCGCGGTCCGATCGTCGAAATTCTCTAGAATCGTCAGGTTTCGCCCTGTATGCTCAATGACCGGCGGGGCTGGCGGGATCTCGGGTTGTGCTGCCGCGGGGATCGGCTCTTGTGATTGGGTTGACTGCTGAAGAAGTTGGTCGGCCTGCAATCCCTGCTGCTGCTGCGATGGTTGGTCGGCACCTTGATTTAGTGCCCCGGATATATTGGGTGGCGTGGCTTGCAGGGGGGCTGCATCCGCCCGAGGGGCTTGAGCTTGAGGGGCTTGAGGGTCTGCAGGCGTGGGTGCGGGTGCGGCGGCCACAGGTGAAACGTGTTCGGTCACGGGTGTCGTGGTGCTTGACGCCAAGGTGGTCTGAGGGACTTCTCCAGGCGTTGGTTGTGCATCTGTGCTGGTGCTGGTTTCAGCGGGCGCGGCAGCTGCGGGAGCTATTGGCTCGGTGGGTGGTTGCGATTCAACCTTGATGGGCTCGGCCCCCGAGCCACTATCAATGTCCATCGCATCTGGCTTGTCTTCTGACCTTGCTTCGGGCTTTTCTATTGAAGATGCCTCTGCAGGTTTGTCTGTCGAGGCTTGCTCGGTGGACGAGGCAGATGGGTCACCCGCGATAATCTCAGTTGGCTCTGAGTTTTCCTCAGAAGACTTGACGGGTTCGGATTGGGTTGGTGGCTCTGCAGTCTTGACCTCCTCTTGCTTTGTGTCTATAGAGTGGGCAGCCGGCGGTTTTTCGTTGTTCTCGTTCGTTACAACGGGTGGTTCAGCGGTTGCAGGTTGCTCAGAAGAGGTCTCGTCAGGCTTGCTGGGCTGCTCTTGAGTGGATGTAGGAACCGCCGCGTTCCCAGGTACTGAAGTGGTCGGAACCGGAGTCTCTAGCGATGACTTCCCTTCGGCCAGCTTGACAGCTCCGGGCTCGCCAGGCGCTGTAGCTGGAGCCAAAGTTGAAGCATCTCCAGGAGCCGCGGTGTTCAATGGCGGCACTGGAGCAGGCGTAACGCTCTGTGCACCTTGCGACTCCGTAGCATTCTTCTCATCCTTGTCCTTTTTCTTCTTGCGAGGTTCCTCTTTCTCGGGCTTCGCTTTGATCTCGACTTTGCCCACCTTCGTAAGCCGTCCATCCACCCACGTAGCCAATCCACTCCAGTAAGAAAGAACGGGGCCCTCGAGTCGGCGATTCTGCAATGCCTCGATCTTCGCCTTCCGTTCCTCTGCCTTTTTCCTCTCCGATAGCTCCCAGCGATTAAGACTCTTGCTGTTAGTTCGCTCCACCCTAGCAGCCTCTGCAAGATGATCCTCTTGGGTCATCTCCTTTGGCTTGAGATGGGCTTTCCGCTTCTCGGCCTCCTTCATCGTAGCTATGATCCGGATACGCTTCTCCTGGCTGTCCTTCAACCGGGCATGCGTAAGCTCCTTGTTGACCATCGTTTGTCGACGCGAGGAGGATCGAGTCGGACCATCTTCCACCGTGGGCAGCCATGAGATGCGCTCCGACTTCTTCTTCGGCCGAGGCGGGGGAGCAGGCACGGATGATACGACGGTAGGATCGATTTTGACTCGTTTGCGAAGGGTTTGGAAACGAAGGTCGTTCTGTGCTCGTCGCTTCTTCCGCTCCTCCTTTTGCAGTTCCTTCTCGCCCTCGTAGTCGTTCTGGGCATTAGGGCCTTGGTCTTCATCGTCGTCCGAGGAAGAATCGAGCCCCATATCCTCCTCCTCGGCGGCTTCGGCATCGATAGCAAACTCATTATCGTCTTCCACTTCCTCGAATAGCAGCGTGAGATCGTCGTCTGCGGCCGCATCGATCAGGGCGGACATGTTTCGACCTGCGGTGCTTCGCTTCGCGCGACCTTGAACCAGAGACTCTACCTGCATCTCTTCCTCTTCCTCCTCTTCCGAGGACTGGAGTCCCGAGGAAGGGTCGTCTTCTAGAAGGTCGGCCATATCGTGGGAGCTTGGGGGGTAAATTTATTGCGGAAGGCTATCGAGCGATCGCGTTGTGGAGGGTCGGTCGGGCATCAGACGCGAGCCTGAGTAAAGGCGGATCGCGGTCGGAAAAGGAGGTTGCCGATTATAAGGATATAATTACTGGCGATAGTTGGCGGAGTGAAGAGCACGCGACATCGGATGAGATGCTCTTTCGTAGTTGAACATTGAACGGGAGAACGCGCTAAGTGAAGATCGCAGTGCGGCTGCCACTTCTGCGTGGCGTGTATGATGCCTCAGGCCTACAACCGTGACACCTGATCAACTTCCTCCAATTGAACTACTCGTCGATGATCAACTCTCAATACACCACTCTACCAGCTCCTCCATATTGCTATCGGATATCAGGCACACTATTCTACTAATGATTATCCACCACGGAGTATTGGATATTGCAGCCTACACGACGCGCCCTGCCGGGGCGTTCCGTACCCACCATGCCGTTCTCCCCGAAGCATGGAAGGTTGTCCTCAGGCAAGATGATGATTATGCTGCAGCAGCATCAGCGCTGATTGTCTACAGTGATTCAGCCCACTGATGGCAATGGAACGACTACAGTGCTTGTCAACTCAATTCGGTCGACTAAACTTACCTCCAGATCAAGGAAAGGACACGTACCTGACCCATCCCTTGCTCGCATCCACTCTCAGTCTTTGAGCGCGCGGCTCCAGAACCATGACAGAGGTGTTCCCCTTGCATAGGCAATTGCATCACCCGTTGTGCCAGCCAGGGAATTGCCATCAACATGCGATGAAATGAGTGGTTTATACCAGGCCCGAGCAAGGCCGTCTACTCTCCCTCTATGTCCATCTCAATGGAGTAAGACTATTGAGGCATGACGCTCCGGGAATGCGGGGCTCTTTTGTGTCTGTTTCCACGCCGGTGCTTCACCGAACATGCCATGTTTCCCGAAGACAATACACACTATGACAGGCCCAATTCCCACAATGTGCCGACCGGAATGTCGGGGGGAGTAGTTGGGACTATCTTGGAACCATCAGGGACCAACAGGGATCATCCGGGATTTGCCAAGGACCTTGTTTGGTTCTGGATGCATATCTGGAGAACGGGTGTTTACTGCGGGCCTCGAGGGTTGAATGTTTGGGACAGTCTGAACGATGACATCGATGGGGCTGTGTCAATCCACTTGGCCGTGCCGACTCCCCCGAAGCCGGTGATGCCAAACAAAAGCCGTTGGGACGAAGCCTAGTGTATGGAGGAGTAGTAGACTCGGATAATATTATTACTGTAGTTTGTAGAAAGTGCCTCGAAGGAAGTACAGTCGGTAGTATAGAACTATACAGCCACCTTAGCCTATAGCCTCTTCCATAGTCTGTGAAAAAGAACACCTGTTCACAATTGAATAATTTCTTATTCATCTGTAAATAATAACCCTCCATTACTTGTAAACCGTAGACCAAGAGAGGGGACAATTGGACAATTGGATTGTGGGAATTGAAGCTGAAAAAGAATCACTTCCTTCTCCACCAACCACAACGCCCAAACTTCCCCCCAAACTCCCAAACTTCCACCTCCTCGAACATCCGGTCTCCTCCACAACTTTCTTCTTCCCACTCCCGACTTTTTTCTTCCTCTCTTCTTTCTTTCTCCCCTTCCTGTGCGATTGCTTTTCGGTCAGTTTTATCCTTCTCGGTCTTCTCCCTCTCCCAAACACTCGGCTTCTTAAACCCTCTTCGCCTCGTTCCCCGGAGCCGCGCAAACTAACTCGTCCTCCAGCCACCTCGATCCCTTCCCGAACCCCCCGTCATCCCCGACCCAGTTCTTTCTGGTCCTCACTCGGCGCTCTTTGGTGTGGACTCCTTTTCCCATTCTTCCATGCTTCGCTTTTAGCCGCGCCCCTCTCTTTTGACGACCGCTGCGAAAACGTGAGTTTTTGGTGATTCCAACTCGGGTCGATTGAAATCGCGTTGGGGACACGGACAATCGTCATACAAGCCAGGACATTGTAGTCGTGAGAGACTTGTGAGCATACGTCTGCGTCTTTCTCTTGTCGGTCAGTTTTAAGAAGACATCACCCTTTCATTCCTCATTCCCCCCCACTCCGTGGCTGCAGTGGAAGCGCCTTTGTCAACCCCTCCTCCCTCTCTCTTTCTGTCATCCCCCCCGTTCCTTCGTCCTTCGGATGCCATTCGCCGATCCTCAACCGAAACTCACCTCGAGTAACTCGACAGCTGACCTCGATCTCGCATATTCTCTGCAGCCTGCACCCGCTTTTACCACCCTCACCATCTCTCCATTCTCTTCACCAAGGTGCTTACGGTCTCCTACAAACCCCATCACTGCATGGTGTTTGCGCTGCACCGTCACTTCTGATTCAACCCTTTACTTTTTTTTTCTTCGAGTTGATCGACTCTGTCAGTCCCTTCCGGTATCTGCGCTGGGTTTCAGAGTGGGGAATTTACGAGCACTGCCTTTCGCTTTAAGGCAGAAGGAAATAATCCATAATGTTACCGGTCTCACGACCTGAAGGACAGATGAGTTTCAACTACATTCCAACCACACAGTCCATGTCGGGAACTTCGACAGGGCGAAGTTCCCCCAGCGACCTGGCTGGCTCGGGGGCTGCGAAGGCGCCATTTGGTGTTTCGCGACTGGGGGCTGGCTCCCCTTCTCACGAGTTGGGGACACGTTTGTACCCGAAGCGGTAAGTGTCCTCCCCGATGGAACCCTATTCGCGCCAACTCTTGCGATGAATTGACTGACATTTCATCCTTTACAACAGTGCTCGTGAGATTCAGGCCCAGGAAGGTCTCCCCACCAGTATTTGGGGTCCCCCGACTAGTGGTCACTCGACCCCGCTGCGTGAGAACATTCCCGAGTCGCCTAGCCAGGATAGCTTTCCCGACCTCATCCCTACCACCAATGGCTCAATGACTGGCTCTGGCCGTCGAGCCCGAGCTGGCACGGTTCCCTCTCGATTCCCACCGATGGGGACCCTGAATGAGATGGATGTTCAGCAGCCGTTCATGTCGCAAACCTCCCGTCCGACCCCCTCCACGAGTCCCTTCCGACCCCCGGTGTATCGGGCATTGACACGAGTGCCGGTATCGCGAGTTCGACTGCCGGTCCTAACCCGACCATGCTGTCCCGTCTTCGAGCTGGCTCGATGCCGCAGCGGAATAGTCTCCTCGGGACGGGCGGTCCTTTCGGCTCATCCGTCTTTTCTTCGGGTTGGTCGACTGGTCGCGATAGAGCCACCACTTTGACGAGCATCCGCTCGTCGGAGGGTCCAGCTTCACCGAGCCAGTCGTCCTTCTCTCAAGACACTGATGTCAGAACTCTTGACTATCTCGGTTTGGCGGAGACTCCCCAACAGCCGAGGGCTTCCCTTGCACGACCGTCGATGGAGCAGTTGATTCACCACCAACAGCAGCAGCAACAGCAGCAAGCATCTGCCCTGCCGCCACTCCTGGCCGAGCTGGCGATGATGAAGAGCAACAATCGGTTCCGGTCCTACTCTGTTAATGCGAAGGAGAAGTATGCCGATGATGAGGATTTGGAATATGAGAGCCGCTACTCTGGAGTTCCCTCAGGCACGCTGACTCCCTCGGCCGCTGCTACGGCTGCTCAGCTTGCTGCCACACAGGCACAGATTCACCAGCACAACCTGGCTGTTCAGGCGTTTGCCAGTCATGCCTCTGTCAACCGCCCTCGTGCAAGGACTGCTGGTATTCTGGAGGCCCCTCCCCAACGATCATCCATCCGCAACTACCTCGCCACACCCTCCCGTCTCGACAACAGCTTCACTCCTTCCGACCTGCACATCTCTGAGAGTGGTGAATATGATGACCTTGCCGAGGCGGTCCAAATGCTGCATCTTGGAGCCGCTGGCCCTGCAGTTGGCGTTCGTGCAACTGGGGAGCTGGCAGATGAGAACAACCAGGATGGTCCGACTCGGGCTTTGTGGATTGGCAGTATTCCCGTCTCCACCACGGTCACTTCACTGGATGCTATCTTCGGCATGTACGGAAAGATCGAGTCTACTCGTGTGCTGACGCACAAGAACTGTGGCTTTGTCAACTTTGAACGCATTGAAAGCGCTGTCCAGGCCAAGTCTCTGTTGAACGGCAAGGAGATCTTCCCCGGTGCTGGTCCCGTTCGAATTGGCTATGCCAAGGTTCCCGGGACCTCTGCGGCTGGAACCCCCGGTGCCAACGGCATTCAGTCATCGCCTACCCCGGATCCCAACTTCAAGTCGAGCCTTGTCTCGGAGGGTATCGACCAGACGAATTCCTTTGGTGTCGTCCCTCAGACCCCTGCCCTGATTGATCTGCTGCCCGAGATGGTCGAGATTGTGCAGGAGTTCGGAGCCAGTGAAGATGATTCTCGCAACATCACCGCTACCATCCAAAGTGCTATTGCCTTCCAGGCTTATGAAGACGAAATCCCTTCCATCTCAGAACCCAGCCAGACCCGCATGTTTGATGCCCCCCGTCTGCGTGATATTCGCAAGCGTATCGACAACGGTGCTTGCTCAATTCAGGAGATTGAGGAGACTGCCAGTGCCATGCTCCCTGAGATTGCTGAGCTTTCCTCCGATTATCTCGGCAACACTGTGGTTCAGAAGTTGTTCGAGTTTTGCTCCGAGCCTACCAAGGAACAAATGCTGTCCCACATTGCTCCTCACCTTGCTGAAATTGGTGTGCACAAGAACGGAACGTGGGCTGCACAGAAGATTATCGACGTTGCCAAGAGCCCTGCCCAGATGAAGATGATTGTCGACGCACTCCGTCCCTACACCGTACCTCTCTTCCTTGACCAGTACGGAAACTACGTTCTGCAATGCTGCCTGCGCTTCGGCGCCCCCTTCAATGATTTCATCTTTGAGACCATGCTGAGCCGCATGTGGGAGGTCTCTCAGGGTCGATTCGGTGCCCGAGCTATGCGCGCTTGCTTGGAAAGCCACCATGCCACCAAAGATCAGCAGCGCGCCCTTGCCGCTGCCATTGCCCTTCACAGTGTGCAGCTGGCCACCAATGCCAACGGAGCTTTGCTACTTACCTGGTTCCTGGATACTTGTACATTCCCCCATCGCCGAACCGTTCTTGCTCCCAGACTTGTTCCCCACCTGGTGCACCTTTGCACCCACAAGGTTGCATACCTTACCGTTCTCAAGGTCATCAACCAGCGCAATGAGGCCGAGGCTAGAGACATCGTTCTCAAGGCGCTCTTCTTCAGCCCTGGCGATGAGGTGTTGGAGAAGATTCTGAGTGACCAATCTTCGGGAGCTACTCTGATCTTCAAGGTCCTGACCACTCCGTTCTTTGACGAGTCGATGCGGTCAGAGGTCGTGAAGAACGTGTCCAAGGTTCTCACCAAGTTGAAGGCATCGCCAAGCCAGGGATACAAGCGCTTGATGGATGAAGTTGGCTTGTCTTCCCGTGGTAATGGTCGCGAGCACCACCACGGTCGTGACCATGGCGCTAGCCACTCCTCTACCCCCGAGAAGTCGCAGCAACGTCAATCCTCCCGCCATGGAAGCACCAACTTCCCGGCACAGCCCCCTTTGGAGCGACAATACAGTGGCCAATTCGGCTCCAACATGCTTGGCCAGGCTCCCGATTCACGGCCCATTTCTGCCGACCAGAACAATGCCCCTCTTGACGCTTATGGGGCTAATGGCATGAATGGCTTCGGCGGTTCTCTGAACGGCCTTGGAGGAATGAATGGTTTCCAGGATCCCAACGCCGCCCAGCAGCAGCTTCAGTACCAGGCTTACCTGGCCTCCCAGGCCCGTGGTGTCTCTCCTGGCGGTATGTACCCAGGCATGCCAGGAGCCAATTTCGGCTACCCAGCCGCATCGCCATCCGTTGATAATCTGCGCTCTCTTCAAACTCAGTTGTCCGCTGCGCCGGGCACTATGAGTCCGAATGCCATGCCCAATCAGTCTGGCTACTCCCCGCAGCAGTTCAGCCCCGTCGTCAACCCAGCCCAAATGTACCAATATCCTCCACATTTCTATGCCCAGGCACAGCCGGTGCAGGGCCAAACTGGCGGAGGCCGACGTGGACGGGTAAGAGATCTCGCATTTCCTCTTTCACTCCAATAATGGTCCAACCTGCTAATACTCCTTCTACAGCGCTGATCCCGGCATATGATTTCTTTTAATCAAATCTTCTCCTGTTTCGATCTACTGTATAAATTCTTTTCCTCGTTCACTTCATGTTGTGGCCATTTCATCATGGAGATTTTTCAGCGGGTTCTCTAGCTATGTTGTGAATTGGAATTTCGTCTCAAATCATGCATTCTCGGTTCCCCTTTTCATCCTCCGCGCCCGCCACCAGACGCTGGATCGCCGGTCCGGCGCGGCTTGGATGAGGGGGAGTACTGGTATGCGACTGAAGATTTGATCTGGTTTTTGGAGTGTGGATTCTACAGAAAAAAAGTCGGGTTTGGCGGGTCTGGCGGTTCGTCGGACACCCATTCATATTGTATCTTCATGGGGACCAGCGTTTCGAATGAGCATGTATTTTGCGATCTATGAGCTTTTTATTTTTACTTCATGCTTTTGTCTTTTTCATTCTCATTCTTCCCTGGTGTGATATTTTTATGCAATGTGATGTGACCTTGAATGACTTGATCATTGGGGTTGAGATTGTGTGCTTTTAAGTGGCTGGAGTGGAGAGGCGTCAATGAACAGATTTATTTTATGCATCTATTATCTTGCTAATTTTATCCAAAATAGCTCGTGGGCTTCGTATAGAGCTTTGTTCCCATGCGGAACCCATCCTTGCAAGTATCTGTTGGCTCTCTAGTGCGGCCGCTGACCGCCGAGCATCTTGAAAATAGTAGCTCCACCAACACCGTCCTCTTTGGCTCTGTAACCCACCAAGCCAGGAACCATCATGATCAACCAACGACTAGAATGACACAGTCCCCAGCACGGGACTCTGCCATCCTCTACCACAATGCAGAAAACACAATCTTTCTCATCGATACCCCACATTCTATAGCACTCGCGCAGGAATCAGTCTGGGCCTCATCCACAAGCAGACAAGCCCAGGCTCCTCGATCACAAGATTCTTCAGCGTCTCTACAGGGAGAAATCTGTAAGAAGAGGAGATGGCTATTATCTACGCCACCACTGGAAACCCCATTCCCATCTACGGAACCCAAGTCGCATGCTGCGCGTGCGAAAGTGCTTGAGAGGATTCCAGCGAGCGAGCAGCGATTCCATGGGGAATTTATACGACCGCTCGTTGAGTCTGCTTTGGTAGTGCTTCGGGATGAATACCAGATTCGTGGTGGTCGATGGTGTCTTCCCCGACGTGTTCGCGATGATGACAGCCAGCATCAATTGAATGCGTCTACGCATCCTGCTGGAAAACAGTTCAATTCTGCGAGGAAGCGGCGCAACAAAGATATCTCTGAAACTGAACTTGCAGCTCAGCAACCTAGTGACGATGGATTTTCTCGGGCAATGCCACCGGTTATTCTGTCGTCCACAGCTATCAATTCCTTCGAATCAATGAGCGATTTGCAAGACAGCATCGTGGAGAACGTTTCCTCGGAGAATGTCACTCTTGCTATACGTTCCACGACTTATCACGACGGGCATATGTACGACGAGTACACCATTCCTCCATATGCAAACTTCATCCTCTGCACTCTACCTATATCACAACCAGAGTGCAGTTATCCCTCCAAGATCAGCGCAATCCCCAACCCAATCCCTGCAGTCCCACAAGATCAAAAATTCAATCTACTCCTCTTCGATCCTCCTTGGCCAAATCGATCCGTTCGACGGAGTAAACACTACCAAGTGAATGATTACTCTGAGATGGAGATCTTGACACAGCGACTACGGGATATCCTGCGAACGCATGCTTATCACACTGGCTACTCGCCAATTGAGAACTTCGGTATTGGTCCCAGTCAACATGACGGGGATGCGCAATGCCGTGTGTCATGGGCGGCTATCTGGATTACCAATGCTGAAAAGGCACGTCGTGCTGCGTACGATGCTCTCACCAGCGCTGGTTTCCGCATTGCTGAGGAATGGATCTGGGTTAAGACTACGGCCGATGGTCAACCTATTTCTGTGGTGGATGGACTTTGGCGGAAGCCATATGAGATTCTCGTTATTGGGAGGGCAGATCAGAACAGGGATACTATGGACTTGAGCTTCGCGTCCACAAATGAGGGCAATTCTCTGCATGGTGATGACTTGTTGGGTATCGACCCGGCTGGTATCAAGAGACGAGTTATCGCTGCAGTGCCGGATTTACATTCGCGCAAGCCGAATTTGAAGGAGGTTTTTGAGCGAGTGTTCTTCATGGAGGGACGTCGAAATGGGAGTTCAGGATCGGATGGATCGGATGCTAGTGTACAGTCATATTCTGCGATGGAAGTGTTTGCGAGGAATTTGTCGGCTGGTTGGTGGGCTTGTGGTAATGAAGTTCTCAAGTTCAATGCGCGAGAATGTTGGGTGGATGAATGATGGCTGGCTAGGATTGGTATTAGGCACTTAATAACAGTGACAGGAGCCTCATGCTTCGACCGAATAGTAGTTCATACTGTACTACCTAATGATCGTGACCTATCTGACTCGATGTCACCACGTATCATGGCGGAATGTAGTTCTCCTATCTGACAAAACACTCGGCCAACAACAACCTGATTAGCAAGCCTACGACTCATCCCATAGATGACTCAAATACCATCTATGCCGGCCTAATTAACATAATCCCAGCCTTGCGACTCCAAACAGACCTATAATCCACCACATACAAAACAAAAATCAGGCTCCCCGTTCTCCACGGACAAACCCATCCCTGATTGAGTTTCCCATCTTATCGGAAAAGCGGTTGTCAAATCACCCGCATCAACCAATCAGTCCCCAAAATTGACTCATTTAAGACCCATCAGGACCCATTTAACCACATTTACAATCCAATCAAAGCCTCGCGGAACAGGGCCGCAGCTTACAAAGGCCAATTTTTCAGCATAGTCTTTGCGTGGCCTCGCAGGAACTGCCATCGTGGATGCCATGTGCTTTTGGTACAATGTAACTCAATCTGATCTATCGGGCTAGAGTTTACGTCCGTGGTACATTAGTGCAGTACAGGAAATAGGAAATGAGAAATATAAAGTCGTGATCCATACCCCCACTCTTCATGGATCCTTCTAAAAAATAACCTCTATTCCGTCCCGACTTACGTCTTCCCCTGGAAAATACGTACCTTTTTCGGGGAGAGGCTAAGGCTAATTTTTAGTTTGCGCGTAATCGCGATCTCCAATTGCCGCCACCTTTTTTTTCCTTTCGGCTTTTCCGACCCCGGTGCAATAAGAAGTGGCTTTAATCTTCTCCCCTTCTTCGCTGCTCTTTGGGATTGCGACGAGAGTGTGGCTCGTTACACACAACCCACACCACATATCCCAACCGCAGTCATGACCTCGCAAGACGACCAGGAAAAAGGTCCGGAGGTTAGCCTCGCGGCTGATGAGAAGCCGAGTCATGCGCAAAGGCCGGCATGCTTTAGCTCGACTTTGCAGGAATGTCTGTTCGTTTTGACTGCTACGATGGCGATTGGCCAGCAGTCTTTTTTCCAGGGCTGTATCGTTGGTGTGACGGCATCGATTGGATCGGATTTGAATATGAATTCGGCGGAAATTACGTGGATTAACGCTGGTGCCTCGTAAGTCGATACCCTGAAATAAAATATTCCATCAAAGAAGACGACCGCTAATGATACATCACCAAACAGTCTCAGCAGCGGTGCTTTCCTCCTAACATTCGGCAAACTAGCCGACATGTTCGGCCGAAAAGCACTCTTCATAATCGGCATGGCAGGCTTCACTCTCTCCCTACTAGTAGCCGGCTTCGCCACGAACGCCATCTACATGGACGTATTCTCCGGAATCCTAGGCCTCTTCGCAGCCGCCGTCGTACCACCGGCCGTCGGCGCATTAGGCGCCGTCTACGAAAAGCCGTCTAAACGAAAGAACCGCGCCTTTGCGTGTTTCAGCGCGGGCAATCCGCTCGGCTTCGTGGGTGGTATGATTATTTCGGGGGTTGCGTCACATGAGTATAATTGGCGGGCGTCTTTTTGGGCGTTGGCGGTTGTTTATGCGATTTTTACGGCGTTGACGGTTTGGACGGTGCCAGCGGATGGGTTTGCGAGGACGCCGGTTAGTATGGATGTCATTCGGAGGTTTGATCTTTTGGGGACCGGGTTGGTTATTGTTGGGTTTGCTTTCTTTTCGAGTTCGCTTTCGTGAGTTCTTTCGCTTTTTTTCTTGTGGTTTGTTTACGGGGATTGTGTGTTCTGACTTGATTTATAGATTGGCTGGTGATGCGCCTGATGGATGGAAGACGGGTTATGTCCTTGCGCTTCTTATTGTGGGCGTTTTCTTGCTCGCGGGATTCTTGTATTGGCAGTCTATTGCTAAAGAACCCTTGATGCCTTTGTGGGTTTGGAAAGATCGCAATTTCTCTTTGGTAAGTTTACAGCACCATTGGACGTTGACTAGATAGCTAACGACGTCTAGCTTATGGCAACCTTCTGCCTTGGATTCATGGGCTTCTCAGCCGTCTCATTCTACCTCTCACTCTACCTGCAAGAAGTCAAGCACCTCACAGCCCTCGACATTACAGTCCGCCTCCTCCCTATGGTTGTCAGTGGCGTTCTGGTCAACGTAATCTGCGGCCTGGTCCTACACCGTGTCAGCAACAAGCTGCTCACTGGTATCGGTGCCTTGGCATACACTGCATCATTCCTGATCCTGAGCTTCATGAAAGAAGACGCCATCTACTGGGCGTACATCTTCCCGGCGCTGGTCCTCGTCGTGGTCGGTGCCGATATCCAATTCAACGTTACGAACGTACGTGTCCCCTGCAATTGCTATCTGTCGAATTACTCACTAATATTTGAATAGATGTACGTCATGTCTTCTCTCCCGCCAAATCAACAATCCATTGCGGGTGGTATCTTCAACACTGTCAGTAAACTCTGCAATAACCTTGGTCTTGGTATTGCGACCTCCGTCAATAGCTCAGTAGCTAGTCAGATGACTGCTTCCACGCCGGCTATCCGGCCTTACTTGGCAGTCTATTGGTTCGCCGCTGCTTGTGCTGGCTTATCTGTGTTTATGGTGCCTTTCTTGACGCTAGGCACGCAAGGTGGGGATACAGGCCCGAAGAGTGAACAGACAGTCGTGGCGTCTGATAACGAAGGAGATGTTGGTGAGAAGAGGGCTGTTGATGACTCTATCATGGATGCGGATACTCGCGTCGCAACGCCAGTCATGGAACTCGAGAAATCATGATTCTTTCTCGAGGCGGTGATTGCGGAAAAATGCTTCATAATTTTCTGGAAGCTAGGGCCAGTCAACATGCTATTTCCTGTTGACGTCGGACTTTATATGCTGTCCGGCTTGGCTCTTTGCTGAACTACTCTTCAGCCGTCTTGATTCTTCATATTCTTCATAGACTTTATAGACTTAATACACATCATAGACGTTGGTGGATAAACGTTGAATCTATTGACATGTTGAAATTGGCTACAGTATCTTTTGCTCTTAGACAAGAAAAGTACGAGTACAAGTAAAGAGAGTCCTATATATGATTAGGCTATACTCAGCATTTACATCTAGGGTGATGACGAAGCTTGTTGGGGAGGCCCCAGATCTAATCGAATAGATGAATATTTAATGTAATCCACTTCCACTCTTTCCTCTGGCCAGTTTAGGTTGATTTTGAGATCAGAGTAGACCTGACTTGGCGGACATCTCCTTACACATCGATATCCACACATTTGTGTGCTCTTGACGACTTTGAGATATGCAGGGCCCATCAAATTTGTCCGATACTCCTTGAATACTCGAAAATGCCCTCGTGGAATGGGCAAAAAGAAACCTCGATCTATCCCAGAGCCCAGCAACGCCATAGAAGGGAAATGAATAATCCCTTCCCTTCCTCATACATTCCATTTCAGCCCGTTCAATCAAAGACCGGCCCCAAACTAACCAGACTAAACCGCAAATCAGGATTCCCCCCTTGCGCCTCCATCTTCAAAAACCGACGCACTCCCAACTCAAGCGCAGCCTCACTAAGCGCATCCTCATCCTCACCCAACGTTCCCCTAGCCAAAGGCCCCTTCCTCCGCCCATCCAGCTCCCAAAGCGTCCCATCAAGACCCTTCACAAACGCCACAAAGTGCAAATCAACATTATCCTCCGCCTCTGGCGCCGCCGTATCCCCCAACCTCGCGGCATCCGCATGCGCACTCTCCAGCGCCTTACTCTCGTACAAAAGATCAGCGCGCGGCACCGGCGTCAGTCCCTCTGCTTCACGGAGCAGATTGTCTAGATCCGAGCCTGGCGTGACGTGCTGGCGGGGTTCGCCGTTGGCCACGGCGTGGAGGAGTCCGATTAGGCCGCAGGCGTTGCGGATGGTCTGCTTGAACCACATTACGGGCTCGGAGGGCCCGGAGCCGGTGTAGTCGGGTAGGGCGGTGTCTTCTGTTTTGCGGGAGGCTTCGTAGGTTTGGGAGACGGGGAAGACGAGGAGGAGGGCGTGGGAGGGGCGTGGGACGAAGCCTAGGAGGTCTGGTTCGTCGATTGAGTAGACGTCTGTGAAGCCGAGGCTGGAGGGGAGGCCTAGTTGATGGACTAGGTGGGACATGACTTCTGGGTTGTTCTCTGAAGGTGGGTTGTTAGTGGTCTGTGGTGATGTTTTTGTTTCTGGGGCAGGGTGAGGGGTGCGAACCGAGGGGCACGAAGGCCTTTTGGGTGTTGGGGACGTCCGGATTGTCGGCCATGGTGAGTATGAGAGTGTAGATATGGATGGAAGTTGTTCGGTCAGGATTAAAAAGGAAAGAAAAGGTTGTGTTAAGCTTGGAGGTTGGAGCGAGGTTGAAGTTGTAGGAGAGATGATGTTGCGGGGTTGGCTTTTATCGGCGTTCTCCACACGGAGCTTTAAGCCACAACTGTCAGGGCGGAGTTAACAACTATCTATTGGAACCCGGATTATTTCAAAATCAAACAATCGTAGAGACTTCTATTAGTACAGTTTAGATATTCAACCTCAGCTGTTGATTTTCTGTCCAGTTAATCTCTAATACCTGGCGGAGAGAAGAAATTGGACGTCAGCACAGGATTTTGTGACCTCGGTAAATCAGCAAATCATTTCCTTCTATGTGAGACGACATATGATGCAACTTGCAGGCTAGTTCTTTTCCATGCATTTATTGGGTATTTTGCATGCATTCCTCGGAAAGGGAAGCTTCAACTTCAGTGCGCTACCGGCTGAAGCCCCTTCTTCAGTGGCTCGTAAATATCAGTCCACAACTCGCTTGCCTCGCCGAGATAATACGTCAAGCTAACATCTGCCATGCTCACTTCGTCTCCACCAGACATGGTCTCCAATTGTGAGATGATATTCTCCAATCCAAAGGCCTTGCCGGTGGCCTGGGTAGCACCAGCCTCCAACATGACATTGACGACGTGGATGTGGAAATGGTAGTATGTCGGTTGGTCTATATGAGAAACGAATCAGTATTCGCAAGTCACTGTCTATCAAGATAAAGACATGAGACTCACAGTGAACGTAAAGCTTCAGTTGATCCTCCTCCAATTCCGGGTACATCTTGACCGTAGCCTCCAACACACGCTGCCGCAGATATTTCAACCACGGAATATGCTTCTTCTGCAGATCTCTCAGACTCCAGATATCCCGTCTATGCACCAGCGCCAGCAAATGCAGCGAGTTCAGAGTCTTCCGGTCCCAGTTAAGATCCGGCAGCATCAAGAACGCATCTTCGGGGCCGTGGCCTGCATCTCGCATAATCACATCTTCTTGCTCAGTGCGACCCTCGAGGATGTTAAACACCCAGTTCAAATGGCCCTCCTCACGCTTGGCTTGCATGAATGGACGCACGTGCTGCTTGTAGATATCGGGCGTCTCGGTGACCATGCGGAGCTGTTGGTCTGAGTATTTCTTGATATGCTTTGCGGTGCAGGGCCAGATCAGATTCAACTTGAGGTCTTGCTGGCTGTCGGTTGATTGGGTGCTGCCATTTGATGACGCGAGGTACCAGCGGTAGATATCGTTGTCACCGAGGTTCTTGACGCGGGTGATGGCTGCGTGGAATGCTTGAATGACATCCAAAGACTCAGTGGCGAAGGCAGCACGCTCGGCAGTCAAAATGCCTTGTTGGTCGTCGATTGTTCCTAGCAGAGCAATGCGACGGCCATTTTGATCTATGGACTGGTTAATTTTCGAGTCCTTGATCGCGGGGTGTTTTGTTTAGCGGGTGTACCTTGCTTGAGCAGCTTGCTAATTTGGAACTTGGCAATCAATGCCTCTGGGGCGGCCTTGACATTGCTTGTTTCGCTAGTCATTTTGAGCAATTGTCAACGCACTAATTGTCAAGTGAAGCAAAGATTGAGAAAGAAGCTGCGCGGGGAATTTGTTATCGGCTCCACGATGGGCGGTCGGGCTTATCGGATCTTATCGCTCCTTATCGAGCCCTTATCGCACTGAATACAATCTAGACTTGGTAGTACCAGCGGGAACTACATGTGGACTTTCTCCTATGACTTCATGCGAGATGAGGGAAAGACAGTAGATAAGATACGGTTATACTCAAATATCTATAAAAAACATCCGTAAAAAGGAAGTGGAGGTAAAGGGCAAAGGTATAATTTTTCATAAGATATCCATTCCCAACGGACATGACAGAGAAGTCGACCAAGAGAGCTATTAACGAAAGACAATCATAGGCATCTCCATGGTACAACCACTATAACAATACCATCTGATATTCACTTTTAAGTTGATTAAAAAAACCAACAGCGAAGATAATAGCCTATGTTCATGGACATTCACTCTCTTCGATGACTCGGCTAGCCACGTTGGAGACATGGAGATGTGACTGATGCTGGATTCGTGGGACAATAGGCAAGATTGGAGCGGCTGGAGCTTGCCAGTATTGTTCATCAGGAGAGTTCGGACCGAGAGCGAAAGGAGATGCTAGAAATACGATTTTTATTAGCAAACGGTGTTATTAAGTGTTAAGAACGTACCATCCATGGGTTGGCTCAAATTTGCGATTGGAAAGTACGCGACGCTGGGCTCCATTACTGGAAAAATCAAGCTAGGAAGAACCAGGTGTGAATGGCGAGTCCGTGGGTTGGTAACAGCCTGCAACAGTTGGCACATGTTTTCGTTTAGCCTGGTTATTGTATGCTCAATCTGCTCGAGTCTTTGCGTCTGCTGTCGGCCGATCTCCTCAGAGCGGGTAGTGTTGGACCTAGAGGATCATGATGAGCATCAATCAACTAGCATTCTGAAGGGTGCTCAAGTAGAACTGACCATGTCATAGTGTTCAAGAGAAGATTGATAGCACTCGTGTGTGCCTGAAGCTCCATTCGATATTTGGCAAATGAGTCGCTGCGGAGGTACCACTGGACTCTTTGCCATTGGACCTTGGCCTGAGCTCTGAGGTACTGAGAAAATCCCAAGCCAAACACTCTATAGGAAGGACTAGAAACAGGGCGAGGGGGATCGTGGGCTGCTTTGCGGTAGCTTGCAGTTGCTTCGTCGAGCTCCTTCAAGATGTTCCGGCAAGATTCAATCATTCGTCCCAGGTGCTGTCGAGCTTGAACAATGTCAGGTTCAGCTCCGGTAGAGGGTCCAACTAGAATGCCCTCAAGCTCTCTTTCGAGGTGGCTGAGGGCACAATAGAGGCCGAATAGGACGGCTTCTAACTCCTTCATTTCGCGAGGGGCATTGTTTCGTCCGTTGGTGAGGGTGGTGTATAGATGGAATGCAATCTGGGTGCAAGCAACAATATCTCCTATCGAAACAAGCGGCATGTTGGAGCAAGTGATAATTGTATATTATCTCAACCCGTGATAATGAAGAGATAAATCGAGTCAAATCAATAAAAATCCAAGGACTTGAATCTGATGAGAATGTGGAATCAACAAATGTAGCCAAGCAAGACTAAGTATAACAAGCCCACATTTCTGACACTGTTTGACCAAGGACTGGAAAGACTGGCAGGGAAATTTAAGGCGTTCAAATAATGAACAGATAGTGTATGGTGTTGAGGAATAAAGGGAGTTCAAGATGTAGATTTCAAATTTGAGGACAAAAAGTCCTATTTTATATAGGTCCTGACTTTTTTCCGCACAGCTGCGCCAAGATCTTTCTGCGCGGGCGCCCATGGCGCCCACTGCGAGTTGCAACGGCACCGGGTCTGCGATCCGTGAGATCCGTGGGCGACCAATGATCCACTGGTCTGGTCCCTGATCCCCAATCATCAAGCTTTGTCCATCCCCGGCGTGCTTGGCGCTTTTTCTCGACGCCACTTGAGGCTATGCAAAAATCATCAAGGTCAACTTTTGCACACGAAGCCTTCTCACCACAAACCATCTGCCTGATTGGGTTGAGCACCGTATATGCGGCTTTTGTTGCGCTTTTGGCATCTGCTGTCACCTTTACCTATAGGGTGTACAGGACCGCACAGTCTGTAATGCGAGTTTTGACAGGTAAAATTACTTATCGAGGAAATCGACTTATTGGAACAGTGCTATGCCTCTGTTTCAGTCGAATCGAGATCGATATCCCGCAAATTGTATATATGCTGTATTTGTAAACAATCCTATACATAACTCGTAGAATAATAGTTAGACTAATTTTTAATGACGTTCGTTAACCTGATTAGCGCCTTGGTTTGACTTTAAGGGTCTCTGTCCGCGAAAGAAGGGCTGGGCTAAACGGGCGAACGCGTTTTCGTGATTTGATTTGATCAACATCCCGAATGTCCTAACTTGTTTTAGGTCTTCCGTGCGGAAAACCTATGACTGATTGGGTAAAGTAGAAGTGAAAGTAGCGAGGAAGCGCAATCGGAATTGTAGCTTCTATACAAAAGGCCATACCGACTTGTTGTTGATTGACTTGACGGTAACAACCTTAGGTAGTTATAACAAATACCATTATTAATAACAGGAGATACCCACGCCGGGCCTAGGGAAATAATGTACCAATCAAAGTAACGGTAAGCATTATGCAGCATTTCGAGCCATAAACACGGCATCCGCAGACTCCCCGGGGCGGGCCACAGCCAGCAGGCCGGGCGGTCAAAGAATATTAGAAGATAATCAGTTTAAAGAAAGATAAAGAAGTAAAAAAGCAACCTGCCTAGCTATGAACTCCTTCTCTCCCGGTAAATAGCATCTCAGATAGTGATAGTATCTACTTACAGTTGAACGGGCAGCAAACACAGTGGCTCTGGACTTTTTCAGATGAGAACGGCAAGATCCTTCGGACTTGAACCTTCTTGTTATCAGAATTACAATGTCGGTAATAATAAAAAGTACTTTTAGTGCCATCAATTTATTCTCAAAAGTGGCCATATATTAGATGAAGCCATCCCTATGCTTTGTTACCCTCTATCGCCGACACAGGCGTCCCATGCATCTATCAACCGAGTCAGTTCTGATACCCAGTGCATCAATCAATGTAGTTTGAAGTGGCGCCTACCGTCTCCGCAAATCGCACCCATTCCTCCACACCTTTGACGAATGTATCATCCGCCGCAGGAAGAATCTCATGCCCCCATACCATCAGCCCATCGAATGTGCCCTGCGCCTCGAGAACCTTGACCGGCTCCTCTGATTCAGTCTCGCCATCCTCCACTGTATCATTTGTTGGTTGTTGAGATGCCGGTAGTACACGGTCTGTCGGCGTAGCAATAACACCTGATAATCGTAAAAATCAAGGTTAGAGAATGGCACAATACTCCAGTGGAGCGATTTCTTTGCAAATAAGTGTCCTCTTACCTTGATAGCCCTCGGGAATCGCAACGCGCCGGCCTCGAAGTCTGCGTCCGCGGAAGTGTGCTGTTTGTTTGTCGTCTGCAGGAATAGGTGTTAGAGCAAAATATCTTGAGATAGTATGGTGCATTGTCGCAGCCAATGTTATGATACGTACCCTTCTCGTCCGTCTCCGGAATCCAAAACCGATTGGTAGACTCGATCGGGCCATCGTGGTGAATCCGACAGGGGAGAACGTTGGGCGTGAATTTCGTAGTTTCTTCATCGTTTGCAAATGATGAGATTGGCTTGGAGCCTGCTTGGAAGGCGTACATCTCTGGCATTGTGTCGCGAAGCTCGCAGGATGGGATGGCTTGTTCTAGGTAGCGCGAGTCCGGAGGCAGGCGAGAAAGTCGGTGTACTTGTGCAACGGTTGAGTCCTTTTAGGGTATAAAATTGTGCGTGCCTTTTTATAGCAGTCAATCGAGTGCAATTGCGTTGGCGATGTCGAGGACAAGTCGTGGGTGTTGGTGTTGAATTCTGGCGGGTAAAGTTGAGGTGACCGAGGCGCGTCGCGTTCCCGCGTTAAGTGGCAATGGGCCGGGGCCACGAAGTACGGAGTAAATACAACGGTGATTAGACCACGATTGTACGTGGGCAAAGGTGGAAATGAGCCCTGAATGATCACTTAAAGCTCGTCTTTAAAACCTTCTAATTAGTAAGCGATACTACTGCTAGGTAGATTTGGTAAATAGTTTATCGCCTATCATCTAGATATGATGCTAAAGCTCGAGTCAAACATGGAATTTATTTGTTCACTAGCTAGATAAGCCATTCAACATCGCTCATGCAGATGCAACAAAGATTATTTAACATGAGGTTATTCTATTGGTAACTATCACCTGGTGCCAACCTCTTCTGACACGTCTTTCGACCTAAACTTCGGCCCAATCTGGACACGAGCGAGCTTTGACTCTAGGATCCTCTAGAATTATTGTTAAAGGTAATGCTGCAATAGCCTACACTCAAATAGAGGAGACTGGCCGTGAGAGAAAGCACTTAAATTTCGCATTAGGGGAAACCATATTGAATTGAACTTAGTAAATTCCTATTGCCGCTATTTAAAATCCCAGAAGAAGTAACTATGTGAAAAAGCCTCGATGTTTTGACCACAATATGTATGTTCATCCAATCGCCAATGCACGCCGTTTTGAGAAAGCCAGAACATTTTAAACAATTACTTAGAATCCAGGAACCTTGAAGTCCTTGGACATCCACTTCTCCGTAATCTTTCTCTTCGCCTTGCGGGCCTGTGTTACCGGCTTGCGGGACTCGAGCTTGCCCTGGACAATGAGTGTGCGGAATCGGTCGTCCAAGAGGTTGCCCTCGGGCTTGAGCAAGCGCAGAGAGTCCTGCAGCTCATCGGGGAGAACCAGCTCCAATGGCTTCTCGGGGGGTCTGTCGAGTGGGTTAGTAAGTGTATATATGTTGGGGCATAGAGTGGAACATACGCAAGCTTGCCGCCAAATGGCTTCCGACGCAGAGTAGTCTCATCGCCCTCCTCCGAGTCATCAGCATCAGACTCATTGGCACGCTCAAGTTCCTTCTGCTTGGCGAGCTCGGTGAGCTCTACAATTCGCTCGGCTTGGGCATCTTTCTTGGCCTTCTGCTCCTCCCACTTCGCTTGCCTCTCAGCCTCCTTGCGCCGCTTGATCTTGTTGCGCTGGGTCTTGGTCTTTCGCTCGGGTCGCTTCTTATTCAACCACTCGGGCTTCTCATATTCACTCTCAAAGCCTTCCCAAGCGCTCTCGTCGTCGGACTTGACTTCTCCGTCGTCATTCTGAGCCTCGGCGATCAATCGCTGTCTTTCCTCCTCCTTCTTTTCATCTTCAAGGCGCTTCTTCTCAGCCTCGACAGCCTGCTCTCCATGCTCCTGCAGGAGAGTGTCCCAGTCTTCGAACACCGGGTTGTAGCTGGTTCCAGCATGAGGCATGCGCACGGCGGGAATGGGCTTTCCGTTGGCAGCGAGTGAGATTGGCGCATGCTTCAAGGTCTCCGGAGCAACCTTGGCCTTGGGCTTCACCAGGAAATCAAAGCGAGGATCTTCGTAGACAGTAGGCTCCTCAGCATCATCCGCCCAGGGGTCGTAAAGCTCGTTGTTGCCCTTCTTGCTGATCGGGTTTGCTTCCTTTGCCACCTGCTTCAAGCGCAAGTAATCCTTGCGACTAACCCAGTCATTCTTGTGCTTCTTCGTCTTGGGCTCGATAACTCCGTCGGTGATATTTGAATTACCACGCTTGCGTCCGTCCAATGCGGCGATGGCAGACCGCTGAGCGATGATCTGGTCGGCCTTGAGCGGCTTGTGCTTCTTTGCAATCGATTGGCGAACATCCTGGTCTCCGGTGGTATCAAGGATAAAAAGCTCTTCGGAGGGCTTCTCCGTGATCAGACCACTGTTGAAAAGTCAGCAATAGTTCTGTAGACAATTTTTGATTGTAGACAGTAAAACCGCACCCTTGGATCTCAGCATCTCTCAGCTCGCGCAGACCCTCCTGCACTTCTGTGACGTCGACATTCTTGCGCCAGGCCTTCTTACCCTTACGGGAAGGCTGCTTGAATTGTTGAGGGGCACCCACCGACGTCGACATGGTTGATGTTCTTATCAGGTTCTTTTTTGCAAAGTCCCCCGAATCAAAAACTAAAAAAAAACCAAAATTTCTGGATCCGCTTACCTAACGCGGGGGCGGCCAGCGCGGGCGGTCAAGGCACTTGGCCTTGGCGAACTCGCTTTTCTTCCAGCTCCATCAAGTCACCGCGCGTCGACTACTGCTGTCCGGGGATCCCTCTTTCTTTATCTCCCCGGAGGTTGATTGCGATCTTGCTACTTCCCTGAATCATCCACAGGTTGAAGTTTAGTCGCGCAAAATGCCTGTCGTCAAAGGAGGTGTTTGGTAAGGCCTCTCTCAATTGGTCTTTATTCGCGATCGATCATAGCTAACAGCTCATCAGGACCAATATCGAGGACGAGGTCCTCCGGGCGGCCGTATGTCTTTCCCTCAATTCTGCGAAGATGATTATATGATGTGCGCCAATACTGACTTTCCCGTAGGTCTCGAAATATGGTCTCAACCAGTGGGCCCGCGTATCGTCTCTCCTCGCCCGCAAGACCCCGAAGCAGTGCAAGGCACGTTGGATCGAATGGCTGGACCCTGGTATTCGCAAAGTGGAGTGGTCGCGAGAGGAGGATGAGAAGCTTCTACACCTAGCAAAGTTGATGCCAACGCAATGGCGAACCATTGCCCCCATCGTCGGACGTACCGCAACACAATGCCTCGAGCGATACCAGAAGCTTTTGGACGAAGCCGAAGCTCGCGAGAATGATGAGCTCGGTTTGGGAGGCCCGGAAGGTGGTGAGACGGCTGCGCCCAGTGCGGACGATGTCCGTCGTCTCCGGTATGCTTCCAGCTCTGGCTCTATCTTAGAACAACCGTGATACTAACATGCTACAGCCCTGGAGAATTGGACCCCGACCCCGAGTCTAAGCCCGCACGTCCCGACACGATCGACTTGGATGAAGATGAGAAGGAGATGCTGAGCGAGGCTCGTGCCCGTCTCGCCAACACGCAGGGTAAAAAGGCCAAGCGCAAGGCCCGAGAACGCCAATTAGAGGAATCGCGTCGATTAGCAGTACTACAGAAACGCCGTGAGCTGAAGCATGCCGGCATCAATGTCAAGGTGGTTACTCGGAAGCCCGGCGAGATGGACTATAACGCGGACATTCCTTTCGAGAAGCCAGCTGCTCCTGGATTTTACGATACGACTGAAGAACAAACCCGGAATGAGCGCCAACGGGAAATGTTCGATCCCCGCAAGCAACAGCTGGCCAACAAGCGAAAGGGCGACCAAGACGAAGATGCCGAACGCAAGAAGCGCAAGAATGATAAGAACAGCAACTCGGCTGCTTTCGCTGCTGCTGCACGTGCCGGTCAGATGCAGAAGATTCGCGAAGCAGAGCAGAGCAGCAAGCGTCGGGGTCTGGTTCTGCCTGCACCGCAGGTCAGCGAGGGTGAGATGGAGGATATTATTAAGATGGGGATGGCCGGAGACAAGGCCAGCCGGATGAGTGCCGATGAAGAAACGACTCGAGGTCTTATTGGAAATTACGGTGCGATTGTTGGAGGAACTCCTATCCGCACACCCCGTGCTGCACCAGAGGAGGACCATATCGCAAATGAAATTAGAAACATTCGCGCCCTTACTGAGACGCAGTCTTCTCTCCTTGGAGGGGAGAACACACCTCTTCACGAAGGCAGTTCATCAACAGGCTTTGAAGGTATTGCCCCTCGACGACAAGATATCGTTACGCCCAACCCTATGGCTACACCCTTCCGACAGGCCAATGGTTTGGGAGCGACCCCCATGGCTGGAGGAGTTGGCCCCGGGGCAACTCCTTTGCGCACTCCCCGCGATCACTTTGCCTTGAATCGTGAAGGTGAGGGTGCTCAGCTTGTTGGTAGCACTCCCCGAGATATCAAGATGCACGAGAATTTCATTCGCCAGTCCATCCGCAGCAAGCTTGCTGCACTTCCCAAGCCCAAAGAGACTGAGTGGGAGCTGGAAGAGCTCCCATCCGAAACTGCCGAACCTTCTACTTCTGTGGAAATGACAGAGGAGGATGCGGCTGAACGTGATCGCCGCGAGAAAGAGGCGAGGGAGCAGGCTGCGCAAGCGGAGTTCAAGCGCCAGTCCCAGGTATATCAGCGCAGTCTCCCTCGGCCGGTTGTACTTGACCTTGATGCCTTGGTGCAGCGTGCCTCTCATGTCACAGATCCTATTGAAGGGTTGATTGCTAGAGAAGCTGCAGTCATTATTGCACACGACTCACGCAAGTACCCTGTGCCCGGTGCTAAGGTCGAAGGCAAGGCACCAAAGCTAGACCGCCTGGACGATCAATATTTGGAAGCCGCGCGTGCTGCCATTGCGGCCGAGATTGCTTCGGCAGAGGCACAGCAGCAACAACAAGACTGGCAAGAAAAGTTTGACGACGTCTGGTCTTCCACCCGGTCTAAAGCTATCCCGGGCCTAGACCAATACAAAGATGAGGAGGAAACGGATGACTTCCAAGAGGAACAGCGCATGATCGCAGCATTTGACGGCGTGCAAGCGTCTCTCCTCGCCACCGCAGAGAAGGGCAATAAGCTGGAGAAGAAGCTGGCATTGCATTACGGCGGTTACCAAAACCGCGCCAAGATGCTACGAACGAAGATTGTGGAGGCCGGCGCTGCTTTGCCCAAGGCACAAGATGATCTCGACTCGTTCCGCAGCTTGCAGATCTCCGAAGAAGCTACCGTCTCTCGGCGACTGGAGCGCCTACGGGAGGAGGTGTCCTTCATGATGCGCCGTGAGCGTGAGGCACAGGAACTGTACAAGAGCCGAAAGGACGAGCTGGATGAGCTTCTGGCCGGTACAGCCACGATCAATGGTTGGCATTGAGTTGCGGGCTGATTTTATTCATTCTTCTATATTTTCTGGATCATGACCCCTCGCAGGCTTCGTTTTGTATTTTGTATCATTAGGAAGGTTACATTTGCGTGGATAGTGCAAATCATCAGGAGTTCAATCTGGTCATAATTTAACCGTTCAAATTCAGCCGAGATAGATCTGTCAGTAGTATCTGCAGTAATGCGTACCATATAAATCTGAACAATATGAGAATCGTCGTGAAACCTATCCAAATAATCCTTCTTCTGTATATCTTCAACTCGTAAGAAGACAACTTCCCGATGCGGTCCCGCTGACATAATACCCTTCAACGACACCTCCCCCTTCTGTCTTCACCACTCACCCGCCATCGACCGCGCATCGCATCGCATCCATCATTTTCATCCATTTTGACTGGTCTTGCTCGATAACTTCACTGCAGACATCATCATGGGCGTCCGAGACTCCGGCGAGGTGACGGGGACGCCCGACCCTGTTGAGAGAGGGCTCGCCACCATCAACACCATCACGTAAGTTCAACTTCAACCCTGGGCAGAGAAAACCCGAAAATTTTTCTTCGGGCTCTCAGTGTCGCTTTTCCTCGGTCGCGTATACTGACTAAGATGATAGCCTCGGTGTGAAGGCCATGGTGCAGAAGGTGAGTCTCCCTGGCGCAGAGCCTGTCAGATATCACGTGATATGGCATTAACCACGATCTTTAGGATGGCGAACTTCGGAAAGCCGAGATTCTGTCAATTCGAGAACGCAAGGGAGGGCTTTCATTCTAGTAAGCCATGAACTTGGGAACATCTTTCGATCAATCATGCTAATATATCCAGTGTTCATTATGTTGATTTCAACAAACGTCTTGACGGTAAGTCCAAATCAAGGCAGTAAAATGCCATGTACGAACTGATACTAAGACTATTTACAGAATGGGTTCCGGCTGCACGTATCGACCTCACACAAGAGGTAGAATGGCCACGTCCTGAAAAGTCGGACAAGAAAAAGAGCGCCGCTATCACTAAGGCCCCTAGCAAGAATGTCCAGAAACAGCAGCGCGCCGACAGCCGCGAGGTATCTGGAACCCCAGATGCCTTTGGCAGTAAGAACCAGAATGTTGCCAAGGCTCCCCGGTCTTCCAAGGCTGGGGGCAAAGAGAACCGTGATACGCCTGGTGGCGATGTTTCGATGGCCGGGTCTGAGGTAGTCTCTGCTGCCGGGACGCCGAAAGTCTTGGACTCGGAGGATCTTGAAATGACAGATGCCCCGCTCAAGGATGAAGTCAAGACTGCATCGGGTGAATTGATTACTCGTGAGGAGGAGATTGAGCGGTTGCGTACCGGCGGTAGTATGACCCAGAACCCGACTGAAGTTCACCGAGTGCGAAACTTGACCAAACTCCAAATGGGCAAACACGATATTGAGCCATGGTATTTCTCGCCTTATCCCGATTCATTTTCCGATGTCGATCTGGTCTACATCGACGAGTTCTGTCTCAGCTACTTTGACAATTACCGTGCCTTTGAGCGACATCGTTCCAAGTGCACAATGGTCCACCCGCCCGGCAACGAAATCTACCGCGACGAAAACATTTCTTTCTTCGAGGTTGACGGCCGTCGCCAGCGCACTTGGTGTCGTAACCTGTGTCTTCTTAGCAAGCTCTTCCTAGATCACAAGACGCTCTACTACGACGTTGACCCTTTCCTCTTCTATTGCATGTGTACTCGCGACGATACGGGCTGCCATCTCGTCGGCTACTTCTCTAAAGAAAAGGATTCTGCCGAGGGTTACAACTTGGCTTGTATCACGACCTTCCCGCAATTCCAGCGTGCTGGTTATGGTCGTCTATTGATCGCTATGAGCTACGAGCTCAGCAAGCGCGAGGGTAAACTGGGCTCTCCTGAGAAGCCACTCAGTGATTTGGGTTTGCTGAGTTATCGTCGATACTGGCGAGAGACACTTGTCGAGCTATTGGCGGAGCCAAATCGTGAGGCGATGAGTGAGAATGAACTCGCTCTTCTCACGTCAATGACTGAGAAGGATATCCATGAGACATTGCTCGTGAACAACATGCTTCGTTATCATGTAAGTTTCCATTATTTCTTTGCTCTTTAATCCCTTTCGGATCATACTAACCCCTCACAGAAAGGAAACTGGATCATTGTTCTCACCGACCAAGTTCTCGACGAGCACAACAAACGCTTGGAGAAGGAGAAGATCAAGGGCTCAAGAAGGATCGACCCAGTCCGTCTCCAATGGAAGCCCCCAGTCTTCACTGCGTCAAGCCGTACCTGGAACTGGTAGTGAGAATATGGGGAACCACGACCCACTTTCTTTTACCCCGGCTTGGACTTGGATGGCCCGGCCCACTGCTTGAGCAGGGGTATGGATCTGCAGGCGATTACCCCACGTGGTCTTCTCGATTATGAATTCATGGGCGTTTGGTGGTGTTTCTCTGGTGTTTGGGGGAGCGTTGGTTTCTGGAGTCTGGACTTGTGGATTGGTTTTTACTTGATACCTCTGATTTTGTACAATATCTTTTTTTTTCTCGCAAATTCTTCTTTTCAACCCCCATATTGGTAGCCCGTGAATCAGTGATTGTGTAGTGTAGGTACATTACATCTTTGGCAGTACCATGGCCAATCGAGTGTATACGGTTTACGGTGAGCCTAGAACGATTTGTGAAAGGGTGTCCAATCGCGTTCAGCTAGATTCATTTCTCTTGATATTCTCCGTACGCCAGGCATCTGATTACCCTACTTGTGATGTTTAGTGTAGAATACTACCGACGGAAGTAGAAGATAGAAGAATTACCACGTGAACTTTCCAATCATGTCAAATAACACATCAATATGTAGCTGTACTAGCTAACAGTCGTATTCTGTCGGCATAACATGACGTAACAATTAAAAGTAGCTGCAAAATATAGAGGTCGTACTAGCGACCAATGCACCACCCCACAGGGGCGAAACCACACACAAACAGGATACGCTCATCTTTCAGGCTCATCCCATAGTCCGCGAACAGCCCCCTTAACCAGTATAGTAAGGGTTAGTACAAGTCCAAGAAGTAACAACAGAACCACCAGGACCAAACGCAGACTCCAGCGCCAAAACAGCAGCCCAAGTACCCATGCCGGAAGTAGCGAGACCACAGCCAGTAAAGATAAGCACGGGCACACTAATCTTCCAAGTGTTCAAGAAACCGCGGATCCACCGCTTAGTGCCGTGGTCCAGACGGGTAGTCTGGCCGGTGGCAGGGTCGAAGCCCTCGCCGGGGAGACGGGCGCCGTCCTGGATCTTGTAGGCCAGGTACATGACGCCGGAGAAGGAGTAGGTGAAGTTGAGACTGAAGAGGCCGCCGACGAAGTTTGTGAAGGCGCTGAATTCGGGGACGGACATGGAGAGGACGAAGGCGATTATCCAGTAGACGGGGCCGAGTCCCCACCAGAGGAATTTGCCGCTCTTGGAGGAAATGGCGGGCAGGTTGAAGATTGCTTGGCCGACTTCGAGGTAGACGGTTTTCATGCCGACGTTGAAGTAGAGGACTGTGGTTTGGTGTTAGGGGATGGTTTTTGTTTGTGATGTGGGAGTTGGGGGAGGGTGGTGCTTACAGATGGCGAGCCAACCGGTCAGCAGGGAGAGGACGTTGCCGACGACCTGGAGGTTCTTGGGGTTGACGGACTGGTTGACGTTGCTGTAGCTGTACTGGCCGTAGTAGTGGTAGACCTGGGAATCGGATTAGTATCATGGGTGACGCGTGCAGTAGGTATTGATTGAAAGCTTACAAAGGCACCGAAGAAGATGTAGACAACGGTGATGAAGGTCTGGGCAACGAGGAGACCCTTCCAGAAGTCCATAGGGCGTCTCATCTCAGACAAGAAGGCGACGAACATGACAGCGCCAGAGTAGGCGTCTAAACAGAGAGTAGTGAGCAATGTGATCCCAATTCCAAAGGTCTAGAAGGGTCAAACTTACAAACCATGCTGTTGATACCGTTGAACTGAGCAGCAAAGAGGTTGGTGTCGGTGGGCTGGTACTCGGCAGGGGGAGTGCCAATGAAGGTCTTGACAGGAGCCATGGTAGCGACGGTGTCCCAAGCCTTGTTGAGGATACCGTTGTCAACGGCAGCGGCCGGGTCAGGGCCGTGCTTGGCCGCAGCAACGCAGCTGTATTCAGTTAGCGGACATCACATTGTGATGATAACGTATAGCAACTCACATGATAAGGAAGGTGACGATGTTAATCCACACCGACATGTTGCAGAACCAACCGAGGTGCTTGAGGGATCGCATGTAACCACTGGCCATACCGACGACGAGCGAGATGACACCGCAGACGACATAGCAGAGGTTGGCGTTTCCACCAAGCTGAGCAATGATACCAGTGTTACCGAGGAGAACGACGGCGACACTCAGGAACATCTGCAGCGACTGCATGAAGTTGATAAAGTGGCGCATGCGAGGTCCATACAGACGCAGGAATGGATCACCGAAGCTGACAATCGGGTAGCGGGACGAGTCGAGGCCGAGGAAGGTTCTCCAGATCATGATACCAGAGGCGAAAGCAGCGAAACCCATAAGAAGGAAGATACCAACACCGAGACCGTAACCAGTGTTGGCAAAGACGTAGGGGGTCTGCGACCAACCCAGAATATCGGTCGTGATCAGATAGAAGATAGTTCCCCAGCCGGCATTGCGCAGAGCACGAGCAGCCACGCGCCACTCGGCATCGAGATCGTAGGGAGGAGGCGAGACAGGGCTGACGGCGCCATCATCGCTGCCGTTGACGGCAACACCGGCCTTCTTTTCAGAGACCTGGAGAGACTGCTCGTTGGCCTGCTGCAGCTCACGGGATTCCTGGATCTTGGCATCCTCATAAGGGTTGTTCTTGAAATAACCCTTGATGGAGCCCAGGATACCGCCGCCAGCAGTCACGGCAGTGTAGCGGCGATACTCCTCATCCTCGAGCTCACGCTCAATCTTGGCCCAGTAGGTGAACTCTTCAAAGGTCACCGTTGGATCCAGACGAGCCTCCAGACCCCATTGGCGATGGCGCACGCCAACGTGGGTGCCAGCCAGCTCCATTTTGCGGATCTCTTCTGGTGAAGCTCCCTCTTCACGGATCTGCTCAGTAGGGGCTGTGATGCCCATGGGGCCAGGTAGCATTGACATCTTGGCAATTAGCAAATGGTAACTGTGAGGGAGAAGAATCCAAGGAAAGAGGAGAGCGAGAGGACCCAATTCATATAAACCCACCCCATGCGCCTTCAGTCCCGGCCGTTGTCGCGTCGGCGTGTACCGCTCATATCAGTTAACCCCGAACGGCCCTCCCAGCCCTTCGTTCAATGAGATCCGTTCATTTCTGAATAATACCTCGTGGTCAAAGCAATTTGAATTCCACTAGCCCGGGTGAGGACGTGGCCAACCCAGCGCTTTCGTCCGCGTGAGGGCCGGCTAGGGCGTGGCATCGCGAGTCCCTGGTTGGCCGGCGACCGAGACATCCAGGAGATTAGCCCTTTTGGTAATTTCAACCGGGGACAGGTCCATGGGCCACAACGAGTAACGAGCAATGGGTTCAACGGGCCGAGCGTGGCCAAGCATGGCCAAGAAGGTGGGCTGCGTAGCATCCGAGGCTTGATTGAGATAAGCTTCGCGAATGGGAGAAGGGTTTGCTCGGTGACTCGGTGGACCTTCCCCACGTCGCTTCGCTTAGGCCACGCCACTAAGAGAGTTTTTTTGTCACGAAATTGGCTCAGGGCCCCCCTAGTGGCTTTGGTAGATGTCTTGTTTTCCGCCACACACGCGCGTAGAAGAACGCCAGAATACTACATTGCAGCCGGGGCTGACGAAGTATACACTATCTGTGCATAGTTCCCCCCCGTGTTCTTCACCACTCATCTTTTTCTCTCTTATCCTGGACTCTCAAGATAAGCCCTGAGCGTTTTCATTCTTGGCGGAAAGACCTTCTTAGTGGGAGAAACGGGGGCAAGGGTGGGGATAGTTTGACAGTAGTCAGTACTACATACTTACTACAGCAAGTGGATCGTGATATTCCTCGATAATTCCACCACCAATCATGCCATAATGAAATCCAGGTCTCGGGGCATGAACCATCCAACTTCCTAACTGAATTGACTTCGATGGATTGTTATATTAAAATATTCAAATGCGAATACGCCGGACTACGGCGGGGCCCCGAGCCGGATCGGGAAGGTGCGTTCGTGTTACTTTTCGGGATTCTTTTACCCGCTTTTTGATTCGGCTTTTCGGCAAAAATAATTATAGCCCTTAATAGGACAGTTACCAACTTACTACAGGTTCTGGTGGACTCTGGGGCGCCGTTGCCAGCCGAATTGACCTGTAGGGTTATAGCCAGGACTCCGGTATGGAGTATAACTATGGAGAACGATACCTGGAGTACATGAGTTTGCCCCCCGGAAAAGAAGTATTCCCTGCATGATAGAAGCATTGGTGCCAGAATTAATGCAGAGAATAACGAGATACGCAGTGCTACAATAGATAGCCAATTGAGGCAATTTCCCCTGCTGATCCGGGTCATTCCTGTTCTGACCGCCAGTACCCGCTTGGATAATGAGTTCTTTCCTTCTTCACAGTACTTTGTACAGAGATGATAAGCATGGTCGGGGAGATTAACAAGCTTCTACTTCGAAGCTCGAGCTGAAGAGCAATGGCTCTCCTCGTTATCTTAAGACCGATTCGCTATTTGATTGTGTAATTCAACCGTTGTTCGGGCATCCGTTTCGCGGAGAAAGGATCTGTTCTCCGTTGTTCCATTCTTCGATCCACTCGAGTCTCTGGTGTCTCCACTGGCCACCGAGTTCTAGAAAATTGGGAGATATGTCTTGCATATAGGCTGTTATCTACCAGGCCACGAGCATATCTAGGATCGTGCAATTTGTACAAACTACATGGTGAGAATTGAGATCATTGCACATTATAGAGAGAATCCCCAATTCAGTATCTTCATTGCCTCAATGAAGTTGTCACTTCGGGGATACGGCAAATAGAGTGGATATACACCTCCCACAAAGAGGAAGAATACGAAACGCCTCAATTGGTCGAATCACTCTCCGAAAGTTCAACAATACACCACCGAGCACGGCAAGCATCCATGCTAAGCTTTCAAACCCATGTGGCATGAGGGGCTGGTTGTAGATTATTCATCCCACACTGTCATAAAATGGGGAAGAAACCTTGGATCGGACTCCGGAGTCTGTCAAGTGGATCTTTTACGTTATGATTATAGGAATCGATCCTGTAAGATTATATACTGTAGACTTCTTTCAAAATAGGTTTAATAAACCGGATGGCCCCGTTGAAACAAGACTCCGCACTTGGTACAAGAAACAGGAGTACTCTCTAATAAAGGGATTAGTATAAGAAGACAGAAAGCCCGGGCAAGGGAAGAAGGGAAAGGACGGAAGTACACCAGGGGAATTAAGCGGTCTGTCTAGGGAGCGTCGGTCTTACGGCTATCGGTTGGAGGAAGGTCGGCCAGGCAACTAGTGAGATAGAAAGCCTCTAAGCTTATATAGGAGCTGAGCAAAGGTACCAAACGACGATGGTGCCGGGAGCATCCAGCAGAGGTGGCCGTAGACTACTGCAGCTCTTGATATACAGTGCTTCAAAGAATAAGTGCAGGGTGTCTTGGTATGATCAGCTCATCGATGTTCAAGTCATTACAGACTTGTATGATAGACAAGGAAATCTTGGTAAGACCAACATGCTAGGTCATGCAGATGACTGATGCAGATGTTGATTGCTCGGGTGCTATTTCAAGCTCACGGCTAAACAAGTTGTCCATATTCAATGACCAACATTATCTCCCGCTGTATTGTCGGTACACTACAACTGAAAGCATTTACCCTACAATTGACATAGGAATATAACAACAAACGACTCGAAACTACATAACATGAATAAAAGTATGCTACATAATACATCAGATTTACAAACCACGCCCCAAGACGTAGACGCAATCAGCTTAAACGCAAAGCATACACAGAGAAGAAAGCATATTGAAATTGAAATTTCATTGGACGTGAGGCTAAGGCAAACGTTACCCGCAGCTAACAGGGAATGAACGGAGTGTGATGAGGTGAAGGGGAGGGCGGATGAAAGGTAGAGGGGGAAGGGGTAAGAGGGTTAGGTGCGGGCCGTGCGAGAACAACGAAGCCACGAAGCAAAAACAAACCAGCTTGCTGGTACGATCCGAAACCGAAACGGGAGGGTCGCGCGTGGACAGTCCCTGCTGACGAGTCATCGCCAGGATGAAAAGGCAGCGCACTTACTAAGTGCTGGTGCCCCACGATCCACTGCGAGACTGCTGCTGGGAGGCATTGGATGGCTTCTTGGGGCCATTGTTGCTTCCGGGGGCCTCGCGCGGCTTCGGTCCCTTGCGGGACTTGTTGAAGTTGGAAGCGCCGCTGCGCTGCTGCTGCTGCTGCTGCTGCTGCTGCGGACGCGAGGTAGTAGGACCGCCAGCTTTCTTGGGCATGTTCACGGTCTTGGCTGGAGCAGCGCCGGGGAGGTTAACAACAACACGAACATTGCCAGCGGCATCCTTCTCGCCACCTCCAACGGGATAGGTCTCGATGCTGTGAACTTGCATCGGTCTGAGAGTCCTGACACGCTGACGGGATGGTGGTGGAGGGGCGGCTTGCCAAGCGTTGACGGGAGCCATGTTGGGGACTCGAACGCTGGGCAGAGAGCCAGGCTCACGGTCTTCGAAGATCTCATCCTGTTCTTCAACCTGTCGAACAGCAAGGTGGCCATCGCCAATCTGCACATCATTCTCGATGTTGGGCAGGGAAACGGAAACGGCTGCGGCAGACAGCGGAACATCCAGAGGTTCCTTGGTGGCGGAGGTAATAGCCAGAGCGGACTTCTTCTCCACAGGGGTCTTCTTACCGAGGAGACCATCGATCTTCTCCTGCCAAGAGATAGCAGTTGGCGCAGGGGCAGCCGGACCACGTGCAGGAGTAGTGGCAGCAGCCATCGAGGCAAAGGTGGGCGGGGCAGCTGGGGGGGCTAGGGCAGCAGAGGCAGCTGGAGCCTTAGGCGGGAGCTTGACCACAGGCTTAGGGTTAGGAAGGTGAACCAGAGGCCGAGCAGAGCTGCTACCGTACACGGGATGACCCCAGCCATCATCCTCAGGAGGAGGAGGCGATGGGCTGCGCCAGTAGTCATTCTTCTCAGTTGCTGCACGCTTGGACTGTTCACTGGCCTGGGGGAAGAACCGCGAGCTGCGAGCGGGCATGCTGGCAATGGGACGAGCATGGCTCTCGGTGAACGCAAGACCATCCGCAGGGGCATCCAGGTCAGTCAGCGGGTTGGCGGGAGCAGGACCGTTCTTGGTGTTGTCCACAGGTCCGGGGGTGATGTCAATGACGGCTTGCTTTGCAGTCTCGTCTGAAGCACCGCGTGGCTTCCAGCTTTCCTTGAGGCCGGTCATAAAGGGGTTGGGCTTACCCCGGTTGGCCTCGAAGGCCTCACGGGCCTGTTCCTGTCTTGCGCGGTCATACTCCGCAATACTGGAGTATTGATTCCACGCCATGGCACGAGCATCACGTTGCCACTTCTGGGAAGGAGGGCCAATCGGGCCAGGGCGGCCGATGGGGTTCAAATGACCAGGGCGTGCATGTCTGGTCTCAGGGGATGGCAGGGGGGAGACGGAGGCCGACTCCTGCGGACCGGAAACGGTTTGAGGAGGCATGGTAGACTGATCAATACCGAACTGGCTTCGAAGAGGAGGAACTTCTCGGGATGGGAAGGCACCAAGACTTTGGTCAAAGATGCCGTTGCCGAGGGTTCTGTCGTTGTTCAGGAGAGACCAAGGGTTTTTCACTGAGGGAGGATTGGACGCGAGGTTGGGGTTGGTTGACCAGGGAGCGTATGAGCTGGGAGCGTTCAGATTTCCACGCCAGTCAGGACCGTGCTCATCAGCCTTTGCATCCGTGGGATGCGTGTCGGGGGAAGGCTGTTTGGCAGTGGCGGGGGCAGTTGCCAGCTCTCGTTTCTGGTCACGAGGTGAAAGAGGTAAACGACGAGTGTGAGGTGAAGTGGGTTTCTCTGGGTGTTTCTCACTAGCACGATCACGTTCGTTCACGGCGACAAGTTTCTTGACAGAGTCGGGATGGTGAACTTTCATGAGACCGTACTGTTTGGGTTCGCCAGAGGGTTCGGGGACGGGAGGTTTGGGAGGAGAGTGGAGGATTGCTGGAGCAGGTGAGGAGGGAGTATTTATGTGCTGTTCAGCAGGCTCCTTGCGATGAGGCAACGACTTCTCAGGTGGTGGCCTGGTCTTCTCAGGCGGCGGTCCCAAGGCAGCGAGCTTCTTCTTGATTCTTTCTTCCTTTTCCAGCCTATCTTTCTCTTCCTGCTCCAATCTTCGCTGCCTTGCCTGGGCGCGTGCATCTTTCATGATTCGCTCTTGCAACACCACTGGATCTTCCTGCGGTGCCTCAGCCATTGGAACTGGGGCAGCCTGTTGTTGCTCTACTGATGAGGCAGCGCTTGCACTCCTCGGTGCCTGTCCACTCCATCCAGCCACGTTGTGGGGTTCCCCATGGGGTCCATTTTCACGTCCCATCAATGCTGGGTCACCCATACCATTGGTCTGGGATCCCCGTCGACCGTCCATATATCTTGGCGGTGCATCCGTTCGACCAAATGACATACGGCGACCAAATCCTCCACTACCACCACTTACATTGGATGATGTGCGGCGTCGGTTCCATCCCATACCCTCTTGGTGGCTAGACCGATGGGTCTGGAATGCGGCAGATGGCTCCGCGGGACCGCCCGACTCTACCTGATTGGGACGTTGCAGAACGGCTGGAGGACGAGGGCCTTGATCATGTCGCCATGATCCTCTGCGGGTGTCTTGTACGGGCTCGTATCGACCAGAACGGGAGTTGTACAGCTCCCGAGGCGCGCCTGGTGCAGTCTCTCTCCATGTACGGTTGAAGTCGTCTGCAGCAATCTCTTGGGGAGGGAATGGAGCCTGCCGAACGTCATCTCGAGCCGGGTGACTGACAGGACCGGGGCCACGGGGCTGTTGAGATACGTGGACCGGTGGATTCACGGGAGATACTCGTTCGACAGGAGGCAGGGGAGCCCAAGGTGATTTAGCTGGTGGAGGAGCCGGGCTTGTAGACCCAGATGGCGCACGATCGTTTGTTCCTTTAGACGAGATACTTGCGGCCTTGGCCTGACGCTCGGCGTTGGCCCCAAGCCTGAGTACTGTAGGGTTAGGTCCCACGGACGTGGTTGGCTTTGGAGCAGCGATCTTGATAGGGTCTCTAGCGACAGTCTGCTCAGGTAGCGGAACCGCATCCTTCGACTCTTCCAAGGCCTGGTCTGTAGCAGGTGCGGGGTGATCGGTATGCGTGAGAGTAACCTTCGTTCCGTCAGTCCACTCGATGGTCTCCGGAGCCCAGTCGTCCTCATCATCATCAATATCTGCCCATTTCGCCTCTGTGCCACCTCCATCCTCCTGAATACGAGATGTCATATGGATGCCATATTGCTGTTTCAGTTCTTCGTCGGTCAAGTGCTTTGGCGGGGTTGGCTGGACGGCTGTATCATGAAGTAACCCGTCAGTTTCTGCAACTCCAAGCTTATACGAGTCTCATAACATACGCCGATTCTTATTCCAAACTTGGTTAGGATCCGGCCCTGACGCCCCAGGCTTTCCACCACCTGCACCGGTCTTTGAGAAAGAGTCGCGCATGCCAGCGGTGGTCTTTGCGACCAAGCGTGGTCTTGAACTGGGTTGAGGGGTACCAAGAGGGGTGGTAGAGGCGGACGGAACTAGTAGTTTGTTAGTTACGCTGTGCCTTCCCAAAATGATCTAACAACATGAACAAAGGAAAGTACCAACCTTTCTCAGGCACCTTCGGTGCCGCAGTAGCTCCCGGGGCCTTGGGAACCGCAAACTTAGCAAAAGACACGGGCTTGAAAGCAGTGGGCTTCTTGACGGAGCCAGTCCGGTTATGATGTCTACCATCCGTCCGACTGGCATCCGACTCCGAACCACCCAGTGAAGCTGTGTCGTCCCCGCCATCGGATGCCGATGCAAGTCCGTTCAGTTCCAGTGCTCTAGAAGCAACAAGACCGGTACCCTGCTTTGAATAATCCTGCGCCATTTTCAGCTCCATGGTCACAACATGCTCCGAACCGTATGCACCCACCATCGCAGAGCCTCCGGCATCCTTGTCATTTCCCGTCTCCTCCACTTGAGAACCAAGCGCTTGTCTCGCCTTATCGTTGAGTTGTGGGTCGGTCGATACTTGTGCTGTCAATGTCGATGTGATATGTTGAGTCTCCCCCACGTCCCCTCCAGCAGATGATTTATCGTTAATGCTCGCAGGAACGCCGGAAGGCGAAGGCTCGCCGCCCGACAGGGTCTGATCTACCACATCGCGGCCGCTCTGCTCTGCCATAACAATACTCGAGTCTGTAGATGGGAGAAGCGGCATTTGTCAGATCGTCACTCTGGGAAGAATAACTCCAGGGGGGTATGGGATGAAAGTCTGCGGGACACAAGTGGACGGGGCCGCAGTGGTTCAAGATCGCATAGTAACGGGAGAAACTGGCGGCGGCGTACCTCTTGTCAGAGTCCAGGAATCGCCACGGTTGAACTTGCTGCTCGCTCGTCTGGTTGTACCCTGTAGAATCGGGATTCCACAACCAGGTAGACAACGTTGGGGCGGCCAACCTCCAGGAGCTGCTGAGAAAGCCGGGTAGCGTGCTCGGCGAGAGTGTTAGGTGTGTAGTCGAGTAGGGCGCGTAAGGATGAGCGCAGCCCTGAGGGAATCCCAAGAACCGGGAGAGGGTCACGGAAGGGGACGATGTCGTAGGGGAGAAGGGTGTCGGATGTGTACGTGGTTCCCGTTGAGATGGTTGTCGGGTCTGAAGCTGAGCGCTCGCTGCTTTCGGTTAGCGCCAACCCGGGAAGGTTGTGATGTGTGAGGTGCGAGTTCGAACGCCCACGAAGCTTGGAGTGGTGGAATATTGACGTCGGAATCGATAAATGTAACGTCTCGAGAAGAAAAGGAGTAACAGTCAGGTTAAGACCGTGAAATGTCGCGGGCCGTAATGAAGTGAGGTGACGGTGAGAACTACTTGGTCTTGGTGGTGGTGCGACTGACCGGAGTAGAGACACAGTTCCTCCGAAGTACGAGTATATAAATATCAACCCTACGTTTGGCATATTTACGAGGACTAGTTTATAGTTTTCTGGTATAATAATGAAACATTGGTGAGATTCGATTTCAGAAGTCTCTAATTCCTACACTGTCTCTCCCTCGGGATAAGAGGATGTTGTATATACATCCAAACCCTCTCCCAATAACCAATCAAATGAAATAATTTAGTGAGGGTGGTTCTTGTGGTGGCCTGCAAGTAAAGTCAGTATGAGTAGGAAAAGGGGTTCATGCAGCAAGAGGTCAACCAGTAGGTCGTTGATCCTTTTGCTAGAGAAGGCGGTACTTACGCAGGTGGAAGTAGTACTCCATGCTGTAGCCCATGATCAGGATACCGGCAATGGCGTGGAGCAGAGCTGTGTCGGATCAGTATCCATTGTATTTCCAGGATTTCGTCACTTCGACTTACGGGCGGGGGAGTTCTTGTTGAAGTAGCGAGCCTGGTAGCGGCCGAGGAGACCGGTGGCCTTGGTCTGGGGGGCAGGGCCACGGGGCAGACCGGCGTAGAAGCTCACAACGCGCTCCATGCGGGCAGCATCCTGGGCGGCACCGATGGCCTTCAAATGATCTGTTAGTGGTGGTTCCGAGTACGAGGGACGTTGTGTCGCGTTGGTATATCGCACGAAAAAGAGTCTTCGGGAAAGAACGGGGGACGGGGAGGAGATGCTAGATGCGTTGGCGCTTGCGAAAGGGGACCAGGGGACTCACGTTGGGAGAAGCGATCTAAACAAAAACAGTCAGTATCATCGGCAACCATTTGCGAGGGCTCTAACGAGGCAATTCCGGGGTGTCGTACCTTGGGGGGGATCAGGGTCGAGAGACCACGGCGGGCGATGTAGCTCATCTTGTCTGGACTGTCGGGGGTCAGAAATTGGTCGCAATGGATAGATCCGGCCTCAAATATTCCATCAAGGCCAACAACGAGAACGTACTGTCTTTCGCAGCGCAAGTGAACCGGGAACGACTGATGATGCAGGAGGAAGAGACTCTTCGGTCGGGAAGCGGGTGGTCGGATGAGTTAGATGCGCTAAACCCAATTCGGATGTGCCGTGACCTGCACTCTGCGATTGAACCTCCTCCTCCAAACCCGCCCTCGTCTTTGGCTATAAACCACACTCCCCACTCCCCACACGTCCACCATGTCGCTCTTCCGAATTGGAGGCGCCGTTGGCCTCCGTGCGACTCGAATTGCCGCACCTGTCAATGTCCGCTTCGTCTCCGGTGTCGCCAAGGGAGAGATCAAGACCAGCCCGGCCGATGCTCCCACCACGCCCAACAGGGACAGCTCGTTGATCAACAAGCAGAGCCCCTCGGAGGCAATGACCCGTCACCAGCCTGATTATGAGGCTACCATTGACCATGCTACCTCGTACGAAACGTCGCATTGCTCTCCGCCGCAGATCCAGTTCGCTAACATGATTTTCCTTTCGCAGTCAATTCTCCCCCGTTCCCAAGCGCGTGATGGATGGCAGCGAGCCCGGCCCTGCTCTGCCCGCTGCAGTTCTCTCTGGAGCTCCTACCGATCTCCAGGCCCGCACCGTCAGGTACTTTCACTTCCCTCGAGCAACGTCATATTGGGAGATCCACTGTTGCTAACCCCTCGGTCTTCATAGAATCTACCGCCCCACAAAGCCTGCTACCCAGTCTGGTACCTGGCACGGACACCACTGGCGCATGGACTGGGACATTCTGCAGAAGGGTCACCGGTGGGAGAACCCCCTCATGGGCTGGCAGTCTTCCGCAGATGCCATGCAGGGCACCAACCTCAAGTTCAAGAGCAAGGAGGATGCCATTGCCTTTGCCCAGAAGCAGGGCTATGAATACTTTGTGCAGGAGCCTAATGAGCGCCGGTTCGTGCCCAAGGCTTATGCCAACAACTTCCTTCACGAGTCGGGGAAGCTCAAGCACATCAAGACCAAGTGATTGTGCCTTCCAGTGTATTATGTAAATATTTGCGGGTTTCCTTTCCCTTTCTTTCTACTTTGAATCAAAATCAGACTATTAGAATCTTCGTTTTTGCCTATGATTATGGAAATATAATGTTGGCTTGCATTCCGCCAGCACTACTGGCTACGTTCCTAAGGGTGGTCCAGACCCTGGGAAGCACAATACAGGTGAAGAAGTAATGGCGCATTCGAGCATGAGACAGGGATCTGGCTGTGCGACATATTCATAGTGTACCACCGATCACTGGTTAATGAACTTCGTTTGGTCGTCAATTGAGAGGTTCGAAGCTGATGGTCGATGACTATTTGTCCACACATAGGTACATCTCGGCCTGTAAGCATAATGGGTGAGCTTTGGTATACATAACAAAGCAAGCAATAATTAGGTTAGGTCGATTTTAAGACAAACGAAAAACTGTTTGTTGAGTTGGAACGCTTATTGTATATATTCGATGGCATTGATGTCTGTGAATATATTCCCGAGATCAAGGCCAGGAGAATTCGTAATCGAGTACCTAGCCCGTCATAAGGTAAAACTTCCAAAATCAATTTTGAGCTCAATAGTTGTTTACCTAACGATCACCCAAGAATCTGGTCTGTTTTAATAGCATCCAATAATATTTTAGCCAAAGTCGCTGCGTTCAACATGGATGCGAAATCCTAGTCCAATTCCACCATAACAATCACCACCGAGCAATTTCCCCTACAAACTTCGATACGAGTAGATATCATCACTGTCAAATATTACTACTGGAAACACAAAACCAAATCTCAAAGAGTGAGGGCCTATTTACATCAAACCTCCGTAAGTCCGTCCCTCAGCCTCAAGCTCCTCATCTTCATGGAGGTAGTCCTTCATCTTGTCCAACTCACTCTCGCCCTTCTTCTTGTGTTCATCATGGTCGTGTTCATGTTCATCTTTACCAGTCTTGTCCTGGTCAGGCTCCTTCTGATACTGGGCCTCCTGGTTCTGATAGTGATGATGGAGGATTCGCTCGAAGAAGCCCTCGTGTTGGTGAACTGGCTCTTGGGGAGTTTGTTCTGGACGTGGTGAGTACCTGTGGGTGATTGTGAGATGTGAGCTAGAGTGTGATGTGCTCACTGTCAGACATGATGTTGGAGTTCTTGAATGGTTATGATAGATTAAAAGTAGACGGTATTACGCCACAAGGTATGCGCGGGATGCTACGAAGTATATATTTGGGGGGAGGGGAATGCAAACCATGGGACAACACCGTGAATCATCAAGCGATACCCTGCAATGTATCGTAAGGCCTTAGTAAGGCGGCATTATTATTATAGGCTGCTGGAACAGTGAGCGCATCATCGACCGAATGTTTCCGCCACCTGGGGTGCTTAGATGCATGGAGGAAGTTTAATGGGCGGAACCGGGGGTGGGTTTATCAACCGCGTGGGATTAGCATTTATGGTATTCTTTAAGCTACCACAATGGTTGGATTGATGGTCTTGCCACATCCAGCATTGCGTGATGAGCTACCTCATGATGTATGCACGTTAAGACTGCATGGGGAATTTATCGGGTCCGAGGAGGATTGGTGTTTACTCAAGGAATGCGGGGTTCTTGCTGCGAGAATCGATACAACACCAATAAAAGTTGCAATGTCCGGTCATGCATACGTAAACGAGAGTGTATTTTGAGAATATTGGACGGGATCTTACAACGGAAACATCGTGCAGTACCAACCATAGGTAACTATAGAATGAGCGAGATGCTGCTGCTGCGCACATTTCCTGCAACAGTTTACTCTAGAAGGGGCCATCAATGTTTACGTCTCATACTATTCTGGTAAACAGCCAAAAAAAATGCACATTTTCTTGATTCTTTTGTAGCTATGACTGTTATTGTCCGTGCATCGATGACAACAGCGAGTCAGGTGTCCATCCTTCGTCCACCAAGAACGCTGCCTGTGTGTCCTTTGAACGACACAACATATTGAGCAGACATTTCTCGACCCCTATCCGCGCCTCGGGGCTAACCTGGCTCAGAATCTCCGTCATCCTCCGCACATATTCTATTTTTTGCATTCCGTCTGGGTAAGTGTCGGCCAGGTGTTGATGTAAGAATGGGCGCAAATTCTGTACGGAAAAGTCCCACGGTTCTCGCGACTGCATCAGAGCCCCATCCAGAATATCTAGTCCACTGGACCAGAACGGGTTGCTCGCGGCGTCGATAGGAGGTGGAGAAGAAATGGATTCTTGAATCATCAAGCAGACTGAGAACAAGCAGGTTAGCCTGTCATAGTCGGATGGAGATGTTCCAGGTGAAAGAGAGGCATCTGAGTTGGAATGTTGAAATTCATCCCGAAGATGAAGGACGGCCTGGTAGAGGGAGGGATAGGTAGAAAGTCCCTGAACGTAGAATCGGGAAGAAAATCCCATGAATGTTCGTAGATCTTGGATGAAAGATATCAACCACAAGCAGCGTATCTTTTGAAAGTCCATTGAAGGATCCAAGGCGAATGCATCGGCCGAGGGCTCGGATACCTCCGAGATATTGTTGGTGGGCTCAAACCACGACGGCTTGGCCATCAGGGAAACACTGAGACTGTTAGTGGCCCGTCATAAAATAGACTAAGTAGAGACCCACAGATAGACAACAAGCTCAAGACGCCAATTATCATGTAGCTCTCCAATCCCGCCCTTGGCTTCTATCATTCTCTGCAGGCCCATGCGGTGGATGTTCCACTCTTCTGCAGTTCCCCAGTATCTCTATTCGAGAATCAGCAAGTAGCCCATCGGACCGGGGTATATATCCGGGCGCTAAATTAGCGCGGATTAGACTTACCTCAAACGTCAAAAGTCGAATCACAGCCGCGAATGCATCATAGCTGAGCGCCTTTTGTGGGTCTGATAGCCACTCATGCAGAATCCGGACTGCTTCTGCCTTATATTTCAAGGCATCGGCTGAATTGGTTCCCCTTTGCGGACTAGTTCCTGCATAGAGATGGGATAGATGCGCGGCAGCGTGTGCCATAATCGCGTTGAATGAGGAGGCATTGGAAAGGTCCAATGGGAACCATACATCCTTCATTGGATTGAAGCTGGGGATATCCAAATCCTCAAACATCATAGTGGCATGGGTGCCAATCCCTATTTTCGTGTGAGCGGTTGAAAATAAAGCTTGCGTCCTTCCATTTCGACAAAAATACATACAATGATGCAGTAGCTTATGATGCTGACTGGTTAATTGCACCGGAAATGTCTGGAAAGGGTCAAGTCTCGAGCTTGACAAGGCGCGACTTAACCCGCCCAATAGCTGTGAAGGTACCCCTATGAGTTCAACCCTTTCTTCACGATCTTGATCCGTTTCAGTAGAGGAACCTTCCGAGCCCTGTCGCCCTGAGCTCTGACTCCCGTGACTGCGAGACGAACGCTCACGCGTGGCAATTTCATGGTGTCTCGTGCCTCGGTCTGCAGCAGATAAGATATTTGGAAGAAGCTTTGGCTGCGAACGTCTGGCCTTGGTGCTATTGTTACGACTGTGACGTTGTCTCCAATGCTCGCGCATCGCATGGCTTCGCGCATTTGACTGACTGGTCTCCGTGACGAAAGCAAATCTCGGACGAGTATCCTCAGGCGAGGTCTTCCGGGGTGCTTGAGACCCACTGGAGTCATTACCCGACGACATAGCTCCAACTCTGGATAAAACGACAGACGATAGTGTGCCGATAGCGAGAACAGGAAAGCCGAAGGAACGGAAATTGTTGTCCGTGCAAGGGTCAGCATCCTCCAGATGAGAGTCATGTATGTAGCCGCAGTGGCACACCGCTACTCGGCCCGACAAATTTTTCGAATGTTAATGGCTATTTGATGTATCCCGGAGCAAATTTTGTCCCGTGAATAGATGCAAGGTCCAGTAGATTGTGGTTGCCAGAAGGTGGGGCCGAGGCGTAGACAAGTAGGCATGTCGTTGGCGGCTGGCCCCGGCAGCCGCAGACTGTCACTACTGTGGATTTCCCAATCTGGTAGTAGTATTAGTCCAATCACCATGCGCCTTGCCACACGAGGTTACTGTTCGAAAGATCTATAAGCCTCTGACATCCTAAAGGGCGATATCCACGGCTGGTCCCTGTGTTCAATTGGTCTTTAGACATGGCAACATCTCTGGTGATACTCGCTTATGTCTACGCCGCTGAGTCGGCGACTGTGGCTTTATGAGCCGTTCTTCCGAGTAGACCGAGGCTGAAGACATGAAATGGTATTAACCATGGTTGTGAAGTCTGTGCAATAGGTGTTTTGAAAAGCGCTAGACAATATTTCGGCGTATACTCGGATTATACTTCGGACCCGGAATGTGAACGAGAGTCATGATGACAGCGGTGAACAATAATTGGTAGTAAAGACAGCTATTAGATCGAGTAAGTTAGATCTTTGATAGTTAAATGAGTAATATGATATCACATTGAATGCGACCAATCAATCCACATTCAACCCCATTTAGCCCAAGCATACATGACACTTTTAATGTATGAGCAAAGCAGAACGTAATCTACTGGTGATCGCTTATCCTGCCATAGAATACGAACCACAAATGATACCTTTTTACAGACTTACAAAATACACGTGAGATATAACACTTAATGAATTGACTCGGCATGCTGCTTCCCACAGAAGTGGCCTTTGGCTACTACCTCGGGCTTCATAGGATGATCGCAGACTTGGTCTCTACCAACAAGGATCCCTAGTAGGCGAAATTTCGCAGCACCTTGCATACTTTGTCTCCTCCATCCGATGAATGGTACAGAGCCTACTGTCCGCGTCTGTTGTGGCTCGGCTCAATTGTATTAATATGGAGTTTGGAAACATCGACAGATTTGACATAAAATCAAACAATCTACCTCTAGGGGCCAACTGGTTCAATCTGGTATCCAATCGTCACCTTCTGGCGCAGACAGTTGGCTATCATGAAGAAGCGATTCAATTCTCTCAGAGGGACAAAATGCTTGACCTGCTTCTAATCTTGCCATACCTCTTTCTACCCTCGGGAACCTTGAGATGATTGATTATATCGTCTGACTAGGAATGACTGCAGAAGACGGTCCAGCACGCAAACCTCTTCTGGCCGACACTAGTGTCTCCAAATTTGGTCTGCACTAGGGTATAAAAATTGGAAGACCAGCGAGCCTGCACTAGATGAAAGATGCAGAAAATGGGTTTCTCATCGGTCGCTGTGTTCATGAATGTCTGGCGGAGGTAGGGGTCCTCGGTTCTCGAGACGCAATTCCATTGCTTTGGTCTTTGATCTCTACGAAGACCTAGCATAGGCTTTTAATGACTCGTAAAATGCTATAAAGTGTTGTATATCTCACGTTCTGCTTGGTTACAGGTTGATATTATGGTTGGAAGTCGTAGCTCTTCCAAAATGGGGCATTACTGGGCTACTAGAGTGATATCAGAGGCATCTAACTTGGTATACCTCAAGGACAGGCCAGAAATTTGGATCTGATGCGGGGTCTCTACCTAATTATAATATAGTCAGGCACCACCACTAAGCTAGCAGGGAGTTGGTTCTACTTTTAGCGCTAAGTATCCATTGCAACAAGGGACTTTGGCTATAGTTCTAGATTCTCGAGGCTGCTTGAGGCCATTGTCACTTAATCCTCGAAGATACGGCTCTTAGTATAAGTAGCAGCACTTAACAGATTTTAACTAAGAGTTTCTGTTTCACCAGTCCGCCATAGAAAAGACACGATCGCTACTATAAAGAGAATTCTGCGCGGGCCAACCAGACCCGGATGGGCGCAGGCCCGCCCCGCCACCCCACCTAAAATTCATGATAAGATCTACTCCAAAAAAAAAGCATCGTGGGCTGCCTTTTCCACACTACACTTTGCATTCCAACCCTCTTACCTCTTTACCTTTCCCCATCGCTCCTTACCCATGTCTCCCTCCGCTACTACCGAGGCCAACGGGGCCGACAGCACCGTTCTCGCCCTCCGCAAGGTCCTCACCAACGAGACCGAGCCTCTCGCTCGCCGCTTCCGCGCTCTTTTCTCCCTCAAGCATCTCGCCTGCCTCCAGCCCACGACCGAACAGACTCTCCCCGCTATCGAGGCCATCGCTGCCGCCTTCGCATCGCCATCGGCCCTCCTCAAGCACGAGCTTGCATACTGCCTGGGCCAGACCAGGAACCGCGACTCTGTGCCTTATTTGCAGCAGGTCGTGAAGGATGTTGATGAGGATGCGATGTGCCGCCACGAGGCCGCGGAGGCTCTTGGTGCTCTTGGATACGCCGAGAGCTTGGATATCTTGAAGAAGTTGCGCGATGATGAGAGTGAGGTGGAGATTGTTCGGGAGACTTGCGATATTGCGGTCGATCGCATTATCTGGGAGAACTCCGAGCAGAGGAAGGCTGAGAAATTGAAGCCTAGGTACGCCATTCACAAAGCGCCAGATCTTATATGGAAGATGGGATCTACCTCAGGTTGAAAGTTCAAGACGGGCTAATTTTGTTCACGATACAGCGACTTTACATCTATCGATCCTGCCCCGCCTATGCCTCTGGAGGCCAATGAGCCCTCCATTCCGGATCTGGAGAAGGCACTGCTCGACACTAAGCTTCCTCTCTTCCAAAGATACCGCGCCATGTTCGGTCTGCGTGACCTCGCCTCGCCTCCTGATCTTCCCACTGCCGTCGATGCTGTGAATGCGCTTGCCAAGGGCCTCAAGGACCCCTCTGCTCTGTTCCGTCACGAAGTTGCTTTCGTCTTCGGCCAACTCTGCCACCCTGCCTCAATTCCTTGCCTCACGGAGTGCCTTGGTGACCTGAAGGAGGTCGGAATGGTGCGCCACGAGGCGGCCGAGGCTCTTGGCAGTCTGGGTGACGAGGAGGGTGTTGAGGACACATTGAAGCGTTTCCTCAACGACCCTGAACAGGTGGTGCGCGACAGTGTTATTGTGGCCCTTGACATGGCAGAATTCGAGAAGAATGGTGAGATGGAGTATGCGCTTATCCCGGAGGGAGCCGCTACCGCTGTCTCGGCGGCATGATGGATCTCTGAATGAAAAAACATGAAAAAATGTCGTGACGTCGTTATTTTGATACTCTTTATCCCGCTCTGTTATACAGCCAAAATATAGAACCCTTTTCCTTTTTGTACAGCCCTCTTTTTCCCTTTCTCAGTTGTTCGATGTTTCCCTAGAAAACTAAATTAGTATCAGGCGAGATAAGGAATGCAATGTGGAGCTTCCTATGAGGGAAGACATACTTGTAACCGCAAACGCAGCGGTAGAACACAGTACTACCCTCATCAGCACTGCGCAGCTGGACAGTTGTAAAGAACATCTCCTTCCGTCCACACTTGTTGCAAGTGTGGTTCGTGACAGCCTCGGTCTTGCGATCTTCGGCAGACAAAGTCTGGACCGCAGAGCGCTTGGATCTCAAGGCGGAGGGAAAGGCAGAGGGCTTGGACTCGGAGACGATGGTTTGCGGAATGATATCTGAAGGCACGTTAGGGTATTTTGACTTTCAATTAAAGCTATCGTCTATGGCTCTGTTCGGTTCACATACCCTTGTTCCGCGCTCCGCAGACATTGCAGTGCAGGATCGCATTTTCGTCTCCGGTAGACTCGCGCAGCAGGTTGCCGCAATCCGTGCAGAAAATCAAGGATCCAATCGCCGACATTTTGACAGTTAAATAGGAAAGCGTATGTGAATGTTCGAGTCCTGTCAATCTTTAAAATAGCAGCAATAAAGATCAATGGGAAGTTGAAGTTGCGGCATGGGACTTTTTTTGACCGCACGGGCCACTCCGATACCACGTCTGGCGGTGACACGCGGCAGTAAGACGCCCCGATGAAATGATGAACGCATGTATGGTCATCGTGAGCTCTCCCTGATCCGATTTCCGCCCATCGAACCCGGTCGTGTACGATAAGAGTGTGGAGAAGCATGCCATAGATGCTCAAATCCTCTGTCATGACTCTGCCACGAGCAGGTCCTCCTCCGTTTGATTAGCGCCTTCCTTTTTCGACTCGGCAACCGCCAACATGGATCTCAATGGGCGCCCAGCGGTGCAGGTCGTCATTAACGGCCATCCTCAGGCGCAGCAAGCGTATGGTCCGACCATGGCGTTCCAGAACCAGCACAGGTCTCAGTCCAGACCTTTATCCGTGGATGAGGCGCTCCAGTACTCGTCCATGTCAAGCGCTCCCGTCTTTGGACTTGGTCCGTCTATCTACGAATTAACCCCCGAATCCCGCGACTGAGAGGCTATCTAACTCGTCGTGACTTTTTAGACTGCGTGATTCGCCCTGACGTCGGTCGTCCGTCCAATACCACTTCTATCAACCACGTTCTCCAAGCCGGTCGCAATACGCTGAGTGAGCTGGATGCGGAGATACAGTCCGGCCTGGACGAGTCAAGTCGCCTGGAGACGTCCCGCGAATACCTTCAGCAATTGCTGGATGGGGATCAACTGACTGAATTGTACGCCAAGATATCACCCTTTACTCTCATTTTTACTGACAGACCTCTCTGGGCAGCAAATTCAAGATCCCTCCTACTCTGAGCCGCAGTCAATCCTCACACTCGATCACCTCAGATGGCCCTGCCTCTTGTCGCACTCAGCTCGGCTCCTTTGCGAGGATGATCTTGGAGTCTACGGACATCGCCTTCAGATGTGAGACCGAAATGAAAGTATACATATCGTTTGAGCTTCTGTTAACGATCGCATCTTAGATCCTACGACATCACCTCCCAAGGTCAAACCCGAAAAGAAGGAACCCGTACAGAAAGCCGCAACAGCTTGGAATCAGCAGGCATACGTTGCGAACAGCACCAACTCCGCTTCATTCGAGAAGTCGCATCAGCCCTCAAGTCAAGTCTCCGTGGTCATCCCAATGAAGTCTACACCTACGAAACAGACGAAGCCAAAGCCAAAGATCAATCATGAGGATGAAATTACGGCGAGGCGGCTAAGGGACCAAAAAGCGGAAGCGGACGATGCTCTTTTGAAGCTGCAAGATGTTCTTCATGAAGTCTTCGAGTCGGAGGATCAGATCGAGCCGGACACCTCAATTGCCCCGACTGCGGACAGGCCGAATCCAGTGTTTGTGAATCCAAGGTCATTCGAGGTTCACGGCATGGTTCTATCTTCCGATGCGCACATCCGTCTACAAAAAGCCATTCGGAAGGTCTCTGGGTTTGACCGACTCCAGGATATCCCCTCCGACTATTTAAAGAGGATTCAGAAACTCTGCGAAAAGCCAATTCTTGCTGCCCAGTCAGCACAAATTACTTTGCATGATCCACTCAATGAAGCAGAGGTGCAGGAATGGCTTGGTAAAGTCGAGGATGTTTTGAACGCTTTGCTTGCCATCGGAACTCTCCTGCAAACAATGTCTGGACGTCAGACGGAGCGAGATTTATGCCCTGAAGATCTCATTGAGGCCATCCCACCCGTTGTCGAGCAAGTTTTCGACCATTGCATCATTCCTGCTGTTGAATCACGACCAGGCGGCAAGGATGCAGAGCATTTCAAGTTCTTTTCCGCCCAGCGACGCATTGTTGCAAGCCTGATTCACCAAAGCAAAAAGGCATTGACTCTTTTCGCAGACTTTTTGTCTCGAATTGAGGTGCCTGAAAGTCCTATCAACTCCGCTCTCTTCTTTGCGGCCAAGTTGATCTTCGTCGAAAATGCGCACAATGAGAAAGACTCTGCCGTGGGGTCATCCAAATTCGAACCAGCAAGACGTGGAGCAATGGACGTGCTTGCAAAAATCTTCTCTAGATATCCTGCCCAGCGGTCCTATATCCTGGATCAGATCCTGGGTTCTCTGGAGAAGCTACCTTCCACCCGTCAAAGTGCCAGACAATTCAAACTGGCTGACGGGAAGAATATCCAACTTCTCACCGCGTTGGTCCTTCAACTTGTGCAGACGACCGCGTTGGAAACGCCCTCACGATCCAAGACCAAACGTCGACTGCAGGCTGGTAACGATGATGATGAGTTAATGGGTGACGGTGACGACGTGGACCCCGATGACGACGATGACGACGTGGACCCCGATGACGACGATGACGAGCTAGATGAGTCTCTGGAGCGCCTGGCCGCCAAAGTGAACAGACTATACGATAATGCAATTCGAAGTGCACAATACATTGTGACTTTTATAGTCCAGCGTGCAATGAACGCCACAAAAAGTGGCGACCAGCCATTCCGAAACATTCTCGACCTCTTCACGGAAGATTTGATCAACGTGCTTGGGTCCACTGATTGGCCCGCATCGGAGCTGCTTCTCCGAATCATGGCATCACACATGGTCGGTATCGCAGATCTTGACAAAAGCTCGGCTCAAGCAAAGAGCATGGCTCTTGAGCTATTAGGATGGATGGGCTCTGCGATTTCGGATTTGATCGCAACCGCTCAACACATGCTTCCAGCCTTGGAGGATGCTGATGGCGAGCTTACTGATTCCCTCAAGCAGCAGTTTGAAGATTTCTCGTGCCGCGCGCTCCACCCACAAGACTTGGTTGCGCCAAATGGGCCCTACCGCATGGCCCTCGAGTATTTGTCACAAGATACGAGCTCGGATAGCTCTCAACTGGCCAGCACGCGGGGCTTCTACTTGGCTGCGTGGGCGAAGGTTGTCTGTAACCTTTACTACAACTCCGAGGACAAAGAGGAAATGCCGGAAGACGACATGACCAACGAACTGGTGGTTCTATTGTCGCGGTCTTTCTCTGATCCCCGCTGGTTGGAGACCCACAGGAAGTTCAACTCCATTGCCAATATTCATGGAAAGTTCGCCTACATTCTGACCGTCTTGAATTCGGGCTTTGGCAAGGCATTTGACACCATTCTTAAGGTCTTGCTCAACTCGATCGCCAGCGACCAAGCCAAGGTCCGCAGCCGAAGTTTGAAGAGTGTCATCGAAATGCTTGAGAAGGATCCTAATCTTCTCGACCGTGACGCTTCGGTTATGCATCTGATTCTGCGTTGCACTACGGATGCTTCTCCTATGGTTCGCGACTCTGCCTTGTCCTTGATTGCCAAGTGCATTGGTCTACGACCAAAGTTGGAGGAGCAAGGGTGCCGCAGTATTCTCGCCTGCGCTGGTGATCCCACGGCTGGTGTTCGTAAGCGCTGTATTGGCCTATTGAAGGAACTCTACCACAAGACCTCTCGACAGGAGCTGAAATTGGCCATACTCGACAGCTTCCTTCAACGGACTGGCGATCATGAGGAAAGTGTCGCCACCCTGGCTCGTCAGACTTTTGAGGAAATCTGGCTTGTGCCTTTCCACGACTCGATTGATTCCATCTCCGATGGTCCGAAGCTCAAGATGGCACTTGGGGAGCAGGTTGGGTTGATCGTCAGCTTGGTTGAGCGCAGCGACAACGCTCTTGACTCTCTTGGCATCTGTGTGAGGGCGGTCCTTTCCGACAAGTCCAAGTCTGCCAGCCTGAACTTCAAAGTCTGCAAGTCAATGGTAGCCATCATGTTCCAGAGGCTTGTGGAAGACGCAGATGCCTCTCCCCAGGAGTTCAAGCAAGCCTTGCTCCAGACAATCACCGTCTTTGCCAAGGCCAATGCGAAGCTGTTCAGTCCAGATCAGTTGGAAGCCTTGCATCCGTATATTGGCAACCTTGCCAATGCAGACGACTTGTTCTTGTTCCGATCGGTGGTTGTTATTTACCGATGTGTCTTGCCATACCTGTCCTCCTCCCATAACAAGCTACTCAAGGATGTCCAGAATGACCTCTTCAAGAGTGTTGCCAAGCTGGGTCGCCCCGAGTTGAATGAGGTCATGGCTTGTCTATGGACCATCAACGGTGTCTTGCAGAATACGGACAGATTAGTGAAGCTAACTCTGTCCGTTCTCAAGCCACTGCAGCAGTACAAAAGCGTCGACTTGTCGTCCCCAGACAACGCCAAAATATCAGCACGCGCAAAGAGCTACCTCAGGATCGCAGGCTGCGTTGGACGGCACTGTGATCTCGAGAAATACATTCCACATTTCAAAAATTCCTTCCCTACATGGAGTACCGGGTCCGGCGGCTCCGTTGCTGCGCTGATGGTCGACTGCATCCTTCCATTCACTGGTTTCAATCAGCCTACCGAGCTTCGGGTTACCGCTCTTGAGAGTGTGGGCTCCATCTGTCAGTCCTGGCCAGCTCAGTTCGGCCGCGAGCCTACACGAAAGATGTTCTCCCAGGTATTCAAGGAGGATGCTCCTGGCTTGCAGCACATCGTGCTCCGAGCTTTCGCAGATTTCTTCTTTATCCACGAGGGCAAATCCGAGAAAGGAGTGGTGCCTACCGCCGAGGCTGCTGCCCAGGAGGACTCCACCCGACTCGGAGGGTCACTGAGAGCTAGCGATAACGATGGCGCTGCTGCGTTGATCGCTCAACACTTCCTGAAGAACATGCTAAAGGTCGCACAATCGCGACAGGATGCCTATGCGTTGACTGCCATTGAGCTCATTGCCAGCATCAACCGTCAAGGATTAGTGCATCCCAAGGAATGTGCGGGAGTCCTTGTCTCGCTGGAGACATCGACTGATCCAAAAATTGCCAAGGTCGCTTTTGACACGCACAAGATGATCCATCAGCAATTTGAATCCATGTTTGAGCGAGAGTACATGCGAGCTATTCAAGAAGCCTTCTACTACCAGCGTGATGTGGTTGGCGATTCGAATGGTGCGACTCCTCGGCCTTATGTTGCCAAGCTCGCTCCTCTTTTCGAAATTGTCAAGATCAGCAACAGCCGCTACCAAAAGAAATTCCTGTCGAATCTTTGCTCAAAGGCGGACTTTGAGTTGAAGAAGCTCGATGCCTCCGGTGACCCTCCGGAGCATCTCCTCATGGCCCGCTTTATCTCTCAGAACCTGGCGTATTTCGACTATGCCCAGTTGGCAGAACTGCTTCCCACGATTGGATGCCTTGAGCGTATTGTCTCATCGACTGGTACTGTTGTTGCCCATGCAATCGAAACCGATCTATTCCCAAGCCCGATCGGTCCCCCCGTGGTCGAAACCCCAACCGGTATGATGAGCCTTGGCCCTGATGTGCCGATGCCGATGCCTCCAACCGTCTCGCAGCCAGTCAATCCCGCTACCCTGAGACTCTTGACCACGGCTGCTGCATCTCTGTCGATGCTTTGGGAGGCGCGAACTCATCTGCGCCGTCTTTATGGACTCAACTCACACCACAAAGACAAGGACGGCAATGGCAAGCAGAGCGCCAAAGAGCTCAACAAAACGGCGACCAAGGTTCATGGTGTGAACGGTGAAAAGTTTTGGGAAGCCGTTATCAGAAACATGGCATCGCTCGACAGCGAAGAAGCCATGCTCACTAAGTGCCGTGAATTCTCGACCTTGCTGGCCATTGACGAGGAGTTCAAGGTCGACCGTGAAAATGATGGAGAGGGCGATAGCCTGGATGCATTCGGGGATGGCGATGACATGGCTGGCTTTGGTGGATCTCGTCCAATGAAGCGCAAAAGCTCTGTTTCCAGCACCGGTCTCAACAAGCGACCCAAGGCTCGCAAAAGCTCCGTGGGCAGGAAGCCGTCTAGTGCTGAGCCCGACGATGGCTGGGACTAAGGATATGTCCGTTCCGACAAAACAAAAGCCCTTCGGACGCGCATCGCACTCTCTCTGGAGAGTTTGTCTTATCTTTTTTTCAACATTGCATATCAGGCGAGGGCCGGCGTTTTACTTTGACATTTTCCTTTTTTACACTCGTGGGTATTTACTGGGAACGGCTTTCTCTTACTATACCAAGACCGGCGGCGGATGATACATAGCTTATTTTGTCTTCCTTTTTTTATGCATGTTTTGGCGCGAACGGAGGGTTCATTTGCTTCTTCAGAGTTGCAGAGCTACTACTTTACAGTAACTAAGGGCTCGTTGATTCCAAATTTTCATGAGTATATAATAGAAATTACTTTTCCAGTCATCCGTGCTAATCATTACTTAAGTACTTACTGTACTCCCTGCCAAGTCCAGTTTTGATTCACCGACTCCACTTTCCGCAAGGCGTGCCGATTCCCGGCCCCACGTGACCTGTGCATGACGTCGGCCGATCGAGCTGGCATGCATTGCTGGCGCATTTTCCTTTCTTTCACTCTCTTCAAATTACCTTCTTTCGTTACGACAGAGGCATTCGAGGTCGCTCCTTTTGCATAATTTGCCCGCAGGCTCAGTCCTGCGTGGTTCACGTCCGTACATAGCTTATCTCCACTCCCTTGGCCTCTCCTGCAGTTGCACTCGCTCACGATGCGCGCGGCGGTACTCCGGAGTCGTCCGGACGGCCCTGCGCTGAGGTCAATTGGATCTCTGGCGACCGGTTTTCAAGCTTCAAAGACTGCCTTGGCTGCCAGGTTCCCTATCACCCGCTCGTTGAACACCTCCTCCCGCCGGCCTCTGCCCCGGCGTCCCTACGGCCCAACTCCCAATGTATCGATCCCGATCCGGTTCCAGTCCGATAAGGCGGCTGCAAAGGTTACCGTCAAGCAGCGACCAAAGGTTCTAGCAGCTCTCTACAAGTCGTTCGCTTTCTGCGGTTTCTTTGTTATCGGCACCGGTGTCGTGGTCCTCGCCTTCTTCCTTTACGATGCTAGTACATACCGCGAGACCCCGAGCGCGGAGGATATCCCTGTCTCTGAATTGGCGCTCAACCCGCGTCGCGGTGGACCCAAGAACTTGCCAATTGCCGATGTTCTTGTTGGCGACTACGATTCGGAATCTATGATTGAGCAGAAGGATAAGCCTCGTCTGGTTATCCTGGGTACTGGTTGGGGTAGCATTGCGCTGCTTAAGAATCTGAACCCGGGTGACTACCACGTTACCGTTGTTTCTCCGACTAATTACTTCCTGTTTACTCCCATGTTGCCCTCCGCTACGGTGGGAACGCTTGGTCTTCGGTCTCTGGTTGAACCTGTGCGACGTATCATCGATCGTGTCAATGGGCATTTCTTGAAGGCTTCTGCGACAGATGTCGACTTCTCGCACAAGTTGGTTGAGGTCTCTCAGGTTGATCAGGATGGAAATACCAAGAACTTCTATCTTCCTTATGATAAGCTTGTTATCGGTGTTGGTATGTCTAACGACCCGAAAATCTGCTACGGCTAAGGCTTGCTCGGACTGCTTAACTAACGTGATCTGATCAGGCTGTGTGACAAACCCCCACGGTGTCAAGGGTCTCGAGAACTGCAACTTCCTGAAGACCATTGACGATGCTCGCCAGATCAAGAACAAGGTGCTGGATAATATGGAACGGGCTTGCCTACCCACTACTACCGACGAGGAACGCCGGCGTCTGCTGTCTTTCGTTGTCTGCGGTGGTGGTCCTACTGGTGTCGAATTCGCTGCTGAGCTGTTCGATCTACTCAATGAGGACCTACTTCACTCTTTCCCTCGCATCATCCGCAACGAAATTTCCGTCCACATCATCCAGAGCCGAACCCATATTCTGAACACTTATGACGAAGCACTTTCCAAATATGCCGAGGTACACGACCACCTTTAACAGCCTTGATACTTATTGATGCTAATGCACTGTAGGGCCGTTTCTCCCGCGACGGTGTTGAAGTCTTGACAAATGCCCGTGTTAAGGAGGTCCAGAAGGACCGCGTTCTCTTCACTCAGGTCGAAGATGGAAAGACCGTCGTCAAGGAAATTCCTACCGGATTCTGTCTTTGGTCTACCGGAGTTTGTGAGTTTTCACCTTGTGCGGCTTGTCAGATCAATTCTAACTTCCCTAGCTCGTGCCGAGATTTGCGAGACCCTCTCCAAGCATCTTGAAGGACAAAACAATAAACACGCTTTGGAAACCGACTCCCACCTCCGTGTGATTGGCGCTCCTCTGGGCGATGTCTACGCCATTGGTGATTGCTCCACCGTCCAGAACAACGTCGCTGAAAACATCATCAAGTTCCTGCGCACCATCGCCTGGGAGAAGGGCCGTGACCCCGAGAAAGTGCACCTGAACTTCGCCGAATGGCGCGACGTCGCCAACCGCGTGAAGAAGCGCTTCCCTCAAGCCTCGAACCATCTCCGCCGTGTGGATCGCCTTTTCGAGCAGTACGACGTCGACCATTCCGGTACCCTCGACTACGGCGAGCTCTCCGAGCTCCTGCACCAGATCGATACCAAGCTCACTTCCTTGCCCGCAACTGCCCAGCGCGCTAACCAGCAGGGTGTCTACCTAGGCCGCAAGCTGACCAAGATCGCTTCCGCCCTCCCCGGTCTCAAGGCTAACGAGATCGACTACGGTGACCTGGACGAGGCTGTCTACAAGGCGTTCAAGTACAGGCATCTCGGTAGTCTGGCGTATATCAGCAACGCAGCTATTTTCGACTTTGGCGGTATGAGCTTCAGTGGTGGCGTTATTGCCATGTATCTCTGGCGCAGTATTTACTTTGCGGAGAGTGTCAGCTTCCGGACGCGGTGTATGCTGGCGATGGATTGGGCGAAGCGTGCTCTCTTCGGAAGAGGTATGTTCATTCTTTCTGTGTTGAACTTGAATGGGTCAATCTTGCTAATGCTGTCATCCAGATCTTATGAGCTTCTAAAGCTTATCCAACCCTTTTCTTTATCCCACTCATCCTGGACATTTCCGATGGGAATGCTGGGCTGTCTTTTCTGATGCTACGCTGGTTCGGCATGGGACATTCATAGATCATTGCTCTATTGAGCCAGCCCAGAGCTGGAGCTGGGGCTGGGGCTTTTTGTCATCTCGATCGTCATTGTGATTTGATCTCAGGATTGATGGTCTGATTAGCTTTTGACATTGTATGGGCCGGCTTGGCCATGGACACTTGATTGTTTCTTTTCTGTTTTCTTCTTCTTTTTTTTTTTTGTCTTGCGTCGGCTTTCTCTTTGATTTTATGAACACTTGCACATGGTTGCATACATTTGGTATATATAGCCTGAATTGTGTATGTACCTACACTTGCATCGAAACCTGTGGTTACCTACGTACCGGATTTCCTATGCCAGGTCGTGGCTTTCCTGTTCCGTTTTAGTGCTCAGCCCCTCGCCGCTTTTGCTCACTGAGTAGAACTGAGCACGCCCCTGAGCGCCCTGATCCGATCAGTGAGCATTATGTAAGCTCACTGATCCGCTCACTGAGCGCTCTGATCCACTCACTGATCCACTCACTGAGCGCTCTGATCCGCTCACTGAGCCCTCGTAGCACAAGGCGCCTCAATAAAACGCAACGCGCTAGCCCCATTTACGTGAAACTCTCTTTCTATAGATTGACCCCACTGTCCCATCCAAAAAGCATTGGCATCAATAACCTGATGTTTCAATTTGGTAGTCATTGCCCCTCAGTGAAGCCTGATAGTTAATCAACCAATAATCACCTGCATGCTCCTGGGAACCTTAGCCTACTGATTTCTACTGTTTCCTTAGCAGGCATGGAGCTAGTCCAAGAGAAATTACATGCACATACTGGACGACCGCAAGTCTTACACTAGGAACCTTCTCTCTACATTGAGCACGCGTACCGCAACAATTGCCTATTCAAACTCCATCCCCACGGGTTTACTAATCTCCCAAAAGACACTGCTCCTGGGAACTTGCTGGATGATTGATTGGTCAATTCATAGACTATCCCAGCCGGGGAAGCCGATAGATGTTCCTGGGAACATCAGACTCCACGCCATTTTGTGAACGTGTGTAAACTGTCTTCACGAATTCGCTCATAATCCATGACCACCTAGATTCCCAGGAACTCAAAACATAGCCCAGGGACAAGCGGCGCCAATTTCATTGACGGTATATATTTAAGCGTACTCGCACAGAAGAAATCGCCTTCATCGCCGTTCGTTTAACCATATCACCAGGGAGGTGAGCCGCTCTTGTGTACTATCCAATACCCGCTTGGTCGTATGAATGGCTTGAAATGGTCTTGTATGACTCTAAGGTTGTCCCTGAGCTAGGGACGTTCGCCAATCCCATATTGATCGAAGATGATTTTGCTCTGCTGGACTCGTCTTCTGATCCCAACGTGATCAAGGTTGACGAGGGTTGGCGGTGCGATGAGCCAGACCATCTTGATTCCGATGCCGACACTGAGATAATGACCACGCCGGAATTCTGGGGGTCGTTGACTGGTGGAAACTTCAACTATCCGGAGAAGCATGAAGCAGCTCTCGATTCGTCGCCCATCCATGCGTCCACCAGATCGATAGACAGTGAGAATCTGGAAGGCCTTCAGTCAGTTGAACAGCTTGGATCAAACCATCAAGGGTTGAAAGTCGCTCAGAATTCAGTTGACGACCCCTTTGGGGCTGCAACGAGAGAGAGCGTTGCGGATGACCACAAAGGTACACTTAGCTGATGAAAATCTGAGACTATTATGCTAAACCTTGAATTTTACTAGGAAGCGAGCAGAGCACGAAGCAAGGCAAAGTTTCTAAGACCGAGGAACTAAAGGACGATCGCAGTGTTACCAATACTTTCTCGATAACCCGCAACGGGTTTCCAGAAGAGACATTATTCACCGACAACCCCTCTTGGAAAAACCTCTCATATAGTCCCTATGATATGGGATCTATGACCCACAGATTACCGCATGAAACAGCAGATAATATCAACCGAGCCAAGCCTTTGGGCAAAGCGGTGTTGGCCTGGGATTCTCCCATGTCTACTGCCATCGGCGATGAACTAGCCGAGATACACAATCACATGGAGCACTGTCGGAATACCGATTGTTTACAAGCGAAAGCTTTTTTTGATGGAATCCAGTCTCCTCGTGAGTGATTCCGTGCTATTCACGTCCAATACAGTCACTAACACGTTAACTTTGCAGAAAACACGTTATCAAACTCAAAGAGATCCAAACACGCACAAGGAGGAGACGAACAAGGCCGCGTGACCATGCGATTCTATGCCCCAGAAATGAAGAAGGGGGCTTCATGGCCAAAAAGCTTTGTTGTCAACCAAGTGGTCATCCGAACAGCGTTCTCATCAGGCATACCTTGCAGCCTAGAGAATTTCCGGCACGACGATACTTTCTCCGGGCGAGGTGCCGTGATCCTCCGTCTGAAAGGAGAAAACCCAAGTTTATTTCTCACATTCTCCCCTAAAGACCCCGGGGACGATCACGGTAATAATTTACGTACCTCCCACAAACGGTCTGATGGGGTTTTGATACTTGAATCAGCTGGGGCACAACGAAACAAAGGGGCCAATTGGCGGCACGGCTTCACAGGGCGAATGTATATTGAACTTTATAAGAGCTGGCCCTTTTTAGCCTCAGATTATGAGGAACGAGAAGAGTTCTTTGGGAGCGTTGCTCTGAACTTTCATTTGGACACGGTAGACCCAAAATTCTTCCTCACCTTCTCTTCCGGGCTGTCTTCGGCTGATCAAAGTGCACATTCGCCTGCGCCTGGTAAGGGTGTACGTGCACCTTCGATGGCTAGCAGCACTATTACTCAGGAAATAACAGCGCAAGCTGGTACCTCTGGGGATAACCTACCACTTAACTCCCATGTGGGATGTTTGAAACGCAAATCTTTATACGACGGTTATCAATCTGAACTCAGGCGATCGGAGAGACTGTCCAGAAAGGCTAGAGTTCAGCAATGACATTTACCCTTCTTTGTGCCAATCTATGAATTTTCAGCGATAGCAAAATACAAGCACTAGAAATATCTCAGGGAAACATCTGGCTAACAATCGGCAAGGCGTTGGAAGTTTATCCCCAGACATAGTCGAATAATGAGATGTAGGAAAAGTTACACAAAGGATGTGAGTGCCTGAAGTCGCACGATGCGGAAGACTAGCCATGAGGCAGACCCTTATACACCATTTGGGGAACTTCGACTTGTCCCTATTGACTGCATTGTTGTGTGTGTGTGTGTGTGTGTGTTAATTTCAGCTTCCGGGTTCAAGACAACCTTATCACAAACACAAGTTTGAAGGAAAGCGCCACCTCAACATCTTGAATGTCTATGTAAGTACAAGAGAAATAATACTTGATTTAGCTCATGTTTCTCCCAAGTCATTTGGCTGAGTCGTGGTGACATATAGGCCATATGACATGCACATTTCGCGTCGCTCTTCTAGCGTGCTTTTCTTTCCTAATCAAGGGCGCTTTCGACATGTTCTAAGGTGCTTACCATGTTATTACTTTATTCAGCCTGGTTGGTTAAAACCCGGGGAGATAGATGGTTCCATTCGAGTTCTAGAACTATAAAACAATTCGAAAACAGTTTATTAACATACCGGAGTCTGTAACAAATAGTCACGTGAATTACGGGAGTTCTGTCAGGTGAATCGAATTTCTTCACACAGCCACATTAAATTCTTGCACAGCCACATCCACTTGGTAATTTACTCGGTCATGTATACTGGGAACAAGTATTGTTCAGTCACGAACCATTGATCTTGTACCGTAAATATCATCTGCTCGACCCGCCTTAGTGACTGCTTAAAATAAGCATTACCGCCAGCCGAAAAGCGCACGTGTAATCTACACTAATCTCCGTGCAACCCGATATTATTCTATTTTAACAAGGGATATTTTTGACTTCATATACGGTCTATGGATAGTTGAAGCTAGTACCTTAGTTCTTTAGTACTACGAAATGTAGGTGACCATTTATGATCGGGCATGGATATTGAGCTTGAGCGCGATCGAGGTGGTGATAAGCCTCTCACCACTTTTAGTCCAGAGGCATGCTGGCAGTCATTCATTGCCTTACTGGGTGTTGTTCGTCCTGCCCAAAATTTTTGTAAGCCCGAGCCTCCCTTGCACCATGACACCAAACTCAGGCTTCATTCAATGCGTATTCTCCCCGATTATTTGCAATACAAGGCCTTGCTGGGGTCCTCTTCGAGGAATCAGACCCTAGTTATCCATGTCTTTTCGAAACTCTTCCCTCAAGGATGTAAGATTGTCGCAGCTCATGGCGAACCTGCTCTTGAAAAGTCCGCAAGCCTGCCACTTCAGGTCAGTATATTATTACGTACTGTATGAAGATGGTTTGAATCTCTGTCACTAAAAATTCGCAGGCATCAAGCTGGAGTGCTCAAACCACGTTTCTCGCTGTCTGCGCGGTTGTTGGCACTACCGAAGTAACGATTCTGGCGGTCCCTGGCCTTGTAATGGCGCCAATACTATGGGGGTCTAGGCTTCACGATGAACGGTATACAAGTAGGTATGTGCAATGTGCAAGGAAAGTCAACGAAGTGATCTTTGTCTCCTGTGCTACTGTACAATACGAGGTCTGACTAGCTACATGTTTCCGAGATTGAAATTTGCTTAACTTATTTTTGTCCACCCTTTGCCTACCTTTTGCACACCTTTTGCTGCTCTTCTAAATAACCTAGTAACAATTTTGTTTCCGCTATTTTTGCCTACTTGATTTAATCGTTCTGTTTTGCACATTGTTTTGCTCATTCCAAGTTTATCAATATTAATTGCACATTCTTATTTCTCGCCCCGAACATCCAATGATTAAAGCTGTAAAGTTATTGAAACCCGGGATAGGCAAGGAATGGATCTCGAAATTGACTGGTGATAAATCATGCCATGCTGGCCATTTCTAGCTACCGGAATCTCGGAAGCAACATGCCGAATTGTCCGCTTTTGAGCACATTTTGAGCACATTTGCTGACTTCAGCTTTGCCCACCCTTTGTTCAATCCGTGCGCCTGCTTCACTTAGCTTTTGCCCATGTTTTGCTCAACTTTGCTTAATTTTGCACCTGTTCCATGTTGCGTTTTGCCCTCTCTGTTTTTAATCATCTGTTATGCATACATTCTTTCGTCCCCCAAATGCACCCATCCGCTAACCACGGCAAATTAATTCATTCTAATAGCGAACCTGTTTTCATATTCCATATTCTATGCTCCGCATTCTCCAAAATCTCGCAACTTCCCAATTGCACACCCATGGCGAGCAAACCTACCTAAACGATGACCCGTAATCCCGGCACCCTGGAAATGAAAGTCAAAATTAATCACTCTAAATTGCACACTTTTTCGGATGTCCCGAACAGTCAAATCAATTAAAAGCTGAAAACCCGTCGCGAAATCCAGGAAGGACATACGAAATTGATCTCGAAATCGATCGATACCAGTAAATCATGCCAAATTGACCATTTCAATTGCTGCTCGGAACCTCGGAAATGGAGAGTGCCGAATTGCAGACCTTTTGAACACTTTCTGAATTTGTGTGCCCACTTTGTTTTGCTCACGTTTGCTCACGTTTGCCCAGCTTTTGAACACTTGGAGTTTCGGCAAATTTTCTCTTGCTTACTTTGCCCACACTTTGCTTAACCTTCGCACCTCTTCTGCACCGTGTTTTGCTCTCTTTTGATCACTCTCTTTTGATCACTCTCTTTTGATCACTCTCTTTTGATCACTCTCTTTTGATCACTCTCTTTTGATCACTCTCTTTTGATCACTCTCTTTTGATCACTCTCTTTTGATCACTCTCTTTTGATCACTCTCTTTTGATCACTCTCTTTTGATCACTCTCTTTTGATCACTCTCTTTTGATCACTCTCTTTTGATCACTCTCTTTTGATCACTCTCTTTTGATCACTCTCTTTTGATCACTCTCTTTTGATCACTCTCTTTTGATCACTCTCTTTTGATCACTCTCTTTTGATCACTCTCTTTTGATCACTCTCTTTTGACCACTCTCGTCTCCATACCCTTTTTGCCAACTGCGCCAGCTGCATTGACCACCCAGAATCTTGGGCCTTCCTAATTGCACGCTCATGTGGAGCAAAGACCATCATTCCGAATTGGACGCTTTTTTTTTCTCGGCCCTAATAGTCGAATCCACCGAGAGCGGAAGTTCCGGGGGAACAATCTGAGCACAGGCAGGATATGAATTTCGAATTTGATTGCTGCCAATACAGTGCGTCTCGAAACTGGCGCGACCACCTACACTCTTTGATTGATTCTCAAGCCTTTTGCCAAGCCTAGCTAATTCGAAATAGGAATAACTCCGGAATGTCATTCTTCCTGTATCATTCTCAAAACGATATTATACCATGCTAAGAATACATTTTTGTGTATTGTAATAGTAATTGTGACCCAAAGAGCTAGAAATTTCCATGGTCTTGCAAACACATCAGATAAATTACTGTAAGCAGCAAAGGTCTTGCGAAGTGTCCAAGGTTTCACTTTCCTTAGTTCCTCATGCAACTAGGTTACGGTCTATGGCTTATTGTTTGACCATTTACATAGTATAGTTATGGAACCTGCTGGTAAATATAGATATACTTCACTCCACTGCCAATTGAATCTCCCGTTTCGCATTCGCCAGATGTCTCCGCGTAACCTGATAGGAGAAGTAGCCGCCAAGGTTAAGCGCCTGATAGTCACCTGGTCATGGGGCTGAGCTTCCATTTCTCCACGTTGGCGCCTTCTGTGCCTTTGACAGCGTCATCACACACAAGCTATTGAGTATGAATTCCACATCATTTGGTAGTGAAAACTCAGGGACTCAGGTGGGGACCAACAATGGTCTGATAACTCAGAACTATTTCCCCGCCGGTGCGTTCAGGAGTGAAAGTCTGGGATTCTAAAAATGAATAATTTGATGTATCCCCAGGATTTCACCCAGAAATGCGGGGTGATGCACTGATGTTTGGGGTCCATCCGCCCCGCTGAAAAATTTCGGGTGCACAATCTTGAATTTCCATGAAGAGTTTCCGTCGACTCTTTGGTTCCCTTTCTTCCGTATGGCTGGTACAGTACCGGCCCTTACCGCCTTCCATAACAGAAACACAGCGAGGTTCTTCTAAACCCTGGTCACATGATGATGATACCGAATGGCCTGCTTGTTGAACCAAGATGCATCGGACGTCTGGATTACAAGCGGTGATTTGTCGTCCATTTCCATGAAAGGCATTAGCAGTATAATCCTACAAGGAAGCCTTATCCTCCGGTATCAAAACTCTACTGCAGCAACATTGAAACCTGTCGTGGAAAAGTGGAGAGTTTCATTACAGTGACCTCGGATTGGTCCATTTCCTTCCCAGATTTTGTATGTGTTTGTATGTAATATGCGGGTAACCTTTCGACATCGGTATGGTCACTCGAATACCCGGTTACACCGCCATGGGACAGCTCAACCTGCCCCCTATTCCATTCGTTCGAGTCCTTTCCTTTCTTCAATCAATCAACCTTGTCTGTATGATTCCGATAGTTCTTATTCGTCCATATGCATACTAGCCTATACCAATTCAACCGGTTTTGATAAAACCTATCTTTAGCCAGCAGCTCTCCCCCACGTTTGCAGACTTCCGCTTAACACACTTGAATTATTGACACGTCAAGTGTAGATGGCTCCACTACCCTTTGTTCCCTTCCGTTGACATTCTTGTTAATGCTTTGCAATATTCCCTCGGATTGCAATTGCTCAATGGTCTGATTAATGACGAGTGTCCGCGCTCCACATAATGCTCCAAGCATCCATGACAAAGCCTCCTCCTTCTTCTAACAGCTTTCTGAAAGCCTCGCTGTCACCAATCTGTCCAAGAACAGAAACAAGGTAACGTGCTACCAAGTTCCTCAAGGCATCGACATTATTCCCATGATTTGGTGGCGTGTTGGAGTAAACAAAGCGAACAAATTCGATGACTCCGGCAACCCCTGTATGATATAACTTGAAGCTTGTCAGCGTCGCGTGTAATTTAGAAAGAATGAGCTGGCGCAAAGATTCTATTCCGTATTTGTCGGCCAGCACGTAAAGTCGAGCTTGATCAATAAAAACTGGGGTAAAGTCTTCCCAAGGGCCAGAGTTTTTAGGTGGTGCGAAATTGTTGTTTGAATCCTCGCTTTCCGGAGCTGAACCAAAGCGAGTTTCAATGAAAGCATCACGCAAATGCTGAGTCCACAAGCTTCGCTCTTTGTACGGTAATTCGAGCCCACCGGATAAGACGACTTCGGAGGAACTCTCAGGGTCGGGAGCTTCTTCGGGAAAAGGCTCGGGATCCGATGCGGGTATAGGCTCTGGTTCAGGCTCTGGTTCGGGTTCTGGTTCAGGTTCACCCCAGATAGAAGCATTCGAACCATGTTTGAAGGCTTTCTTTTTCTTGGCACGTTTCAAGGCTTTCTTTGTGGATTTCAGAGTTGGCGAGTAGCCTTCAATTATTCGAAATGAAGGCGGTGTATAGTCTCTTAGATAGGCAAATTCACACAATCGAGTGAACGTGTCCAAATCAACATCTGACCAGTCAACACGCCTGGTTTTGGCCTCAATCATTTCGCCATTGATGAGAGCATTCAGGGACTTGGAAAGCTCTGCCAAAGCAAAAGAATGCACGGTTATTTCCTTTTTATCTGGACCAACTTGGAACGTGAACAAGGGCGAGCAAAGACATCTATGTACGTCAAAAATGACCATTATATTCCATCGACCTACTTACCTTCCAAAAGGCCCCTCCATTTAGATAGCAGACTTGAAGAGTACTGGTAAGGACAATGTGATGTGCATAGGTGATGAATGGGTTCGTGTGATAGAGAAATAGCCGAAAGAGCTCTTTCTGAGTGAGGGGTTTTGACTTCAGCCTGGAGCAGTCCATTTATAAGCTTTGAAGCGACTGAATTTGATTAGTTATATGGCTGCCGCTAGCTTAGTCATGACAATCCCAGGCCCAGAGGCAATGAGAAACAATGCGTCCTCGACTAGTCATAAAATTAGATACCCAAGAGTCCGTTGGGTGCATCATGAGCCCTGCTCGGCCTATGACGACGTACTTCTCTAACCAACCCTATCCCAGGAATCTAAGATCACATCTTATTGGCCTGCTACAGTCACGGCAATAAGGTATTACATGACTCTTTGACTGGTCCGATGTGGATCGTCAACCGCATCGAAGCATCTGCCTGCAGGCTCGCTTACTCCAGGCGCCTTCGACCTCGTTAGCGACCGCAAGTTCCCCGTTTTTGAGCGCCAACGCTTGCCCCCGATCACGCTAATGGGTGGAATAAAATATGAAACCACGCTTCGTTCGTAGAAGCCAAATTCAGCCACTAGAGTGTGAAGGTCTTTTGACATACCCTTGCTGGTGAATCCGTGCAATGCGTAAATGCGGGTAGGGGGCATTTGATCACAGAATGGTTGGCAGCCAATCAATCTGTGCTTGACATTCTTCGGCGCTCCACGTGTCAACGTATTTCCGACTGCCATCTTGACATTCTTCGGCGCTCCACGTGTCAACGTATTTCCGACTGCCATATCAAATGAGGGGGAAGGATCTTCCAAGTACCCGAAATCTCGATATTTCCTTTTTTAAAAAAAAGTTAATCTTTGCATCTGATAGCTAGATCTACCTCTTCCAAATAAGATTCTAAGACAGTGGTGTGGAAGGGCCTTTCCCTACACGGTTGGGTCAAACCTGAATTATTTGGTGGGAAAAGGCCATGCAGAAATCGTGCATTTCCTTCTTCAACTGATGCCCAAGGTATTGTCTACGTGTCAGAACCAACGCATGCATATTCCTGTGTGTTCTTACCACATAATCTCAGCTCGCATCTGGGCGGCAACTACAAAGTAGAACAGCCAATCAGGATTACTGAGCGTTCACCGCTCCATCTCTCGACGTGTCAAGGCTCAATTTAATGAATATTTAGCTGCGAAGTCTCGCACGAACCTGTGTAGGAAATTAGAAGGCTTTTACAGACAACGGAGAGCTAATTTCGAACGCTTGAGCCCTCTCGACCAGCTTGAACATAGTTTTACAATATCCCTTTGCGGGGTGCTTCGCAGCCTTCCTGCAACACGAATGGACTGTTTACCTTGAGTCGTCTTCGTTATTCAGCTTGCTGTCCCTCCCATCAAATTCTTGCTGAAGTATCACCCTTGCTCCACAATACGAAATCTGCGTATATGTTAAACTGTCTCACTTGACATGATCAATTTTCGTTTCCTTAAATAAGAGCTGTTCCAGGTAACCAACAACACTCCCATTATAGCCAGTAACATGGCAGAAATAAGAGACAATACACTCCTACCAGTCGTCAATATCGCTGCAAATGGCGATATTATTCTAATTGTAGGATCAGAAAAGATACAGCTACTTGTAGAGTCGCTGATCAGCAAGGCAGCCTCTAAAACCTACGCGCCAAGTTAGGGCCAACCCGGGAGGAAAGCCACAATTCGCTTGGCTTGTGTCTTCCGGTGGAGGTGCTGCTACCTGAAGATGATCCGACAGCACTGAGATTCATTTGTGCAATTTCGCACCATCAGATCAATTTGGTACCTCATACGATGGATACACGTGATGTTCTCAGAGTTGCTATCACGGCGGACAAATCCCCGGGCTTGTTGACGTTTTGACTTTGACCCACCAAGTTTGGCTATGCCCTCTCAACAAGGCTGCCAGTGACCCTTTAGCTCTTGCAGCTGCAGCATGCTTATTCCAAAACGAAGAAGCGTCTAAAAGCATCACTAAGGCACTGGTTCTTAACTACGGTGACTCCTTTCTTACTCTCTGGAACGAGGATTCTTTCGAATCGGGTATGCCGCGAATCGTGGGTCCGCAGAGGGCTTCTTCGGCGGCAGGTAGCGTGGGTCTATACGGCGGACTGGTTTGGGATGTGCCGTGCGAAGCCAGCTAGAGGGGCGGGGGGCGGTTAGTGATCCGCTGTCCTACGCACATACTGCCGCGCATTTACCCACCGATGAAGTGGGCGTCCACGGGGTGGTCCGTCAACAGGGTGCACTCCCGGTGGATAAACACACGGTATTGAATTACGGGGGGATCGTCTGGCATCTGCGATGTATTCATACCAAGTACTATGTTCGTTTCTAATTCATGTACTTGCTATTCATAAAATTACAAAATATATAGAACACTCTGATGGTCTCATCAGGCGGAGCTAGTCATATCATCACCCACATACTAACTATTGACGGCAACCTTCGACTGCTGCAAACCAGGTAATCTCCACTTGAGTGAGATAACATTGGAATACCACCTGTATACGAAAGAATACCCGAGAAAAGACCGGCAACTAAGCGTGGACTTGCGCACGGGTGATTTCTCTCCCTTTGCGATCGCTAGACGAGTAACTCCAGCCTCTGCCGATGCACGCAGATGCCATCACCATTTTTCTGGGTGGTTAATGATTGGCTATTAGCGTACCACGCAGCTAATGCAATACTCAGCCTCACTCGCTATTACTGCAAAGGCTGGCCCATTATTTAGGAGGGTGCTGCATGCAAGCGCCCACCCAACCACCCCAAAAGTGTCTCAATGTCCACAGCCTGCGTGTATAGCGTCCACTTCTAGGATTGGGGTTGGCGCGATGACATGAGTTATACCAAGTTTGAAAATCTATTACTAGCGGCTTCTAAGGGTATATATCACCAGATCACTAATGCCTTTCGTTTGCTGTTACTAGAATTAGTAATCTCACAACTGCCGCACATCCTTGTGCAGTTGTTTGAAACAAGCAGGAACCTTTATACTAATGTCTATTACAGAAGTCACGTATATCTCATTTTAGGGTTACTAGCTAAGCAGGTTCTCGTGGTTCTTTTCTTGATATCACGCTTGTCGCTAGTAGGATATTACAGACAGGGCAGGTCAACGGAGGGCAACGGAAGGCAAGGGCATGAACCTCCACTTGAGTTTGTCCACTAGGGCCGACGGCAACGGCGATTGCACCTTCTTAGTATGCGAACTCACCAAATGAACTGACTCGTCGATGCAGGCGTCTTATCCTCATGCATGTCTGCCTCGTAGTTGCCGTCACATAGCCAAATTACGCCCAGGTTCAGTGCGCCAATGTTGTGTTGAGCCGCATCGGTGGGGCCAAGTCGGTTGCCAAGAAACTACAGCCTTCCATCTACCACACTGGCCTCTGGCGTGCTCCTGGTCACCCAGCCAAGCTGTCTATCGTGGCATACAGGGACTGGCTGCCGATGTAAGTTCTAAGCCTTTTTGCTCGGATACGCCCATTAGCCTCACTAGACAGTCAGGGAAAATTGGGATGCGCGAATAGCGTGGGAGGCCATGCCCTACGGAGGGTTGGGCTTGGAAGAAACCAGTAACTTTTTCTTTCACTCTACAATTTGTGCATTTTATATCCTGGCTCCCTGGCACGTATGGGTGATATTGAGCTTTTCCTCTTCTTGCATGATTTTCAGCGACTTTTATACCTCTCTTATTTTTCTAAGGACCGCATAAGTACGAGCTAGCAAAAATGGCGGACGTTCTCGCAGTAGCAGGCCTTATCTACCCCATTGCTAAAGACCTCTTCAAGCTTGCGAATAAGTTAAGAAGGCTATATAAGCAAATTCGTAATGCGAAAGACGATCTATCCAGTGTGATAAAAAGAACGATACACACACACACACACACAATTCATTAACGCCCGGCGGCTGAGCCGAAAGGGCAACTAAAACTGATCTATCAATGCATGTCCTAATATACATATGCCGTGTCTCCTTCGAGCCCATACATGGATCCTTGCCGTATTTGTCCTCTCAGCTGTCAATATCATAGGGATCCCTGTGGGTTAGTAATTTCGGTAGTAGACTGGCTTGAAGGCGCTTCTTCAAGTGTTCAACATCCTATCTTCGGCAGTTGAAGCGCGTCCACCATTTGTGGCACAAGGTGATAGGTGTAGGTTGGTGAAGGGGGAGGAGGGTGTCGTTGTGTTGGTTAACGTGGTTAGGTGGCGTCGAGTCGGCCCGTGGCGATCGCGAAACGTATTGAGGCTCGCACCGCTTCCACGTTCGGCATCCATCGCTGATTGTCCGAGGGCGATTTCCCGCCCAGGAAGAAGGAGAGATTGCCCCGGTGAGTTTGACTAGTCTGCAGCAATGCTATTCGTTGTGTGGTCCACTTCCGACATCGAAAGAGGAAGTGTTCCACCGTCTCTCTTGCTTGTCCACATGCACACTGGTCCGTGTCTGCAACGTTGATCCGACAGAGATAGCTATTGAGTCTGGCCATGCCAGTCCGGAGTTGGGCCAGCACGCTCGCTTCTTTCCACGATAATCGATCATACAGCTGTCGAGTGTGTTTCCCTGGCAGTGCTGCATCTACTCGTTTCACGTGTCTTCCTACGTTCTCCGGCAAGTCATTGCTGGGAACTGCATGAGACCGAGCGATCTTCAGTGTTGTCGACTTCATTCTAGGGGCGGATTTTTGCAGGGCGGCATCCTTCTGGGTCGCGGTCCTGGCTTGCTCTTTGGCTAGACCTAGCAGTTTATTGTCCGCGCTGGACGGGACCCAGAGGATATTGATGTGGTTTCCGTTTCTCCGCAGCCTTTTCATCAACTTGTACGATTGGCAGACGAACTCCTGCCCCGACTGTTGCCGAGGATTCCTCATCGTGAGGGCCGCTGCTTTGTTACTCGTGAGCAGCGTGATCCTGTAGTCTTTCAGTCCCACTAGCATGTTCAATGTGTGTGCCAGTGCTGCCAGCTCCGCA